ATTCATCCCGAAAAGAAGAAATGGAATATGAGTTTCCGCGGCCGAGTGAACCGGGCCAGCATGGCGCTGTTGCCGCCACCACTTGCTCCCATCGTGACGGTTGTGTGTTGTGTATGACCACCAAAAGATCCAACCAAGGCCGTTCAACGGTATTAGGACAAGAATTAAATGTTATATGTTACACGAAAGCGAACCTCAACCGGGGAGGGAATAAGATCCAGTCGAAGTTCGACCCGGCCAGCCAGATACGAAGAGCAAGAAAAGAATGTCGGCGTCCAGCGGGCGGAGAGAGAGGTAGAGAGCGCGGAGGTGGAGGACGGCCCAAGACTTCAAGGGAACGCAGGGTATTAGAATATCGAGGCTTGAACGTGGGTGGGACTCCAGGTGCAGATCAGGTGGATCTCGAAAGAGCCGTGCGGTATTCGGTGCGGCGGCACGCCTGTGCTGAAACCAAGGACGTCCTGTTCCGAACGGGCGTGGCTCAAACCAGTGCCCTGAAGATTTGACGTATAGTTGCTGGGGATAAGGCGGGTGACAGTTCGCGCGATCCACAAGTGGAAAAGTTCCAGGCAGAGACCAGGTTGCGCCAAACCTCAAGGAGCCTCAGGACCGTTGGTGAGATGTCGAAGGCACTCGAGGGGTTGGGCCAATGCGTTGGGCGCCAAGTGTGTGAAGAGCGTCTCAAACCTGAAGCACAAGGCACACAAGCATGTTCTTCGATCTAGGTATGTTATGTATGCGGAGTCTCGATGTAGGAATTGTATTCTGCGCAATGCACGGGTATGCGGCGTGGTGAACCACGAGTAGTCTCCTTGCGAATCCACTTGTTCTTGAGGGAACTTTGAACAGCAATCCTTTCGATCGCAGATTGCATCAATCTTTGGAATCTTTCTTTGATGACTGCAGATTCACACTGATTGCATGGGCGGTTGCGGCGCTGTGTGGCAAACGAGCCAATGTTGCTGAGGCTGTTCGTCGTTGTTCGCTTCGCGAAGGGGCTCTGACACTCCGGGGTGTAGTGAGACGATGCGCGTTCGAGTCTGCTATAACAGTACAAGCGAGTATGCACGACGAGCACAAGGCTTGAAATCTTTTGGAAATGATTCAGAGAGGCGATATTGTCCGATATGAACGGAACGTGCAAGACGTTAGGGTGCAATTGGCAGCGAAGGTCGAAGCAACTGGGGGGTGTAGCGTGTGTAGAAATCGGGTATTCCTAAACTATGGCCCGGCACAAATGCAAACGCAGAGAAGTTTGGCAAGACTAGCGGTCCTGGAAGAAGTCTGTCGAGGCCTTCCATTGGAACCGCTGAGGCGTGGACGAGCAGCGACTTCGATGCTTTCGAAGCCACTTGATGCTGTGGTTGGTAGCACAAAACAAGGCCGGTATGCTGGGCGCCATTTCAGCAGCCAATCTAAGCGGGCCGCGAAGCGCTGAGCGACCCCCACAAGGCCGAGCCAAGCATAGCGCTGTGCGCGCTGCAGGTGTACAGGACGAATGCGCTATTTTGGGTCTTTTCGCCATGGAGGCCGGCGGAGAATGGCGACAGGACGGGCGGCCGCCCGCGTGGTCAGATGCGATCACAGCTAGTCTTGCCTTAGACTGTGATTCTGCACAGCATCTGCAGAGAATCAAGCAGGCGATAGAAGAAAGTTCTTGGTGGCAATCAAGACCCTGGCTTGCTGAGTGATGGTCAAGTCCAGGCCCTGGCGCAACGTTGTCGGACCTTGGTAGTCGGTGTTGCAGCTGCCATGACACTGCCCAGGAGATTACACTATCGTGCACTTCCTCAATAGGAAATATCAAGATCTCGCAGCATAAGATCCAAGTCTCCGTGAGGCTCCTGCAGGCCGAAAACAATGTCAGGCCATTGTTTCTGGTCGTCATCTTCGTGGACGTCACACACGAGCTGCTCCAAACTGCTTAACTGCCCTATACGCCATGTTCGCATTGCGTTAAACCGCCGACATTTGGTTTCCAAAAAGCTTGTCACTCCCAGGGAACTGATACCGAACGAGTGTGGCCTGATGTTGTTTGTGTCAACGGCTGTCATGCTGCCAACCAGGCCTCGATGACGGCATAGACTGGACCTGAGGTAAACTTTGTCGTATGATGTTGTTTGATGGGCAAGCCTGAGGTGCCAGGACCCCTTCCATCTGATCTTCCTTGCAGCTACCGACCGAACCGGCATCCTGATGCACGGTAAGGAGACCGGCTCTAAGGCATCCGTGAGGTTGCGGCGAAGTAGGCTCCAGGGGTTAGTGATTCGATGTGGACCTCCAAGATCAAGATCGAGCGCGGCAAGCCAGTTCCGGGTTCATGTCGAGCTCGAGTGCTTCCACTATGGGCAGTGGAGTCCTGTTCGGATGCTGTGTTTGCCATTCTGTGAAGTGCCCGTGCCTGCAAGGCTAGTCACGACACAGTCACCAGATCATTCGCGGAAAGAGCGGTATGCGATATTGCCCAAGCCTTCAACGATTGAATTCCATGTTCGCCATCAGCCACGTGAATGCAGACTCATCAAGACGGTCTATTTTCTACGCGATGCCTCGTCGCCAAGGTGCGCAGAATCGACGCTGATAGGCCGCTGCTCTACACGGCTGGCTGCATCGAGGCAAGCCACCTCGCATCGGCCGTTCGCCCACCCAATCGTCTTCACAGCACCCGTCGTGCTGCGTGTGGATCCAGCGGCTACACTGGCCCCAGTAGACTCCCCCCAGTCGAGAAGCGCACGTACCCCATGCATTAACTGTCTGTACAATTGCGGGCACTTCCCGCTGTCCTGCGAGCGGTACTGACACACCCTCTGTATCGAAGATCAACGGGCACAGCAAAAGCTGCCTGAACACCTAACACGCCTGAGACTCGGCTACGCCTCAGCCACGCCTTCACCCACGCGTACCTTGCGCTTGAACACTGCTCCTGTTTGTGCGCAGACCAGCTGCCACTTTACCGCTTTCAATCCTGAGGTGGAACCGCCCATTGTTGCGCCCGGCGGTGCAGCGCCTATAACAAAACCCCACTGCCCTGCTCCAAGACTACTCATTGCTGTCTGTCGTCAAGGCTACTGGTAGTCGCAGGCCGTTCTATCTTTTCTTCATTTTCGCTTCTTTAAACCCTCTTCATTCTTTATCGACCGCGGGCTCGGTTTACTGCTCGTATCCTTTCTTTAATACCTCATCATGGGCAAGTTAATCAAGAACCACTGGGCACGCCTAGTCGTCCTCACAGCCGCCGCTTGTAAGTCGCAACCACCACCATAACAACAACAAAATCACGAAGCATTCTGACAGTTTCCAGATCAATTAGCCGCTGCACTCGAAGCCTTCTTCTGGCCGAAAATCTTCTGGGACTTCCTTACCAAGAACCTCGACTCTGCCGTCAAGCCTTTCCCCGTGCTCCAAATCATCAACCTCATCGTCGGCGTCGTCGCTCTCGCCTGGGGAGTGGCCATTACCGCTCCTCGCCGGCACCGGTCTGCACCGATCCATTGAGGCCCGCCTAATCTTCTACCCACTCTGTGCCCTCTGCGCACTGCTCCTCTACCAAGGCACAAACTCGGGTCTTTACTACATCGTCGGCATGATCGCGTACTTCTGGGCCTACAGCGAGGGAGAAATCGTCTGCCCGGAGCCATGGACCCTGCCCAAGCGCGGCTCAACAGCACGGAAGATCGGTGTATAGAGAAGGAACCCTTCGCCCCAGTATTTCGCTTCGACCAATGTACGACTATTTTACACAGAGACGACCAATGTACGACCAGTTAATTTCGAATCTTACGTATCAAGCGTCCCGACAATTTCTTGCGCGTGCCAGTCACAAACATCAAGCCCAATTTGAATGAAGATTGCCAAGGGAAGCAAAGGAGAAATGGTCGTTCAAGGAGTTTCATTAGAAAGACCCAGGTGGCAAAGGACGAAACAGCAACTTTTTGGGGGAACTGTCATCGAATCACGAAAGCGAATTCCGTACTTATTTTATTTTTATCGCTCAAGAGCTGAGCATACCAGAAGGAAAAAACACTCCCCAAAGAAACACACAAATAAACCAACACAATCAAATCAAAGACTCAGCCAAACATGCATTCATTGGAAATTACTAACATCGCCCTTTTTTCCCTTTCCGTTTTTTCCATAATATCCAAACTGAGCCGTCGTTCGCTAGACTGAGGCATCCCCCGTTTCACACCAACCCACGACCCAAATCTCCCAAGCCTCAGTATCATGCCTCACCCCCATACGCCTTATGCTTCAGCTCCACCCCCCGGCCCGGTAAATTTCTGTTCCCTGCATGACAGAACCTTGACATTTGACAAGCCTAATGACAGAAGTTTGTGGGATTTTTGAGACGGTGACATGTAGGCTAGTTCAACGACTCACTTTTGCGCTTGCGGTGGGATGTGCGCGTGGGTTGGAATTTGGATTTAGATTTGGATTTCGTGGGTGGAGTGGTGGTGTCTTGGGCGGATGGGCTGTGAGGCCGTGGGTTAGCTATTGTTATGATTTTTCCTTTATTGTTAGGGTGAAGGATTGGGTTGTGTCTGGAAATAGGTGTGATGATACTGTGTGAGATGTACTACAGGTTCTCAATTACGGTGGGAAGGGAGCGGCAGCCTGTTTGACAGCCTGAAGCTATACACACGAGCTTACGTTCAAATCTGAAGCCTGGTAGTACTGTGTATAACTTCAGGCCATGGGGTGCCGCTGTTTGCTTTACGTCGTAGTTGAGGATTTGTAGTACAGTGTGAATCGAGGCAGGGCCTTGGACATCGGAATTCGAGAGACTCGGAGAGAGTACGGCAGCCTAGGAAATGTAGTACGTAGAAAATTTGATTGACTGAAAGTGGACAGTCCAAAATAATAAAATAATAAAAAAGACTTCGTCCACTAGTATGCAACACCTCCCGCCAATACATGCAAGTCAAGCACTCCAAAACTCTATATCGAAATCATCATGAGAGGAAGATGTGATAGAGCGCAACTCACTCCTCAGGTCCCTCAATAAGCAGCTTGATTCCCTCACCCTTCTTGACCTGCGCGAACGCATTCTCCGCATCTTCGAACTTGACCTTGCCGGTAATCAGCTCCTTGATCGAGATGCGCCCGCCAGCAACGAGATCGACGGCGGTTTGGTAGTCGCCGGCGCCGTAGCGGAAAGAGCCCTTGACGTTGAGCTCTTTGGTGCACATGGCCATGATGGGGAAGTTGATGTCTGGCTTGCCCATGCCGCCCTGTATGATTTATTAGCACTGAATCGTACATGAAAAATATGCATACGAACCTGAACATAAGTTCCACCCATTCTCAGCGCGTGGATCGCGGTCTGGATACACGGCTCCGCACCCGACGCATCGATAATGACGTCCGCGCCAGGACCGAGTTCGCAGTCCTTGATCAAGTTCTTTGCATTCTCCTCCGCGCTGACTCGTGCGCTGCTGAACTTGTCCGTCGCAGCGTACTGGAGTGCGAAGTTTAGTCTCTGCTCGTTGATGTCGACTGTGACGATCTTCTTTGCGCCATATGCTTTTGCGACAGCACAGCATAGCAGACCAACGGGACCGGCACCGAATACAACCACAGAGTCTCCCGGCTTGATTGATGCTTGTCGAGTGATGTGCACCGCGACGGCAGTAGGCTCGATAAGTGCGCCCTCCTCAAGACTCATGTTCTCTGGGAGCTTATAGCAGTAGTCCTCGGGCAGAGCATAGTACCGTGCAAGCGTTCCGTCGTATGGGGGTGTAGCAGCGAAAGCCATATCTGGGCAAAGGTTGTACTTTCCCTCTTTGCAGCGTACGCAGCGACGGCAAGGCACACCCGGTTCCATTGCCACGCGGTCGCCAACTTTCAGTGACTTGACCTTATCGCCAACTTTGTGTACGATTCCAGCGGACTCATGACCGAGGACCATGGGTGACTCAACGACAAAGTGTCCGATGCGTCCCTCAACCCAGTAGTGCACATCTGACCCGCAAATACCAGTCCATTTTGGCTTGACAATGACATCGTATGGTGAAGGGAGATCGGGGATGGGCCTGTCCTCGTAGACAACTTTGTTGGGTGCTTGCAGCACGAAGGAAGGATTCTGAAGTTTGTGTGAGCTCAATTGTAGTCAGGGATGCGTGTTGTGGTTCTGTAAACATGCGGCGAGCGCGAATGGCGGGGTTGGTGGGGCACGGGGAGCTCTACCTTCTGGGTAGCTGTCTTTGTCGTCATTTTGATGTATGTGTAACCTGTGCTTTGTTTCGTGTTTTCGAGGATGTACCCAAAGTTGAGGAAGAGAAGAGAGAATCTGATGGCAGAATGGAAAAGTATGCAATGCTCACGCGTAACCACAGTGAAATTGTGACGAAGCTAATGGCGGGTCGCTGTAGCTCGTGTTGAGCTATCCCGCGGTACACCAGGGACCAACTCTAGCGCAAGCGTTTGCGTGCTGATTATCCGGGAAATAACCGGTTTGCGTCAGTCCGTTTGTTGGAAGCAGAGAGTCTGGTAGCGCAGCGTGCCGAGCGATGGACCGAAACCGCTGGGAATCGCCGTAGCTGTTCGAATTACTAAGATAGGAAACAGATCCACTGATTCGTGGGGAAGGATAATGCCGCTCAGGAAGATTATCCGAAGCCGGTAAAACGGCAAACTGAGGTGAACTAAAGAAGTTTAAAATGAACCACATGGCAAACAAAAGGACCAGACCGCATAATGGAGCTTTCAAGCTGACCGCCAATTGATGTTCGTTTGTACTATCGCATCCAGGAACTGCCTCCCCCACGTCCTGCATGGACTCTAGGTCTGTCAAGTTCTCACTGCCTTGCATCCTGAGTTATGCAACATCTCCCGCTTGTCAACACCGCGACTCTTGAACAAATCCACTCGACCTGAGAGCTTCGGGCAACAAGTTCGAGCCGCACTGCGCTAAGTGGCTGGTATGCGCGGGCATAAACTTGACATGTCATTGTAAAAGCCCGGTACGATCGCGATGACGAATCCCAAGTCGGAAGGACACCCTTCTGGGGATCTAAGCTGTGTCCAAAACACTTGACTGATGGCTCAAATGTTGGCAGGCATAGTGCGTCCCCAAACTGACCACCAGCAAGTCACAAGACAGTCCTCGTCGTCTTCACCACTCGCGCCCGACGTTCCCCAGTCGTCGTAGCCCTTCTCTTCACCCTCATCATGTATGCTCAATCCCATCTTTTCCATGCGATCGCGGAATGTCTTGATCTCCGGAAGGTATGCATCTCTGTAAGGAAACTCAACAACAACCTTTGCATGCTTGTCACTTGACAACCACACCTCAATGCTGTCGACTAGCATATGTGGATGGTCTGGTGAATACAGTGAATCTGCAGCAAGTATCAAAGGAAACTTGTCAGTGATGGTTTCATGTTGGCCTTGGTGTACAGCAGGTGGTGTGAGTTGGCAAAGGGTTGGTTCGGTCCAGTCGAGAATACCAGTGCGAGCCGAACCGCCATTTTGCGTAATGACAGCCGAATTGTCCATAGCGTTTCGGGCCAGGTTCGAGTGTATGTTTGGTAAGTCTGTGAGGACTACATCTGCTCCTAGGCCTGCCATTGCGAGTCCGACCAGACCCGTCCCAGAACCTAGCTCGAGCACTCGCAATTTCCGTTCAGAGCTTACTGGTAGTAGGCCGAATGTATGAAGGCGCTTCGCGAGCATGTAAGAAGCTGCCCATGTCTTCAGGCCGAGATCGTCGCCGGTAAGCGCAGGCTCATGGATGTCGAGCTCAAAAGAGCTGGTCAATGTTGGTATCCGAAACTTGCGAGATATGGCACCCATTGCCGTGCGACCAGATCTTTCGCTAAGCCTCGAGCTAGCCTCATCCCATATCTTTTCCTTGGTATCGTCGTCGTCGATCCATTGTAGGGCGCTGCTCACTATGCTGGTGAGGTATCGAGTGACACCTTCGGGATTGATCTGGGGCGACGGCTCGACACCGCAATCTCGAGACGCATCATGCGCAGATAAACTTCCGGATTTGGTATGCGAACGGTCCCATGAGGGAGGAGCAGAAGTGAGTTGCGAAAGTGTTTGGAGAAGGGTTTCGGCGGACGGCTTCGTGTATAGTTGCGGTAGGTCGAGTACTGGTCGACATTGTTAGTTCGTCGTCTCAATCGGAACCTATTGCGTCTGTACCATCCAGTAACATGCTGAAAGATATCGGAAATATCGCGACCGGGGTTCTGACGCTGGAGGTACTCACAGAAAGTCTGCTCGGGTCCAACATGGTCCGTGCTCTTTGGGCATCGCGGGGCAGTTCCGAGCTGTAAAGTGGCGCGCTCGACAACATGAGCAGCACTGCTGAGCCTTTCTTCAATCCTTTTTCAATGTGGACTTGAAGCCATGATATGCTTGCTGCATGTCGAACTCAAACTCGCGGGCCTGTTCGTCGTCCAGCTTCTCGGATGCCCTCATTTGGTTCAAGGAGATAAGCCACTGCACAATCTTGCCCTTGCTCTCGAATTCCTTGTCAGTGACCTTGTTCACTGCCTGTATAATCTCAACTAGCAGAGGGTGTAGTGTATCCTTCTCGACGAGACCGATCTTGATAGCATCGAGCAGCGTAATGAAGGTCTCGGTCGCATTGACTACGAGCGTCGCGTCAGCGAAGTCGCCTTGCTGTGTAGTATTGTGAGAAGGCCCTTGTTCAACGGTGGCTGGAATGCCAATGCGCAGGCGTTCGACAGCTCGTGGGCATTCCATCTGGAGGCTCATCAGCACCGCACGACGAACCAGATCCGACATAACGTACCTGCCACTCCCGCGTGAAGGAGTCCAGATCCCCAAATGATCGCGCGACTGTCTCGTTGGCCAAGTTTGACTTGTACTGCTTCAACAGACGGCTGCATGTTCCGGTGTAGTCAACTTCGGTGATGGAGTCCTTCAAATATGCCTTCTCTAGCGCATCAAGCGTGATGATGATGCTGTATATCTCGGCCAGAGAGTCGTACAAGTCTCGCTCCGCATTTGTGGTCGATAGCTTGACCTCCTATACGGAGTGTCAGCGCATGCGTGGTAGTAGAAGGTGTACTGCGGCGTCATGTACCTCGTCGAGGTTGATAGTCGCCGATAGTGCAGACCGCGGTATGTAGGGCGTCGGTGCATACGCCAGCTGCCGGTTGTTGTGCATGGCTATCAGCTGTACGCGGATTGATCTGGGGTGTTGATGTCTACCAGCCTCGGTGAAGCTTGCTTGCTTTGGTGGTGCCCATGACGCTAGCGCCGGGCATGTGGGGAAGGAGCTAGGACCCTGCAAATCTTGGCATCTGTAACTTTTTCGAAAGTGGATCCAAATTTTTGGCTGCAACTCTGCGCCTCGAGTACCACGCCCAACCCACGTCAAACCACCGACCGACACCCTCAAGATGCCGGTCTCCAAGGCGACCAAGAAGTTCGAGAAGAACAAACTGCACGATGTCATCAAGCGCCGGAAAGATGTCGCGAAAATCAAGCAGAAGAAGCAGATGGATGTGAAGAAGAAGGAGCGCAAGGCCAGAGACAACGCGAAAGCGGACGACCTCGAAGATGCGAAAAGCAAGAAGCCCAGCTCGAGAGCAGAGAAGGAGGACGCTTCCTTCGGCGAGATGTCCATGGACCAGTTCTTCGAGGGCGGGTTCCAGGTGCCAGAGATGAAAAAGTCCTCGACAAAACCAAAGACGGGAAAGCGCAAACGCACACCGATCGAGAACGGAGGCGCCGCAGATTCAGATGCCGAGATGCCCGAGGCGACTGCAGGTGCCGAAGAATCTGCTTCGGACAGTGACTCGGGTGACGACGCAGAGGCGCATAAGGGACAGCTCGCAGATCTGCAAAAGAAGGACCCCGAGTTCTACAAGTACCTCAAGGACAACGATGCAGAGCTCCTTGACTTTGCCGAAGACGCAGACTTGGCCGAGATCGATGCGCTCAGCGCCAGTGAAGACGAGGCAACGCCGAGGAAAAAGAAGAAGAAGGCTGTAGAGGCGGACAGCGACGAGGATGATGAAGAAGCGACAACAGGCAACGAGGTCACGAAGAAGATCATAAAGAAGTGGAAATCTTCCATGGAGACCAACTTTTCACTGCGTGCCATGAAGGAGGTGGTTCTAGCCTTCCGAACCGCTGCCCATCTGAACGACGACGAGGGCAAGAACTACAAATACACAATATCCGACCCAGATGGTATGCGACTCTCAGCTGTCAGTCCTGACGACAATGCTTACCTCTTACAGTGTACCATGAGGTCCTCGTGACTGCTCTACAGCTTGTACCAAAGGTGCTGCAACATCACCTGCCTGTCAAGGAGACCGCAGGCGGAAAGCTGTAAGTGATTCGCAATCACGTAGCAGAGCATGCACTGACAACTACAGACGCGTACCCACCGATGCGAAGAAGTTCAGCACTCTTACTCCCCTTCTCAAGTCGCACACTGTTTCGATACAACATCTTCTCGAGAACCTCTCCGATGCCTCTACTCTCCGCATGACGCTCGAGTCATTACTCGGCCTGCTGCCCTACATCCTCTCGTTCAAGAAGATCGTCCGAGAGCTCACAAAGGTTGTGTCGTCTGTATGGTCAGATTCTGCCAACAACGAGATGACGAGGTTGTCAGCCTTCCTTGTTATGCGAAGACTCCTAGTCATCTCCGATCCAAGCATTCGTGAAGCTGTTCTAAAGCAAGCCTACCAAGGACTTGTCAAGGGCGCAAGGAACACGACGGTTCACAACATCCAAGGAATAAATCTGATGAAGAACACCGCATCAGAACTTTGGGGTATCGATCCTACTGTAGGATACACGACAGGCTTCGGTTTTATTCGCCAATTAGCGATTCACCTCCGAACTAGTATCACAAACAAGACGAAGGACTCGTACAAGACGGTATACAACTGGCAGTACATCCACTCTCTAGATTTCTGGTCGCGAGTTGTTGCAGCACATTGCGAGTCACTTCGCGAGGCTGAGGCCGGCAAGCCTTCGCCATTACGACCGCTCATCTATCCCATTGTCCAGCTCACCTTGGGTGCGATGCGCCTCATCCCGACTGCGCAATACTTCCCTCTCCGCTTCCAGCTTGTTCGCTCCCTACTCCGAATCTCATCAGCAACGTCAACTTACATCCCGCTTGCGCCAGCGCTCGTCGAGGTCTTGAACTCAGCTGAGATGAAGAAGCAGCCCAAGCCCAGCACACTAAAGACGATGGACTTCAGCATCGCCATCAGGGCTACAAAAGCATATCTGCGGACTCGCGTCTATCAAGATGGTGTCGGGGAGCAAGTAGCCGAGCTATTGTCCGAGTTCTTCATCCTCTGGACCAAGAACATCGCCTTCCCAGAACTCGCTCTACCCGTCATTGTAATGCTCAAGCGCTGGGTCAAAGCTATGACGAAAAAGACCGGCGGCAACCGCAACTCTAAGATCAACTCGCTCATCGTGCTGCTTGTCCAGAAACTCGAAGCCAACTCGAAATGGATCGAGGAGAAGCGCGCGAAGATTGACTTTGCGCCCAACAACCGAGCTGGCGTCGAGGGCTTCCTCAAGGATGTCGAGTGGGAGAAGACACCGCTCGGTGCTTATGTAGCCGGACAAAGAAAGTCGAGAGATCAAAAGAACAAGATGTTGGAGGATGCGAGGAAGACCGACGACAAGAAGAGGAAAGAGGCTGAGAAGGAGGATGCAACTGATGGTGTCGAGCAGTTCGAAGACGATTCTGGCGAGGAGGAAGAGGATCAGGAGCTTGATGCGATTAGTGAGGACGAGCTAGAAGAGGAGGATGATGAGAGCGACGACGAGTAGTTCAAGTACAGGGTCGGCTGTTAAATTAGGTGCATGTTTGATAGTTATTTTGGACTAGAAATCGGGTGGTTGTGCATAGGCGATTCAATTCGCTTGGAATTCCAAAGTTCAATGCGCGTTCATCTCTTACTCCCAAACTTGCCACCCCATCATACCTCGAAGTAGAGTACGTTGTGCACATCTCAACCAAACAACGTCTTCCAACCCCCAGTCAGGCCCGCCACCGACCTGCATCACCGACGCATCCTGCAGTCGGGTGTCGCCCTGTTCCAAGACCCTCTCACACCATCGCTAAACCCTGGTCCCATCTACGCCTTGAGTACGCGACATCGGGGTCAGCAGAAGGGTCCCTTGACGTGCAGGCGTGGTAGGGATGGGAGAGAGGATGGATTGTGGCTGCAGTAGTTGATACATCTATTAATAATATGTGTAAGGGCGAGAATGTGGGGAAGGCTGAAAGTGGCAATTTATGGTGATGGTGGTGGTATAGTGACAATGAGGTGCTTGGGGTGGGCAGTGGTTTGGATACATGTTTTAGCGTTTGAGGATGAGGTTCTTCTTATTTACTTTATCTGTTTACATGAATGAAAGCTGGACTCTTGCGGATGAGACAGAGATACGCGACTGGAAATTCTCGTGCTCGACACCTCCCGCCATCCTTCCGCTAACATCGGAGAAAAGACGATCGAAGTGAGACACCAACAACAACGTCCCTCAACCCACATCACCTTATCTCAACCCCAATCCCGTGATCGCAACGAAAACACCCAGCTGCATACACCCGGGACGCAGATATCCAAAACAGTCTGACAAGCCAGCTAGCGATTCAAACACGCAACAGCAAATGAATCATTCGCAGCGTGTTGGACTATTCACACCCGGCCTCTTGCCTGAGGCCAACCTTTAGTCCCCACTCCGTCAACGATCAAATCGTACATTCGGGATCCGTAGCCTTTCTCCGCCAAACGAGCCATCCAATAGTAACACAGGCAGGCGCCGATGGCGGCCTCAACCAAGAGTCAGCTATTCCCAGCGTCAGGTACCTTGAGCTAGCTGTCGTTTACGTCTTGTGTCCGGGTTGAGAGGCTGGGATCAGCACGTGTCGTACAGGCATTCGCGAGTTTCAGTGTTTCAGGTATGAGGCTGATCTTTGCCTGGTTGAAGGATAGGTCGGTGATGATTGTGGTGGCTGTCGGGGAGTAAGGACGGGGACTAAGATTGGATATGGCGCTAGTGCGCTTGTGATTACCGGGGCTAGGGATGGATGGAGCGGCCGTGATGATGATTGTTTCTCGTGACTTGGGCGGAGATGTTTTGTTTGGTAGCTGAGAAGATGGGGTTTGGAGATGATTGTGAGAGATATGTGGCTGGTAGGTAGATGGAGTTTGTGTGTAGTGGGATAGGAGGAGGCTCAAAGTACACAGTCATCGTTTTCGCGAATGAATGATTCAATCAACATTCTGCACCTGCATACCGGTGACGCTTGATACCGACGCCATCGCACCCGTCTTGTAGATATCGTCATACCTACCTCGCCTACTGGACTGGGGTCTGCGATGTGGTCCGAGGCAGCCAATAGAGGCAGGCCATGAGGACCATCTCCCATTGGCCTGGGGCAGCTCATACATCTTTGCACAGTTCAAGGCCACCGAGCATGGACGTTTTATTCCCAGCAATTGCATTATGCAAATGCAGCGCACAGACTGCCTTCCGCATTACGACACCGTCAACGTGCTTGCGGGGATTAAGGAAGGTGTTGATCTCGTGCTAGACGAGCACTAGAAGGTGGCAGGCGTGCTACTGGCGAGGATAGTCCTATCATTCGCTGCGTAGACAGCACGGCTGGTTCGGGGATCATGATGGTGTAGTGGGGAGTAAACAATGGCTTGACGGCTTCATGGCTGAGACGTGCAGGTATGCCGCTAAACGTGGTGGTGATGCAGGCTACTGGACCTGGTGTTGACTCCACATAGGTCCATCAAACCATGGACGATAATTCCCGTTGGACTGCGTAGGCAATGGTATATATTAGAGGTACGCGCGCGTGTAGCTGTGCCGTCAATCAAGTCACAAGACGAGTGCAAACGACAGCAAAGTACATACTCTGCTAGACATCAACGACAAAACGACAATCTCCAACACAGTCACAATGTCTTTCTCTTCACAGACCGCACAGTGGCAGGCGTCGATTGTGCTCGACAGCAGCAGATCCACACCAGCGACATCGGCGCCTTCAATCAAATCTCCCACTTCAGCGCCAAAGTCGGCAGACAAGGAGCGGAGACCCAAGCTTCGAGCGTCCTGCGATGCCTGTGCTGCCTCGAAAGTCAAGTGCAACAAGGAACACCCCATCTGCGCTCGATGCTCGGCCAACGGCTCGCAATGCATCTACGGGGTGTCGAGGAAGCACGGCAAGCCTGGACGGACGAGGAAGAGGAACCCAGATGGCACACCGTTCATCAAGGCCTCGAAGCAGCGCCCTTCGCCAGATGGCAGCGAGTTTGGCAAGTTCAGGGTGCAGCCTGAGCCCGTCCCCCAGCCTCTTCCAGACCTGTCCGAGACGGCATCGAGCTGGTCCTCAACCTGGTCGTCTACACCTAGTCTGCCTGGCACGCCAGAGCTAGACTTTGATTTCGAGATGACTCCAGAGCCGTTCTACATGGACGCAGACCTCACCTTCATGGACGATATCCTGCTGCCCACGACCCAGCTCGAGCCGGAACCCATGCAGTCGATCGAGCCGGAGCTTACCTTCCGCGATCCGTTTGCAAAGCGACAGTCGGTGCAGCTCGATCTGCCAGACATTGAGGCTCTGAGGGACTTTGTTGGTGGTGACAATATCGACCCCACGAGCTATACGTTTCAGGGTGCGAATCTCGACCCATATCTCTTCAACACGGCTCCCATGTCAACACCGCAGAGCCCAAAGACGATCATGAACAACAACTACAGCTCTATGCGCCGCGTTAGCGTCTCGATGCCAACTTCGCACTGCTGCTACACGCTTGCGTACTCGACGCTCGAGAGTCTGCGGATTATTGGCACTGACGCCTCCTCCCAAGCATTCCCGAGCATGGAGTGCAAGAGCCTCGACAATGTTCTTTCCATCACGAGACTCGCAGTCTCTTCCGTCATGACCCTACTCAGCTGCCCATGCTCATCGGACCCTCACCTCGCCATGCTGTACTCGAGCATCACGTCCAAGCTCCTCACCTGGTACCAGATCGCAGCCGGCGTCAACGTGACGGCGTCTTCGCTCGGCAGCGGCCCAATTTCTCCCACTTCCTCCAACTTCTCGTCTCCCTTGTCCACGCCCGCGTCTGAGACCGAGATGGGTTTCAACATTGCGCTGCAGCCGCTGCAGTTTGGCGTGTATCAGTTCGACGAGGCGGAACAGCGGAGGCTCAGGCGGCAGGTGGTGCTGCGGGAGCTGAAGAACTGCGGACAGCTGGTCGAGGCGCTGGCGAACTGGAGGGGCGATGGAGGCAGCGAGCAGGGCGAGTTTTTGTATGATGTTCTGGGCGCGTGGTTGAAGAGTGAGCTATTCAAGACGGTGCAGGAAATTGAGGGCGCGCAGGCTGTGTGAGGTGGACGATGGAATGTGGTTTTCTGCTGCGATTAGCGATGCATTATGATTAGATCTAGACCATTCAGCAATGCATAGATTATGACGACCCGTACCGAATCATGGAGATGCAATTGTGTGGAGCGCGACGCGTCGAAGCTTGCCTGAACCCCAGACGTTCCCCGGATGCACGTGGCACATTCACATGCCTCGGCTCACAGGCAGGCATCATGGCCCTCACATGCTCGCAGCTCCAACACTCACTCACACTCACACTTGCAGCGCCAGTTCCGCCGCAAGAACATGATCATCTCTCCGACAGGAGACCCCATGGCCTGCAATGGCCGCTCAATCCACCCTCAAACAGCCTCATGATCCGCTGCTCGCCCTCTACGACCACTATGCCACACTGCTCAAGACGCGCGTGCGCGGCGCATCCAAGCTCACAAAGGTCGTGTCGACCATCACGCTGCTCTTCACCATAATCGGCGCCGGCTATGGCAGCAGGAAGCTGTACAAGGACCGGCGGAAAGAAAAAGAAACCGGCCGACGCCTACTGCGAAGAAACTCGGGCCTCAAGAACAAAGATGGCTCGCGGACGATATACGTGCCGTACCGCGACTCGACGTCCAAAGTCGTCATCAATCCGACCAAGCCCACCACCTTCGATGCGCATCGCCGCCTTTTCCTCCAGCCGCCCCGCGCGGCGCGCATGCAGGACACGAGCAATCCGACCGCGCCGCCGCCCCAGACAAAGCCGGGCCTGAACCTCGCCTTCCTGCACCAGTTCCTGAGTCTGCTGAACATCATGATTCCGCGGTGGAACAGCAAGGAGACGGGCCTGCTGGTCAGCCACAGCGTCTTCTTGATGCTGCGGACGTACCTCTCGCTCGTCGTTGCGCGTCTCGATGGCGAGATTGTGCGAGACTTGGTCGCGGGCAATGGCAAAGCGTTTCTCTGGGGAATTGTAAAGTGGCTGGGTGTCGGCACTTTCTCGTCGTACACGAATGCCATGATCAAGTTCTTGCAGAGTAAGGTGTCCATTGCGTTCCGCACGCGGCTGACGAGGTACATTCACGACTTGTATCTGAACGACCACTTGAACTATTATAAGCTGCATAATCTGGATGGAGGAGTTGGGCTGGGCGCGGATCAGTATATTACCCAGGACCTGACGCTGTTTTGCGCGTCGGCTGCGTCGCTGTATTCGTCGCTGGGGAAGCCGTTTGTGGATCTCTGTGTGTTCAACTACCAGTTGTTCAAGTCGCTGGGACCGCTGGCTCTGACTGGATTGCTGAGCAACTACTTCTTGACTGCGACGATATTGCGCAGGCTATCACCGCCATTTGGCAAGCTCAAGGCCGTGGAAGGTCGAAGAGAAGGAGAGTTTCGTGCTCTGCACGCTCGACTCATCGCCAACGCCGAAGAGGTCGCTTTCTATGGCGGTGACCAGATGGAGAAACACTTCCTTGAGCGCGGCTTCAAGGACCTCAAGCACTGGATGGAAGGCATCTACAGTCTCAAGATCCGCTACAACATGCTGGAAGACTTTGTTCTGAAGTACTCCTGGTCTGCATTTGGCTATCTCATCACCTCTCTTCCCGTATTCCTCCCAGCATGGGGTGGTCTAGGTAGCGTCCCAGAAATTCCAGGCGGTGAAAAGTCTGGCCGCGAGCGCAATCGCATGAAGGACTTCATCACAAACAAGCGCCTCATGCTGTCTCTCGCCGACGCAGGTGGTCGTATGATGTACAGCATCAAAGACTTGTCTGAACTGGCCGGCTACACATCCCGTGTCTACACACTCATCAGCACACTTCACCGCGTCCACGCAGACGCATACTACCCACCACCAGGTACCCGACCAGAACTCTTCTCCCTCTCAGACGTCCAAGGCACAGTCCACAAAGGCTTCGATGGCCTCCGTCTCGAACACGTCCCCGTCGTCGCACCAGCGCTATACCCCATGGGCGGCGACGAACTCGTCGAATCTCTCTCCTTCATCGTCCATTCGGGCGAACACCTGCTCATCACCGGCCCCAATGGCGTCGGCAAAAGCGCCGTCGCCCGTATTGTCGCCGGCCTCTGGCCCACCTACCGCGGCCTCGTCTCCCGCCCACGCACCAACGGCGTTGACGGAATAATGTTCCTGCCACAGCGTCCATATCTGTCTACCGGCACCCTACGCGACCAAATCATCTACCCACACACCGCCGTTGACATGAAAGACTCGGGCCGCCGCGACTCTGAACTCCAAGCCATCCTCGAAGAGGCGAAACTCGGATACATTCCCGACCGTGAGGGCGGCTGGGACACGAAGAAGGTGTGGAAAGACGTCTTCAGCGGCGGCGAGAAGCAGCGCGTTGGAATCGCGCGCTTACTCTACCACGAGCCGAAATACGCGTTCATTGATGAAGGAACGTCCGCTGTGAGTTCCGATGTCGAGGGCTTGTTGTACGAGCGGTGTAAAGCAAAGGGCATAAGTACATTTCCCCGTCCCCATTTCCCTGTCTGGAATACAATGCTAACGCATCAACAGCTCTCATAACTATATCCACCCGCGCATCGCTCAAGCGCTACCACACATTCACGCTCACGCTCGGCATGGGCGATTCCTCGGACGACTGGGAGTTCCAGCGCATCGGTACCGAGAGCGAGAAATCCAGCGTCGAGAAAGAGTTGGCGGAATTGCGCGAACGGCTGGCGAAGGTTGAGGAGTGGGAGAGCAGGAAGAGGGAGATTGAGGAGGAGTTGGGGAAGGTGTGGGTCAGGGAGGATGGGGAGGGAGAGGAGTTGGCGCCGCCGCCGTATCTGGAGAGGGAGGAGGGTGGGAGTGTAGAGGAGAGTGGTTATGCGGATGAGGAGGTGGAGAGTCCGAGGAGCGATGAACAGGCGCTGGAGAGTGTGGATGGGGAAGAGGCGGAGGCGGAAAGTCCGACGAGTGATGAGCAGCTGATTGAAAGTGGGAGTTTTGAGGCTGGCGAGGAAGCGGAAAGTCCACAAAGCGATGAGCAGGTGGTGGAGAGTGTGACTATCAGTGAGGCCGAGCGTAATGCGGAGCATTGAGCATTTCTGGCAGCGCTTGCATGTTTTGCAGGGGGGCATTCTCGGATCCTGGCTTAGCATGTAGAAGGATGTATGAGGAGATAGATGAAATATATATTACCATGTTATTTTCGGATACGAAGACGGAACGTGCGTAGCAAGAATACCAACGCTTATTGCAATATTAACAGAATTAGCAAGTGAGCGAAAGAAGAAGGCCATTGGACACAATCATCTCCAGAATCAATTCTAGCCCCCCCAAAAAACGCTTCACTACACAGCTAGCCAGCCAAGAACCTTCAAAATCGTCAAAATTCCAACCGCCGTGAATTTCCCCATCACAGACAAATCGTGTCCAATACTCAAATCTGAAAGTACATTTTTCTTTTCTCTACAAACACATCTACTCCCTCCTCCCCATTTGTCTAACACTTCCTCCAAGCAAAATACAAATTATTCACCAACCTGCCCCCCTCCCTCGTACTCGCCAGCACCCCACTTGCACTCGTCGCAAACGGACTAAGACTAACCTCGCTATTAACATTCAACAGCGCCTCGCCCGCGCCACAGGGGCTCCAAACCGCCAGATCCACGTTATCCTGCTTGAAGTACTTGCCGTGGAAGGGGCCGGGGATGGACAGCGCCGCGCTGCCCTGCTCCGTCTCGCCGGAGAAGTAGTACGACGCCTTGACGGTGCCTGTCACGCCGCTGTCGAGATCCGCCCAGCCCGTGTAGTCGGCGCTGTACACGGAGAAGGAGAACCCGGAGTCGTAGGAGAGTTTGAGGTTGAGTTGGCAGTTTTTGCGCGAGTCGGTGGCGTCGGCGCGGGAGCCGACGCGGGCGGTGAAGGCGGGGCTGAAGTCTGGATACATTGTTAGAGAGCGGCTGGAGAGGGGAGGATTGTGGAAGTGGAAGTGGGAGGGTTGGTGACTTTCTGGGAGTGAGGAGTGGGGACTTACAGATAGGGAAGATCTTGTTGTCCGTCCAGTTGACGTCGATGCTACCTTGAGGACAGCCTGAGCCGCCCGAGACAACGTTGACGATCTTGAATGAGGACGGTGCATCGGAGCTTGTGGTTGGGACTGGGTTGGCTAGTGATGCTGCCGCGAGGGCAAGAGTGGCGAATGTGTACTTCATTGTAGAGCTGCGATATTGAAATTGACCTTGGTGGAATGATACAAGTTACAACAAAGACGACGAAGATCGTCTATCGGAAATAGTAAGAGATTGTCTGCTGCTGTAGAAACAATGGTAGCGAGCACCGCACGTCTTAAATGCACACTGTATTCTACCGGGCACGAGGTCTAGAGCACGAGATAGCAAACCCACCAAGAGTTCTTCATTCTCCAGACTCTTCACACATATGAGCGGAGACTACGGCCCGCGCCTGGAGTCAAGCCTATTGGTGAGGCAGTCACGAAAGATGGCGAAAAATAGCCACTCGCTACCACTTACAGGCCTCATCCTCGTGCAGACCGTCGGACAGCGCTGCGAACCTGGCATGGTCGCCATGCGAAGGATATTCGATCTGCCCGCCGATATTGCTCGTGGGCATGTACACGGGCCAGGCGATAACCGTCAACGGGCCTGCTCAGATCAAAGCAGACTCTAGAACATTGCGTTTCCTGGGGTAGACGAGCGCGGCGGAGAAATGATTGAGCCAAAAATAGGTAGCTGCAAGCTTTCACGTCGTGCGTGCGGGATCGTGGGCGGCCAGCGTTGTATATAATAGATTGGCTCGTGGCCTCGACCCGAGTCTGCCAAACAGGTGACGGATCATTAAGGTTGGCAATCAACGCAGGGGAGCTGCTGAACTCGGATAGTTTCTTCTGACGTTCGTATCCTTCATCAATGCTCATATCGCTCCTGGATAGTCGTTCGCTTTACGGCAAGGTGCCGTTAGTCGTGCCTTGGGTACATACATAAGTACGATTGAGCTTCCTCGAGTAGCCTGGAACAATTGAAAGTAAATTGGAAGCAGGCAAAGGGTCTCGGTGCAACGCTGGCTATTGTTAGATCTCCCATTTGGCTAATCTGCCTGGCGAGGGTTAAGAGGCGCTGGGCACCATAACAGGCAGATACCACTCGCCAGGTTCCATTTGTGATACTCAGTCTTCGCCAAGGGGTTGGTGGCAAGTAGTCATAGATATCCGCGACGGGCGACTACGTCTGCCAGACATTCATCGCACGACAACCCACTAATGCAACATGCCGAAGAGGGAAAATCCTTGTGCTTTTGTGGTTCGGGTGGATATAAAGATCGCATAGAGACACGTTGAGGAAGGGTCCTCCGGTCCTCTGGTGGGGCAAGGGTAGCGGGACTACGGCTCACCGTCTGGAATCGCCAGGATCAGCTAAGCAATTATTGTGAATTCGACAATCTTCTCTGGAAAAGGTATCCTACAATTCCAGGCGTACGCCCCGAATCGCCCAAGCCACGCGAGTTGCCGGAAATTACTCGGTATAGATCTGATGCGGTTTGGTCAGGAGATGTCTAGTGGAGGCTTGGTTGCGCTTCATCGGTGCACATGCTGAAGAGGACAGCCTCCGCAGCGATCTCGCGAAACACATCCACCGATGAGACAAGGCGACTTTGTCACCGCCTGTGCCCGTCCGTCATACGTCCGTAGCATCGCGAGGCCCCCTGTATCAATCTCTTCACTTGTACTGTGCTGGCAGCGGAGCCACCAGCGAGTGGTCTGATACGAGTCAGTCTGTTTGCCCAGGATCAAAGGTTGCGTAGCGAGCAAACAATCGTCCGTACAATTCATCGATTGTCCATGGACTGAGAATGTGAACCTGCTCGCTAGCACGAACAAAAAGGTACAAGTCCCTAGGTACAATACCGCAAAATTTGCCATAAGTATGGCCGAGAAAGACAATCCAGTATTTGAAAGCATACCCCTGCCGATAGACATGCCGCAGCGGAAGTGGTCGTTCAAGTGGGGAAGCACGTTCTGGACTACGTATCGGCCTTGACCTCTTCGAGCATGATTAGTAGTCAAGCAGCCTATGAAGAGTGTTCGCAAGACGGGTAGCCGAGCTAAAACCAAGTGCTACTTCGAGCCCCGCGATTCTCGCACTGAGGTGGGGTAGATGGTATCAGCCAAGCAGGTGCTACCATGCCGCACAACAAAGCACTTACCGAGGGATGCTGTGCTTTCCGTGGCGACATGTAGCTCAGACACTTAAGAAGAGGCTGACTCCCTCTTGGAGAAGAAATAATTCACGACCAAAAACTTTCACATACCACACCACAATCATGTCTCCAGGAAAAGTCTCCACACTCGACTTCGAGAAGTTCTACAACATTGTAGACGGCAAGCAGCGTGGCTCTGACAAGATCCACCGTGGAATCAACCCTGCTACCGGCCAGGAGCTTTGGGACGTCCCAATCGCTAGTGAGCAAGACTTGAACGACGCTGTTGCAGCTGCAAAGAAGGCCTTCCCAGCATGGAGAGACACCCCCATTGAGAAGCGTAAGGAGCTCCTCGGAAAGGTCGCCGAGAGCTTCCAGGCCCACCACGATGAGTTCGTCTCTCTGCTCTGCAAGGAGTCCGGCAAGCCCAGGAAGTTTGCTGCCATGCGAGGTCGGCGGCGTAGTTGGTTTTATCGGCCACCACCTCACCCTCGATGTTCCCTCTGAGAAGATTGAGGACGACGAGAAGACTCTCTACACTGGTAAGATCATTCCTATTTATCATGGAGTAACTTGCTAATTTCCATCCTGTAGAGTACTCCCCACTCGGTGTTTGCGGAGCCATCTGCCCATGGAACTTCCCCCTTATCCTCAGCTGCGGAAAGGTCGCGCCCGCCCTCATGACCGGTAACACTATGATCGTCAAGCCCTCGCCGTTTACACCATACACCTTCCTCAAGTTCTGCGAGCTTGCACAGGAGATCCTCCCCCCTGGTGTCCTCCAGACCGTTGGCGGCAACAATGAGCTCGGCGCATCCATGTGCGCACACCCAGATATCGCAAAGATTTCTTTTACTGGTAGCATTGCCACAGGAAAGAAGGTCATGGAGACGTCCGCCAAGACCCTTAAGCGTGTCACGCTCGAGCTCGGTGGCAACGACGCTTCAATCATCCTCCCAGACGTCGACATCAAGAAGGTTGCCCCCGAAGTTGTTATGGGAGCTTTCCAGAACAGTGGACAAGTTTGTGTTGCAACTAAGCGCATTTACATCCATGAGTCCATCTACAAGGAGTTCTTGGAGGAGATGGTTCGGTTCACGAAGGAATCGGTTAAGACGGGCAACCCAGATGACGGTGACAACCTTTTGGGACCTGTGCAGAACCAGATGCAATACGAGCGTGTAAAGGGCTTCTTCGCCGACAGCAAGGCCAAGGGTTACAAGTTTGCCGCTGGCGAGCCGGACGTTGGCGCATCGAAGGGATACTTTATTACCCCCACCATCATCGACAACCCGCCCAACGACTCCCGCATCATCCAAGAAGAGCCGTTCGGCCCTATTGTTCCCACCCAGCCGTGGTCTGACCTCGAGGAGGTCATCGCCCGCGCCAACGACACCAACACCGGTCTTGGTGCGTGCGTGTGGGGCAAGGACGTCGAGAAGGCATCCAAGATCGCGCGACGACTTGAAGCCGGATCCGTCTTTGTCAACTCATTTGAGAAGCCAACTCCCCAGGCCATCTTTGGTGGACACAAGGAGTCTGGTATCGGTGGTGAGTGGGGCAGGACCGGCCTGCTGGCTTACTGCAACCCTCACGTCATTCACGTCTACAAGTCTTAAGGATTTGAGAAGTGTTTTGATGGGATATAGGATTATTGTATGTTAGGCAATGAATATGTTAAACAAGGCTGTGGATCTTTTGTGCGTGATGTGATTTGTTGTCAGTAGACGGGGGAACTTTGCGGGGCCCCACATCATTGTATGTGCCGAATAATAAGAGCATAGCAATTTGAGACGCCGGACTTGCAGTCATGTTATGACGCAAAACGGCTTATGTTACGCGCTGACGACCTTCGGAAAGCCTTAAATACAATCGCGGCGAACTCACGCACTCACTGCCGGTTAGGAAGGAGCTTTTGCAATTCTCAAAATGCGACAAGGAATCTGTCACCTGCGAAGCTATTCCTAGAGTATCAAGGACATCCGATCAGCTGCTTCTTCAAACTCAATGTTACGCAACAACTGCCCGATGTATACCTAAGTATCCACGCGACATTTAGCCTGGCAAAACTATGTGACGGCCTTGCTGTCGAGAGACATGATGACCGAGTACAACGTTTCACAGATCATTGCTGAGTTTTGGGGAGCGAATAGCATATGTCCAACAACGCAACTCTGCTTAGAGTCTTGGAAGAGGCAGTGCTAACTGTGAAGACGAAAGTGTCTGATATGTACGAGCCCATCGGTAGAATCGATGACCATCTAGGAGCCACCATCCACAGTGGTGGAATCACAGCCATGATCTCCTCGCGTTGGGCCCGCAATCTTGGTCCTGATATATCGGCGTGGCTTTTCTGATGTCGACATACCATATCGGCCGATAGCAGAAGCCACTCTGTGACAGTTGTGGCATGCAAACCTGGGAAAGGTGGGCATGCGCCCGCTCTGTAGATAGCAGCGAATTTGAAGACTAGGAGCTAAGGATGGAAGTGATTACTGTGCGTCTGGGTGTTCGCTCGTCTGCGCGTTTGCGTCTCGGTACCATATGTTGTCTCACCCGTGATCTTCTTAAGATATCATTGAGCAACTCTCTACCATCAACTTCGGACTCACCACTACACACTCTCAACTCTTGACACAATCAACTATACCGAATTCATCCGACAAGCCATGTCTACACCTACCATCATCGATGCACGCTTCATGGGCGCCTTTAGCGAAGCCAAAGCGCTCTATGGCAATGGTCTCGACAGGCGCATTGCGAAAGCTCGTGAGTTCCTTGACGATCCTACTTTATCCTGCCACAATCGAATGAAGGTGCTCGTACTATTGAGTGCCCTACTTAAGGACGGGGAAGATGCGAACGCATGCCGTGCAGATGCAGAAGCGCTGTGGATGTTAAGCCGACGGATGGATCCTGAGGGCCAGAGCGAAGCCGTCGATTATCTCCTGGCTGAGACTCGCATCTGTTTGGATGAGTTGGCTGAGATCCTGAGAACAGAGGGCCAGGAGGAGTTCGATTTGGATGATGCTGTCGACAATGCCCAGGCGATGATGGACAATCTAGCTCTCCAACATGACGATCGCATGGAGACCGATTAAAATCATGAGCCATTCAAGGTCGTCAAATCATCCCAAATCAAGAAGTAAATCGTAAATTCAGATAGGCCACGGTGAGATCGAAGACCTTCCTGCCAGACTTACCTGCCGTGGTATAAGACGCCTGTAAGTATCCCACTTGCAAATGTTCGTATCTGTGCTCACACGGCAGGATCGAACCGAACTTCCGCTCCATGTCAATTTCTTGTGTAGAAATGGAGTTCATGCGCCGCCATCTCTGCGCGACCGCTGATTTTCTCTGTAAGCTTGCGCCTTCTACACAGGAGATTCAAAATGTGTACTTCGAATGCTGACTATTGGTCTAGGGAGCCCTCAGGATATATGAATAATCCGCAATTTCGCTGTGACGCTCAGGAACTTTGACGGTAGGAGGGAATATCGGGTGGACTTCTTGCCAATATTCTTCTTCCCTAGGGTCGATGTTGATAGCTAGATCAGATTGTAGCTTCGCATTATCGGAATACAAGTCGTAAGGTCTCCGCGGTATGCACTTCATTCATTAGGCTCATCACCTTCATCATCGCGCTCTTTCACGCGATAAGAGCTTGGATTTTGTCCTTCGTTAAGATGTTTATCTACTTGGTCTTGCTATTCATTTGGCTTTCGTATGTATGCGTCAGAGTCGGATTTGAAGTGAACTCTGCGCCCACAACCTCCAAACGACCCATCACGAAGCGCCGGTCGCGGCCGGTGAAGCGCATCAGGATACCAACTTCGAGCCCTTCATGAGTTTCCGGAGTAGCGGCGCAAGTCAGCTTGCAGGCTTAGGACCTTGAGAAGATCAATATCATCGGGAAATATACCACAATGCTTGTCAATCGCTTCATAGCACTTATCAATGAATACAGACTTCAGTTGTGGCCAGGAAAAACTCACGAGTCCACGCCGTCGTACGACTACGCGTTGACGTACATACTCGACATGCCGTTATAGAACGACACGACTCACCCCCACGTGCTGCTAGAGGACAGTGCATCACTGTGTAAATACAAGTTGGCAGATGGCTCTATTAAGCAGACGATATGACAGACGGTAAAATGAACACTTCGAGCATAGTGCTCTCAAGTAATAGTGTATTATGTTTACACTTTTGAAGTAAATGCGAACCGAGTCATCCTCGTCGCCTCTAAGAAGTAAAAAAAAAGTAATCAGGTCTCAACCGCGAGACCCATTATATACAAAAAACAAAATTCCTCCTCCCCTGATTTTTGCGGTCTAAGCCAAGAGCGTGCAAAGCGCGTTGTACGCCTCCTTAGCCTTGTAACCCTGGTCGAACAACAATGGGTTCTCGCCCTTCCTCCAGCTGTCCTTGTCACTGACACCCCAGATAGTGACACCAACGCACTTCTTCTCGTCCAGGCAGGCGCCGACAGCAGTCGTGAAGTCGGTGGGGCTGGCGCCCTTGATGTCGAGCTCGGTCATTGCGCACTCCTTGACGTCGGCGCAAATCATCTTCAGCGCGGCGGGCACATCCTGGATGGGCCAGCTGCCGCCGAGATGGGACTGGGAACCTGTGCCGTCGATGGGGACACCGGCGGCGACCCACTTCTTGACGTTAGCGGCAAAGCCCTTGGTTTTGGCGTACGCGGGGGAGTCAAGGTTGTAGTCATTGATGTAGAGCTTTGCGGCGGGATCGGCGGCACGGGCGGCGGTGAATGCAATCTTGACGAAGTCTAGGTGTTACAGTCAGTTTTCTTGTCGTAGGATAGTGGTTATTGGTGGGGGTTGGATTTACTTTCACCGAGAACGTTGTAAAAGACGGACGAGCGGAAACCACCCTCTTCCTGTAAGTTGTTAGCATCTCAGTCATCTATAATAGCGAAAGGGGCAGTATTACGGTGAAGATCTCGTTGACTACGTCCCATGCGTAGACCTTGCCAGCGTATGTGCCGATAAGCTTCTTGATGTGGGCAACCATAACCTCCTCCAACTTCGTCTTGTCGGTGATAGAGCTAACCCAGGTAGGCAGCTGGCTGTGCCACACAGTAGTGTGTCCACGGATCAGCTTTCCGTTCTTGGTAGCCCAGTCGACAAGGACGTTGGCGTTGTCTAGAGTGAACTTGCCCTGGGTGGCCTCAGTGGCGTCCCACTTCATGGAGTTCTCAGGGGTGAGTTGACCAAAGTTGTCATTGAGGATTTGAGCGTTCACGGTGTTCGAGAGAAGGTTGCTGTCGGCGATGTTGCCCAGGTACTTCTTGCCGTGGGCCTTGAAGGCTGCATCGAGAGAGCACTTGACGCCATTGGCACCGTTGCTGGTGGGCTTTGCGGCGGCGGGCTTGGAAGAAGAAGCTTTGATAGGAGCGGCGGCAGGGCTTGAGCTGACAGCGACAGGCTTAGCAATGGGAGATCCGGTGGCGATTAGCGTCATCATGGTCGAGGGACGTCCAGTTGGGATCGTGGCGTTGGGAGTGGGCTCAACGATAACGCTGGAAAGAGTAGGCGCAGAGTCGTTGGAAGGCTGAGGAACAGCAGGAGGAGGAGCAACTGGTCCTGGCTGGTTCATGTTGCCTCCAATACACTGCGAGTACCAGTCGTTGAACTTATTGCAAGTCCATCCTGGAGCGCAGGCGGTATCACCCTTGAAGTTCATGCCACCACACTGTCCCCATGGCTGAACAGCTGCCAGGACAGCAGTGGAGGATGACAGGAACGTCACTCCAAGGTAGACGGATTGGCCGGAGAAATGCATCGTTGCTTGACTCGTTTATATGGTTCGATTGAAATTGTAGTTTGTTGTGTAAAGCAAATATAGAAGAAAGCTTCTATCTTAAAGAGAGTGTGTATGGATGAAGATAAGGAAGCACGCTTCCAAAACGAATGAAGGTATACAAAAGACGGAAAAGAATGACCGATGGGATAAAGAAACATCTGTTCAGCAGACGAAGAAGACCATTTATATGAATACATTCCGCACCATCCCACCCACTATCTCTGCGGGTCTTTGATCCTTGGGCTGAGAACGTTGTTTCACGAGCCATTGAAACGCCGTCCTGGGTATCATTACGGCGCGCAAATTTATCCGTCTGGCAGAACAGGCGGCACAAAACAAAACGCCTGGAGTGAAGAACGCACTAAGGCGCCAAGGGCACCGAGATAAGAGGGATTGCCATGCTTAGTTCCCGTGCTTGTTTGACGTTGGCATAAGCCGTGCTGTCATGGCGCTGTCTCCGGGCCAGAGACCTGGTTTGCATAATTCATGGATGGACCGTGCGCTGCAAAATCTGGCTACGCCGCCACTAGCACGACTCGAATAGATGAACGAAGCACGCCACTAAGATTCAAAACACCAAGCCGTCCAAACACATGTGGAGCTATAGAGATGGGGCGGTCTGATGTCAGACGGCATAGCGGCGGTATCGGAAATTCTCAAAGTTCTAGAAGGGTGTGAACAATAGCTGAATACATGCAGAACCTGGCCTTGAATACTTTTCCTCTATTTGCATTATTACAATTGAAATGGCAGGGGACACTACAAGCCATGAACGCCAGAATATGCGTTGCTATCAAGCTACGCCAAGTCGCAGGCTAACCGCACGGCGATGAGCTTCGAGTTCCTCGACGCGCGCGAGCTCCATAACCGCCGGGCCCACGTTCTGCAGACCCTCTTTTGTGAGGTGGGCGCTAGTGATGTGCTTGACGTAGGAAGCCAGATTGACGCCTGAGTACTGCTTTGCATATCCGTAGGTGGCTATCGCGTTGTTAGCATTGCACATTGGAGAGCGAAACTCATTTGACTTACGAAGAGAGTGATTGACGCCAGCAGAGTAGTCGCCAACACTTTCTGGTGTCCATTCGCCAATGAAGACACTGCCTGCGTTCTCCACAAGCTCAACTACCTTATCTGCATTCGCAACCTGTAAGATCAAGTGCTCTGGTGCATACTGGTTGCTGAGTTCCAGGGCTTCTTCAATCGTGCTGGCAGCTAGCGTGAGTGAGTGTTCAATTGCGCCGCGCACAATGTCCACACGAGGAAGAGCGTTCGCTTGTTTGTGAAGCTCATCCTCAATTGCTGTTAGCTGAGCTTCGTTCAGTCCGACCGCAATTAGAATGACCTGAGAGTCAACGCCGTGCTCGGCCTGACTGAGCAGATCTGACGCGACGAACGCGGGATTGGCAGATGCATCAGCAATGACCAACAATTCACTGGGTCCTGCCGGCATGTCAATGCTCACACCAGCGTTCGTATCGTTAGATACATGCATCTTCGCTGCTGTAACAAATTGGTTTCCAGGTCCCAGGATCTTATCGACCTTGGACACGCTCTCGGTACCATAAGCCATGGCGGCCACGGCTTGTGCACCACCCGCAAGCACGATCATCTCAGCACCGACTTTGTGTGCAGCGTAAACCACCTCGGGTGTTACTTTTCCATTGGATCGAGGTGGTGTTGCGAGGACAATCTTCTTGCAGCCAGCAACCATCGCTGGTACTCCAAGCATAAGTGCAGTGGAGGGTAGAACAGCGGTACCGCCAGGGACGTAGAGACCGACTCTCTCAATGGGTCGAGCGAATCGCGAACAGACAACGCCGGGCATTGTCTCGACCACGAGAGGCTTCTCTTCCCTCTGCGCAGCGTGGAATTTGCGGATGTTCTCGAAAGAAACATCGATAGCTTTGGCGGTTTCTGGTGCCAATTGCATCAGCTCAGGTGGGAATGGCGCACGCAGAACAGGCGATGTCAGTGATGTTGCCTTCTCAAACTTGTGTGTGTATTCAAGTAGTGCTGCATCACCACGTGTCTTGACGGCGTCAATGATGGGCCGGCATATTCCAATAATCTTCTCCGTGGACTTCTGGGACGGCCTTTGAAGTGCTGCCGCAATGGTCTCTGATGTCTCTTGTGCTGTGACATATCGCTTCATGGCAATGCGAACATCCTTTGTACCCGCCGGATCATCTTTGCTCTTGGGTACTGAAGCAGCTTCCTTGAGTGTTTCTACGGATACCCCGTTCGAAGCACCGTTGGTAGCGGCGTTCGATGTACCATTCACTGCTGCTGCCGCCTGTGCTGCGAAAGCGGGTTTTGCGTCACCCTGTCTTCGCTTCACCTTGATGCTCTTGGCGTCGAGGTTACGCTCGACATCTTCAAGAGACACACCGGCAGCTACACACTTCGTCAAAGCGAAATAGAACAGATCTGCGGCCTCAAATGCAATGTGCTCCTTGGTAGTCGCGTCGCAGAGTTCTGTCGCCTCTTCCAGAATTTTCGCTCGTAGAAGTTGCGCATCGTTGAACAATCGCGCGGTATACGATCCTTGGGGTGCGGATTCTTTTCGACTTTGTAGTGTTTTTTGCAGCTTCGATAGTCCACGGTAGTCTCCAAAGCATGTCGGAGTAGCCAGGTGACAGAACCCTCTGCCCTTTTGCCTGACAACAAATTGCAAGCAGTCACTGTCGCAGTCAAAGGACATGGACACCAACTCTTGTATGTCGCCACTGCTCTCGCCCTTGTACCACAAACCCCGTTTCCGGCTCTGGTAGACACCTCGTCCAGTCCGCAAGCTCTCTGCGACGCTCTCCTCGCTGCTATAAACCAGTCCGAGCGCAACGCCTCTTTCATCGGTGACGAGTGTCGTATAGAGTCCATCGGGCCGGTCGCTCGTCGCGTTTGCCATGACTAGCTTTGCGACGCTGATCAAGCTAGAGTCCTTCTTCTCGTCGATCGTGAGAGATTGGGCAGGAATAATCGGGATCGCTGAGAGCTTCGCTAGCTTCAATGAATTCTCGAGATTTGGTTCGGAGAACGAGACGAAGACATTGGGCCTGTCTGGGCCATATTCCTTCAGCCATGCCTCGACGAGGTCGATGTCATGCACTTGGTGCGAGTAGACGTCGACCTGGGTGCCCGATATCGCATCGATTACCTCTGACCGGCTGTTTCCTGGCAAGCATAGTACTATTCTATCCTGATCGATGTTCAATGACTTGAGCGTGTCCAACTGCTGACGCGTTACGAAAACTTTGGCGGCACCGGCGTCGAGAAGCGAAAGGATATCGTCGGTCGAGGTAAGCGTGGCGACGCCGAGGTAGTTCGAATAGCGACCAACAGACTGCTGGAGGTGTGCAAGAGCTTGGTCCACTGTTCCGTCAGTGACTCTTACAAAGACACTGCCAACGAAAGACAGTGCTTGTTCGTCGAGGCCTTGCGACGCGTTGGACTGGCTGACCAGGTCAATTGCAGCAAGCAGTGTCGGCGCCATGACTGCAGGTAAATCTGAATATCAAGACTCTTACAGAGATGGTCAAAAAGTTGACATGAATGAGTCGTCGCGAGAAAAGTCTAGACTAGCAGCTGTCAAATCACGCGGGGTTGATTCCGATCATAGCCCCACCAACCATCGATGACGCCACCAGATCCCCCGAAACTGTGAAGTACTACCATCTTGTGTCAAACTTACACGTAAGCCGTGAACACCTTTTTATGACATTGAAACTTGCAGCATTGACGTGCGGCACATGTATCCTTGGACCACAACTAACTTTTCGTCCGTCAACCCATAGGTTTATATAATCGGCACCGGAGTGACGCCGATATCTTGACCCCTCATGCGTAGTACAGGCATTTGGGACGTATGGACCGTATAGCAAAGTTCAACTGGACATGCTGGCTGCAGTCCCACTGCTCGAATCTTGGCCACCATGGAGAGTCGGGAATGACTTCAAGTGCGACTGGGAGCCCTGACAGCGCACACGACGACCCATGCTACCCCACATTGCGCAGATACCCGTCTAGTACACTGACCTCATCGGCTCTCGGGTGTCTTGTGTGTTCCATTCCGTTGCATGATAGGTGTGGTCTCCGCAGCGTGCCGCCAGTACTCTTATGCTTCTAATAATCGGCTATAAGAAGGGTACGAGGTTAGCTTGCTTCATCATCCCACCTTCTCTTCACCCTACTTGCAGTTCACACCATGTCTTACTCACCACCTAGCTCAGCCAAGCCATTCACACTCAATGTCTCCGACCAAGATCTCTCAGAATGGCGCCAACTGCTCCAGCTCTCGAAACTTCCTCCTACTACGTATGAAAACACCCAAACCAAGGAGAATTTTGGTGTAACCAAAGAATGGATGTCCAACGCAAAGGACTACTGGCTCAACAAGTACGACTGGCGCGCTCAGGAGAAACACATCAATTCCTTCGACAATTTCAGGATGCAGATCGACAGCGTCGATGTGCATTTTGTTGCCTTGTTTTCTGAAAATAAGGATGCCGTCCCCATTATCTTAATGCACGGCTGGCCCGGAAGCTTTATCGAGTTCCTGCCAATGCTGGAGCTGGTCAAGAAGCAGTATGAGAAGAAGAACCTGCCGTACCATCTCATTGTCCCGTCGCTGCCAGGATACACCCTGAGCTGCGGACTTCCTACAGATAAGGATTGGACCCTTGAAGACAGTGCAATCATCATGCATAAGCTCATGATGAACCTTGGTTTCGAGAGGTATCTTGCTCAGGGAGGAGATGTCGGAAGCTTCGTAGCCAAATGCTTGGCCAATGAACAGGATGCATGCGTTGGTATACACTGTAAGTGAATCCACCTCAGTTTGTTGGCCAACTCTTCCTAATGCAATTCACCAGTGAACATGTTCATGAACTATGATTCGCTTGATCAAGACAAGCTCACCGCCTTTGAGAAGGAGCGTCTAGGAATGTTAAAGCACTGGGAAGAGGACGGAATGGCATATGCTAAGGAGCACGGCACTCGTCCTAGCACGATCGGCCACGCACTCTCTTCAAGTCCTCTTGCTCTCCTAGCATGGTGGGTGCTCTATTGATAGTAGAAACACTCCCTCGCAGGCTAACATGGCTGTCAAGGATTGGCGAAAAGTTCCTCGATTGGACCGACCCTAAAACGACCCCTGGCCTCGACGATATTCTGACCAACATTTCGCTCTACTGGTTTACATCCGGCTATCCGACCTCCCTCTATCCTTACCGTGCCTTAACCAAGTCACCGTCAATCTTCGGTGGTGTAAAAAAACCTACTGGCGCATCATGGTTCCCGTATGAAATGGCTCCGATGATTAAGCACGTAATGGAGGAGCAATGCGAACTTGTTTTCTTCAAACAGCAGGGGAAGGGCGGGCATTTCGCGGCGTTGGAGTGTCCAAAGGAGATGTGGGAAGACCTTGAGGAGTTTGTTCCGAAGGTTTGGAAGGCGTGATGGTGAGTTGGGTAGTGTCCAACGAGAGTTTGAACGCTAGCGCCTGGAAGGGTTCTAGACCGAAGATGCAGAGCTAGAAGGATGACAGACAGGAGTCTATTGTAGATGCATGTGAACATGACGTTGCTCTGTGAAGACGCTTTTCGCACGATTTTGATGGCCCATGTTAGGGTTTCTTGACGATGCTGCAATCCAGACCAGAATGTCAAGGCTGAGAGTCACACATCCATGTTGTACGATCTCAACAAGGGACTGAGGCTGGCGAATTCTGTATTTTCGTGAAAGAGGGCTCTGCAGTGCGCACTGGACACGCGCTGTTTACAGGCCTTGAGTGACTCGAGGCTGTAAATACCCGATGTTGGTGCTACTCATAGCTCATGCCGGACCCGACGCTCACCGTTGCACAAAGCATGAAGCCGAGAGGCAGCATAATCGCCGACACAGGCATTGCACCAACAAAGGCGGGAACGACAACAACGATCCGATCTGATCGCGATCAACAGGGACGGCCCTTCCAGCACCATGTGCCGCTGTCTTAAAAGCAAGGAAACGGCAAATCGTGAAGCGCAGACATGACCTCGACCATGCAAAAGAGAGTCCTCACTTGCGGTCACGGCCGGCAAAGGCGCTTTGCAGCTAGGCTTGGCGTGCATCCCGTGGTGACCACTCATTGCCTCGTGCCAGATTCCATATTCCATGCATGACCCGTCGCGCCGGGACCGCGTCGGCGACTGGGTGGGATTGCATGGTACAGTAACAACGCAGAGGGGTAGCTTTTGCCAACTCACGCAGTACTGTGTATATCCTAGAGGCGCTGCGAACTAGGTTGCATTGTAGCCAGAGCAACGAGGCAGAGTGAGGCAGAGTGAGTGGCCAAGGGAAGGGTGGTTCAGGTGTTGGTGCATGCAGGACTGTCAGGGTCTGGTCCCTGCTCGTTCTGGACGTGTGGCATTTTTGGGATTCGGATGCATTTTGTACTAAGGAAATGCTAGTCAGCCAAAGTGCAGTATGCCTTTTGGCGGTGAAGAGGGCGAACGCAGGTGCAGGAGGAAGGGCAGGTCAAGAAGGCGAAGGTGCCCGGGTCCAGTCGCTGCCTGTTCCCTCCATCTTGTTCCTCGCATCTTACCTTGCGTGCTGCTCTTCCCGCGAAACCGTGCCGCGACAGCCCCATCCCTCCAAGGCAATTTCCCACCCCGAGCCGGGCTATCCTCCGCTTCCGACAGATCTGCACGCGCAGCTCTCCCGCTTCTTCGGCACAGGCAGCCCTTTTTCTGACATTTCGCTGCGACCACGTCTCCCTGAAGTCTGACTGAAAGAGTTGTTGTGTGTGACCAGCGAAAAGCGCACTATCTTGCTTCACGAGACGTTTACGAACTAGTCAAACAGGCGGCGAAAGCTTGAAGAGGCAAAACAGCGGTCACGCCCGAAGTCAGCAGCCAGAACCAACAGGACATTCCAAAAGAAGGGGGGACCCCAGGCGCATCTGATTGTTTTCTGCCCGCGACTCAAACAAAACCCCTTCAGAGACTCCCTCACAAACATCAGCGAGGAGCGCACACCACAACCACACCTCCGAAGCCAGCTTGAGCGCACACCCCCATACTGCAGCCATGCACCGCAAAAACCCCATCTCCGTGCTCGTCTACAACACGCTCTTCCCCACGCCCTCACCCACCGACCCCCCATCCTTCTCCGCCCACCTCTCCAAAAACCTCGTCGGCGAAGTCCGCATCGAAACCGCAAACTTCTACGGCTCGCTCGACACCATCGAAGCAAGATACCCCGGGCTCAACTATGCTTTCGCCCCCCACCGCAAGCGCCTCGGCCGCTTCCCCCACCACCGCAAGCTCTTCGCGGCCTTTGATTCGCTGGGCCTGACCGAGTCTGAAATCCAGGGCTTCTGCCGCTGGGAAGGCACGCTGTGGGCGCGCGAACGCTACGAGCGCGACGAGGGCGTCAAGGTCGTCGACACAACCGGCTGCGAAATCGGCGCATGGGTCGACCGCCGACAACCGCGGTCGCGCGCGTCGCCGCAGAGCAGGAATATCAACGTCAAGACGGACATCGAGGTGGAAATCACGCCGCAGCTGCACGCCCAGGACACGGAGATGCAGGACTCGGACGAGAGCGAGGAGGAGCTCGATGCGAGTGTGGGCTTCAGTCTCAATGCGAGACTCCTCCAGGCGGCCGCTCTGCGCGAGCAGGGCGCCAACGTCGTCATGGATCCCGAGTGGGAACAGTACCTCAAGGAGGCGCAGGAGCGCGGGGAACTCAATATCGATGCGACACGCGCGGTCCTGCTCGCCGCGCAACAAACCGCTGCAGAACAACCGCAGGCTTTTGAACCCGCGGCTGCAGCTTAGCAAGCGCTCGCAGCAGACGCAGAAGTCGTCGCCATGTTCTTCGATTCCCTAATGGTCGAGCTATGAGCCCTGTCATTTGCATACCACACGGCGTTCTTGGGGTGCGAGGCGCATGCGAGATACCCAGATTTCGCTGGGGCATTTTTGTCTTGTTCTTTGGTTATTAATGGGTTTTTTTGGACTGCACCCCCGTTTGCGGGCGTTGGGTTTATAGATTAGCTGTTTTGTGTACTTCGTCCACATTCTAGCGAGCATAAGGACTTTTCTATTTTAGCACGGGCATTGCGTGCGGTTCATTGGAGAGGGATGGCATAGATAGATGCAAATATGCAGCCTTTCTTGTTCGATTATGGGCTTGTTGTGTCTGTGGGTTCATCTATTTGTGGCTTCTGCATGGCGAGCTTCAAGTGCGTGCTTCAGAATATCAAACCTTCTCACGTTTGGTGATTGGGCTGCGATCGGACGGGTAGCGCGGTGTACAGCTCTTCTTCGGCTACCAGCTCGCCATCACGGGTCCTGCCCACACTACGCATGATGCGTTCGGCAAAGGATTCGCGTTCGCCTTCATCCTCAGTGTCCTCTCGTGGAGCACTCGACGAGTCCTATCCCAGTCGTCTGCCCATGCCGCCCAAGAAGTTGCCTGGCGGGCCCCTCTTATTACCACGCGTCGTCCTACCACTGCCTCCCTCATCATCAATTTCCATAGCATCGTCGCCTCCATAACCTCCCAGACCACGCTTGCTCGTCGACTTGTCCTCACTCGCCTGCATGACAGCCTCGAGCGCCCGGTCCTTCTTCCGGCGTACCTTCTCCCTGTCTACAGCTTCCTTCTTGACCTTTTCGACTTGTGCTTCGAGATCGGCGAGGGCAGAGTCGCAGCGCTGTGACCATGCTTGCAGCGTGGTTTGGAGAGCGGGTAGCGAGCCTGGAGCGAGATCGCGGAGCGGTGCGACTGATGTGACGGAAATGAGCGAGTGTGCAGGGTCTAGAGTGGCGGTGATGAGGCCGGAGTAGATGGCGGTCATGATTAGCTCTTCGAGAGCGCGCGTGGTAGGGAGGTCGAGTGCTGTGAGGAGGTGTTTGTAGGTCAAGCTACTATGTGAGGTTGATAGCGGTAGCAATGAGAGGAGCAGGAGCTTCTGGTGCTGTTGTGCGGAGAGCTTGGGCAGATTTGTCTGCGCTGCGCGAGGTCAGTGATCTGATTGCAAGGACGTGGGTTCGAGCATCCCAGACTTACACTTGTAGTCTTCCCATGTTCCCCAGGCGAAGATCTCTAGTAATGTGAGGTACGAAGCATACTCCTCCGAGTTCCGGAGGTTCTGAATATTCGGCGTGCTCAGTAGCTCGGCGAAGACATATGTATTAGGAGCGCTCGTGGCTTGTGTGATCAGGTCTGAAGCTGCTCGCGGCGAGGTTGCGGACTTTGTGAGGGCGAGGAACGGCTCGAGAGCATTGAGCGCCTTGGTCTGCTCCATGGTTGATATATGGTAGTATATGGGAGACTATGGAGCTTGTTCGGTGGTTGATGCTCAATTGTTACGAAATGTTGTGGTTGCAAGTGGTGAGCAGGCAGCTACAACGCGATAGAAGTCTTGGCAGGGAAGTCGCGATTGCCCCACTAGGTCTCCCGCAACCCCGCGGCCAGGGGCGAGGCTCGCCTGAGTTGACATGTTCCATGCGCCGTATTCTTTATTTGGTTATCCGGATTTCTATTCGCTCTCAATGTCTCTCCGATGCTCCGGCGTTGCATGCGATTACGAAATATCGCGAAACGTTTGATACGAGCCCAACTATAACGCACCCCAGGGCTATGGACAGAAGCGTCACAGCAGCGAATCGACCCCCCTAAAGCTGACGTCTACACGCAAGCAAGATCGAGCGGTAACAGTCGCGCTTGCACACCGTACTAGCTGAGACTATGGCAGTAAACTTCAGTCTTGGGTCGACCAATCTTTTTCTCCGAATTTGGCGTGTTATTTCCGACATCTCAATTAGCGTGCCGCAGCTTCACAGCTGGCATCTGACAAAGGCCACTCTCCATTGTTGTGGTCCCCTTCTAGACATGGCGTACCGAACAATGGCACATGCAGGGCAAAGAGACCCTCGTCGAATGGGCCCCGACATTGTCATCCGGTGAATGGCTACCGGATATCCATACTAATCTGGAGTTCGTGCTGCGGCTCTGCCTGTCGCACCTGAGAATCATCCGAGCGTCCCTTCGAGCTTCCCGTTTCATACTCGCCAAGCCGAAACACTTTATCTTCGTGTGAAGTGGGCCACATGGGCACCTGCCGCCAGCATTTCAATTCCCTGTATTATTAATTGCCCTTGTCCTGCGCCGTGTCCTGCCTTCTTCACCTGACCTCGATCTCTGCGGACTTCGCTTTTGTGGCGCAATCAGCTTTCGTTAATAGCATCTCACGGCAGCCGTCTAGCCCACTGGGGACCCGCCGAACCGGGATCTGCTGAGTCCAGTGCCGTTCCTGTAGCGTATGGCTGCTGCACCTCGACCAATATACTCCCGGAGTATTAATCGTCGGAAGTATTAATCTTCGCCATTTGGCGTCTCGCGGAAGCAGGTCTTCCATAATCCGCACTGGAGTGCTGCTCCTTCCTTCACCACCGTCACCAACCCCCGCTCGCAGCACTTCTGCATGTACCCGTAAACGCTCGTATCACGTCTCTCGCCGACTGTATTGCCTCGCACGAATCGTGCTTGCGCTGCGCCGGCATTGAAGCGCCGCCCGCCTCCGATTACAAACCATACACGAGCGCATCGCAACGCACACTTTCAGCCCCATGGCTCCCCCCGCGAACGGCGCAACGGCGCACATGGCGACGACGACACTCAAGGTCGAGGGAATGACATGCGGCGCATGCACTTCGGCTATCGAGTCAGGCTTCCAGGGTGTAGACGGCGTAGGGAACGTCTCCATAAGCCTGGTCATGGAGCGAGCGGTCATACAGCACGACCCAGAGACGATATCAGCGGAGCAGATCAAGGAGATTATCGAGGACAGGGGTTTCGATGCCGACGTACTTTCAACGGACCTACCAAGCACACAGACCACGGAAGACCACTTCCTGAGCGACTCGGATGACGAGGATGAGGTTCTTACCACCAACATCGCGACAACCACGCTCTCTGTAGGCGGCATGACATGCGGGGCATGTACTTCTGCGGTAGAGGGCGCATTCAAGGACGTGGCAGGAATAAAGTCGTTCAGTATATCTTTGTTGTCGGAACGGGCCGTGATTGAGCACGACACCACATTAATCACACCGGAGACGTTGGCCGAGACAATCGAAGACACCGGCTTTGATGCCGAAGTACTGGATACCGTAGCCGCCACAGTAGCGCCCAAGAAGAGTAGGGGCGGTAAGAGGCAAAAGACGCTCACTACTACCGTAGCTGTGGAGGGCATGACCTGTGGCGCTTGCACCTCGGCGATCGAGGGCGGCTTCAAGGACGTTGAGGGCGTGTATCAGTTCAACATCAGCTTGCTGGCGAACCGCGCTGTACTTGTTCACGACCCTGCAAAGCTCACCGAGGACCAGATCGTGGAGATCATAGAAGATCGAGGTTTCGACGCCAAGGTGTTGTCTTCTGTAGACGGCAGCATACAGCAAGCCTCTACCACCAGCGGACCCGTTCACCTCAAGATCTTCGGACTTCCAAATGCCAATGCGGCAGACGATCTGGCAGCGCTACTTCAAAAGCATCCCGGCATTTCCTCTGCGTCAGTCAGTTTCAGCACCTCGAGAGCAACTATCCAGCGAAACCCTCAGATCATTGGCCTCCGGGCAACCGTCGAAGCAATAGAGGGCGCGGGATACAATGCGCTTGTCGCCGATCTCGACGACAACAACGCTCAACTTGAATCACTTGCAAAGACCAAAGAAATTAAAGAATGGAGACGCGCTGTCATTTTTTCGGCTTGGTTCGGTGTTCCCGTCTTTCTCACTAGCATGATCATTCCCATGTTCCTGCCATTCCTCAACTATGGTGGAATTCGCCTTATTCCTGGTCTCTACTTGGGCGACGTCATTTGCCTCGTCTTGACCATCCCTGTCCAATTTGGAATCGGTAAAAGATTCTACATTTCTGCGTACAAGTCTCTCAGTCATGGCTCTCCGACCATGGACGTTCTGGTCGTTCTTGGAACCTCCGCGGCCTTCTTTTTCAGTGTGGCGTCGATGTTGGTATCGCTGTTCAGTTCGCAGCATACCAAGCCCACGACTCTGTTCGATACCAGTACTATGCTCTTCACCTTCATAAGCTTGGGACGATACCTTGAGAATTCAGCCAAGGGACAAACCTCAAAGGCGCTCTCCAGGCTGATGTCACTGGCTCCATCCATGGCCACCATCTACGCCGACCCCATTGCTGCGGCCAAGGCTGCGGAAGGATGGGACCTCGACGAAAAGACTGACCGCAACTCGGTCGATGGCAACGCTGCCGAAGAGCGGGTCATTGCTACTGAACTCATCGAAGTTGGTGACGTCGTTATCCTTCGCCCCGGTGACAAGATTCCTGCCGATGGCACTGTAACCCGCGGCGAGTCTTATCTCGACGAGAGTATGGTCACCGGTGAAGCCATGCCGATTCTCAAGAAGAAGGGAGCACTCCTTATGGCTGGTACTGTCAATGGAGCTGGCCGTCTAGAGTTCGTTGTAACTCGAGCGGGTCGTGATACTCAGCTCAGTCAGATTGTTCGTCTGGTTCAGGAAGCGCAAACTAGCCGTGCACCCATCCAACGCCTGGCAGATACTGTCGCCGGCTACTTCATCCCAGTCATCATAACTCTCGGCCTCGCAACCTTTGTCGCCTGGATGGTCCTCAGTCATGTCCTGCCATACCCCCCGAAGGTCTTCATGGACCACGCGAGTGGTGGTAAACTCATGGTTTGTATGAAGCTATGCATTGCCGTTATTGTGTTCGCCTGTCCTTGCGCTTTGGGTCTTGCGACTCCCACTGCCGTCATGGTCGGTACTGGTGTTGGTGCCGAACAAGGCATCCTTGTCAAAGGTGGTGCTGCCCTTGAGACTGCTACCAAGGTCAACCACGTTGTATTCGACAAGACCGGGACTCTCACCGTCGGCAAAATGAGTGTGAGCAAGGCCGATGTTCTAGGCGAGTGGGCAAGCCCAGACAAGAAGAATCTCTGGTGGACTCTGATCGGTCTCGCTGAGATGGGCTCCGAACATCCCATCGCAAAGGCCATTGTCGGTTCAGCGAAAGAGCATCTACGTCTCGGACCTGATGGCATACTGGACGGCTCAGTCGGTGACTTTGAGGCTGTAATTGGCAAAGGTGTTACAGCCAATGTTGAAGCTGCTCTTTCTCAGGAACGTACACGCTACAAAGTTCTCATTGGTAATGTCGCCTTTCTTACCGCCGAAGGCGTCAATGTCCCCGACTTCATCGAAGAGCCCCTTACGCCAGCTGGAAATGCCAATCCACGAGGAGGCCATGCTCGCTCCGCAGGTGTTACAACTATACACACAGCTATCGGCAAGACCTACACTGGTACTCTCAGCTTGTCCGACACTATCAAGCCTTCTGCCCGCGCCGCCGTCCTTGCTCTCCGTCGTATAGGCATAACATCCTCCATCGTCACTGGCGACACCTCTGCCTCGGCTCTCGTCGTCGCAGCCGCCGTTGGCATCGACGCCGCCGACGTCCACGCCTCCGCCACACCCTCGGACAAGAAAGCCATCGTCACAGACCTCCAATCTCGCGGCCAAGTCGTCGGCATGGTCGGCGACGGAATCAACGACTCACCTGCCCTCGCATCCGCCGACGTGGGCATCGCTCTATCCACCGGCACCGACGTCGCCATGGAAGCCGCATCCATCGTCCTCATGTCCAACACCGACCTCCTCGCCATCCCAGCCAGCTTGTTACTCAGCAAAGCAATCTTCTTCCGCATCAAGCTCAACCTCGTCTGGGCATGCGGATATAACTTCATCGGCCTGCCCTTCGCCATGGGCTTTTTCTTGCCCTGGGGTCTATCGCTACATCCCATGGCTGCCGGCGCAGCGATGGCGTGTTCATCCGTGAGTGTCGTGATGTCATCTCTGCACCTCAAATTCTGGCAGCGACCGGCTTGGATGAAGGTCAGCACTTTGGACCCCGGTGCGGACATATCCAAACGCGATCTGGAAAAGGAGAATGTGGTGAAGGTGGGCGTGCTGGGCACTGCGGTCGAGTGGGTCAGAGATGCGTGGGAGGCGCGCAAGAGGAACAAGGAAGAGGCCGGGTATGCCCCTGTGCCGCTGAGGGATATGGGCGAGAACTGATATGTTTTTGTTCTTGGTTGCGAGTCACGCGTTTTAGGATACCACTGTGTTGTACGTTTTTCTAGTTGTCATATTGAGCATTTTTGTTGAATCGTGCTTTTGAGCGATGTGTTCAGTGTTGAGGATGTTGTATATAGGTGCCTATAGCACCAAACTTGTCTTTCTGTCCATTCGTTTAAGTCGACATGGACGCAGCGTAGTAACATAAGGCTGAATCCAGGGCAAGCAAGCTCTATTCCCAAATCGCCGCAGCTGGCACCGGCAGTAAGAAACAATAATCACTATACGTGCTACATACCACCTGACAACCGTAGCGCTCAGGGCTGGGCTGTTAACGTAGATGCTTGAGGTGACTGTGATCATGTTCATAGTTGATGTACTTCTTAAAATGATAGGATCACATGTTTGTGACGATGTCAAGGCTATGTTTAAGATTAGATGGATAATAGAGCTCTGGTGCAAATAATGCGATGGCTTTACTTTCAGCTAACGTGGCAAAGGACTATGTAGATAGATGCTTGCGGTATATTAGTACATAGCTCTGGCATTCAATGATGACCATTCAACAGATGTCTGTCATATCTCCTGCATTAATGCTATCAGGACAAGCCGTGAACGACCCCCATTCCGGAAGCTATGGAAACTATGCCAAATCCGCACCATTCATCCAGCCCATCAAAAACTGCATCTTCACTCTGCTCCCTTTCCAACGCGAATAGTACCCCAACTCCAAATGATCCCCATGTTTTAATGGATGAGCTTCGTTCTCCTTTTTTGTCAACCACGTACCATTCAGCCACGTGCACGAAGCTCTCTGCACATCTTCAACAAACCAACTCCCGTCTTCCAACCAGATTTTACAATGCACCTCGCTCACGCCTGGGGTTTGGAGGTCGATGAAGTCTGGCTCGTATTTTCTCTGCGCGTTGCGGCCGAGGTAGAGTGTCCATGGCTGACTGGCGACGTAGCGCATAATTTCGGGGAATTCGAATGGGCGGTAAGGGTCGGGGTAGGGCTCGGGTATGGCTGTTTGGCGCAGACGGATTTGAATTAAACGTTGAGATTTGGGCTTGGGACTTTTGGGCGGTACAGTATAGCGTATCGGCTCCTGAGGAATCCCCTCTTCTAAGAGATGTTGAAGAATCTCCTTGTTTGTAAGACGTCGCTGGTTGTTGCAGTTCTTGGGCTGCACGCTTCCTAGGAGCAACAACGATGGCGACTGCGGCGATGGTGACTTCCTTGATGTGACGATAGCACGGTTGCGTTTGCCATGATCTGGGTCTTTTAATGTCCTGCGTGGAGATTGAGGCTTGGGCACTTTAGCTTGGGCCATTGATTTGGCGGAGACTTGGGAAAGAGGTGCTGGTCCATTTATACAGGCTGTATCACTGTCCCAACCACCATCGCTGTCGGTTTCATCATGCTGGTTATTCTTGTCGCCATGAGCACGCACAGCACCAAATTGGGCTGGCCCATATCGTCGAGCGTCGCGCTCAATGCCTTCGAGATCCCGTTTTGAGCTTCATCGGTAGGAATTCGTGCACGCAATTGTTCCAACTCTTTTGAAAAAACGTCTCATGTCGTCCTGAATCTGAGGTATCGGCGCGGTATTCCTCACTATATTTCGTAAGGAGTTGACAGCTAGCATCTGTAGAGTGATTTGGAGTGCAGACTTGTGTGCCTCGAGGCTTGATCGGTGCCTGGCCAGTTCATCTTTTCCACCTCCGAGAAGCCAGTAACCTGCAACTCCTCTTCGTGATTGCATGTTTTTTTGGAGACATTTCTCGATATCTGCAACGACTACTGAGCAGTGCTTGATGATATTGATAACGTGTTGCTCGAGGTCTGACAATAAAGCAACGCCTCCTGGTCCTGACGTTTGCTGGGTGAGATTGACCAGTACGGCTTGGACAGAGCTTAGTTCAAGGTCTGTTGCCTTGAGTTCAGATGGGGCATCTCGAAAATCCCGGCTCAGTGTCCTTAGGGAAGTCGACACTTTAGAAACCACGCCGATAAGCGTGACGCAGGCAAGGGTGATACTTAGTGGATCCATCAGTGTGTCAGTAGCTGTTAGTTTGGACAGAACAGAGCGAGACACAATATGATAGTGAAGAGATCGGAATACGTGCTGAGAGGGTGCGAGGCTGAGCTGCTGATATCAAGCTGCTCCATCCGTAGAAAGACGCCTGCATATGCGAAGCGAGTGATTGCTGCATGCCGGCAAATCAAAGCCAGCACAGCCTTGATCATCGTACGAGACGCAGCACCGGTGAGTACCTTTGGTATAAGACGCTATCAGGAAAAACCACAAATGACTTTTGTAGAATTTCGTGTATGTGTTCGACGATAAAGTTGGTGGAAGAGCAGACACTCGGACCAGTATCGAGAGCAAAGTTTGCTCCTCTCCCCGGCGCTCTGTTGGTAAATCTACCCCGAATTTCCAGTATCGTCAAGTGAGGGCAGTGGAGAGGCTTGAGATCTATGGTTACGTCGCTGCTCCGCTCGTCAACTCCAGCTCCGAGCCGCCGCCAAGGAGTGGTTCTCACTACCTCTCACAAAACGCTACAACAAACTCCGATAGAAGTTTTAGATAGGAACTGGTAAATGAATTTCGGACTGGAATGCAAGCCTAGCTGAATATTTGCATACTAATGTCCTATAAGCTGGACAGGCGGCAATGGTCGGATTTCGATACTTCTTTGCGCGAGTTTTGACCAGGTTTGAGACCACGTGACTCAAGCATACCTTGGTAGTTACGCAGATTGGACGCGTGCGCAACTCTCATGCTCATGAACACAGCTAGCACCGCCATCAGGGTCCTCTTGAATGCCGAATATAAAGCACGAACGCATCGCTCGCAGGCTGGATCTTTAGGTGGGGTCATCCGCCCTTTGAAATCCGACAATTCACCTGCAGCCACCGAGACCCGAATCGCATTGCGACCACACGTCTGATTGATCGTCAAGAATGCAGTAATTTTGCCCTGCTTCGATGTTCACATGTCTGGACGACGGCAAATGCGATTTTTCGATTATCCATGCTGACAAAGCTTAGCTCCCCATGTCCTCGCTTATAATATCCAGCCAAGGATGACATCAATTACATCAACATGACATTGCGGTAAAATCCCATCTCACGCGTCGAAATGCCCCTCTCTGCCCCGCCAGTAGCCACATGGAAGCGACGCGCCTCGCATCCCAGTAAAAAAGGAACGGCCATATGCCTCTTATGAATAAGTCATGACGTTGGGATAGCTCTGTCAAGCGCATCTACAGGGCGAGTGATGCACACTGGAGTAGCCGGTAGTTGAGGCAAGCTACGGCATATGAGACGAAAAGGATGGAGCAACTATGTCATAGCTAGGTATGTCTTTTCTCTTGTGTTGAAAAGTAGCCTTGTGCCGCGTCTACTTCGCTGTTTCTTCATTCAATCAAGCTTTATACCCACGACTACCTTTTTCTGAACCACCATCTCAGTGATCCCCTTATATTGTCCAGAATTACAAAAAAGCAACACTCGCCCAATATGATGTCCCAAGCGGCCATGCAGGCCGAGAAGGCTATTGGCCACGGCGACAATGCCACGACCGCGCAGGATGTTACCAATCCCGCCAACAACCCTGAGTGGGCCAACAAGTCTGGCGAGAAGATGAAGGCTCTTGCGTGGATGGGCAAGAACAGTGTCGAGATCGTCGAGGTTCCCAAGCCTGCGATCATCGAGGACCGCGACGTCATCCTCAAGATTACTGGATCCACAGTCTGCGGTTCAGATCTGCATCTGCTTCACGGCAGCGTTGTGGAGCTACAGAAGGGTGACATCCTCGGACACGAGTTCTGCGGTGTCGTAGATGAGGTCGGCAAGGGTGTTACAAAGTTCAAGAAAGGGTATGTTCGGCTTCAACATTTCAGACTTTACCACTGCTAACTATTTACTAGACAACGTGTCGTCGCATCATTCCAGATCGCCTGCGGTGAGTGCTATTACTGCAAGCAAAAGCTCTCGTCACAATGCGAGAAGACCAACGCCAACACGATCGAGAACGCAATGTATGGTGGCCGCACAGCAGGCATGTTCGGCTACTCCCACTTCACAGGCGGTTTCGCTGGTGGACAGTCAGAATACACCCGTGTACCATACGGCGACGTCAACCTTCTTCCCCTCCCCGACAACGTTCCAGATGAGCAGGGTCTTTTCCTCTCCGACGTTCTGTGCACATCATGGCACGCGGTCGTTGACACTGGTGTGAAGAAGGGCGATGTCGTAGCCATCTGGGGTGCTGGACCTATCGGTCAGATGGCCGCAGAGTTCTCTCTCCTGAATGGTGCATCAAGAGTCATCATGATTGACCAGAACTGGAGGCTTGACTTTGTCAAGGAGCGATACCCCAATATTGAAACTCTCGACTTCTCCACTCTCGGAAAAGGCAACTCTGTCACCGCTGCGTTGAAGAAGATGTGCAACGACCGCGGCCCAGATGTCAGCATCGAGTGCGCTGCTGGCGAGTACGCTAAGGGTTGGGCACACTACTTCGAAATGATGCTTGGTCTTGAGACCGACACCAGCGAGTTGGTCAACGAGATGATCGCCAGCACACGCAACTTCGGTCGCTGCGGTATCACCGGTGTCTACGTTGGTTTCGTAAGTTCTGCTCCTATAATCCACACCCATTGACACAGCTAACATGTCCCAGACCAACCACTTCAACATCGGTTCGCTCATGGAGCGCGGTATCCGCCTCATCGGCAACGGCCAAGCACCCGTCCACCTATACTGGGAGTCGCTCCTCAAGATGATTCAGGACAAGCAGATCACTCCCATGAAGATGGTTACCCACCGTGTCCGTCTTGAGGATCTGGCCAACGTCTACTACGCCTTCGACAAGAAGGAGGATGGCATGCAGAAGGTCTTTGTTGAGACCAAGTTCTCTTTCCCACCATGCGAGGGCAGCCCTGAGCTCAAGAGGTTCTAGATTATGATGCCTCGATGACTGTGATAGTGATACCTTGCCCATTAAGGGTATATTGTAGATAGTAATGTCAACAACATGAAGAACATCTACCCTTGAAGCATTGTATCATGCGTGTCGAACATGCGTGCATTCTTGACACCACCACGAGGCCCAAAGATGTGTGTCTTTTACCATATATTAAGCACTGATGGCGTGGAGCCGTGTACGTGTAGTTCTTCACAGAATGCGACAACATATCCCAAATCCTCTGAGTCTAGTCATCTCAAACAATGCCACAGCATTAGACAGCATGCACGAACTTTCCAGCACCTCGTAATAAGCTTACCACGAACATTCTGTCATCGCACAGCACCGCCACATTCACGGCAGACCACCGGACCCTTCTCCGCCCTCGCCTTCACCATCTCCACCACCACGTGCGCCACTTGGCAACCAACGGCGCCCTGTCGTAAAATAGCGCCCGATGCTTATATCTACGACTCTTGAATTTGCGTGACTGACCGCAGACGAGTCCTTGGTTCGACCCTACCGATGATACTCATGCCGCTCGACAACCGCCAAACAATCGTGGGGGAAATAGTAATGACATCATCAATAATTGCTCACGTCAGAATCCCGTGCCTCAGGCAAAATACTTATCGGCCCAGCCGCCTCGCAACGGCACTTCTTTCCATCGATTCCCATCCAAGCTTCCGGCGAACAGGTCGTTTTCGGTCTTGGGGTGCAGGGATTAGAATGCGGCGCTTGACTGGGGGTGCGCTTCGGAAAATTATAGCCACATACGTCACTTGAGATGAAAGGTCTGGCCGTCGGGTAATGACGTTGGGATTTTCTGTCTGGGGTATGGAGGTTTGTTGGGATTTGATCGTGATGCGCGAGCGCGGTGCGTGCATACGGACTCCAGTTTCGAGGCGTAGGGAATTGAGGCTGCATGAGTACGGACTTCAGTTTCGAGGCGTTGGGTGCACTTTTACGCATACAAGTCGGGGTTTCAGTTATATGATTACATTAGCTCTAACGAGGCTCTATACACAGATATCCTGCTCGTTAAAAGCTCTATTGCCGACACTGGGGAAAAGGGCTGTGCTTCTGTGGTGCCAGTCCCCGCATGCTGAACGCCGTGAAAATGCGAAACAGTGGTATCCGCGATGCAGGATAACATAACAAAGGAAATCGTTTCTTGAACAAATGCGGAAAAAAGGAATATGTATCGGAGATTCGTCCTGCGGTGGGGTATATTCAAGCGTGTGTGCCCCTGTAGCTCCAAAACTTTATGCCATGTTGGCAACGCTGTTCTTCTCGTCCTCCTCCTTCTCGAACATTGTGTCTTCGAGCCACTTTGTGGCTTTGGCACAGTATGAGTCGATGTACGTGGTCCAGAGATGCGCAAGGGTGTATTCGACAACGAAGAATGTCGGGATCGCGAGCGCCCAGACGAACCAGTTGGACGAACGGGGAATCCAGTGAGCGATAGCCTCGCCCTCGCCCTCAGCAGGTGGCTGCTCGACCCAGTATGGCTTGGTGGACCAGCCGTAGATCAGACGTGCGAGACCGACTTTCATGACGGTTCCGTGTGTGAGGTAGACCGCAAAGCTGTTGCGACCAACCCACATGAAAATTTTGTTCGAGAACATGTTCTGGAGGGTGGGCGATAGCCAGATACCAGTGACCATAAGGTCCCAGCCAATGGCAGTGAATCGCTTCGGGTAGCTACCAGCACCTTCGGGAATGAGGAAGTGTCCAATCCATTCGAGTTGCCTGGACCAAAGTGACCATTCCCAGTGCTCTCCCGGAAAACATGCAACGTACCACCCTACAACGATCAGAGTAGTAAGCACTGTTCGGCGAGCCTTCGGGTGGCTGTTGACGAAGTCACGGAAGTTCTTCTCGGATCCAAGATCGCAAAGCATAACGCCGTAGATAAATTGACATTCGAATGTCTCTGCAGACCAAATTAACGAAATGAGCATAATCGAGTATATGAGGGGTACGTACCCTTCTCAGGGCTGGTTCGCATCCAGTACCAGAGGAACAGAACGCAGCATGTGAAGAAACGCATGCGGAACTTCATGAAGACGGTCGCAAATAGTAGGACGTAGATGGTGAAGGCACCCTGAAGAAGTGGAAGAAGCGCCCATTGGTGGTCATCGTATTCATTGTTGGCACCAGACCATGACATCTGGAAGTTCCTGATCAGGCGTGGGATTTCGGTGTCGAGACCGCCGATGTTTGTGGGAACTGAGCGTCGGAACCAGTGGGAGTCACTTAGATGAGCAACTTCGAACGCTCCAATCTGCGCGAAGAACCATGCAATAATCAGAGCAATCGTCGCGGGCATGATTAGACGCGGTGGTCGGCGAAAAGCTGATTTGCCGAGTGTCACCAAGGCAGCTGGGATCTGTCCCGATTTGGCTTGTCGCAGTGGTTTGATTGCGCACACATATCCTGTGAGGAAAGCAAACATGGTAACTCCGATTCGTCCTTGCCATGGTAACCGAAGAAAAGGTAATTGAAGAAGTTGTGGTGTCGCATCCTCGTTATCGCGCGGCGACCACAGGCTGTAGTCCCATGCTCGGCAAAGATGTGTGACGACAACCCAGAATGAAGCAACTCCTCGCACACCCTATTCAAAGTCAATAGCGATTCGAAGGCGGCAAGCGAACAACATACTTCTACCCATGTGACATTCTGGCGATTGTTGGACATGTTGCCAGTGCCAGTGTGTGGTCCAGAACCGGCCTTTGGAGATGCGATAGTGGCGTAGACAAGCGATGGGACCTTCGCAAGTACTGTTGTGTAGCGGGGGACCGAGAAGTAAGGGAGTGTGAGGCGCAACCCTAGGAACTGAATAACCCAAGGAAATATGAGAATGCAAGTAACAAGAAAAGAGCGGCTGTGGCTAGCTAAAGCAATGCATTGGTGACGGCAACGGCTGGTTGGAACCAAGAAGGAGCTTAAGTGTCCATCCAGGGTGCAGGCAAGTTCCCCCATGCAAAGACGGGTACTCGGATAGAGTACTTGGCACGATAGTTACCCGTCAGGAGGGAATGATTGACGACGCCAGCAGACTTTCTGATTGGCTCTAGCCACAGAAGGGGAAACAAGCGCCGAGCCTGTAATGGTGGCCGCGTAATAGATCTTGGCAGTGAGAGACTCAGGTTGAGAGATCTCCACCGTTTCACAATCAGAGCTGCTTGGCGTGGAAGATGCATAGGCGTTGGTTCGAAGTCCGCGAGTATGAATACTGGAGCCGGATGTCGGCACTGTCAAGGTTCACAAGAGAGAGTGGACGGGTCTCAGCAGTCAGCATCCTCAGGCCAGCAATGATCGTTGGATTTTTGTGGCACGGGGTGCGCGTCTCTTGGTCTGCGCCTGATGATGCGACGGGATGTGCAAGAGACGGATGCAGCAAAGGTGTGGCGCACGAAAAGCTGTCTCAGGGCCATCCAGCCCAATTTAGCTGGCGCGCTGCAGGCGATTCGATCGGCGGCGTGTGGGCTCGAGCCACAGAGCGTCTCTTACGCCGCGAGACACAGAACGGGGGGGCATGGGCCCCATACTGCGATGAGATGAAAAGTGGTGCGGATTGCGACGCCGCGTTGAATCTCGGGGGAGAGCGATGCGAGGATTGTGGTGTTGCGCGTACGGAACCTCGTGTGGGGTAGAGAAATGAAGCTCTGCACAGGACAACAGCCTTGAAAATTAAGCTCTCAGGCCAACATCGACAAGCCCGCCAGCTGTCACCATGCCTGTCAGGTGTCGGAAAATCGGATAGAATTAGTGCCACAAGCCACATCGCTTCACACCCTTTTCGAGGTACCAAGACTTTCAAAATGCCATGTTCCGTCACTTTGCAGTGTCGCATGGTGCATGTTCGCTTAAGCAGTGCAAAACAGATAGTATGTGCATGCTGCAGATGCAAGTGATGTCATTGCAACACCGCTTCTGCGTGTGACCAAAGTTACCTCGCCAACCTCAGTGATTCTTCTCTACAGTCTGCTTGGCAAACGCCGCAAAGTCACGTCCCTCGTCCAGCTTGTCCCACAGATTAGGCTGAGTGAACACAGCCAATGTGTTTCTCGCTACCTTGCCACCAATGCCCGGCCCTGAACCCCGTACAAAGTGGGGGACCGCCTTGAACTTGCCTTGGGTGATGATCTCGAGTGCCTCGCCTGTCTGGAAAGCTAGACAGTCTCGCGGAATGCTGACCTTGGTGACCGCACCCGTCCGGGAGTGGATGTAGAGACCCGCCTTGGGGTCGGGCGAACGATCCAATTCCTTTAGCGGCTTGAACGCGCTGCCAGTCTGAGGCTGATGGGCGGCTTCGTCGACAAACATGGCACTTGTCAAGCCGGTAAGACAGCCGTGATCGAGATGTGTCGCACACCAGTCGTCCTCGTCGCCACTGCCTGCATCGCTGGACGCCTTACTGTCTGACTCTGGGCTTGGGAAGTAGTGCAGCAGTCTCGCTTTGGTGAAGATACTTGTCTTGACGACATGCTCTAGGTATCCCTTCTGATAGCCTTCGATATTGGCTTCTGCGTACTTGTCACATGCTCGCGCGACCAGTGTGGCTATGTCAATGATGAGGGTACATAGCTCGCGGAAGGTCTCCTCGAAGCCGGGCAGTAGCTCCTCTGAGGGCCAGACATTAGGTGCCGTGTATTCCGGGAACGCGGGGTACTTCTCGGCCACGGCCCGCTGTTGCTCGTCGAAGCCAGAAGCACAGTTGACATAGTAAGACCCCTTGAGGGTGTCATAGCGGCCATCTTTGAGGGTCTCTTTTCCACACGACCATCCAACAAGCCACTTCGATGCTGGAGACTCAAGCTTCTCTACTGGCTGTCAGTCTCCATCCACAACGGAAGGAAATGTGGCATGTTACGCACCAAGCTCCTCGGGTGACAAGTTTCCTAGGGCAGAAGAATAAGAGAGAAGTCGATGTCTGAGGTCATGGAATTTTGATGGCAAGTCCTTCACAACAATGATTCCTAGACTAGCAGAGCCAAATGCCTCTTCCAGCAGGGAGAAGTCGACATCGTCTAGAAACTTTCAGCCAAGGATATTTATATAGCAAGCGAGACAACTCACTGTTTTTGAGAGCATCCAGTCCTACGGTGACGGCGCTCTGAGTGACTGCAGCGCTGGGGTTCGCCATATTCTTCAACACAGATGCTTTAGTGTATCGAACTCGTTATGTGTTGAGTAGATTGGGAAGTTAGAGACGTCACAACCGCTTGAGATTCACACAGTTCAAATTCTGAAGTCCATCTGGTGTTGAGTCGAAAGCACCTGCCTCTGCGGAACTAGCCCGCTTTCGGAGGTCGCCGTGCGGCGCCAAATAATCCGAGGTTCAAGCTCACCACCAGCACCAACGACTCGAGATGCCGAAAGCCCTGCACTTCAAGGGCGACAAGAAGGTCAAAAAGAAGAAGAGAACTGCCGAACCCTACGACGCCGACGACGCGCCTTCGAAAGCGCTCACCACCCCGGCAGCGGCAGAAGGCACCGAAGATGACGACTCTTGGGTGAGCGCCGAAGTGCCCAGCGATATATCAGGACCCGTTGTCATTGTTCTACCAACAGAGACGCCGAGCTGTCTGGCATGCGACGCCAATGGCAAGGTCTTTGCGAGCGCGCTGGAGAACATGGTCGACGGCGACCTGGGCACCGCGGAACCGCACGACGTGAGGCAGGTGTTTGTCGCAAACCGCGTTGCGGGCACCGAAGGCCTGAGTTTGAAGGGACACCATGGACGGTATGGCATTGTGGGAGCTGCGCCTCGCTCTGTGCTAATAGTACTGTGTAGATACCTAAGCTGCAACAAATATGGCATCCTCAGCGCGAACGCGACCGCCATGTCTCCCGAAGAATCCTTCATCGTCATCCCCGTACCGGACAACCCATCTGCCTTCTCTCTGCAGACCGCGCGCGACAAGTTCCTCAGCATTGATGAATCTTCCGCGAGTACTGCCGAAGTCCGGGGTGATGTTGAAACCATAACCTTCAACACCACGTTCCGCATACGCATGCAAGCACGTTTCAAGCCCCGCCTCAAGGCCTCGAAGGAGGAAAAGGCTCAGGCAAAGATTAGCAAGAAGGAGCTGGAGGACATCATCGGTCGCAGACTCAATGACGACGAGGTGCGCCGCCTGAAGAAATCGCGAAGAGAAGGCAACTTCCACGAGACAGCCCTCGACATGAAAGTCAAATCGTCCCACGACAAGTACGCGTCAATGTGAGATCCAACACAGGGCATAAAGCATAAGGATTGCGATCGTCTCTATCTGGAACCATATCCTCGGAGCCTTCCACGCCAAGTCGTTTCCAAGACAATGTGGGTCCTTGTCATGCATCTGACCATGCACAAGTGTGGCACAATGCGCCACGATATGGAACGCCTCGCGCCACGGCGGAATTTCTCTTGTGGCTGGCAGTCGGACGTTTGAGCCGTCTTGGCGCGCTGTTGTGGCTGCAGTACAACGCGCCTGGTGGCCGATATATCCGATAAAGGGGTGGAAACAGAACGGCATGACGAGTGTTTCTGTCCCGAGTGGCCAGGCATGCAAAACATCGATAGCGAGAAGCCAGCGGAATGATAGTAGGGCGCTTCGCAAACTACAGTGTAAATGTGCTTGCGACAGCAGGCACAGCTCTTTTTTGCAACGTGATTATGTCTCTTGACATATGGCTTCATTCTAAGAAGGCGACGCAGTATTTGCAGCAAGTATCAACGTAACTCTGGTTGACTTCCACGTCAGTTTCATTTTTTCCAGTATACACATTTTGTCCAATTTCCACTCAGCACCCATCCTCTCAACGAGAGCAAACCCCATACCAATCTGGTCTTTTTCCACATCCTCACTGCCCATTCAAAGCTCCACCTTCCCCTCAACCGCCTGCAGTCCCTGCATGGCATTCGCCTGCGTAATGTTCCAAGCCTCCAAAGCCTCCGCATACTGCCTCTTCATCGCGACCTGAGCCCACTCATTGCGGGTATGGATGTACTTGGTGATACTCCACATATTAAATCCAATCACCCACACATATCCCACCGTCCTCTCAAACCTCGTCAGCCACTTGTTCTCCTTGACCTCAAACTTCTCCTTCAAGTCCTGCCAGTACACGACCACAATGCCCTCGATGACAATCGGCACCATCTGCCCAATATACCACAGCGTAATGACCATGCAGTCCGACGCGCCGGGGTCCTGCACGAACCGGACGGCACTGTGCATCAGCCCGCTCATCGCAAACACCATTGTGTTCTCCACGAGGCGCGTGGACGTCCTGCCCCTGCGCATGCGCAGCCACTTCCTCGTCACGATCTGCGTGTGTCCATTGAAGCTCGCGTAGATGTAATTGTGCCAGTGCTTGCCCCAGTACCTGCGCACCGTGTACGCCTCGCTGATATGGCCGAACAGACTCATGCTCCACTCCGCCGGCTGATCGAGCCCCAGGCCGACAAACAACACCGCAAACACGCTGTGATACGCCTCGTACAGAAACATGTTGACAACGCACCAGTGCACCACGTTATCGAAGCTCGCCCACAGCTCGTCCGCGTTAAACGACTCGGGCAGCCGCCGGAAGAATATCGCCTTGTCGGCGCCGTGCACTGGCTCGCGGATCAGGTAGTACCATGTAAACGTGTACCACGCGTTCTGTAGGATGTACAGCCCGATTGCTTTCATCGCGTGGATTCCGACGAATTGCGCGCGCGAGTAGCCGTGCTTGGACTTGCTGTTGAGTACATCTCTGCGGTTCTCGCGCGCGAAGAGGACTTTATACGCGCTGGCGATGCGTGTCTTCCACGTGCCGGGATTCTCCTTAGTCACGGGCGGCGACCATTCGAGGATGGTGACCTCGAGGCTGACATGTGCGAGCCAGATGTACAGGAAGCGCGTGAAGGTGTCGCAGACGGTGAAGCTGGGCGCGATGTCCTGGGAGTAGCAGAAGGCGTAGCAGACGGGGATGCTGAGGGTGAGGATGCTGAGTTTCTTGTATTTGGGTGGGTAGGCGAGGATGTAGAGCGCGTAGGCGAAGGCGATGAGGGCTGAGAGGGCGGGCCGCCAGACTCGGGTTATGGAGAAGAAGGGATTGTCGAAGGCGTCGGGGATACAGGATTCATATAATCTGTGAGCCGCGAAGACGGGGTCCGCCCAGACTATCTGTACCATTCTGTACGGGTGTCGCTATATGTGTTGTGCTGTTGTTAAGGGTATTTAATCAAGGTTGAAAAGGTTAACTTGGACTTTGTGATTGTTGCGAGATTAGAAGAGTAGAGAGTTTAAGGGAGAGGAGGGCAAGCAAACGCTCAACTTTTTTTGGTTTGCCCACAGCGGTACCATGGCTTGGTGAGGGTGCGCGAGTGAGAGAGCGTGATATTTCCATGGCACACGGTCTGTGCCGATGTAGGTAACCAGGCCTATGGCTTCCAAGTGCGAAATGTTGGTATTACCAAAGTTTGGACTTACTCTTGTCCACCTTGCTTGTCTACAACCTCGCCTATGGGGTCCGGAAGAGCGCCTCTCTCCACAGACAAGTCTGCGATAATTTGAAGGTGCGAGAAGCCATTGGGGTGTACCATGGTATAGATTTTTTTTCGGTCCCAGTTTGGAGCTTTTTCCCCAGAGGCCACATGCGCGACACAAATGGCAACCAAGAGCTTGAGGGAACTTGTGTGCTAGGAAGAAATGCAAAAGACTGTCTCCTTCCGACGGATATGTCGGTGATTTGTGATCCACAAGGCAGCGGCGGAATTCGTGCCAACTCTGCATCTACGCGAAATATCTAAATCTGATAGCCTTTAGATGTATGCTTATTGTGAGCTTATGGGGGCCTGAATATATACGCAGCTATGAGATACTTCAAGTAGTTCTATAGGGAATTTTGAGTGTATACAGGCTGCCTCTTCACCTGCTCTCGTCGGAGGAGGCGGGTAAGGGCTTTGTCGACTCCCGGTGCCCTTGAGCTTTGTCATTGAGGCCAGCTGACGGTGATTTGGACAGAAGATTATGGAACGATAGGTATGGTATGATCAGGATTCAATATCCAGGGCCAGCTCGCATGTGATCCTTCCTTCCTCGTGTAGAGCGATCGTTCGTGAATTGTACATCCGTTGTCTTACGCACAATATATTGGGAAAGAATGCTCAAGTGTTCTCTCCAAGGCACTCGAGGATGCACATGTCTCCAGTCGCTGATGAAATATTTTCTCTTTCGCCTCGTCCAGATTTTGCTGGGCTTAGGACCGATACCTGTATGCACCTGACATGATGTTTTCCGTCTTCTGGAGGTTTTCCGTTGCTTGCACGTGTGTAAGTAGTCGGAGTTGGGTCGTCGTTCGGAATTCAACCAAATATCGGCGTTGGGAACTGTCGGTCCAATATGGCAATGCGAGCCGTCAGCGATGCCGGCCCGTGTTGCGGTGTTTGCTGTGAATGGTCAATTCATGAGCGTGCTGATTAATGGTTGCGCCCTTTGGGAAGCCACACGCCCTAAGCACGATTACACGTGGTGACGTGCATGCACCACGAACACCAATTCACCGATGTTGAGAGCAATCTTGCGCGTTTCCACCTGTGTTTTACAGAATTTCGGAGTCATTTAAGTTAGACACGGATGAAAATTTGCAGCCCAGAGAGCTTCGGAGGTCCCCGAACACAGATTTTTGTTGGAACAGGGACTTTTAGAGCCTACCACGATAGGGCATAGTCAGCGCATTGTTTGGAAAATTTGCAAAGAGGCCAATGACACGAGGCATCCACAATTGCATACTCCTGAAGTTAGTGTTGAGAGTACCGCGCTGGAGTTTCACGTGAAGGAAGCATTACTGATGAAGCGCATGCTTCTTTGGCTGGTCCCGGCAACGACAGGCAAATTTGGGAATGAAGTGTGTTTGCTGATGCAGTACCGGATTCATCCATGAATTCTCAAGACACCAAACACGATGGCTGCCTGGAGCATTGATATCTGCGCGGATGGATTTGGGGTGTAACAATATTTCCGGCCTAGCGCACACTGCTTCGGTCTGGAAGGGCGTATGACTGGTCCCCGCACACAACTAGCTCAGTGGTCACCCGTCGGCCAAGGAGAGCTATCACTTCAGCCCATTATCCACCTGCACGTTGCATCCCTCCATCACCATCCTGCCGTGGGTGACTCAGGCAAGATCGCTTGCATGTGTATGTATAAGGTTACTCCTACCCCAACCTTTCTCCGCCATACAGACACACACCCCCCACATAGATAGGCAGACATCACGACCATTGCGTCTTATCTTGACTAGTCTACCAAGAATCTATCTCAGCTTCCAATTCGTCTCCGCGTTCCCGGGTGAACTGCTCAGTCGAGCTCTTCACAGCGCTTGTGTGACTTACTAAAGTATTCTTTGTCCTGTCAGCTCAACAGCTGCCAGACGCACGCAAAATCTCCGCCATGCCTTCCTCCATACCATCTTCCGAGTACTCGCAAGCCACGACTATGCAGTCGATGCGGAATCAGGTCGGGTCCAAGGTCCGCAATATGACGCACTACGGCCAGCCAACCATCGAGATCAATCTCAAGGGCACTGATGGACCACGCAACACATGGGTCACATCATATTCCACCATGGACACTATCGAGGGAAATGTCACGATAACAGCACTGCACGATACACGGTTCGAGGACATCGACATTGCATTTATAGGTGAGTGGCAAATCATCACATGTGCAACATAAAGCATGTTGTTAGGAAAAACAACCAGAGTACTTTCTGTCGCATCCAAGCGCCTCGCGATACGGCAAACAACTTCAGGCATCGACTTAGCTATCTACTGTTGTACCCTTGACAACCTACGGTAGTACAGTGACTAACATTTATCCAGGCACCTGTCAAGTCTATGTTGACACGTTCACCACATCACCTTCCATGACAGGCCGGACGGAAGCTAATCACCGTTTCCTTGTGCTACGGCAACCCATCGCAGAGTCCGACTTCCCTTCCCCAAGAATATTCGAGGCTGGACGGACTTATCAGTTTCCCTTCACATTCACAGTCCCAGCACAGCTCCTTCCGAAGTCGTGCTCACACAAGGTTTCCTCAGAACATGTGCGCGACTGCCACTTAATGCTACCTCCAAGCCTAGGCGATGCGGATCTTGCAGGCTTCGGTGGTTCTTTGCTCGACGACCTTGCTCCTGAAATGTCTAAAATTAGTTACAACATCAAAGTCCGGATCGCGCGGCGACAGGGCAATGAGGGTATCACAGTCCTCGGAGAGAAGACGAAGAAAGTTCGCATCAAGCCTGCTCTCATTGAGCAGCCGCCATTGAACATTGACGGCAACAAGGAATACCGAGCACGACAAGAGAAGACCATCAAGAAGGGACTCTTCAAAGGCAAGCTAGGAACGTTGTCTGCAAGAACTGTACAGCCTAAAGCTTTGGTCATTCCTGGTGCGCGGACGACAGACAACCAAACCATAACCACAATGGCCAAACTCGTTCTGCGCTTCGATCCTACCGATGAGACGGCGTCTCCACCACGCCTCGGCTCTTTGAGTACCAAGATCAAAGTATCAACATGTTATGCTTCGAGTCCGAGACAAAATTTCCCATCGCGATTGACCATCGGTTTTGACGCTTCACAGGGCGCATACTCCGAAAGTATCGCACTCTCAACACTCTGCATAGCATCTGCGCCTTGGGAAAAGCATTCTGCAGACCAGAACCCGGAACCCGAAGAAGACCCTGAGCGCCGCGACTCTGGCATTTCAGACTGCTCCACCACCAGCAACAGTGAGGCTGCATTCGCCGCTGGTATCCTACCCGCATCTAAAGATTACAAGAACGGCATCTTTTACACCGCACAGGTCCTCGTTCCCGTTACCCTTCCCATGAACAAGAACTTCATACCAACCTTCCACTGCTGTTTGGTATCGCGAACATACACACTTGGCATGACTTTCAATGTCCACGGCAGCTCATCTACGTCTCTGAAAGTCCCGATTCAGATCTGCGCAGAAGGCAGCGACACCGGCATCGAGAATGCGAGGGCGAGGAGTGTTGAAGAGACACATTTGCGGCAGGCGATCGATATGTGGGCACCGAGGAGCGTTGCACCACCGCCGAGTTTCAGCGAAGTTGAGAGAGCGCCCCGGAACAACAGTATAGGCACGAGGGATGAACTGCCTCCGGATTACTCTGCGTTCGCGCCGCCTGTTAGGCGGTACGAAGGGTTGATTGCGGTTTGAGAATGATGTGTTGCATAACAGGGGGGCTTCGTTTCTCCGGTAGCTTTTCAAATTGTTCAAGGCAGCTACTTACATTTCGTAGTCATTATACCCCAAGCTAGCCAGCTTTATAAATATTGTTAATTTATTTCAGTTGTTATAGCCTCGTCAAATCAGGCAACGTAGTGAGGACTACCCCTTGTCGAAAAAAAGTCACGGGGCACTGAACATGTAAATGATGAGGTCCGTTATCACATCTAAACTTGCTGTAGGGAGTTCCTGAAAGCACATTCTTCGTGCACCATGTTGCCACCGACCGCTCTATTAGTTATTATCGGAATTGCACCGCATAGTCCTTGTGCGCGTATGTCCCTCGCGGAGTGCCTCACTTTGGGTCGTTACAAGATCCCTCACCACAGACACACCATAGCCTGTTGAATTGAACACAACTATAGTGTCGTGGTATCTCACCTTGTAGCCATACCAATACATTTTTAGGTCATCATCAAGCCTAGGGCAGCGATACACGGAAAGTCACACGAGAAAGTCTGACATTGCAGTCGTGCTACATAAATTTGGGCAGTTCACCAAACCGGAGACTGAGCAAGAATCGGACATGATCACTCTAACAAAGTAGGTACTACAAGGCTGAGTGGGATAGCTGAGCAATATGATGTCATGTCCGAAACATGTCCCCGAATATGGAGGAAGAGTATGTTCCATATTTCTTAGCATATCCACAACACTCTGCTAGATTCGTGCCGCGCTCAAAAATAGACGAGGGGAAATTTTCATGACCAGATGTGACCCTCCGACCTTCTCATTACGACCACTTACCAGAAAGCAGCAAGGAGACCTCTGAGCTGGGCTCAAGTCAGTCGACCTGAAGGATTTGAATGCCGTCTCACATGGTGCACGAAACGCTACTCCGTTGTCAACGTTACAAAAGGCGAGATTGTTACGCCCGACATACGAACGTAGCCTTTAAAACCATCTAAAGGTGCCGTCCGCGGCGATGACGGTATTCTTCGAGGTCATTTCACAGTGAATGAGAACACGGAATTCGACGGTCCAGATAGCAGTTTCAGAGTTAATGCGAAAGAGAACAGCCTACTGGCGGATTGGCTTACGTGTAAAATCTTCACAACTTCCGAGAGAGATGCCGTGGGGCGGGTACTTTACACGCAGCGAAACATCTCGCAGACTTTCGCTAACGTCGCAACTTCAATGACAAATAGGATCCGCGGACGAGCTAATGCCGCGAAGGTGTTCGGAACCTCATATCGCGAAGAGACCTACATCCATGTGACCTGGCCGTAGCTCATTCTTCCTGGCGTGGTAGTGCTCATGAGCGTCATCTTGCTAGTAGCCAATATCAATTTGAGCAGAGGCGACAGACAAGGGCTGTGGAAGAATACAACGTTGGCGCCTCTGTTTACTCACAGTCACGAGGATGGGAAAATGGGGACTTGAGAGTGGGAAAGTGGAGTAAGATGGCGAATCAGACGAAGAGTATGAGAGGGAGGTTGTGGAGGGATGGATGGGGTGGATTGGATTTAGTGAGAGCATGATGGTTCGCTTCGTGGTCTTGCGTTGGGTGCGTTGTCTGTTAAATGACAAGGCTGTGTAGTATCATACTGCCGAATTCCGATAGACTTTAGAACCTTACTGGGCAATCATTAATGAAGTGCGTGCTTACCTATGGCATAGGCCTCTAGAGGACAACGCACTTTGAGGACCTAACGCTAAACAATTGCATCTCATGTGCACATTACTGAATTATAGATAACTAGACCAGATAATGAATATCTCTAAAGCTATTTCAACGACATGATGTATACTGCAATTGGATAGTATGGCATTTGCCAGGGAGTAATCACTTTTCCAACACAGCACTGCGACAGGGGCGATAACGCGATAAACACAACTAGCAAGCCGTGACTTAGATGAAAGATAACTAAAGTAAAAATTTCAACACAATTCGTTACCATCAAGAAGTCTGAGTAGAATAATAGAACCGGGCCATGTTTTCGTTAAACAGGGAAAGGAAGATCATAGTTGCCAACGAGCTCAAAACATATCCAAGAGAACAGACGATGCTTGCTCAGAAGAAGCCAATTCCGCTTCCAGACTGCTGAGATAGTTTCGGCTGCTGATCGTGTCGGGGTGATCCTTTCCCAACAACCCACTCCTTATGTCGTGAAGCCAGGCTATAATCTCAAAGGCATCTTCGAGCTTGCCTTGCCAGTGCAAGATTGTCGCCAGATGATCGAGCGATGCAAAAGTCTCAGGATGCCCTTTTCCATGCTTCTCTTCCAGGATCTCTTGTAGCTCAAATGCTACAGTTTGTGCTTCTGCGAATTTGTTCTGTTGGTGCAGAATGATTGCGAGGTTTCGTATTGACTTTATTGTTTCTGGATGCAGTCGTCCAATTGTATCTTTGTACACCTGGCATGCCTCACTTAAGAGGTCGACCGCTTGACCATGGCGTCCACGAAGTTGCAGTAATAGTGCAAGGTTTCCTTTGCTCTTCAGTGTTTCTGGATGATTTGAGCCCAGCATCTGCTCACGACCAGATAGAGCTGCTTCTTGAAGCAATTGAGATTGTTCGAAGTGACCTTGAAGCTGCTTTAGTACGGCGAAATTGCTCAAACAGACCAGAGTGTCCGGATGAGTCGCTGACAATAGTCGCTTCCGCCCGCGCAGAGCTTGGCCGAGAAATAGCTCAGATTCGTTGTACTTCTTCTGGCTTTGCAGTGATAGAGCCAAATTATTGAGCGTCAGCAGCGTCTCGAGATGGTGTGCGCCAAATTTAGCCCGCTTCATATCGAATGCTTTTCTGTGGAAACTTTCCGCCATCGGAAATCGACCTTGATCTTGATGATAGACGCCAAGGTTATTCAGGCTATGTATCGTGTTGATATCGTCCTCGCCTATTGTCAAAATCTGAGAGCGAAGCACCTGTCTTGTTTCGAGCTCAGCAGCCGCGTACTGACCGCTGCCATGGAGAGCCATGCCGAGCTTGCCGCGGAGTCTGTCGAACAATGGAATAAGGTCTTTGGAGCGATTGGATGCCCAAATGATGAGCCGATTCAATATCAAGATAGCTTCTCTCGCTCTTCCCATTGCGACCAGATGGTGGCATAGCCTTAACGCAAGTACACCCATGGCACTGATGGTGTTCGATTCCAGTTCCGTTTCGGAAGCAATATCGACATAGACGCCCAGTACCGAAGCGACATGTGCCCAACAGCGATGAGCCGTAGACGTGAGGACTGAATCTGAAGAAACGAAGGAAGTAACCAACTGAAGAGCACCTTCGAGAATTCTAATGCGGTCCCGATGATGGACCAGGTGAGCTTTGGTAGCAAAGCCGACGATGTTCGGCATCATCCACGTTCCATCGGAGCTGACTGGTACAAGCAAAGAATAAGATTTCAGGATGTCTAGTGCATGCCGTTTTGATTCTGTGTCTACTAGCATGGCAGTGATTTCTTCACATATGCCGATGTTGTGGATGCACGACAGCTCAAATAGCATAGAGAGAACGTCCACATTTTCCGCTGCGAGGGTTCTGAATGAGTACATCCAATCGAACATTGCTGTGCAAGCTGCCGAGCCTCGTGAGCAGTCGTGCTTCTGCATAAGAAGCATTGTTAGAAAAGCTGGTCCACGCTCTGCTGATGGAAGACACCCTTCTACTCCATTACCTGTACATTTCATGTAAAGTCCAATTTGCTTAAGAGCGAAAGGGTTCATGTCGAGACAATTGACCAGCTGACCAATACTCTCGCTATTTCCCGCATTGCTTAGCCCTGCATACGAGAGTAATAGGTCTCTTCCATCTCGCAAGGTCATGACCGGCATTTCAAACAAGTCAACTGGGTGGAAATGATCCAGCGCGAAACGTCGATTGCGTGTTGTGATCAAGATGTGGATGCCTTGTTGTTGCGTCAACAAGCTCTGCATGCCAGAAGCAGAGCAAGTAGCAATATCAGCGTTGTCGAGAACCAGAAGTTTTAGACCGGAAGCTGCTGAGTTTTGTGATGAGAGTACCGTCGCCACATCTTGTTTGTCATCTAGGTCAATTTGCGCGTCTATGTGATGCTGACCAAATTGGGCAGGGTCTTCGCACAAAGACGGTTCCATCGAGGCGTCAAGCCAACGGATCGTGGTATTAGGTTGAGCGTCACGTAGCATATATGCTAGCTCCAATGCCACCTCAGTTTTACTGTGTAAGTGCGTCAGCTCCTAGCAGATTAAAAACCAGGGCATCTTTACCCAGCCCCTCCTAGTCCGCATAGGGCAATTGTAGACGAGGATGAGTTCTCAATCTTGGTGAACAACTGGTGCAAAACGCTGCCTTGTCCAACAAAATTAGGGTTTCGCTTCCTGATGAGCATGTCGTGGTGCCCTGGGAGTGACGGGGCAACTGTAGACGATTGAGACTATACATAGTCTGGGATCAATTATCGATCGATCTCAATATCCTTATGCTGGAGCAACCAAAGAGAGAGTTATACATACATATGAGCTTCCTAGCGTGCTCGACTGTGCCGAGTCTGCGTGCTTCGTCGCCGTAGTGCTGTTGATATACCTCAAGCTGAAACTATTAGCGAGTGACGCCCGAGACAGCACCTAGTTGAAGCCTTACATGGCCAACTGAGAACACAAAGTACTCCGCTGTGCAAAATTCGCCAACTCCTTAACCATTTCTGTCTCTCTGTTTACAATCCTGATTCTCTTCTTCAATCTTGCAAGTCTCCCATCGGCCGCATCAATTTTGGTACGGCGCAAAAATGGTAGGATCTTGTTTAAGTCGTCGTCTAGTTGGCCGAGAATGCTTGAAGCAACAGCAGTATTGTCAACGCGTTGTTTGTGAACTTCCTGCGAAAGGCTGGCTAGGAGGGATGCCTGGTCGGCCCACTGGTTTTGGGTAATCGGAGCCTTGCGCACTCGTCGTACAAAATCTGGCACGGCATTAGTGGCGGTCAAGCTGTACTTCGCAAGTTGTGGGATAGCAGCTGCCACTCCAATCCATTCGGCCATTTTAGACAATTCTTACTTAGAGCAAGGTAGGCTTTCCATATTTATACCAGCAGCATCCCATTTGCAGTACCAAGAGGACAAACAAGGCTGAAATGGAAAGCCTGAGGCTCTATAGATATGGTGTACAACGTTCCAGTGGTCTCAATGTCAGCACGCCCCGCAATGCACGCGTATCCTGCGACCCATGCGATAACCCAGTCGGCGTCCAATAGGTGATGAGCTTAGCTAATACCCCTCACCGGTGAACGGGACCGCCGGCTAGTATGCATGCTTCTCAACAAATAAGCCAGCTTGACCAGCTTGTTCAATCGTCGTGGACGTAAAGCAACAACTTCATTAGGAAATCAGCAGCTAAAGGCAACGAGAATATAGAAGGCTAAACAAGCTGACTAAGCCTTGCCTATTGAGCATGCTCATTAAGAAGGCTGCTAGTATGTGGCGTTCCTTTTAAGATGTACCATGCAGGAAAAAAGGATAGAACCAATGGTAGAGCTCATGTCCTGGTAGACTGCACGAAGTACTCGTCCATGCGCCAGATCGAGTCGGGTATGATTCTGCCAACGTTACGCACCTTGACGTTGTATTCCAGAGTATAGACCTTCGCGAAGTTGATCCGAGACATTGGATCCACGGGCGGTGCTGCTTCATTCTCGACTCTTATGAAAATAGCAGAATTCAGAAGTTTGGCTTCGCCATCGTGCAGAACCTCTTCTCCCCCTTCCACGACCACAGCTGCGTGATCTTGTATCGCAACACCCGCCTTGGTCGTTGCCTGTCCCCCGTAGGTATTGATTGAGAGGCAAAGACAGAAGGATGCTTTAGGTCTGATGACTACAAATCTCCTGATTTTGATCTTGACAGGTGATTCATGCACTCCAGACAGACCTAGCGGATCTTTCACCCAGGGACCTCCTAGCTCGGAGCCACGGTACCATCACGACACGCCCCTTCTTGTAGAAACCTCGTGGATTTCCGATGACTTCGAAATCTGCGAAAAGGTAAGTCGAGGGTCACATGGCAAGGGAGATTTGAGGGACCTTGATGAAGTCCACCCCGCAACCTGTTCTCGTAGTCGTCGACTCTAATATCATGAATAAGCAAGATGAAAGATTTATTGAACCTTTTGTGCGGCTCGTGACTTTTTTGCGTTTTGAGAGGCGGGTCTGTCGTAGCCTATGTAGCGAAGATGGTGTTCAGCTTGCCGCCATGAGCCGCCCAAATGAGAGTCGTAGCCCATCTCATACCTCCAGTAGTCCATAAGTTTCGTCAAATGATCGTCCCTAACCAAACCAACGTCCTTGACTTTCACGTTGGTCTCTATCGAATAAATCTTGCCAAGTCTTACGCGAGCCATTGGAGCGAGCTTCTGCGTTTTGTCAACAGGCACGACCTCGATAGGTTCTTTGTTCATGCCTCTTTCGAGTTCGGCGGGTGTAATGTTTGGCTCAGTCCCAGTGAGATACATTGCAGTGTGCTCTACAGGATTACAGCCAGGTTTCATCGTGCCCCGACCGCCGTACGTGTGTATGCAACTGTTTCACAGTCAGAGTTTTTCTTGCTATTCTTTCTCTAAGATATATTTTACCATGCCTCAACAAAGTGGGATGTATGCCTCACTGCCACAACAACGAAAGTTCGAATCTGGCTGTAAATGAGTTGCCCGAATCGCCCAGGGACCAAAGGTGTAGTCGAAAATCCTCCTGTCCCTGCTGTTTCTGACCACAGCATAGCGAAGACCTAGGACATTAACAAGCTGTTCAACGCCACTTCAATACGTGTGCAACTTACCCTTCCCGGCTTGAAGAACTGAAACTCTTCAGCGCGGGCTCTCACGCGATACGCTGGGTAGGCTTAGTTCCAGGAACCAAGAGAAAGGACAATGATGAACCTACCTGCGTCCAGCTCTTCCGTCCGGCCAGTACCTGGCTTTGCTTGTGTACGGCGATCTTCAAAATGCTCTATGGCGGGTCCGCTCCAGGTATATTTCACTTGGCCATTGACTAGTTCGCGGTCAGTCGTGCTTGTGAAGAAAATCAGAAAGATAACTACCATCGACCGAGGAATAATAATATTTTTGATGTTCATTGCTCCAAATCCAACGATTATTAAAAGACGCCATAGAGAAGAAAAGCAGATATATGGTGCGTATAAGTAGATGAGATGGGCTGTGGAATTGATAAGTCGGGGCTGACGACGCACGTGGCACCAGTGTAACGTTACCGCTAATTAGTCTGCACTAGCCTACTTACGCAGGCAGTCATAACAAGTGCCCACCCAACCCCCAACCCCCTCAACCGGCAGGCCCTCGAAACTGCCTGCGACATTACTATCGCACGCATCGCTCTAGGCGTTGCTGGTCCCTTCTCTGGGCGGACATGTCTACGTGTTTCTTCAAACCGCCTTTAGACCCTAGTCTTGTCTCGCAAGCCGTCTCGTCGATCGAAAACATCTCCGTTCCGACTATCCATCGCTCCTTCATCGTCCCCATGGGAAGCCTCTATTATTCCCTGAAGCCTACTTTGGCGCACATCGATCTCGCACACATCAAAGATCGAGATAAACCTTTCGACAATTTTGGAGCGGCCGTCGTCAAGAATACTGCGTCTACTTCAACCAGCAACAAGCATGTTGGTCTGGCTCGCGAAGGGCAGCGCAACACACAAATTGACGAAGACAGTATGATGGGCGAGAGGAAACTATACACTATCCTCCGTGTCGCGTCAGTCGCATCCTGCCTTTCGACACTAACGTCATATGAGCCACTTGCGAACCATGGCGCTCTATTCCAGCGTACGAAGTCGCCGCCACCCAATTCTCTCGTACATGGTGTGCCCCTAGATCTGACTGCTGGCGCCTTTGCAGTGCTGGGTACACCTCGAGACTACAAGGCAGTTTTCCCACTGTTCCGGACAGTCAAGTTCTATCTTGTCATCCACCGGGCTGTACTCATTCAAGCGGGCTGGAGACTCGATGTTAAAAGGCTTGGCATTAACTTCAACTTTCGATCACTCCGACAGGAACATTTCTTTTGTCGTATCCCAGAAGTTTAGCACTATCACGCAAGCTGCGGGGCTTCACGCTCCGACTAACATCACTGTGAGCGACTACGCTCAAAATAACATCACGCTTTTCTACCCACCACCTCCTCCAGAGCCGGAACCTTCTACCACTGGCCAGACGCAATAGCAAGCAATGTCTCGACACTTACGGTTGTTTCATGCGATTGCGGTCTGTTCCGTGTGGTCCTGGCCTCGAGTCAGGTGCGTGGGCACTATTTCTTTTCGCATGTCGCCGAACTATGCACATGTCTTACATACTCTTTTCAGATGTATTTTGCACCAAGAACTGTATTTAAAATTACCTACTGAATCTCAAATTGATGTACTATTCATGTAGCCATCTTCGATAGATCCCACCTTTCCAAAATTGACCAAATTCCTCTCCTGTGGCTCTCCGTCTTTGCGGACCTATGCCGTTTGACGGTTCTTTTTCGGATACTTTCCGACGGAAATTCATTTCGTACTTCGTCCCTCTCCTGGCAACTAAGTCACGGATATGTCTTTCGTCGCAGTATGCGGGTGGCAGCTATGGTCGGAAACCGTTAAACAGCGCTGCTAACAGGGCATACTACCGTGGTAGTCCTCTACGGGTTACTGATTATATAAGCAGTAAGTAACTAAGATTTAATGGGTAGGTCTCGTAGGCGTAATAGTGATTGTCTAGAAGCCGTACTATAGCGTTATCGTTAATAGCGTCTTCCTGCTGTTGTAGGTTGTCTTGATGATTTTTGTAATTTTTGTCGGTCTTTAACATGAAAACGTTGACATGAGGGCTACATGACATGGGACGTGGGCTCCAATCTATCTGGATCATGTGTCAGCTTCATGCAGTGATGCGGCGGGTATTTCGTAGGTCGCGATCGACACAATAACCCATATATCTGCAGCCAGTATTACCGCTTCCTTTCTTCTGGTTCTTGGACAAGTATGTAAGCTTCAGCTATCATGGGATGGAAATTCAGTAAAAGAATGCGCACTCTCTTCGAGTGATACAACACTGATGCTTCAGTTTAGAACTCCGCTCAGCTTCTGAGGCTGGACTGGACAGTCCACCCAACACTTCATCTCAATCACCTATTGCAGAGCTAAGAGTAGTTACGCTAATATCCGATCCCTCCGACATTTTGACCGTTACCCTACACGAAGCCATCGGACTTTCTGTGCCAGATAAACATGAACCAGGAATGCCCACACGTATGCTTGATAGTACAGGACTGCCTCTACCACGTGGGCTGCTGAAATTCGGCCACTCTTAAGTGCTACATTCTTCCGTCTCGGGGACGCTGGAGAACTCTCGATGGTTTGGGTTCTGAAAAGTTCGATGTCACACGGGCGGCAAGTTTAGCTATACATCTTCACCCCCAATACTTAAAGGCGGAGCAGAGGATTGGTCGCATACCACCGGACATAGTGCACCTGGAAGTTTTTCAAGGCACGACGGTGTTGGGCTCGCAGTGGTTGCAAGTGCAACACGGGACAGGCCGAATTCGGATCAGCTTGGACTAAAATTCCGTGCGAGAAAGGGAATACAAGGACGTCAATGATTTCGATCTGCTTTTCGGACACGGAGCCGTCTGTCGAGTAATTAAAACGGACAAAAAATCGCGAATTCGCGGTGAAGACTATATTATCGGTTGACCTCCCTCGCCTCACTAATTCGATTCATCACCCCTTCATTGTGTCGCTTGCGTTTGGATCATCATCACCACAAGGATCACATTTATTCACGCCCTTAATCAGTGGCGGATACCTCTTCAATCACTTCCAGAGATCGCAGCGCTTCGGCGTGGACAGATCCCAATTATACGCCACTGGTGTTGTTTGCACGTCAGAGTACCTTCACAATTTCGGCGATTCAGTACCCTTAGTAAGACCGGGAAATGTGCTGCTAGACGCTCCGTTTGACTGATATAAATACATCCGTTTAGCCTCAGCGAAATCAGAGAGCGAGGTAGGTTAGAGCCCAACAGCATTCAACCTTTGACACTGACATGCAAATCGATGTGCACGAACTCATGTGGGACAAAACAGCGACCGATTTCTATTTCCTCGGCCCGCTCACGAAATCGAGAGACCTTGTCCAAGCTCCAGCATTAGCATCGCTTCCTTCTGAACCAAATCAGACATCTACTGTGTCCAGTTTGCCGACCCAAGCACAAAAGAAAACGGCACTTGAAATCGCTCTATCACATGGATATTGTCGTGTCATCGCGCAGCTATTAGAGTATGGCATCGATCTAAACACCGAGATATCGTCAATGACAAGCGAACCACGCCCACTTGAGTGGGCGATAGAGCACCAAGACATCGACATGTTAAGACTTTTCCTCGCCAAAACCACCCCAAAGCTAGACAGAATCGCAGGGACGCGAATGCTCGGCCAGGCAGTAGATACACGCAACACCGCTATCGTCAAAGCGGTGCTAGACCATAGTATATGTTGTGACTTTGAAGACACGGACCGCCCTTTCCCAAGGCCAGCCAACTGTACAGATTGGTTCCTCTTCGAGTTATCCGATCACGATGGCTCCTTAGGGTCCCTCTCCCCACTCGTCGGCGCAGTCAAGCACGGCGACATAGAGATCGTGCGGTTGCTGCTGGGACATGGAGCAAATTCCAATGTCGCTTATCACGATTACCCACAACAGATGGCTATATCTAGGGAAGGAGGTGCGGTAGGCTTTTCGTGTGGGAGAGCGGTGCAGTTGGGGATGGAGTTGGGGCGTTTTGATATCGTGCGGGTGCTGCGGAGTAATGGGGCGGATATTGGGCTTGAGCGGCCTGTTTGGGATGTGAGGGATCACAGGTGCGAGGCTGTGCCGAGGGAGGTGTGGCAGAGGGTTGTGTGGGGTTGCGGAGACTGATGGTTTGAGAGCATGGGGAAGGAGAAGATGAGATAGTATCCAGGTTCTGAGTCGCTGTAATACAGCCATATAGTCTGGGAATTTTTCATAGCACATATTTAGATCTTGCTTCCACCTTCCTGGGGTACTTTGACAACGACCTTGCCCCAGCTGTCTCTTGCACCTAGCGCCTTCAATGCAGCAGGTACACTTTCCAGCCCAACGAACTCCTTGTCCGTGAACGCTGTGCCTCTGTACTTTCCTTCCTTCACCAACTCAAAGATACCATCCCACACTTTGTCTTGCATCTCCGGCTCGTTTATTGCGTATGCACCCCAGTGCAATCCCACAACAGAAACGTTCTTGAGAAGGATACGGTTCGTCGCCATCTTCTCGATATCTCCAGCAGCGAAACCGATGACAAGAAGTCGGCCATTCCAAGCAGTGCACTTCATCGACTGGGCGATCAGACCGACAGGGTCGTATACGATATCTACACCGCGACCCTTGGGCGTCAGTTTCTTGACTTGCTCGGGCCAGTCCTTTTGGCGATAGTCGACAGCATAGTCTGCGCCGAATGCGCGTGCGACATCCTGCTTGTGTTGTGTTCCGGCGGTTGCGATGACAGTGGCGCCGAATGCTTTGGCGATTTGGACGGCAGCGAGACCGACTCCACCGGCAGCGGCATGGACAAGGACCCAGTCACCTACTGTGTGTCAGTACGTCGTAACAATGTGCTCTAGCAGCATAAACATACCCTTCTTGATTCCTGCCCGGGTTACTAGCCCAGCATAACTCGTCGGCGCCGTGACGAATACGCCGGCCGCATCCGCGAAACTCCAACCCTCAGGTACGCCCTTCAGTCGCTCTTCCGTACATACGATGTGGGTCGCATACCCGCCCTGACTGGCTCCGAACACTTTGTCCCCCTCCTTGAACTTTGGCGTCTTTCCACCCGGCAGGGAGGTTGGCGCTTTGAGGACAACACCGGAGAACTCGGACCCTGCGATCCATGGGAAAGCAGGTTGGTGTTGGTATTTGCCGCGGATCTGGAGAAGGTCGAAGAAGTTTGTGGCAGACGCGTGAATAGCGATCAGGTATTCGGTGGCCTTTGGGGTAGGAGTGGGTAGGTCGAGGACTTTCAGGCCTTCGGGTCCCTGATGGTGTTAGCCAAAGGATACAAGTGTGACAGCAAGTCAGTGATGTACCTCGACATATTCCTTGAGTTGTATGCCTTTCATATTGAAGTCTGATTTTGACGGGAAATAGAACAGCGATTGATCTACAAAGAAGGCTTCACCCTGTATTGAGAAGACGGAAACAACGAAGACTGTTCAGGTCGTGAAGCTCCATGGTTGCAGATTGAAGACAGCCGCTCGCTGACTCTCCCCAGTGCCTCGGCTCGAGCGCATCTTCCCCGGCTTCTACGGCCACACCAGAAGCCCCGGGCGACTTCCCCACCCACGGCTTGGCGGTCGCATGGTTAGTAAGCTGGCTCCACCCATGCCATGCGCTAATGACGCACGGCAGGGAAGTGACGATTGTCCCGCGCCTTCTGCGGTCTTCCAACGGCCTCCAAGCTAATAATCTACCGTGGTTACTGCCTCCGGTTTGACAAACAACAACTGTTCGCATTCACACCCTATTCTTTGCCGCTCAGACATAACTTGAGCACCCTCAGAAGCCTCGTACCAGGCCCCGAGCATACCGTTCGCTGTATAGGAAGACAACACATCGCATATACATCATGGCCGACGACGCCGCCACCACGTCCGCTGAGGAACCCCAGGTCACATTCAACGTCAAGGCTGCGAACGACCAGAAGCATGTCCTCACTCTGCCAAACACCACCACAGTCGCCGACCTCAAGGCCAAGCTGTCAGCATCCGAATACGCAGACGTCCCCGCCGAGCGCCAACGCCTGATCTACTCGGGCCGCGTGCTGAAGGACCACGATACGCTTTCGAGTGTCAAGATCAAGGACGGACACACAGTACATCTGGTCAAGGGCGCAGCGAGCAATGCTAGGCAAAATCCCGCAAACCAGGGCACATCCAGCACAACTGGTGGCGCGCCGACCCCGCAGGTACCAACCAACATCGCCGCAGGAACAGGAAACAACCCTCTTGCGGCTCTCACTGGAGCGCGGCACGCTGGCTTCCATGGTCTGCCTGGTATAGACATGTTTGGCCCAGATGGAGGTGTAAGTGTCCTTGATTTCCGCCATAGTCGAAGTCGGCTAATGCCTTTCAGATGGGCCCACCACCAAGTCAGGATGCCATGCTGGAGATGATGGACAACCCCATGTTCCTGTCACAGATGAATGAGGCCATGAACAACCCACAAGTAGTCGACATGATGATGCAGAACCCGATGGTGAGTGTTTGTCATTGCAGTGCAAGCTCCGAGAGACTGACATGTAATAGATCCGCGACAACCCAATAATGGCAAGAGATGCTCAGGAACGAGGACACCCGCCGCATCGACTGTTCAGCCCAGAAAATGATGCGCATGCAATTACAGATGCAGCGAGCCATGAACCGGAACGGCGGAGGTGGAGGTTCGAGTTTCCCAGCTCCTGGCGCCACAGACAACACACCACAAGCAAGCGCAACAGCAACAGGCGGAGGTGCAACTGCTACACCAAACCAGCCAAACACAACTGGCGCGACCGATCCTGCGGCAGCCGGAGCTGCACAACCGAACCCGTTCGCTAGCCTTTTCGCTGGAGGCGCAAGCCCATTCGCCCCACAGCAGCCGAACACGGGAGACTCGAATGCGAACCCGAACGCGGCAAATCCATTCGGTAACATATTTGGCGGAGGAGCGCAAGGCGGCGGCGCGAACCCGATTGCAGACGGCGTTCAGAGATTGATGCAGAACCCAGAAGCAATGCAACAGATGATGCAGATGATGAACGGGGCTGGAGGAGGCGCAAATCCATTCGGCGGCGCAGGCGCAGGCGCAGGCGCGGCACCCGGAACAGGTTCTCAGGCACCAAATCCGTTCGCCGCACTCATGGGAGGCGGAGGCTTTGGCGGCGGCTTTGGAACACCTCCAGCACCAGCAGACACCCGACCCCCGGAGCAGGTGTACGAGTCACAACTTGCACAGCTGAACGAGATGGGCTTCTACGAGTTCGATCGCAACGTCTCTGCACTACGAAGGAGTGGCGGTAATGTCCAAGGTGCAATCGAGTACCTGCTCAACGGCGGGTCATAGACTGCCCGTCGCCTGAGTGCGCAAGAGGAGGAACAGATCAACCAGTACGAACGCAACGAACGCTAGGAGTATTGTGGCGGTAGTACTCCATCGACCCGAGTGGTTTCGAATCCCAGCGAACTAGACGAGGTCAACTTTAACAGAAGCGAGTGCGGCTCGTGGGACTTGTCAGATGACGAATACTCTGTGAACGGTCGGGGATATTCCTGAGGAGCTGCTGATGTGGAAGACGTTTTCTAGTAGATACAGATACAGATACCAGAGGCATTTTTGTTTCAATGCCAGGACATGATTGATCACAACTATACTCTTGCATTTGACTTCAATGTCCGAACATCGGCACAGTCACTTTCAACTCGAAAATTAGAAGCTAGGGAAGTCATAATTGCCATTCATTGAATCTAACGGTATCATGCTAGTCATGTAAATCATCCATAAACCCCCACAAACAAAAGTTCATTCAACCATAAAACGCCCGCGCAATGCCCCATGCTCCCAGCCCAATATCCATTCATTCTCTTTTCACGAAAGGAAACCCAGCGCCGCGCCAATATGCTTAAACAACCGAGAGAAATAAGAGAGGTCCCGTTCCTAGTTAACATCCATACCATCATCTTCAACCTCCTCGTCGCCCTCCTCTTCACCCCCAGTAAGCACCCCCGCACTGCCCAGACTCCTCTTCCTCGTCGTGCCCGCGCCATACGAGCGGCCTGTAACCTGGCTCAGGAGCTCGAGATCCTCACCGCCAACGACGCGAGCCTCGGGGCCCGATTCGCAGCACAACTCGATTAAGCTGGCGGGATTGAGGTTGCGGAAGCCATTCGTACGGACAAGGCGTCCCCAGTTTTGTAGGCAGTATGCGGCAGCGCGCTGTTTGAGCCAGTCTTCGCCGGCCGTGGCAGCGCGCTCCCAGATGACGGCTGCGTGTTCGATGTCGAGTTCCCGGCCGAGGCGGTTGACGCAGAGGAGGCGCAGGCGGGGCATGTCGTAGATGTTACTCATGACCAACATGCCCGCGACGTCACTTAGACTTGGTCCGTTCTGCGGGTTGGGTGCGATGCTGTCGGTGTAGAGGTAGAAGAGGAAAGCGCGCACTGCCGAGTATGGTTCGGGGATGTGCATCTTCTTAGAGTGGAATTCGGACATTTGAGCGCTCCAGAGACGGGCGAAGTGTGGCCAGCGAGCGTGGAGGATGAGCTTGTGGACGTGGATTGGTCGGGAGACGGCACCGATGGCAGTAGATGTGGAGGACGGACCGGCTTCTATAGCGGATGACACGTCGACATAATCTTCTTCATCAGGGTCGGCGGTGATGATAAAGTCAGCTCCACTACCACTCTCGGGAGGTTGGTCGAAAGTCAATGAGAGGTCAGCACCAATGCCCGTGAGGTGCGATGAGACATTGGCGTCTGAAGCAGGCATCATCTTTGACCGCGAGTCGGAGGCCAGCTCATTGCCTAGGATAAGCCGTACTTGCGCAAGTCGATGAGCGAGTACATCACTAAGATACTCGCCATTGTGGTTTGCATCTCCGGCGGCCTCAATCGGGCTTCCGAGGAGCCATGCGTGAGTTCCTTCCGGATTAGTGGTACAATAATGCCAGCGATAGTTCGGGCTGTAGAGATCCTTGCCATCAGCTAGCTTTTGCCAGCGTAAGGTGTCGAGCTCCAAACTGGACAGACTAGTCTCGGAGGTTAGTTCAGCAGGTGTCACGAAGTCCAGCATGCAGCCAGAGGAGAAGATGTGGAAGTGGGTACCAGCCGCCTGCGAAGGTAAATTTGGACTGGAGTGGAACTTGAGCGAGGAGATGGAGCCTGGGGCTACGTATGGAGAGCGACTGGAGGTCATGCCATGGTAGGATTGTACACTTGAGTTAGCAGTGTAACCAGTGCTGCCAGTCGCCACATGGCCAGAAGGTGGAACCTGGAAACGGTGCCTCGACGAGAGCAGTTGCCGATCGCCTGTGCCAAATTTCATTGCGTGTTCGAACTCCGGGCTGCCGCGTAGGTCGAGCCACCAGATCTCATTATTCTTCTCCATTTCATCATTGATGCCTCCGAAGATCCAAATGCGACCGTTCCAGATCCAGCTGGCATGGTCGTATCGTGGTACAAATCTCCAGGTTCGCGACCACGTCCATGTCTTGAGGTCAAGGTAGCAAATATCATCCAGAACACTGTCATGTCCAGTCTGGCCCCCACTGATGTAGAGTTTATCGTCGTGGATTACTGCCGAGTGACGAGCGCGACCGCGGGGTATCGGGCCGTGTAACTCAGGCTGTGTCCAGTGCGCGGTCTTGAGGTCGAATACTATCACGTCGGCGAGGTGTTGGCGGTGCTCATTCTCTCCACCGAAGACCAGGAGCTTGCTGCCCTGCCACAGACACGCTGTATGGCCCATCCGTACTCCAGGAATATCGCCATAGTTGTCTACAAGGTTCCACTGCCGTGTTGTGAGATTCAGGCGCAGCACATGGTTGTACACTTCGTCGGTGTATTGGTCGAAGCCTCCAAAGGCGTATATCTGGTCATCGCCTACGTACGTGACAGACGCATTGACGAGGCAAGCGGGCTTGGCACCGATGGTGGAGATCATCTTGGGTCTGTAACCCTCGACGGCAGACCTGCGATTTCGCACAGGGCTAGCGGACATGAGAAAAGTGTTGTTGCTCGAGCGATCGGAAGTCGGCGTATGTGAACGGCCGGGTGAGGGAGTGGTGGTGAGGGTGGTGCTGGACTGGTGCGGAGAAAGAAGGGAAGTCGGAGCAATCGGGAGAGCCATTGGTGTCGTGGTTGTTCGCAAAGGGTGTGGTTTAGTTCATGGAAGCCCTCTGCGGGCAAGGTCGCCTTTGTCCCAGGAAGTGAGAATGTTTGAAGCTGGAAGCTCGAGTTGGCTGGCAGTCCCGGCAGAAACCCAAGCGGTGAGCAGTCTTGGCACAGGCGCGGATGATTAATGGCCGCATGAAGTACCAGCCTCTCCGCTCCCCGCTGCAGGAGGCCGTCATCTGGGAACCTTGGTGCCAGCTATTCACCGCTGCTCGCCTGCTGTCCGCAGCAATGCTGCGCTCTCAACGAGCGAGTGGTGAAATCCACCAAGTTTTCAAATCTCGGCACAGCCCCAAGGTGATCCCCTCTTCTTAGAAAATTACTAGGCACAGATGAGAGAGAGGAGGCTGTTAGGTTCAGCCAAAGGGATGCACGCACTGGCAGCAAAGGAACTAATCAGTGAGATCACACGCCAACCTCACTTCCTTCAGCTCATACACTTACTGGCCACCGACGCGTTCAGTCTAGTGTTTCTGGTGGAGTGGAATCATCTGGTGGGACGTCCTTGCCTGCACGTGCTTTCGATACCTCCAGGACCATCATCAAATCGCTATGCACACGACTTCACATGTCTTGCTACTACAGCCAGGTGTCTTAAACAATATCATTTACTCTGCACCACCTTCCGCGCATGCGTGACCAAGCACTTCGCTGGTCGCTTGCAGCGCCTTGCAACACCGCAAGATGCGGTATTTCACAAAGCACGATCATCTCGGGCCAACCTTTATGCAACGACTGTTACTCGGACAATGAGAATAGTAACCGCTTTTGGTGTTCGTTGCCGCCGCACGGCCAAAATGCGGCTGATGTCATGGTTTCTGATGTTCTGGGCAGCCTCGCCTAGGAGTCTCAGCTCGTCGCTGGGCCAACCCAAACTGTAAACAAACGATATTTAATGCTCCTCCTACCTGCCATTCTGCAAGCTCAGTACCACACCACACTTCCACAGTCCGCACTCCCCTCCTCTCCATCTTATCTCCGCCAGCAAGCAATTACTTTTCGAATCAATACTTCCGAGCATCGATTACAGCATTGTCTAATTCAAATCTTTACCACCAAGTACACCATAATGTATGTACATACAGCCTAGACTTATACCCTATCCGGCTAATGCATATACAGCTGAGAGCTAGCAGCCATGGCAAGCGCAGCAGTCTTGACTCCGGTCAAGAGTCGCTCTTCAGTCTTCTCCACCCGCACCGCTGGCGGTCGGATGCCATTGACTCCCTCTCCCCGCACCCCTCGAACCCAGACTCCTGATGTGCAGGCACAAGAGTCTATCCATGGCGGCAACCTCATGTCCCGCTTCCAGCGCTCCATCTCCAAGAAGACACATGATTCACCAAAGTCGAACATCGCCCGCACCACACAGTCACCGCGCCGGTTAGAACTTGGGGTATCAGAATGGTCGCTCACTGGAACTGGTACTACAGCCACCACGAAGACACCCGCCAAGGCAAAGAAGGACAGCACCATCCGCTCAAGGCCCACCAAGACTCGCATTGCATACAACTCCGCCGACCGCTTCATTCCCAACCGCACAGCAAGTGAAGCTATTTGCAGCGCTGGCACCGGCAAGCTCGATCAGCGGCCAAAGTCAAGCTCCAAGGGTGAAGGATCAACAGTACTCGCCAGCGCCGCAAGTGCTTTCGATCTTGGCGGCCGCGGATCAGAGGAGGATGTTACCCTCTCGTTGGAGGGCTTGAACATTGACGACGATGAGGAGGAGAGCCGCGCCAGCACAAAGCCTGCTCCCAGCGCAGCAGCATACCAGTCGACTCTTGCATCAGCATGCGGTATCAGCACCAACACCCGCATTCTTGCGTTCAAGCCCGCGCCCCCAGAATCGTCCAAGCCCATCGACCTCCGCTCCCAGTACAACCGCCCTCTCAAGTCTACTGCTGGCGTCAACGCGCAGAGCCGCCGCCGCATTCCGTCAGCACCTGAGCGTGTCCTCGATGCTCCCGGTCTCGTTGATGACTACTACCTGAACCTGCTCGACTGGTCCTCTGGCAACCAGGTCGCCATTGGTCTTGAGCGCTCCGTCTATGTCTGGTCAGCCGACTCTGGCTCGGTCTCTTCACTCCTCGAGTGCCCCGCCGACACCTACATCTCCTCTGTGAAGTGGTCAGGTGACGGTGCGTACGTTGGCGTTGGCCTCGGTACGGGCGAGGTCCAGATCTGGGACGTTGAGGAGCAGACCAAGCTCCGCAGCATGTTCGGCCACGAGACCCGCGTTGGTGTTATGGGATGGAACAAGCACCTTCTCTCCACTGGTGCTCGCTCTGGTCTCGTCTACAACCACGATGTCCGCATCGCACAGCACAAGATTGCCGAGCTCGTCTCCCACACTGGAGAGGTCTGCGGTCTTGAGTGGCGCGCCGACGGTGCCCAGCTCGCTACCGGCGGAAACGACAACATGGTCAACATCTGGGATGCGCGCGCTCTTAACGCCCCCAAGTTCACCAAGACCAACCACCGCGCCGCGGTTAAGGCTCTTTCTTGGTGCCCATGGCAATCCAACCTCCTCGCCACTGGCGGTGGCTCCAACGACCGTCAGATCTACTTCTGGAACACCACCACCGGTGCCCGCATCAACCACATCGCCACCGACTCCCAGGTCACCAGCCTCCGCTGGAGCACCCACTACAAGGAGATTGTCAGCAGCGGTGGCTTCCCCGACAACAGCCTCAGCATCTGGAGCTACCCTACCGGTGTCAAGAACATGGAGATTCCGGCCCACGAGTCTCGTGTCCTCCACAGCTGCCTCAGCCCCGACGGCCAGATGCTTGCCACTGCCGCCGCCGACGAGTCCCTCAAATTCTGGAAGGTCTTCGAGAAGAAGCCCGGCCAGCCCTCAGTCGCCGCCGCCGGCTCTGCTTCCATGAAGCCCAGCGTCGTCAAGCAGATGACCATCCGCTAAATCTTCTTCGCGAATGAACAAGACAAGTGCGCGACTAGACGCACAAGGAGGAAAAGCGATGTCCCGCAAACATACTGCGGCCACACATAACATCATTACCGGCTTGCGCAACGGAGCCGGTCCATATCATCCAGCTCTACGCGCAACGGTAAGTTGGTAAGTATCACATCTCGTTTGGGTATGTGACGCGATCCTGTAATACGGACTCTCCACATCTACCCTCGGAACATTTGTCAATCACAATCGGCTTTGGTTGCCATATTCAGCGAAGGCGTCTCGGAAGCATTGCAAAGGCGTTTTAACTCTTCGAGCGTTTCACACAAACTACGTTGGATATGACCTGTTACGAACTATGATACCACAGCCGATGGCTTCGAGGGCGCTATCGATATTTTTGGAGGTGCATTGGGATGGATTGGGATAGGCGTCAGAAATGGAGTATTCAAACTTTTGAAATTTGTGCTTTGATGTGATTGATCGTGTGATGTTCTGGTTCGTCTTGCTGTTGCTGAGTGATCCATTGTCAACCGTATCTAATCTTCTTCCCACCTTTTCCCTCCCCCATGGTACAACTCACAAACACGCCTTTTCGCCTCGCATACTCAATTGCATCCCGACCACTAATCCTGGAACAATTGTCCGCATAGATGCTCTTCAGACCCGGCAACTTATCCACCAGCATCTTTATACTAGCGCCTGTAATGTACGAGTAACTGAAATCAACACTCCTCAGCCCCGTCACCTCATGTTCCAACAAGTGCTCAACATCGTCGTCGCCGACCGCCTGCTTCGCGAGATCCAAATGCTGCAGCGCCGGCGTCAAAACCCGTGGTGAGCGCGCAAAAAGACTGTTCGTCTTCTTGTTGAAGAAGCCTACGTTGTCGTCGCTGGGCAAGCCGCGGAATGTCAGGGATTGCAGGGGCGCGGCGCCTTGGAGGGTATGCAGTTGGGCATCCTCGTCGGTGTAAAGATCGAGCAGTTCCTCAATACGGTCTGCATTGACATTGTTCACCTCGAAGAGACTCAGGTGCGTAAGGTCCTGGAGGCGAGAACGCAGCAGTCCCGGAGTGTCTGCTGGAACAAGGTCACTGTCGACTGTGTAATTGAGCGAGAACTTTTGCAATGTTGATGGGAGGGTAGAGAAGTTGGTGTGTACCGTCTTGAGGATGAGCGTTTCCAATGGAAGCTTATGCAATCCATCTAGGAACGTGGCGTTGTGGATTCTATTTGCGACCAGGTCTAGGTATTTGAGATTGGGCGTGCTCGTGAACAGGTTGGTTAGCATTACCGGGGTTGTCGGAAGAAGGACGCCGGGGAAATGCAAGGTTATGTGTTCGAGAGAGGAGAAGGGGTCGTTCCATAATGCGGAATGGCGGGATGATTGAACTTCGTGGAAATCGACGTGCCGGAGTGTCGGCCGCGTTTGCATGATTTGCGTTAAAGTATCCATGGAGATTTGCGGGTAAATGACGAGTTTGCTGAGATTCGGAGCACATTGTACGATGTCGATGAACGTGGAGGACATGGCGTGTGGCAGGCTTATGAACTCGAGATCTGTCAGGTTCTTGCATGCGACCGCGACGTTTTTGAGAATATCGATGTGTTCGAAACGGTGTATAGTGACTCGCGTCAGACGGTTTTCAGAGCGCCGGACGGCTTTGTCGACAAATTTGCGAGGGACGGGGCGGCGTGCGCCGGAGAGATCGAGGTGCATCCATAGCCGTGGCAGATTTGCGACGTAATCTCGCCATCCTCTGCTGACGCGCATGCAGTTGACCAACTGTCTGAAAGTCATGTATTCGAGTACTATCTCGGCGAGTTCGACGGGGAGAATGGTGAGGGGGTCGACGGACTTTGCGGGTGATAGTTTGCGCGTAGTCTTGTCGTGGAGTTGTTGCAGCAGCTGTAATGAGGTTAGGCTTCAGCTCGAGTACAAATCACTAACCGACATACCTTGAAGTACTTGTCAGTTACTGCCACGTTCTTCATGCCATACTTGTAAATCCCCAGCGCTGTTTCCAGCTTCTCCATCTTCTCGAGTATGCTTGCTGTCCTCAAATACCCCTTCACATCTTGCTTGTTGATCTTGATCATCTCCCTGCCATCTTTGACTGCGGCATTATAGTCTTCTAGTCTGTCATATGCTGCTGCGCGATGGTCGAAGAGGCTGAGGGTGGGCATGATTTCGATGCCGTTTGTGAAGGCTTCGACAGCATTCTTGTACTCTTTGAGCTTGTAATATCTTCTCCCAAGCTCCTGGTACTCTTCTAGAGACATTTTGCGAGCCATGACGTGCCTCTCGGAAACTCTTGAGATGATGCAGGGGTTTGTTGGATGATGCAACGTGTAGTGTAGACAGCCCGCGAGTGATTGCTCTATGTTCAGTTAGAGTCCTGCTTGAACAAGTTTTGGGCTATAGCTTTGCAAGAGTCATTGCTTGCAGATTGAAAGATTGAGGCGCCGGTTCGCTGAACCTTGGAGCCGTGGTGGTAAGAGACGCGTCGCGCTAAGAAAGCGCGCTGGCGCGATAGCACGTGTGTCATCGCCATTGCGCTATCGATACCCCGATCGTGCTCCTTTCTCATTGTCATCGAACCATCGCTCTTGTGCATAACAGTATCACTATCGAGCGAATACAACATGCATCGTCTTCTCGTGACCTACGCGACGAGGCGGAAGAGTGCCTGCTCTGATGATGATAAGTTTCCGGTGAACTCGGTAGCCTTTCCAATGGTTCTGTACCATTGGCTACGGATGTCGCCCGATACGAGTAGCATAGCCCGAACTCAGCCCCGCCATGAGCTTGCCTTATAGGAACGAGGAAGGCGCTTTCGTCGAATCTCGAAGAATGCAGCTACGCTGCAGACAAAGATGGCGGAAGGTCTCGCTGCGATTGGCTTGGCAGGCAACATTATTCAATTCATAACTTTCGGGTCAGCTCTTGTCTCCAAAAGCCGAGAAATCCATCGATCTGCCTCAGGCCTCTCAATCGAACTCGTTGACCTTAACGTTGTTGCTCGAGACATAAAGTACTTCAGCAGCCGAATCAGTGCCGACACACGCGTCTCAGACAGACTATATGACATCGCCAAGGCTTCTAGCAATGTCGCCCACGAGCTGGTGGAAGCGGTGGCTGACATTCAGAAGAACGGTCAGGCGTCCATCAGCGGGCCGACCAAGTGGAAGAGTTTCCGCAAGGCATTGAAGTGTATATGGAAGAAAGAGATGATTGACGAACTGAAGTCGAGACTGGAACTACTGAGAAATCAACTCTCACTGCATTTGATTTCAGATACAAAGTGAGTTAGGTATCAAATATTCTGGGAAACTGCTTAGGTCTGTTCAGTGACTACCAGATACACTTATCAAAGCTCGTTCAGGAGTGGAGAAAGCAGAATGAGCGGAGTGGCTACCAGATCACCAACCAAATCCAGGCGTTGGACACACAGCTTTCGATCATCAAACAACACAGTGCTGGCCTTTCATTTGACCATGAATACTGGAAAAAACTACATGATATGCTTTTTAAAGTATCCTATGAAGTTCGGCAAGTGTCCCATGGTCATACTATTCTTCAGAGCCTGAGATATGAGTGCATGGAAACGCGAATGGAAGCGATCAAAGAGGCTCACCAAAGGACATTTGATTGGATTTTTGACATCAACATGGGCCAGCTTGCAGGACTTCATCGGACAATCCCATTCACTGAGTGGTTGCAGTCTGGTAGTGGGATCTACTGGGTCACTGGCAAACCAGGTAAGCTCTACTACTTGTTTCCTTCTTGAATACAATTAATAGGGCCGTTGATAGGGTGCGGAAAGTCAACTTTGATGAAATATCTTTACAGCCAAGCCAAAACTGACAAGCACCTCAATGCTTGGGCCGGCAACGCTACCCTCGTACGAGCAAGCTTCTACTTCTGGAATCCCGGCGAAGAGATGCAGAAGTCCTTGGAAGGGCTCTTACAGACACTGCTTTATCACATACTCCGTACGTGCCCAGAGTTGATACCGGCCCTATGTCCTGAGAGATGGAACGAACAGCATGTCGATATGAAATCGGTCAGACCTTGGACCTTGGGAGAGCTCCAAAAGACCATCGCCGCTTTCCAAGCGCTGCCCCCGGTAGCTGCGAAGTTTTATTTTCACATCGATGGTCTCGATGAATATTTTGGCGACAGCTGGGATGTCATCGACACAATGCAGAACTTTGTTGGTTGTCCCAATATAAAGCTCTGCCTCTCGAGCAGACCTTGGAACAGTTTTCAGGACGCTTTTGGACGATCGAACCCATGCATGCTTAGGCTGCATGAATACACAAGGAAGGACATCGAGACCTTTGCACATGATAATTTAATGTCCTACACCACCCATTCCGATTTTGAGCCACGTCTTTTCAATGATATGATACAGGACATCGTTGAACGTGCACAAGGAGTATTTCTCTGGGTCCGCCTGGTCGTACGCTCCTTACGCGATGGCATCATCAATGACGATCCAGTATCTACACTTCACGAGCGCCTCCGAACTATACCAGTTGATCTCGAACCGTTCTTTGAGCACATTCTTGGCTCCGTTCAGGGCTTTTACCGCACTACAATGGCTGCTACTTTTCTTGCTGCTCTGAGGACCAATCGTCCTCTGAGCATGATGCAGTACCACTTCTTAGAGAAGAACAATTCGGCCTCCTATTTCAAATACCCTTCAAGGCTTTGGAACGACACCAAGGTCGAACGAGCAGTTCTTCAGACAGAGAGGCAATTGAACGGGCGATTCAAAGGCCTTCTAGAGCCATCTTCATCTCGCGCGATACAAAGACGGACTACAGTGGACTTCTTACATCGGACGCTACGGGACTTTCTGAAATCACCGCGGATGGCAGACCTGCTACAATCATGGGCGCCCCGTGATCTCAATGTGCCAATGGCTATTAGTCGTGCTCTTATAGCTACATGCATGTCTATTGACCTGCATCCATCCATGGATAATGTCAAAACCGCGATCGAATTCGCAGCTCACGCCGCGCAAGAGACGAGAGATACCACTCATAGCTTTGCTATTATCGACCAAGCTGAAGCTCTGCATTGGAATGCCCGGCCAAACGAGTCGCATATACACTGCAGAATCCATTGCTACATAGTTCGCTTCGCAATGTCTGTTGGTCACACGGAATACTTGCGCTATCGCTTTCGACAAGATGGTGCTATACTCGATCTCAACATGATTTTGAAACACGCAATAGTATGTCCACTGGAGGCGCATGAGACATTTGACCCTTGTTTACCTCCGGTATCTGATAGCCACGATCAAGACGAAGCAAACACCCCACACCCCGAGATGGCATTTAGAAGTCCCCCTGTACTATCAATGGTGCAGTCCCTGCTCGATTTTGGGGCTGATCCAAACGCTGAAGTTGAGGGTGCCTCGAGTTGGACCGCATTCTTGGATTTATCAATTCAATTAATGGATAGACCTGGTATAGAGCAATGCTGGGGCGTTTTCGGAGCATTCTTCCAACAGCCCATTAGGCTCAACCACAACAAGTTCCACTGGGCAAAGCTGTTCAAACGTGAGCAAGCCATGTCAAAAGACGGCCTAGCAAACAGATTAAAATACCTCCAACGACTCTTCACATTCGGATTAAACCCAAACATGAGCACACACAACACGACATTCTTCGTGCTCTTCCTCAGAACCCTAGTTACAAATTACCTCGACTTCCTCCCCTTCGCGCAAAAACTGCAGGACAATATACTCCGCGAGTTTCTCCTGTCAGGCGCCGACATCACTAAAATCTACCGCGACCACTCAACGCACGGCTGGCTCGACCATTTCCTGCGCGAAATGGTGCAGTACACCGCAGATGGCACGATCCTGCCTCGTATCGAGCAGTACGGTCTTCTTCTCGAACACGGCTTGCAACCGAATGCCGTGGTGCGCAACAACATCACCGTATGGGACAGGATCCTCAAGGCCATGCATCAAGGCCTCCAAGAAGGGCGCTCTAGTAAACCATATCACCAAGCTGTTCAACGCCTGCTGGTCATGTCCTTGGACAAAGGAGCTGCGCCAGATGCCCTTGGCCTTCCGCGCATCTTACATTCTGTGGCGGGAGAAACGTCGTTGCTGTCGCTGGATGAGATACAGGAACTCGAACGAGCGATGAGACCGAGTGATAGAGGAGTTGTCTCGCCTAGCCCCGTGCACAGCATGGGATCTGGCTGGAAACGAAAGAATGGGGATGAAGACGGTTCGGAAGGAGGGCTGCGGGGAAAGCAAGGGAAGCGCCGTGGCGTTCAAAGATGAGCGTTCAGGTTGAGCTTTTGTCGCGTTGTCGTATGGTCGCCTGCATGTACGAGCAGAAGCAACGGCAGCAGTATATGTATTGCACGTTGGGAAGAGCAAGGCTCAGTCCAACCAGACGCTCAATACACAGAGCTTTGCGTGTGCAGATAAGTAGGGCGATTCAAGCTCGTTGATAACACCAAAGAACCTTTCTCTCAACACTTCCATCAAACAGGCCCAAGGTGGGTAGATACAAGCAAGCAAGACGCGATACTATAAGCACAGACCACACGTTCGCATCCAGCATGCATATGTAAAAATAGATATATCAATAAATAGTGTACACAGAAGCGAAGTCGGTAGCATAGTCATAATCTACAACATCGCCGAAAAAATGTGATTCCAGATATGCCTTATGTAGATAGATAGGTGATTCCGCGCACAGAAGAGAGCGTAGGGGGTATATGGCGGGAACGACGAAAATAGTCCGAAACAAGAACCCTAACCAGCAAACAAAGACGTGGGGCGTGAACGAGTCGTGGAGAAAGTTTGTGAAGAAAGAACCATGCTAGGCATTAATAATGAGGTTGCGCTGACTAGTGTCTTCGGGGTAGTTGCCAAAGACAAAGCGGTACAGTTCACGCAGCCACTTGAACTGCTCACTGCGCGCGAGCCATTGCACCGATCGGCCGATTTCAAGAGCCGTCAGCCTGCGGGGTGGTTGGTTGTGAACGGTCCTTAGCGTCGGGTCTGTAAGAACTAGCTTCCTGTAGTTGTCGAAAAGCTGACTCTGCCAAGGGATTGTTCCGAAGCTGTTGGAGGGGAGGGCGCGCAGGAAATCCGGTAATGGGATTTGCCGACTGTAACCTGTTTGCATGGCTGCTTTGATGATGAGGCCTTTCAGTCGGATTAGGTTGTGGTCTTCGCGGCTAGCGGTGGCTGTGGAAGATGTGTGAATAGAAGCATCGGAGTAGGTGGAGAGGTTGGAGGATGAGGAAGACCAGCGATCATGAGTGCGCGTCATGCCAGCTTCAGGACCCAAGACGAGAATGTTCGGGACATTGGGCTCTTGTTCTGCGGGTGAGAAGTCTTCCCGATCGTCGAAGATGGTAGTAGGCGTCTCTGGCTGCATAGGTGTCTGCATCCTCGAGGCTATCGCGGAGTGGTAGGAATCGTTCACGCTAGACGATCGCTCCGATCGCTCTGAGTAAGCGATGTTGGAACGTGACGCAGACGAACGTCCACTCGAGAAGGCGTATTGCGAGGGTCGTGGAGTGCCCCGGTCTGGTCGCCACTTAAGTGACCAACCTTCGCGGAAGAGGTCACACAGCTCCCAACATGCTTGTATGGCTGACCCTAGCAACTCCTCGTCCGCGGGCTTTCCATCGCGACTGTTCTGTCGAAGACTGAAAAGCATCTCGGCTAGCGACCAGCAGGCGTGCAGTAGTGAATCCGTCTCTTCTGGCAGTGATGTCCGTTGCTTCATCAGACGGTGGCATAACGTCAGGTAAAAGTCCAAAGTGCGTTCTCGGAACGTCTCTGGCAGCGTACGGTCATGTGCATTGTAAAGGTGATTGTTCAGTTCGAAGCTGACCCTCAATACCGAGTCGGATGCTTCGTCCCCCCGTTGCCGCACGTCAAACAATGCCTGACAAAAGTCCCGGCATAACTCGAGGGTTGGTTTGATCTGTGCCGAAGGATGCTCGGCTCGGCTCTCGTAGAGTTTCTGACACAGCTTCCAGCACGTCCTCCAAGCGTGTTCCTGTACGTCAGCACTTCCGCCAGAGTAGTGAAACATGCGGGTCCTGTGGTGCTGGCTCAATTTTGCGAGGGAGTTGCAGAGGATCCAGCACTCGTCCAATGCGCTGTGCAACGCAGCGATCTCCCTCTCCGTCTCGTTGATGCCGTGCAGAGCCTCGCCCATTGTTTGGGCTCCTGCAGATTCATCGTGAGACTGCAATGACATGGTTTCATCCTGGTCAATGGCGGAGCTTGCCGACGATTCCGCAGCTGCATTGTCGTCGTTCTCGGCGATATCTTCGACTATCAGCATTGCACAGTGCCGACTTGAAGATGACATACCAGCAAGACTCACGCTCCTCCGCACACTTCGCCGCCTGTTGTCTTCTTCAAACTCTTGGCGTGTTTGTGCACGTGGTGTGCTACGGTCAGGAGGGCCGGCGGGGACGCTGGTGTCGATGGGAGCGGTGTGGGCATAATTGTGCTGTGCATGTTCAGCCTCTATAGCTTCAGCTAGCGCACGGTGGGCATGACGAACCTTGTCGTCGAGATCAGGAATCATGTTGGCCTCTGGTGTTGAGGGGGACACGACGGCAGTGTTGTCCGAGTTGTTTGCACTCGAGGACGCGCCGGACATGCTCACACGTTCCTGGTTCCGCAATCAGCGCCTAGGTAGTGCAACCATGTTGGACTCGAAACGTACAAATTGTTTGAAATGGGCAGGCGCGTGAATGACGGACTGGGGCGCATCGTCCGAGTCTGCGCGCGTCCGCACTGGGAGCGTCGTGTCGAGTCGCGTGGGCTGGTGGGCAAGTCAGACAATTGCGTGCATCACGCCTCGCGCCCGCGCAGTGCATACCATCTCGGGGCGGCTGCTCTGGCTCGCCGGGCTCACGATGTCGTCGGTGCCCGGCGACCGCACGTCGCTCATGCTGTCGTCGCTCACGTGGTTCTCTTGCGCATCGTCCTCAATCTGTGGTGGGGTTGGTTAGCCCCGCCATTGCTCAACGCAGGGTCGCAGCGTCTACCTCGGTGTGGTCGGTGTTGACGGTGCCATTGCTGTCGACGGGCGACGGGTCAACGGTGGCAGGATACGGGCTGGGAGGGGGGACAAGATGGTCAGACGTGTTGGAAGATCTTGGCGACTCCATTAGCACTCGCGTTCGACTCTGAACAGCGTCGCAGCATGGGGGTCCCGCACCTATTTGAGAAGACGTGGGCGAATGGGGCTGGCGAGCTGGGCGAGTCGGTGTAGGGACTGAAGGCAGACTTCAGGTGGCCGGTTGGAGAAGGCATGAGTTGGGTCGCGGTTGCCATGCTTCACCACAACCTCACGGAAACTGCGCCGGGACTGCGCCGCGAAACTTCAACCGCCGCGTAGGCTGCTGGCGGTCGAGAGACAGGCTGCCTGAACTATCGCGCCAACACCCTGCGATGTTTGACGTGCGCAAGGCTGAGCGACGGGTCCGCTGGCAGGGACGAATCAGGAGGGGATGCGCGGCGCGAAAGCACTGGACGAGGGGGCAGCGCTGGCCAGACGGGTGTATTAGAAGAAGAGGAAGGGGAAGAGGCTTTTAGACGCTGGAGCAGGCCGGCTGCCGAATGAAGAGGAATTGGAGGGAGTGTGTGTTTAGTTTCGTGTGCGTGTGTGCGTCTTTGCCTGGGTGGAGATGCAACAGGCAGCTTCGTACCGTGAGCGCAGGCCAACAAGCAGGGCGTGGAGAGCTGGTGTAACGAACTGCTCGCTCAGTGCATGCCCGCCCGCTACAGCCTGTCGGCAAGCCTGTGCCTTGGCGATGCCCTCCAATCGTCGCACACGATGGCCTCAAGCTCCAGGGATGGCTGAAGACAGCGCGCTACTAAGCGCCGAGGGGTGCGACTAGATGACTGCTAACTGCGGGATCGACTCGCCCACGGCTCCAACGACACACAACATCGGATCCTCACAAAGCCCGCCGCTGTGGGCCGATGCGATGTTGACATGTTTGCTTACTGCCGACTGTCGTCTGGTCAGCCTGGACGACGACTGACAACTGACTGCCTACTTCCCTCGCCTGCTTATCACCCTCTCGACCGAACCATGCACAGTCGTTGCAAAGGCCAACGTAAGGCCTCCACATTCCGCGTGCTAATGCACCACCTTCCACACGCAGTCTACCCTGCGAGCTGCGAGCCTTCAGGACGCTGCACCGTTGCGGCACAGCTGAAAACATTCGCCCGTCTGACTGTTTGCTTTATCTCCGCACCTTGGCCCCCTTCATCTCGCATAGACGTGGCCGCCTGCCACCAAGTCATCACGAATACAGTGTGACGGCCCGTCCCTATATGCCAGCAGCATGCAGTGCTGCACGAGCGCACAATCGTCGCGGGCAAACATGGTGTCCACGTTTAGAACCACCCCAGAGCGCTGCACGATCGTCGTTATCGATGCCCTGACTCGTTAGCCCATCTCCAGATTGGCAAGCCGCAAACTCCAGCTACCAGACGCTCGGATGCGTAGCCATACGCCGACCCTCCACGGGCGTTTTCCTCGCTTCGAGATACCAATTGTCAAATGCCCTTAATTCGGTACGACATCCGCGCCATAAACCCAATTGCTATTGAAACCTTCTCCTTCAGCAAGCAGATACCTTGCTCGATATCTGCATGCGGCAACGCGCCGTCTTCTGGATGAGCATGTGCCACTAGCGCGCATGTAATTAGCCGCGCCAACACGCGCCGTGGGCGTACAGATCCTCAGAGCGAGAGGCCTGTTTTCTGACCGACAATGCTATTGTAAATGTTAGCCATGTGGTTGCAGATCGGGTCTGCTTGACAGGCTTCAGTTGTCTCTTGTCACTGACTCTGATCAAGGTATCAACCTCACCGATCACAACTCTGCAACATCTGAGCCTCAAAGCCACATGCCCCCACTTCTCTGGACAATGCCTTTTGAGGATCACTTTTCACACGAAGCCGCTACTGCCCCGCGCCGAAGTCCACGGGCGCTTACTGACATGCTTTCTTTGGCAAATGCTAAAGCCAACACCACCACGTAGCCTGCTTAACTACTTACAGGTAAGTGGTCTGGTGGCACGGCTTCTGAACAATGGCATCCCAACTCAACGCTATCGATGCTGGCCATGCATGCTTCCGGCAGATGTACATTAGACCACAAGTACGTCGCCGACATCCTTTGTCTACTACAACACAGCCTTTGACTAGTCGCGGGATAGTGGAGTCCCGTAGCTTGCGTATCATGGACAGGTGTCCAGCATTCACGAAGCAAAGCCACCAACAAGCCCGAAGCGCTTGTCCACCACCCGCTAACGCCACGGAATCAATCACGATCAAAGAAGAAAATCCATCGACCCACCCAGACACAGCCGAGCTCCAACATTCCTGACAACACACATCGATCTCTCCTAACAAAAGCAAGGCGGGAAAAATCTCTACTTCACCGATGACCATGCGGCGGAAGGCTCACTGGCCCCGTGCCACACTCACAAACAAATCTCCGATCGAATAAACGCTATTTACTTGATTAGCTTGTACAACCGCCATGTCTCAGCCCTATCCGCGCCCCAATATGGATGGCGTTTGTTTGTTGCAGTCTGCCTTGGGCGGAAACAATGCTATTGTACAGCCTTGTGGGACGGCGGACACGGCGTGAAGATTTGCATGTGTGTAGATGAGGCTTTGTGTGTAGATCGTGAGTGTCACCAACTCGGTTGAGTGTAGCCCTTGGGGCACTGGGGCGTAGTGTTGCAGCCGAGATGACTTGACATCATCACCAGAGATGTTGTAGACGGCAAGGCTCTGTGATGTTCGACGCCACGTATGGACACTCGAGAGGTGAGACATACACAATGTCATCCACCTCAAATGGAGAGTAAATTCCAATGACACAACACCAACCTGACACAATCGCAAACTTGTCAAGGCTATCACACTGCTACTTACCCACTGTAAACTGGTACTGGCGGCTGTCGTTTCTACCATCTGTACATCAATTTCGACACAATTCCTCTCCTATGCGTCCACTCCTTACACTTTCACCTCGCTCATATTCTTCACTAATCCACACTTCAATCTCTGGATTTCTATTGATGGTCGTCCCTCTTTCTCCGTCAAGCTCTAAGCTCTCTCAACTTTGTCCGAAGCGCATCCTCCACGGAACGATCATCTCATCCTGATTAGTAACAAGGCCTTACCAGGCGTCTGGTTCCAAGGCCCAATCCGTCGGCATGCAAATCTTTGCTTCTTGGTGAGGACTTGCATGCGAATGTGATGTTAACGCTGGTATTTGGACGGGCAATGTATATTGGAGAAGAGGAGTGGGATTACCCATGATGTTCAAGGTCGAGCTATGCTTACATCTACCTACCGCGTGCGGAGTACTTGAACATGACAAACACCCTACCGCCCCAAGCGAACCCCTCCAACATTTCCCAACGAACACGGACGTCTCTTCACCGCTGAACAATAACCCCCAGCCCCTCCCCCAACCCCTTCACCCTCCCCTCCACCGTCCGCTCCGGCACCCCCAACTCCACGCAAATCTGATCAAAGCAGCACAAGCCGTCGAGAAAGCGCAGCATCGGCAGCGCATTCTCCGTGCCCATGCCCATGCCCTCAGCACCCGTCTCCTCCCTCGTCGACGTAGCCAGACTCGTCGGCGGCGCCGTCGACCCCGCGCTCGTGCTCGCAATCGCGTATTTGTGCACGCGGTACACGAAGCCTTTTATCACGCCAAAGGTAATCAGGCGCCGGACGTCGATGCCAGGGAGGTGGGAGAGGTTAGCCAGGACCCAATTTTTCAGCGTGAGGCCTTGGCGCAGGGAGGTATAGAGGTGGATCAACGTCGTGTGTGGGATGTGCCATTCTTCTTCCTTGTCGTCGTCTGTAGATGCTGCGGTGGGTGAGGAGGGGGAGGGGTGTTCGAGTATAGTAGTAGAGGCCGTCGCTGCGCTGCCGAGGCGTAATCTCGGCACGCGGATGTAGCGCGCGCATTCATCTTTGACGTCTGGGTCGAGTACGAAGCCTCCGATCTCCGCCGTCGGCGCGTATATGGCGCTGAAGCTGAATATGTCGAGGAGTACGAGGCAGCCGTAGTACACGAGGTGTTGGATGGCGCGGCGCGTGAGGGACAGATCTGTGTCGGCGAGGGCCGCGATGCGCGCGATGCTGTGCACGCCGTTGATGTAGGGCAGGATGCGGTTGAGAGTCAAGTCCGAGGATATGGGGGATTGCAGGGAGGAGAGGGAGATTGTGAGGAGGGGGACCTGGTGCGAGGAGATGGGGGGTGGAGGAGGGCGGGTAGGGAAGAGTTTGAGGTTGATTGTGTTCGAGTCGTCTATGTGTTGCTGTTAGCATTGCATGCCTTGTGGGATATCTAGACGTACCGATTGGTATCATGCACTCGGCATAATTGTTCAGATCTTCCAACACCATCTCGCACAGGGCATACACCTTACTTCCGCCCCCGATATCTCCCTGAGCCACTTCATCCATGTCCCACACCCCTTCTTCCTCTTTACTCAAGAATCCACCCTGTTCTTCCAACCCCCTCAGTAACCTCCCAAGCTTTCTCACCACCTCGCCATAACACGCCCAATCGACCTCGCTCTCCCCAATCACAAGCGCAAAGTTGAAGATGAATTCATTGCGACTGTACTTCGCGCCTTGTATGCATACCGGGTAGCCAATAATGCGATGATGATTGACGACGAAGGTGAGCAGGCGGTCGCAAAAGTGCTGACTGGGGATCAGGTAGCTCGTCACAGAGGAGAAGGGAAACAAAGTCTCCGCGAGGTCGGATTTAGACGGCTTGGGCGAGGGCGTTATGCTGCCCGGCGGGACTTGGTGGAGTACGCGAGAACCTGATGCGCGCATTAGCTTTTGGGTGCAAGATTGTGGGAAGGGCCGGCGTACCCTTTTCATGGTGGAAGCGCGTGTAGAAGATGGCTTCGATTGCGCGCGTAGGCATTGAGATGTGTAGTTGCGTTCACTGGGAGTTTATGGTCTACATGGTGAGTGGTGGAGGAGAGAGGTTCGCGACTGCGGGGAGCTTGAGGGAACGATGGTTCGCATGACTCGCCTAGCCTCATGCTAAATTCATCATTCACGACCAGTTACCCGAGCACAGGATCTTCTTCTCTATCCGGACACTCAGGATGCAATTGATTTGGACGCAGTCGCAGTACACAGTCAGTACTACAATGCCGCTTTGGTGGTATTTGAAGCAAGAGAAACTACATACGAAAAGTTGCGAAAAGTTGTGAATGGCTTCAGAAGTCGGTGTTGAATACTCAGGATACGTAGGTAGAGATGGCACATATTGATGCTACTTGGTAGAGGCTCAATAATGCAAAGCCACTAGATCACACTCAATATTTTTCACGAGAGTCTGACAATAGTTTGCAATGTCCTAGGCCCCTGACCGACTCACTGGCGATGCAGTATGGACAGATACGATCGAAAATCGGATTTTTGAACACATAATAATTTCCCATTCCCTCCTCGATTAACAGCAGAATGCGTACGATATCGGATACAACTATGAGTCTATATATCACGGACATGGACAGTGTGCGCAGCCCCCCTCTATCTGAGATGCCAAGCTCAGGTGTTCAACTTCACACCATGACATACTTCTTCAGACCAAACTCTACTTAATTGTCCTTGGGACATTCGCAAATAGGTCGCTTAGTCTCTTAATCAGTTTCTAGAAAGACGTGGGTGCATTCGCGATTGACCATCCCGGTATCGTTGGATCAACGTTGATCACTCGATAGTGATCGTGCTCCTCGGGTCTGGAAATGAAAAGGATGCTCATTCCGAGAAGACCAGCAACCAGTCCACCAGGTCGCATATCTTGTCCCGCATCCAAACGGCATATCAAACCCGTAGACCAATCTCTGTTATACAATGACAAACTCTCGCATACCAAAATCCTCACAGCTTGTGAACAGATTCCCAGGCCTATTCCGATCCAAGGTATTCCACGCGTCTCCCTCTTGATTCCTGAGAAAGCCATGACCCCAACTGTGATCGACTATATTGCAAACATTCACCATCCGATACGAACCATCCCCGTTTCCCCGCAATATGAACGGAAAATTAATGCCAAACAGCCCAGCCACGACATCGCCCGTGCATATACCCCCGACAACATCCGGATGGTACGAGAGGCCAACGTGGCCGTTTTCCGTAACAAACAGCGTCCGGTTCGCCGCATTGCGCTTGATGTCGACGCAAATCTCCTGCACTGCATCCCACACCGGCGCCGAGACGCTCGAGCGCCGCAGCCCCAGATCGAAGAGCTGCAGCGCTGCCTGCTTGGGGAATCGATGGTACACCTTGAGATCGGTCCACGGGCGCAGTAATCCGCGCACAAAGGTTTCCGCGCTCACGCCGCAGGGCCGCGCCATGTCGTGGAATATGTGGTACACGCTGAGTGGGAGGCCGGTGTGCAGACAGGCGTCGCCCATGCTGTACAAGCGGTCTCCAGAGGTCTTTTTGATCTCCCCGAGAACAAGGCCTGGGGCGTGGAGCTGGGTTAGATCGGCGGAGAAGCTGGCAGGTGGAAATGGTAATTGGCGGCACATGTTGCCCAAGAACTGCTCAATCGGAGTGTCATACTGCGACCGGCTAAGAATCGTGGTCGGGCGGTGATATGTCTTGCTGGGATCTGTGTCGAAATCTGTGCGATATCCGGTATAGCCCACGTGTTTCTTTGTATATGCGGCTCCCGTGATTCGGAGATCAGGCACCCAGGACGGCAAGTGTGGCAGTTTTCGCAGCTTCTGGCTCTGCCGCAATGGGTGAAGGGGCGCGTGGAAATAGATGGCGAATTTCCCTTCGCGCAATACGGCAGCGGCAGCGGCAGCGAATACCCCTTGACATGACATAGTGTAATCAGGCTTAATGTCCGTGCTAGAAGGATCCGAGATGCCAATGATGCTGAACACTTTGTCACGCGGGTCGGTCGCTGAGAGATGGACTGTGCGGCAGAGCTGGGAAGAAAAGGGCGTGTTACAGCTGACCTTGACAACTCTCGCAGCTGCTTCGGCGAGCTCAGGTCGAGTCCTTGGGTCGAAGTTGTGGTGCGGCAGCCATGTCATGAACCGCTCGAACGAGTTCCATGGAAATGAGAATGAGCCAACATGTATCATTGCATTTTTGGCTAGTGCCAGCTCTTGCACTACCCATACTCTTCCGAACCAAGCGCGGTCTATAAGTCCGTGAATGGCATCGAGTAAGCATTCCTTTGGATTGACTTGGGTCTGGGCCTCGACCAGCGAGCTGATGCTGCATGCATAATCGAACAGTGTTGTGGGAGTAGGGCTTGCGTTGGAGAAGTGGAATTGCATTGCCCCAAGTATTGCTCTCAGATGCAGATTCGTCGGGTCGACAGGCCCAAGCCAGATAATCACTCTCCCAGCAGTTCTGTAGATGTTTCCCATGATCCGCACTTGGTGGTTTCGTTCCTGCACATCCTTCTGGTTCATCGAAACTGCATCAATCCATAGAAAGCGCTTGCCCACCACGAGGCGTAGATGACGTATGGCGCAATCCAGGTTTGCTGTGATCTCAACGGGTATCTCATTAAGTATTGCTTCTTTTGAAGCCATTTTCGTACCCCCACACGTATGACAAGGCCTCGTATGGTCGGGACTCGTCCGCTAGATTGCTGTAGACGAGTCGCATGGTGATGGTGTCATTTCAGTCGCCCGGAAAAAGCTCAAGCAATCGTATGTCTCCATCTTCCGAATTGATATGTGTATATGGTGACGGTTTGGTGACAGTGATTAGTCCGGGAGCAGAGTTGCGTCTATCGCGACCTATCTTTCGTGGCAAACGTGCGCTGCGTGGCATGACTGTTTCTGGTGAGAGAGTGACGAGGCTTAGGCCATCGATAGTAGAGGGGAAATGTGGAGCGGCCGCATATTACGCAAGACTGTTGCTTTGGGCATGTAGAAGAAGGGTGTGAGAGAAGGAGGTGGAGGACGTTGCTTACCTGAGCGAAGCAGTGGTGGCGCAGCACATCTCAAGGCCACAATGATCAGGCTGAAGTCAGTGACAGTAATACCTCTATGATTCACCTCACAGTGACTTTGAATGCTCCGTTTGGCGGCGGGTTGCTTCTAATTCCCCTGGCTTTACCTGGCACTTGCGCAGTTCAGCGCGATTGTAACTTGACGCCAATTGCGAGATCAATCCTGTGTGGCTTGCGCGCGATTCATGAATTGCAGAATATCAATATCTTGTATGCACACTTGTGAGGGTATTGGATGGATACTTGATTCTACCACTCAGCTACTTCCCCTTCCTTCGGACTTGACGCACGCACTATCTTATCGCAGTTTAGCAGACACAACGGGTCAAATGCCTTCTTCAATTGCCTCATTGCGTCCACGGTACTCTCGCCCAGCTCATGCGGGAGATAGTCGCGCTTAACGAGTCCGACTCCATGTTCGCCTGTCGCCGTGCCTTCGAGCTCGATTGCGCGCTTGACCTGGTCGTGCACGAGGTGTTTGGCCTTTTCGTACTCTGTTTTCTTGTTGTACAGAATGATCGCTGGCGGAGCGGTTAGCGAGTCCAACAAATAACCTCCCCCGCGTGAAGGAAAAAAAAGGGGAAGGAATGAGGTAAGAAGTGCATCCAACTTACAGTGAAAATTCCCATCCCCAACATGTCCCACTATACTCGCCAACAACCCACTCTTCCGTATCTCCTCCTTCGTCTCCTCAATAATCTGCGGCAATTTCGAAATCGGCACAGCGACATCCGTCGTCCAAACAGCCATATCCGGGTCTCCCCCCGTCTTCGCCATAACACTCCAAAGCGCCTCTTTCCGCGCCTGCCACAAATCCTCCTTCTCCTGCTCGCTCTTGGCGAATTCGAAACTCACGCTGCCTGCGCGCTTCGCAAGCGATTGGACCTGGCCGACCTGCTCTTTAACTGCATTGGGCGTGCCAGCGAATTTGAAGAATAGCGTCGGTGCGTTGGCCCATGTTTTGGATGTTTGGCCGGCGTCGTTGATGCACTGCATTTGCACGTCGTCCAATATCTCAATAGCAGCGATGGGCACGCCCGCGCCGACGACGCTGAACACGCAATCGGCCGCAGCACGTATGCTGGGAAACGCGCACACGGCGACGGAGGTGTGTTGGGGTTTGACTGTGACTTTGAGCGTGGCTTCGGTCACGAGACCGAGTGTGCCTTCGCTGCCGATAAACATGCGCGTGAGATCGTAGCCGGCGCTACTCTTGCGCGGTCTTTGGCGGGTTTTGATAATCGTGCCGTCGGCGAGTACGACCGTCAGGCTGATTACCCAGTCCTTCATGGTGCCGTAGCGATACGCGTTTGTGCCAGAACACCCCGTGCCGACCATGCCGCCTATCATCGCGCCTGGGCCGGGGTCCGGCGGGAAGAATAATCCCTCTTTGGCGAGTTCTTCATTGAGCAGTTCCCAGCCGACTGCAGGTTGAACCACGACGTCGAGGTCGTCCTTGTGCAGTTTGAGGATCTGGTCCATGCGGGAGAAATCTATACATATGCCACCCTTTGTCGCGGCGAAATGGCCCTCCAGACTTGTCCCGCCGCTGTATGGCGTCACGGGGATTTTGCGCTCGTGGCAGATTGCCATGATGGCGCTGACTTCCTGCGTGCTGCCGGGCTTGACGACGCAGAAGGGTATGTCGCCTGGCAGCGCGGGATGCGAGGACCACGACGACCCAGAGTGTGATGCGAGATCGTTGCTATCGAGCGAGATATTGTCTTTCCCCACGATGTCGCGGAAATCAACCCACGCGGCCTCCATATTCGCTTCCGAGAGGTTATGTCTCGGCGGGATGAAGGTGAGAAGCGGCGCGGTGGACGACGTATCGCCTTTCTGTGGAATCATTTGGCCAAAGTAGAATCCGATTCCAGCCGCGAGGACAGCAACTATTCATCTTCGTATTAGCCTCATTCCCATACAGCCACGTCCATGGACGAATATAACACACTTGTGACCGTAGCCCAAAACTCCCCCTCTCGCCGTCCTCTGCTGCATCGCCACGATTTCCAACTGCTCCGCCTTCTCCCTCTGCACACGATCGAAAATGCTCTCTTGGCAACTGGGTAGTAGAAAGGCTTCTCCTCCGGCCCCGTCTTCTCCTTCTTGCTCGCCCATCTCATCTGCGTCAATCGTCCGGCACCGAGTCTTGCGCCATGGAGCGTCGTGCGCGCAAGCGAAGCCCGCGGCAAGCTGCGTAGCGACATTGCGATCATGAAAAATCGCACACCATGTCTTTTGGCGTCTTGTGCGTTGTCGTGCGGGGAAGGAGTAACTTTTGTACAGCGCGGGCGCGGGAATGATGTCGGCGGCGGGAGATTTTCGGAAAAGAAGTTGCGGAACACGTCCGTTCCCAGCGCTGCGGTTCACGGTGCGGTGCAGATCTCAAAGAGAAACACGACGTCTGCTAAACGCTTACTTGCCTGTTGTCCGTGGATACGTGCGTAGTACAAGATTACACAGTCCGAGACATGCATTTCCGATTTCGACATTCGCTGCAGGCATCACGCAATCTTGTATCCCAGCACAAGTAAGACCAACACATTGATAAGAATATGCAATTGCAGCTCCACCAGAGCGAGCGCATCGCTGCATGTAGAAATATCGCAGATGAGCTGTAATAAAAAGACAACGCCTCCAATCCCCCTTTGAGTGTGTATATATAGATGATCGCCGCCTTAGCCGCACGTGTATTGCAAATGCGCCATGCCCTCGTATAATGCAAAGAAGTCATAAAAGACGTGATCGTGAAGAAACCAGACGCCGTGCTAAAAATCCCAGGAAAGAATATGCAAGGAAGAAAGAATGATGGGCATGGATGTTTTCATCGCCCCGACATCCTCAACAGCCGCGTCTTGAACCACGTCACGAACCGCAACCACCTACCCTTCGCCTCTCTCCTCTTCGTAACCTGCGGCGCCACACCCGCATTCTTCTCCACGTCGACGGTAGTCACGTACTTGGGCAGCGAATTCGAATGTGCCTGTCGATGATCAGAGTATTGGCGGCCACCGACGCTTGGCCTCGGTGCCTTCTCGTCAATCACCTCAGGCCGGTCGTGAGCTTCCGACTTGCGTTCTTCCTTCTTCTGCTGTCTCCGCGCCTCGCGCTCGGCGGCTTTGTGTGCTTCCTTCTCGTACTTTGCCTCTTTCGCGCGCTGGTCTGCTTCGAACTTTTCTCGCGCGGCGCGGATACTCGCTGCGCGACTTGCCGCATCTATAGGCGAGTCTCTGCCTCCACGGATAAACCGTGTCGCGTGATCGAACGAGGTGCGCGAGCTGGGGCTCGTGGCCGTATCGATGGATTTGAGTGTGTCACCGCGCGAACGGGCGGACGCATTGATCGGCGACGTGAGCGAGACGGAAGACTGCGAGTAGCTGGCAGCCAGGCGTGTGCTGGAGTTGTTGGTATGGATGCGGAGGGAACTTCCTGGTACCGAGGAGAGCGAGCCGGATCGCCGACCGGGGTCATACGCGTTCTGTCGCAGCCGGAACTCCTCATCAGACATGATATCATCGGCCTCCTGCTCGCTGCCCAAAATGGATGGCGGAGCAGACGGCGACATGGGATTTGATGATACGTAGGAATGTGGTGTTTGGCGGATTGGCGGGAGCGGTGTTGGGCGCGGCAGACCGCCTGATGAGGCCGACGTATTGGAGGTCGATCGCGTGTGTCGGTGACGGCCATTTACAGGCACAAAGGTAACGTCGGATATGGTTCTCGAATAGTTGTCTCCGTAGTCTGCGATGCCCCAGGCCCGCCAGGCTCTCGTTCTCCGCGGCGGGTCGTGACCAGGTCCAGGCCATTGCTCTGCTCCTTGGGACGACAGCTTGGCGCAGGTACGGCTTGATCTTCAGCTGGTGTTGTGATGGCGTAGCGGTCGGCATGGGGCGCTTCGGTTCCCTATCCAGGGCTCTTCGTACGTCGTCTTGGGCGTCTCTGAGCGGTTAAAAGTAAACGAGCCCGAGTTGCGAGCAGGGCTGAGGGGGCTCGTCACGCTCGAGGCGGAGTTGCCTCTCTTATGGAGACGCGCATGCGACGCCCGCTCCCTGGCCATTGGCACGGCAGATGGGCGATGCTGCGCAGACGATGTCTGGATCTTGGAAGCGTGCTACCGGCGTGGCATGTCCAGACTAGAAGAAGTGGTGGACGGGGTCGCACAATCACCAAGCCAACATGACTTCACCAATATGTCGAGTCCGCGGAAGGCCGGCACGGATGCTGGATGGGGATGACGGAGGGAGCGCAGGACCACTTGAACACACGGGCCCGTTGGCTCACAATCCGGGGGGTCAATCTCCCTTCCAAGGCTCGCGCACCAAGCAGGGAAGCCAGGTCCTATGAAGTGTGAATGATGGCAGCGTCGGCGGCCCTCGGAAACGGCGGAGTGAGGTGCCTAGGCGTGCTAGCAAGTGGCAGCGTAATCGACAGTACGAATACAGCACTGCGCACTCTCCGCAGCACGCAAGACGGCTCACCCGGGGGCTTATATGCAAGTGCAGCCAGCCTGCACCGCGGTACGCCTGCGCTTATCTGTGGTTCCAAATAAACAGACGGCGTCTCCGTCCGTCCCATCTACACTACACACTACCCAGCCGTAGGAGCCCACAGTAGCGAGGTTCAACAACACCGACCCGCATGCATCCATTCGTCTGCATTCCACGCGTTTCACCCCATCGTCTTCGTCGCCCTTCCACGCTGTCCGAGGCACAGCCAGCTCACGCGCAGCCGCATGCATGCCTCACCTAAGCATTGCCCACTCCACTGAGATCGCTGCCACTCGCTGCCAGACGTTCCGCCTGCCGGGGTGACCAGCACCAGCTCCACACATGGGCCTGCAACCTGCAAACACCTCAGGCCAGACACGCATCTGGAGCATCTGGTTCATGCACCCTCGTCACTAACGCGGGGAAACAGTGAGCCCGAGCGCGACCGTATTGAATGTCGTGCCTTTTTCCAAGTTTCTCTTCACGCGCTTGCCAAGGTCGTGAGTCTGGAACGTCCGCCCGTCCATGCGTGTTGCAAGTGAGCGTTTACCCCACGTTCAATAAGTCCCTCACACTTGCGTCCATGGCAACGCGGCGCATCATTGCGCCGCATCGATGAAAGAGCATCACGTGCGCGCAAAACAGCTAACTTTCACTCACAGTTCACATGTGCACGTCTATTATTCTCATGCTGTATCATACAATGATGAAGCTTCCAACCAGTTCAAAGCTCGCTCAAGATGCAATTAAAGGGCCTCTAGTATTGTACATTAATCGAAAAGAAGAAAAAGAAAAGAAAAACACAAGCCCCGCCTGTCGCCGTCGCTGTCTGTCTCCTGGCCATATCTTCCAGAATAATGTGATGAAACGCCGTGCCATGCAATGCTAACAACCAATCAAGAAATCACAAGCGCCAATTTTTATGTAAAGAAAGCTACACACAGGCAGGGTAGGGCAGCTGAAGTGGCGAATAAGGAACATGGGTCGAGAGCTCGTAGCTCCAAAGACCAGTATCGAGAGTTCATGGCTCTAAAGAAATGAAGTTCGGGAGCTCGATGCTCCAAGGGAAAGTTCGCAAGCTCGTGGCTCTGGAGAAAAGCTCGATGCTCCGGAGAAGGATTTCACGAGCCCATAGCTCTAATAAAGGATCGTGAGCCCATGGCTCATGTGTCGAGTAACAATGTTGCTGGCTGAACAACATTTGTAAAGAAATGTCTACGATGGCAGACTGGCGTTGTACTTCTCGGAAAACTCCTGTGCAGTCTCGCTCATCCTGAATGAGATGTAGAACTGCGCGATGCCGCCCTCCTTCTTGGGCATTGTAGCTTGAACCATCTTGCCGCTGCTGCCGATGACCTGTGTCTTCAGCTTGGGCAGGATAACGTAGTTCAAAGGTGTTGCACCGCTAGCTATGCGGATGCGAACAAAGCACTTGCCGGAGACCTTGTCCTTAAGAAGGTACAATGGGCCGCGAGCAAAGTTCTCCCAGGTCTTGCCGTTACCTTGGTCGACTTGGTGCTTGGCAAGTGCTATTTCAGTCTCGAAAACGACTTCATTAGACTCGAGTTCCTCGGGGGTGAGCTTGGAAAGGTCGACTTGCTCTTGATTACCACCCTCTTCATCATCCTCTGCAGCGCTGGTATCGGCCTCAGAAAGAGGCGTGGCGGCACGGGAGGAGAACACGGAAGACGGGGCGGAGCCGAGTCCACTTGTCGGTGCTGTCAACGACGAGCCTCCTGTCATGGGTCCAAAGTTGAAAAGTGGATGAGCGGGCGGTGGCTTTGATGGTGTAGTAGAGGTGGATGGTGCTTGGAAAGAAAAGGCGGGAACTCCGCCCTTCTTCTCTGCTATTGATTCACCAAACTTGATCGGAGTTCCAGGTTTGTACGTCTGATCGCCCGCAAATGTGTCCGAGCTAGGAGACGCAGTCTTCGACCCAGCCGCGGAGAAGTCAAAGAAGCTAAAGGGTTTGCCTGCTGGGGTTGTACTCCCATTGGCCTGGCCAAATAGAGCCGGCGAGTTGTTCTCCTTCTCAGACTGGGTGTTATCAGCTGGTGTCATGCGCGACAGCAGGCTACCTTTGGGTGCAGCTTCTGGCTTCTGACGCTTAGCTGCCTCGTCGAGGGACTCGGTCTCTTCATTGTCTGGAGTTCCGAACTTGCGCTTGGGCGGAGTCGTTGGCTCGACTGACCCGACAGGATGCTGCTCACCATCGTCCTCAGACTCATCCTGGTGGTTGGACGAGGTTCCTGAAGACAGGTGGCCGAAAATGTTGTTCGAGGGGGTTTTTGCTGTGCTAGGAGCATCAAACACTGAACCGCCGGTCGACGAGGCGGGGCTGGCAGGTCGAGAGCCAAACAGGCCGTTCGTCGATGAGCTGGTGGAGGTGGCGGTAGGCTTCGATGATGTGGGCATGGAGAATCCTTTGGCAGCTGCAACTGCGGCCATTCTCTTTCGCAATGCGTTCAGCCTCTTCCTGATCGTATCTAGCAGACCACTCCTCTTCAGTTTCATCATCAGAGTCATAGTCCTCGTCCTTGGCCTTCTTCTTTCTCTCCGCCGCGAGTTGCTCAAGGGTCTTTGCAGACTTTGCAAACTGAGCTGCGAATCCGCCACTACCACTTGAGACAGTAGGCTTGAACCCGCCACTGCCACTTGGAACAGACGGTTTAAATCCGCCACCACCGCTTGTTGATGCAGCGGCGGGAGTCGGCTTGAAACCGCCACCACCGTTTGTTAAAGTGGGAGCTGGAGTTGGCTTAAAACCGCCTGTGGTAGCTGGGGCTGAAGTCTGAACTGGCTTGGAAGCAAACTTGTCAGATGTCTCCGAAGGAGCGGATGGCTTCTTCAGTGCTGCAGCAAAAAGGTTCGAGGTAGCAGTTGCAGGTGGGTTGAGCTTGGGAGTAGATGCTGAAGGCTGCGGCGTAGGAGTAGCTGGTGTCTCGGCAGGCCGTGCGCGTTTCGAGGGTGACGCATCGCGATTCTCGGGGCTCTCATCGTTGACTTTGCGCTTTGTAACGGTCGCTTCGTTACCAGTGACACCCTTCGCATTCGCACGTTGCTTCTTGGCAATGTCAATCTTCTTCTTAATCGCTGAGCTGTGCTGGTGATGCCAGAGTGATAGGGCAGACCAGTCCGCTGTCGCTGAGAGATTGCTCAGCTTCGTGCGGTATTTCTCATTCAATTGCTGTAGCTGCGCAGTCAGGTTGCAGATCAGGTGGAACGAACTGTCCCCGCCCTGAGGAGCGGACACGGTCGCTGCATTCCACTCTTGTGGGACATGTGCTTTGGGAATCTTAGGTAGCTCTGTGCCGCCAGTGAGGGCAGGCATTGAGGATGGTGCAGATGCGGGGGCCGGTGCTTGCTGAGCTGGTGAAAACAGATTTGGACGATCGGTAGAGGGCGCGGGAAGCTTGGAGAATGGGTTGGATGCTTCTTTCGCTGGAGCTGCTTGTGTGGTTGAGCCCTTGGATGCCTCCGGGGAAGACGCCGCTTGTGACTTGAAACCTGAGAATGACGGCGTAGGCTTGAAGGTGTTGCTTACACTCTTGGCCTGGGGTTGAGGGGTCTGTGAGAACATACCGGTGCTGATCTTGGGTTGCGCACTGAACAGACTTGCTTTCGGTTTCTCTGCCTCTGCTGTCTTCGCTGGTTGAGGTGTACTCAAGGCACTGAACAGATTATATTTCTTCGCTTCGGGTGCCTTCTCGGCCGGTGGCTCGGCAGCCTTCTCAGAAACCGCCGCTGACTCCTTGCTCTGTGCCGCGCTGAGAAAGTTGAAGCCAGGGCTGTTGGTCGTGGTCGGTCCCTTGGACAACGAGGCAAACAGGTTTGGCTTGGGAGTCTCTGAAGACGCACCGTCGGCCGGTTGAGGAGCCTGAACACTGCTGAATAGCGAGGGCTTTGAGGTCTCCGCAGCTTCTGCAGGCAGCTTGATAGCGGCAAAGGGGTTGCTCGCGCTGGCAGGGGTCTTCTCTTGCGCCTGCGCGCCAAAGGTGAGCGAAGTGGACGATTCTGATGGCTTTGGGAGCGATCCAAAAGGATTACTAGCAGCCGCAGAGGTGGTGGCATTGGATTGCGCACCGAAGGTGAAGGTGTTCTGTGTAGGGGCAGTTGCTGTCGCATTCTGCGTACCCTGCGCACTTGTGCCTGTGCCGAGGAAGTTGTTTCTGGACGTCTCCTGATGTGCTCCATTCTGTGTGTTGCTGCCAAAGCCGCCACCAAAGGCATTGCTCTGCGCTGGCGCCGCGTTGTTTGACGACGCGTTAACACCGCCAAACATGTTGGTGGGTGCTGATGTGCCTGTAGACTGCGCGCTCGAGCTGGTGGTGCCAAACATATTGCTAGAGGGTGCACTGCTGGTGGCGCCGAACATGTTGTTGGAGGGTGCGCTGCTGAGCATATTGTTGGCGGGTGCGCTGGTGGTGTTGAACATGTTCGAGGCAGGAAACGCATTCGAGGTGGGCGCACCGCTAGCGGCACCGAATATGTTGTTGGTGGGCGCGCTCGTGTTGGCGCCGAACATGTTCGAGACAGGTGCACTGCTGGTTGTGCTAAAGAGATTGTTCGAGGGCGCGCTGGGGGCGTTGTTCTGCGCAAGGCCACTGAAAGGATTGCCCTGTGTCGGTGTCTGCGAGCTGAAACCACCTTGAAAAGTCGACGCGCCATTGCCATTGGCGTTGCCTTTGCCGTTCGCGACGGGCGTGCTGAAGCTTGAGCCAAACATGTTGCCCACGGGAGTGCCAGTCTGGCTAAACTCGGGAGGCTGGGTCGCTGAAGTGAACTTGAAGCTGCTGCCACCGGCGCTGAAGTCGAAGTTGGATGATGAAGGCGGCTGCAGGTTGAAGCCGGTGCTTTGGCTGGTTGCGCCGAAGGCAGGGAAGGATGAGGAGGTGAAGTTGTTGGTAGGCGTAGCTGACTGTGACGGCGGGAAGCTGTTGGTCGCGCCGCCGAACGTGCTGGTGCTGGCGCCGAACATGCCGTTTGTGTTGTTATTGTTGCTGTTGTCGTTTCCGCCGACTGCGGGTGCTGCTGAGGCTCCAAAAGTGAAACCGCTGGGCTGTGGCGCCGCGAAACTTGCACTCATGGACGGTGTCTGTAGGCGCGCATTAGCCTCTCGTCTCTCCTGCTCGCGGCGTATCCGGCGCCGCCCTTCCGTCGAGTGGAATCTTTTGGACGCCATCGCGCAGGCTGCACTGGAGGATGCGGGTGCGCATGCGGATGCAGATGCGGTTGAGAGCGCGCGGGTGACTGGGGGGTACTTACGGTGGCTCCTCCTGCTCGTCGCGGTTTGACGCTCTTGATTCTAGAGGGAACAAAGGGTCAGCGTCTGCGGGAATGAAAACTTCTTTGTCGCGGGGTTGCCTTGCTGGCACAATATGCAGGTGAAGGGGACGTGGACTCACTTGCGCGCCGCCAGCTGTGCAGCCGTCGCCTTCTGCGGGATCTCTGCAGCCTCTTCTTCGCGCTCCTCGTACGGGCGCTCCGGGCGGCCTTGGCCAAATGTGTTCGCGCGTTTGCCGGACATGATGGCGTTGCCGGGTTGAGTTGACTGCGCGTGTGATGGATCTGGGGTCTGCGAAATGTTTTGGGGTCTTCGATGTTCAAGTGCTAGGAAGGATGCGCACCGTGCACCACATCAAAACTTAGTCATCGGCCTAGCAACAACCGCGACTGCTCCACTGTTATTCCACCCTCGACATCATTGGGATTTTGGCATCAGATTGCTGCCTGTGTGGGCATTGGCATGTGACCCATACTCTCTATACAAACACGGGCAGTTCAACTATAATGCAACAGAAAGTGTGTCCAATCAGCTAAAGGTCACATGCACTTGATGCACATGCTACATCTACAGAGAGAAGTCGATGAAGTGAAAGAAACATTCACGCATGAAACGAATAGTGTTCGGATCGATTTGCTTGTATTCGCTACTTTAATCACATTTACTCACCCCCTTAATTTCATGGATATACCATTGGAGTTTAGAAAATTCACACTTTTCCCGGCATCACAGAACAGAGGTTGTCCGGTATTATACGTCAGATACACAATGGCGCAATGTTCCTCTCGATTAAACCTTCATCACTTCCAATCTTACTATCTTGAGTAGCTACACCCCTTCATTGCTGGTGTAGTCATGTCACCATGTCTCTCGTTTGCCGGTCGGCCACCTCAGATCGCAAGCCGTGACCTTAATGCTACGAATGTATTTCCTCCCATGTCACCATCAGCCATGTGTTCCATCAATAGTCATTCTAGCGAGGACAATTGGCTGTTCGTGAGGCTGAACTAGTGGTCGCTGCGTTGGTACGCTAGTGCTGTAAACTTTGTGCAAGGGTGCGCATGTATCCCAAGGTTTGCATCTTTCCACGTGCGCTCAAGGTATGACATGTGAACCTGACACAGGCACGAATACTGAAGTTGAACCAAACTTAGTCGCGTGTCGATTTAAAGGCCGGTCGTCAATGCTTCAGCCGCATTCCCTCACGTCTTCAAGGCTCCTGTCCCTCCATAGCTTCCAGCCTCGTCCTGACCATTGTCGGGTTCGAATGTCCCTGCTCGTCAGTCCAGCACTTCAGGACCTCTTCTCGCATTATCCTGCGTGGTGCTCTTCGTCCAGTGAACAATTCGAATTGAGCGAAACCTTGCTCGGGAAGCAAGTCCAGGCCGTCCATACATATCCACGATGCTGAAGCTTCTTCTCGAACTTGCTTCATTAAAGGCGTGTTGAGTGTTCTATACGTAAGCTCGACCACGACTCCACCGGTTGGCGATTGCATCCAGTGTGGAGGCAGGGTGAATTGCGGTGAAGGAGTATCGCCAATGGGATCTGTAGGTATACATGACACAATTATTGTAGGCGCACGAAAGTGCTCTGGCCAAGTCTCTTCTCGAGATCGGAGAATCTGGAATGACGGCTGCGATGCTTGGACGAAAGACGGGAAGAGCTTGGCAGCTGAAGGTTTTGACGTGAGCTGTGTGAAGTGCGCTACAAGCTTCTCCGCATTCTCGTACGTGCGATTGAATATTACAATGTCTTTAACACCCAGCTGCAGAAGCGCGTAGACACCTGCACGCGCCATACCACCAGCGCCTATGATGAGCCCACAAGTAGTTGGCCGCACTGCGTTCGCGGGTGACAAGCTACGCCGGATACATGAGCGAATGCCAATCCAGTCTGTGTTGTCACCGTACAGAGCTTTGACCGGACCTGCTTGGTTGCGTTCTTGGAAAAGCTCAATATCATCCGCATCAGGCACGCTGCCATCATCGTTGAGATGGCGAACTGGTATCAAGGTGTTGATCGCTCCGATTGCTTGGGCATGTCGGCTGATAGAGTGTGCTAGGGAGATGGCTTTGATCTTGAATGGCTGGCTGATTGCTGTGCCACCAAAATTTGGCTTGCGAAGCAATTCTGCTAGACTGTCGTTCAGAGTGGTGGTCTGGAGTCGATCAAAGTGATGTGGCATGCCGCATGTCTTGTAAGCTGCATTGTGCATTACTGGCGATAGACTGTATCCGGCGCTGGCTCCCAGGATATAGAACTCCATAGGATCGTATGTGAAGGAAGCGTACAGGATATGTGTAGCTTCCTGTACGGTGAGCCAAGATGTCTCCGGATTATGTCGAACCCGCTTTTCGAAGTCTGCGCCGTCTTTCATGAGTGCTTCCGGAATAACAGGTGTCAACACCTGGTTGAAGCAAGCAGAGCGGCGACCTGCTCGACCGGTGTTGTAACATATCAAAGGGATTTTTCTGGGTTTAGCAAATATCGTGTTCCTAAAACTTTGAATTGCGGCGTTGTCGTCCATGAATTTCGCAGGACGAGTGAAGCGGACAACACTGCACCCTAATTGCATGGCCATGTTGTACTTCTCGATCCAGAACGGATGATACCAGTCCTTGTCAGAATGAAGATGGCCGATGATCTTGGTGGAACCTCTGGCTAGAACTATTGCCATGATGTCTTCTTCATCCATGGTCAAATCAATCGTCGCGAACTCTGGTGCCATGCGGAGGCCGTGGCGCACGCTCGATAGGTAAGAAGACTTTGCATACTCCAGACTTCTACCGGCTGGCATGACGTGGTATATGATCGGAATTACTGTACTTCTTCGAACTTTGAATATGCTTTTAGTGATGTCCTCTGCTCGATGAAGGGTAAGCTGGTCCGGTTCCACGACCAGCTCAAAGGCGTCACAGCCAAACTCAAGCTCTTCAATATCGATCTCCTCCAAAACGACATCAGAGAGCAAAACTTGAACAGCGCATGTGTAGCTTCGCTGCTCAGTCGCGAGATACGATAGCGGAAAATGACCAGGTTCTATAGGAGGCGTCGCGCTTTGGACCTTGCCATGGGTGTTTTGGCTTGATAGGATGAGCGAGAGGTACTTGAAGAAGGTTCTTTCAGCCCTTTTGAGTGTCAAAAATGCCGGAACTGCGGGTTGATGCGCTGGTGTCACAGAATGGTGTGCAGCTCGGGTTTCGTCAAGATTGTAAAACTCGTAGTTGGAACACCTCCTGAAGGTTGGGGTGCTCACAGCGAGTACATGCTGGAGCTTCGACTCTTCGGCAGTATCAAGATACTGATACACACTGCGCGATTCGCGCAGAACGTGGATTACTGGATGTGTCTTCGCAAATTCGTGCAATATAGCCTGGCTCTTCGCATCTAGTCGATAGATGCCATTGCACACGATGATGGCGCCCTTGTCAAAGGTGTGAAGAGCGTTTTGTAGCACTTCAGCATGCCGTAAATTACGATTGGAGCCTCCAAATTGCTTTTGATACTCTGTCATTGAACGTCCTGTGGCCTGGCTGAACAGAGTCTCGATGTCCACAATTCGTCTTTGACAAGCCGCTGCTGCCATCAACGACAGCGTCGACTTGCCTGCGCCTGGAATACCTACGAGCACAATAGAAGCACGTGAGTCGAATATGCGACGACATTCAGTGGGAGACGGGGCCGGCGCTGGGGTCACACCTCGTGACCGTGGTGATGAACGTGCGCTGGATGGTGCTGAATCATCCTCGCGCATCGTCGCAAACGTCCGTTTCGTCGCGATCGTAGCGGAAGGGCATCGTCGGTTGGCGTCCAGGAGTCTGTCCATCGTAGCCGTCAGACATGTCGTCGACATGGTGGAGATCAATAGAGCAGGAGCGCTGGCGCGGTTGCCGGAAGAAGATGCGGCTAAGGGTTTAGCCCCCTCAGCAGAGGCCGACCGCCCATGCCTTTTCCGCCATCCAGACATGCATCAACCATCTCAAGTATGCCATTGCAAACTGTGGGGAAGCGTCGAACGGTAGCTCAAGATGTCCCTGTAAAGCGATTTCGTGTGTCTCGAGCATGCGACCAATGCCGGGCGGAACGGTCAAAATGCGATGGGAACCAGCCACAATGCGCGCCCTGCTTCGACATCAATAGGGCATGCACCTTTACTTCCAATCCCAAGAAGAGAGGCCTACCGCCTGGATACATCCGGGGAATCGAATTGGCGTTGGCCTTGATCTGCCAACAAAGTCCTGAGATCGAAGGCTCTCTGGTCACCAGATTGGGCCAAGAAAACACGGTCTTGCTGGCAAGGGACACGAAAGAATCTAACCGACTTCACAAGATCTGGAGAAAGTCCAAACTCTGCAAAGAGTTGAACAAAAGATTGACCGGAGAGCAGAGTGAGGTCGAGAACGAGGAGCCCCTAAGTTCTGGTGAAGACAGCGACGCTGCCGTAGAGCAAGACAATAGCCTACCTGCCGTGATACCTGGGGTCTCAAGCCTGGGCGCCACTCAGCAGTCTGGATTAACTCGAGCCGCCCAAAATTGCCCCGCTGATCAAGCCGTAATGGAATTCGAGACACTTACACAGTTACCGAGCAATTGCTGGCATTTGCTGGAAGCGTACTCAACATACACCCAATGCTGGCTCCCAATTAGCGAAAAGCTCGACATTTTGAAGCTTTCATACTCGTATCCCAGTAATGGCCTCCATTTATCGCCCTCCATGCCTGACTCCGCGCATCACGCGGAAATGTGGAGTATGATGACGCTCAGTTCTTGTCAAAATATCATCGGCAATGATTCTGGTCGAGATGGTCCTTCCATGGATACTACAAACATGTACAAAATCACCAAGACGTTGATACCCACCGAGCTCGGCAAGTTCCAACTAGGGCATGCGAAAGCTCTGCTCAACCTCGCTTTGGTTAACCTTCGAAGCTCATTATACGACGCCGCTTGGATACTGGTTGGTACGGCATCACGCATCACATCTATAATAGAAGAGTCAGCAAGGTCGCCAGGATCTCGCTATGTACATGTCGTCGCAAGCTGCTACGTACTTGACAATCTTCTGGCCCTTTCAATGGATAGACGCCCCTATGTCAACAAATCGGATGTCGAGCGCGCTGGGAGAGTGGAAGAGGATGGATTAGAAGAGTGGCAGCCCTGGGTTGGCGAACTGGACGCAGTATTAGGGCGCACATCAAGAATGCCTACTCTCGCCTTGAGTAGCTTTAACCGTCTGGTGGACCTGATTGGAATACTAGCCATGGCAGGACGAAGTTCAGACATGCGGAACGACACAGCTCGACAGCTCTCGGGATGGAAAGCCGTACTCTCTCCTAAACTCGACTACGTAAAGACTGATTCTACATCGATTCCTTTAACGCCACCCGCAGTCTTACTGCAGCTGACACACTTCGCCACTATACTTAGATGTGCTCCATCTCGTACGTATCTTGAGAAAACGTTGGAGATGCTTGAAATGTGCCAGGAACAGATCAGCCCCAGCAAACTACCATCTATTGTCTTATGTTTGCTACACTGCATAAAGCAAAGTACCAAGAGCCTATCTCTAGAACAAGCTATGCAGGGCCGGATCCAGAGGATTATGGATAACTTCACAATGACTGGCCACAGATCTCCCGAGTTGTCCCGGACTATGCCGACCCAAAACAGTAATATACACATCGGTAATCACCATCTTTATGCCGGATCTTCCCAGGTTGCAGCCCCGGCTTTCCAACAAGGAATTGAGCAACCCTTACCTCCTCGTCAGCAACAACAGCGACATCCCAGCTCACTCCTCGAAGACCTCCTTCCAGAGATGAACTCAAACCAGCAGTTGCAAGCGACCAATTTCAGCCCAAATCCAATCAACACCGACTTCACGTCGCCAGCACTTGATGCTTATGACCCATCCATTTCAGGCGATCTCGAGAGCTTTTTCGATGAGCTTGCTTCCCTCCATGGAGCTAAGAAGTTGCAAAATCAACCGCAATTCATGCAAAATCTCGGATTTGCTCCAGAAGTGAGCATGGCGGACCTGCTTGCAACACAGTCTGGCCAATTCATGCCGATGCATTCCACAACATTTGGTACAGAACATGAAGGCGAGCCGCTTCAGTTTCCACTAAGTGACTATTATGATGCTAGTTGAACAGTATAATATGAGTCATTATTTGCTGTCTAGGGTATTGTGAACTGGAATGATCTTTCCCGGCAAAGGGTATGAAGACAAACGAAATTTCAAAGCCGAGCCTGCCTCGCCTCCACCACTTTATACTGAATGTCACTATCTTTGTTCCAATCAATTTGGCTGTTACCAGATCGGGCTTGCCACTTGCTCAATTCGGTCTCGAGGCCCATGTCATGCGACAGTCTCCCCCACGATGTCGCAGCACGTGCTGCTAGCTCCTCGACAACGCCGCGGTCTTTCCTCTCCATGACTCGATTGAACAGCTCCATGCTGACCCAGCCCTCGTATCCGATATGGGTTATGATGGCATCTATAACACCCTTGACGGGAAGATACGCCCTGCGATCGCTCTCGCCATAGAACAGTCTGCAGTTCCTGCTCCAAGACATGCGCGTAGGCTGATCGGCATTGTAGAATGGATGTCCTGGTAGGAGCGGCTGTTCTAACCTCTCCGCGTCCACAACCTGGATGAAGAAGATCTTCTCCTTGTGCGGGCCAATTCTGTCGACAAGCCTTTGTATTGAACCTCGCGCCTCTGCTTCCGCGTTCGGTGTACACCCTGACTCGTGCGCTGGATCTGCATAGATTCTTCCCATGATATTAAAGCTGTCCAGGCATATACCAAAGTTCGAACGGTCGACTCTTTGCACAATGTCCCAGCACATCTCCCACTTGTCGACATATGTTCCCCAGCATAAGCTCTCATATACGAAGCGGATGACTGGCGTTTGTTGCAAGCCCAAATCGGCAAGCTCGCGAAGGTCGGATACGATGAGGTTGGTGTCTGATGAGATCTGGTCGCGTGGAAGAAAAGAGGAAGGAACTTGGATCATGTCCGTCCCCAAGATGTGTGCTAGTTCCATCCACAGCTTCATCTCTTCGATGCGTTCGTCATGTCGTTTCCGGTCCAACAGGCCTTCATAGTGCATGAATGGTTGCAGACATATTATCTCCAGGCCGAGAGATATGCAGAGTTCGTGTACGGAGGCTGAAGCAGCGTGAAGGTCTGATGGAGAAGTGGAACCACCAGCGTGGTCGACCAAATCTTCGTAGAACAGCTCGATGCCTTCGAGACCGTATTTTGCTGCCATTGACAGCTTGTGCTCGAGGGAGTGGCCGGCGTAGCATCGTCCTAACGACATGGAGGAAATTCCTGGACGACACGGCATGGTTGCAGTGTAGTAATGAACAGATTGGTGACCGGTGTACTTGTGTGGTATACGACGGCAAGCAAGTAATAATGGGCGTGAGAATGATGTATGATGATGTACGAATAAATCAAATACTGAAGATAGCCTCACGAAACAAAGCTGGTATCTTCTCACCTTACCAAGCACCATCTAAACCACCTTCCCTCCCTATCAGCTGTTACCCGCCCCGTCGCATCAGTCCCCATCTCAACCCCAGCGGATAATCGCTATCGATCCATTTGCCTTCCTCCAGCAGCCGCGAAGATCCTCCTGTACGCGGCCAAGTCGCGTTGCACGTCGAGCCCTCTTCCGAACGGATAAGGGGAGTTCCGCAGCGGTACTACTCCGGTCAGCAGGGACTTAGCGTGACGTCAATGCGTGGCTGGATCGGCACCAGATCCTTGGGACAGATTCATGGCGATGAATTGCGGAGCCCCCGGTGTTGGGTGCATGTCGGTGTGTTTGGTGGTTCGCACGTGGCAACGGATGCCGGATGCCGGATTGAAGCCACGAGGGTATGGTCCTGTTTTGCTGGTCATTGATGTTATCGCCTTGCGGTTCAGTGCGTTTTTCTTGAGGTCACTCTCATATCCTCGAATCTGGCATTGATCCATGGGTGTTTGGAAACACTTGATTCTTGTGCAACTCTTGAACCTAAATACTCTCGCGTCATTATTCATTCTACAGTATTGCCTCACGAGGTTCCGGACTTCTTTTGATGATTGCCAGTGGTCTGGAGCGATTGGACAATTATTTGAGATGTTATTTGGCTCTTCACTCTCGTAAGCTGAACCTGATGCAGAAGGCATCTGTATATCTGTCTGCCTCATTATACTTGGCCTAGTCATATTTATTTGGTAACTCTTGGGCCATTGCTGTATTTCAAGAGTCGCATGAGGATTTGAGAAGAAGGTAGAAGGCTCTTAAATGTGAACAATACTTTTTTGGAAGATGTTTCATGTTATGTACAAGTATACACGAGCGCCAAACCGCTATGTGCAGTATTGGAATGCTACAGCAATACCGCCTAAACGCTCTCTACGCGCTCATCAGCCTTTGGCTTCTCGGAGCCGTAGCTCAAGTCCTCATGTTCCACTTCCTCCAACCTCTGTAGCATGATCTTGTGGGCCTTGTGAGTAGGCCTGATCTCGAACAGCTCATCCATCTTCTCGAGAGGGATACCCTTGGTCTCGGGGATGAGGAAGTAGACATATGGGATGGACAGCAGCATCAAGCATGCGAAGAACATGTAAACACCGTACGACATCTTGAGGAACATCTGAGGTGTGAAGCGAGAGATGAGGAAGTTCCAGAACCAGTTGTTCGCTGCAAGATCGTTAGTATCACTCATGATAGTGGTGGAGTGTATAGAAAGACTTACCAGCAGCGAACGCTTGTCCCAATGAGCGGGTCTGCTGAGAGTACATCTCAGAGTTGATGACCCAAGGTGTACCGTTCCACGAAGGTGTGTAGAACACAGTCCAGAGGTAGAAGAAGAAGATGGCGGAAATACCTCCAGATGAGAGGCCTCCAGACCCGCTGGCATTGCTACCTGGGTCGGCAATCTTGATGTATGCTGCAATGTACCACATGCAGAGCGAACCTCCAGCAGCACCAATCATCAAGAGCTTAGTGCGACCAAGGTTGTCGATAAGCCAGAGAAGCCAGATGAAAGTAACGACGGTCTTCACAACACCACTAGAAAAAGCTACAGTTAGCAATTGTCATGAAAGTAGAATGAGGTTTAACTTACAAGATGCCAGTTGTGAGGAAACCGGTGTTAGTTCCCGTAATACCGAGACTCTTGAAGACAGTAGGTGAATAGTAGTTGATAGCATTAATACTTCAGGAGGTCAGTATGTGTTTCAAATATTGAGAGTCCACTTATTATCACTCACCCAGACCCATTCTGCCACATGAAGAGACCGCCTCCCAAGATGAAGCGAATCGCCACTTTCTTCTGCTTCAGTGCAAGGAATGGTTTCCAGAAACCAGCTCCGACGTGGATACGATCGTACTCAACTTGCGCGTCAATGGCCTCAATCTCTTCCAGGATGTAAGGGTGATCGGCGGGTAGGTCACCTCGAATCCAACAAAGGTTCTTCATTGCTTGTTCGCGTTTACCGTTGGCGAAGAGCCATCTGGGTGACTCTTTGAGCCAAAATGCGCCCATCAAAAGACATCCGGCAGGCACAAGTTGGATGGCGAAAGGAATTTGCCACTGTTTGCGAGTAGAGGCCATGGTTTCCGCGAGGCCATAATTAATCCAGCTAACCCAACCATTAGTTACTTCAAAATTGTTTTGTCATATTGTGTGCGCTTACAATCCAACAAGGCCACCAATTTGCCATCCGAGTTCGTAGATACCAACAAGACGTCCTCGTACTGCTGGGGGACTGAGCTCAGAGATGTAGATAGGCACCATGTTCGAGCAACCACCAACTCCAAGGCCAGCAAGCACGCGACCGCCGATGATCAAACCGAGTCCTCGGTCTCCATTGGCTCCAAGCATCATACCGGCACCAATCATGAACTATCGTGTATAGTCAGTGTCTGTCTGCACTCGAAGGCTTCAGGCAGCTTACAATAGTCGTCCAGAAGATCAGCGACATCTTCCTGCCCAAGTAGTGACTTGAAATATATGCGCCGAGCGCGCCAAAGAAGGCGCCTGCCTGGTAGACAGAGACGATGTTGGCCTTGGTCAATGCCAGCTCCGCAGGAGGCATTTGTGTTGCTGCGAGGCGGAACTCCTTGACGAAGGAAGGAAGTGCCAGTGTCGTGCCAATGAAGGCAGAATCATATCCGATCATGCATGATGCCCATGATGCAACACACGCTGCTGTATAAACGCGCCAGTTGTACACGGCCTTGGGTGTCGGTCGGTCCTCGACGAGGGTAAGGAGACCCATGATGAGCTCTTGTTTCCGTTGCCTATATTGGTTCAGAGATGAAAATTGTACAATATTGACCCAATCCAAGAGATGGAAAAGTCTGACGTTGATTGAGAAGGTGCTCTGAAGATCCCAAAGTGGCAGCTGCAGAGCAATATATCCCTAGGAAATGATTACCAAGACGGTGCGTTTGGTGGGAGTCTGGAGAAGCAAGCCACAAACCCCATGGGGTTGTCAGTCGGTCAAATTTCGTACGCCAGTGCGAGTGAAGGGTTCCGGCCAAGACTAGACACTTTTCCCGGAAAGAGTCTCCCTCGCCGTGCTGCGGTGTCGGGGCTGCAAAAACGCGGGGAATAGTTCCAGATTCTTCATCTCGTTTGTGGATCTCCATATTTGCCATCCCCAACGAGGAAATTACGGGATTATCCAGGACCTGGGCACTGGCACCGGGGGGAAAGCCTTTATACGCGGGCCTTTGCGCTGACATGATTGGGTCATGTCTAGTCTGGCCGGATCGGCAATCGGCTGGAACGCGACTTTGACACGCGCTTTCTCCAGTTTCCACAAGACTTTTTCCAGCCTTCAGTCGGACACGCGATTGTGGGGTCAAAGGCCATGCAGACCAGAAAAGCCAATGCGCTGCAGACATTAGAAATCACCGTGCATATCCGTAATGCCTAGGGAGTTTTCTCAATCCTGACTTTCGATTGAACAGCATCAAGAGCACTTGCGCAGCAGCTATCATACTTACAAAGCAACTTCCTCGTCACTAAATCCAACGCAATTGAAACAAACATCCACACACACATCATGTCGCTTGAAACCACAGCGCCGGACGTCTCGCGGGTTGAGCGCCATGGTTACCTTTTCGGCCATCCTATCGCGCATTCCATGTCGCCGCTACTCCACCAAACAGTATACGACAACTTGGGATTGAACTGGTCGCAAATACCATTTGATTCGACCGATATGAACCTATTTCTCCAACTTATACAGAATCCATCGTTCTACGGCGCATCAGTAACCATGCCTCACAAAGTCGCGATTCTCAAGCATCTCGACGCTCTGACACCAGAAGGCAGAGACGTGGGTGCAGTTAACACACTGTTCGTACGAGAAGATGCCACTGGCAAGCGGCTGTTCATGGGCACGAATACAGATGTCATTGGAATTCGAGAATCTTTTCTTCGCAACGCAAAACCCGAGAGTTTTCAGAATCGACCGGCGTTGGTGATTGGTGGAGGCGGTGCGGCGAGGAGTGCAGTTTATGCTCTGCGGAAGTGGTTGAATGTTGGCACAATATATCTTGTAAGTTGTGTTTATTCTGGATGCATGTCTGCGATCGTTCACTCGCTTACCCACCATGATGCAGGTAAATCGAGACGCTGAGGAAGTCCGCGCCGTACTCGACGAATGCACAGCCCGAGGCTACGGCAACTCATTACTGCACGTATCGACCGAAGCACAAGCAGAGCAATTAGAAGGTGTCGGCGCGATCGTCGCATGCGTACCAAACTTCACACCAAAAACAAACCAAGAGCAAGAAGCGCGGAAAGTACTGGAGGTGTTCTTGAAAAGCAAGAGCCATAAGGGTGCGATACTAGAAATGTGCTATCACCCCACACCATACACTGAGATAGCGGAGATCAGTCGGCAAGCGGGATGGCAGGTCATTCTAGGGACTGAGGCCTTGATATATCAAGGTTTGGAGCAAGACCGCTATTGGACAGGAAAGGAGACTGCTGAGCTGCCTGTCGGGCAGGTCCAAGAAGTAATTGCTGCGAAGCTGAGTGAAGCGAAATTGTAGTTAGAATATTTTGTAATGATGAACGATACCCAATAATAATAATAGTTCATTCCATGATATAACTTAGTACATGAGGCATATCTCTCTATTCAATGATCTACGCACCCGGACGACTATAGTCTAGGTTGCGCACTCTGCGCCACACCTCCCTCACAGTTCTTTCTTGGCTCTGTCGTCCGGTCTCACTGGCGGAGGGGCCAGCCGGTCTGATAGCAAGATAAAGTCGACTCCCTAAACGAACTTCCTCTATCGGCGCACCAGCGTAGTCTTCTGGCGGGTTCGCAGTCGTGATCAAACCACCAGCTTCATGCAGGATAGCAATGCCAGCCGCCACATCCCACTCCCAACAACCTCCTTCCCACCAGATATCGAACGAGCCCATGGCAACATATGCTAGATCCAATGTTGCTGAGCCTAGTGATCTGACACCGTGCACCATGCCGCCTCTTCCGTGGCGACCACCGAGCTCGGCAGCCATGTTGACGAAGCTCTCGATCTTACGATGCATGTTGCCGTCTGGAACATCTCGCCTGTCCTTGCCCCACTCACAAGAGAATATGCAACCGCTAGGTGCTTTCTCCGGCATGGGCGGTATTGGATTACGTACAAGTGGCAATCGCTGCGACTCATTCATAAAAGCGCCTCGACCGGCACATGAGGAGAAGAATTGTTTCAGGAATGGCGCGTTGATGACACCAATCAAAGGTTTGTTGTTGTGGATGAAGCCAATCGAGACGCAAAACATCGGAAAAAGGTGAATGTAGTTCACGGTGCCTTTTTCCAGATTAGTCATGATACGTATGTCTAGGACTGGGGTCACTGACCATCCAGCGGATCGATACACCATGTCGGGCTCTCGTCGATAAGATAGTCCCGCGATGCACCTTTACTATACGATTCTTCCCCCACAAATCTAAGTAGCGATTAGTGCCATCCAAGTTCACCCTGTGCCAATATCTTACTTGTGTGTAGGATACTTTTCCGTGATCTGACGCCTGATGAAAGCTTCTATATCTGAGCATAGTCAGTGATCTATGATTGGCCAGATGGTGCTTCGAGGCATGCAGGAGTATCCAGACATACCTTCATCTGTTTGCGTGACCAGATCAACAGCATTCTCTTTCTGCACGTGTTCTTTCTGTTCTGCATTCGCGTTGCCGCCGTCGATCCTTATCTGCGCGGCATCTATGAGCATCTGACCTGCTTTCTTACCCAGGTCAACAGCAAAAGCGTAAATGCCATCTAGCTCTTCCTGGGACAACGTAGTCATTGTAGCGGTGATTGGTCGGTCGCAAAAACGTCGATAACTCTGCGTGTGTACTGACAAGGTCTAGGCTTGGTGTGTTGAGAGTACAATGTAAGTTCGATATTCCGTTTTGAGCCGGAGACTAGAGAAGGCGGTTAGCCGCGGAGAGCATCCGAAGGTACTCCACCAAAGGTCCAGGAAATAGGTTAAGGCTTTTTCCGACCTTGTGTCCCGGTTCAAACACTCACGCAACGACATTGGACTATGTGAAAAGGTATCGACAGGTGTTAAGGTGTGTGAGAAAGACGCCAATTTCTTGACAAAAGAATTGCTGATCAAAGACATAGTCTTCCCCATCGCATCATCTACACCATGGCCAAGTCAATTCTCCTCATCAATGGGCCCAATTTGAACCTTCTTGGGACCCGGGAACCATCCATATACGGAAGCACAACCTTGCCACAAGTCGTGGAGTCTGCATCATCGCAATGCTCGCGACTTTCGATCACCTTTTCGCACATTCAGTCCAACCACGAAGGCGTCCTGATAGATCGCATCCATGAAGCACGTGGCAACGTTGATGCTATTGTGATCAACCCTGGAGCATTAACGCACACCAGCGTTGGTCTTAGGGACGCATTGGTTGGCGTAGACATCCCATTCGTCGAAGTGCACATCAGCAACATCCACAAGCGCGAAGCGTTCCGGCATCATAGCTATCTCAGCGACAAGGCAGAGGCGGTCATCTGTGGTTTGGGAACGTACGGCTATGAGGCAGCGATCGAATATGCTGCTAGGCACATCAAACCAAAAGGGGAGGCGCAATTATAGGCTATACCAAGAGAAAAAACCATGGCAATACGACCCTGACTAAAAGTACCCTTCTTTACCGTTGTTTTCGAGTTTGTTGACGAGTTTGTTGACTGTGAGAGTGTCAGGTGATGGCGCGTTGGGGTGGCTGGCACGCAGGGAAGTTCCGCATTGTTGCAAGCGCCCACCAATTCAGCCCCGCACCCTTCATGCCACGGCAGCATCGAAATGATTGCGACGAACACTCCAGGGTTTTGAAGCTCGAAGAGCTCGAAGAGGAATCACAGCATATCTCATCATAATACCTCTACGGAATGCATGATACTGGCTGGAACGCCACACACCTGTGTTCAATTTCCCTCAAACATGAAGGCTGAAATCAGGCGTCCAGCGGCGCGGCATCACGTCCCATTCTAACCTCTTATCACCAGCGACCAAACCAGTTTCTAGTAAGGCGCAAGCCGATCCCGCCAGGTTTTCACAGTCGAATCTCGTATTTGTCTGGTGAAGTATGTGCTTGTCTTCTCCGGACGACTGTTAATTGAATTGAGGCAATCAGTGAGAACCTCGCCAAAGATCATGAATGGTGAGCTTCGGAACTTCGCGGTGGCGCAGCGGTAACTCGCTGATTCGGAACATGCCGCAAACAGGAAGGTTGTTCATTGGGCAGGTTCCTGGGGCCGTGTTATTATGGACTCTCCCTGGAAGACGTTGCCGACAGTGGCGTCCTGTTTGACACGCCAATGTCTTTCCGGCTGGGGGCCTTGCATGGAGCGACACAGCTCAACTTTCAAGGTTGCTTTCAGGCTTGCGTCCCTCACAAGGAGCTTCTTAAGCCTGGAAACTGTATCTTCGACAAGTCGCTGTGGCATGATATCGCAAGCTTCCGCCTTGAGACGATTGACAAGGTTATGTTGACCACCAGCAAGATTGACACAATTACAGCAATCTGGCGCATACAAATAAAGACCATACCAGAAAGCGTACCAACCCTGTTTCCTGAAGCTATGCGCGAAAACTTCGAGAGCCAATTGTGCTAGATAATTACGGAGTCTCTGCCAGGCATCCTGTTATTGTTAAAACTGAGCAGAGCAATGTCCGAGAACTACAGCTACAATCGGTTGCCAACAGTGCTCGAAAGTCACGATTTAGACATTACGGAGTATGTACAATGCGCGTGTTTTATACGCCTCCTGCAACAGTAAAAGATAGCTGACTTGGTCCTAGAGCAAATAATGAAGAAACACACGACCCACAAGCAGTCTTTCGCCCACTAGAATCACAGGTCAATCTGAGTTTATCCGACTTCGAAAAACATGACGTTACTGATCATGCGAGTCTCAAAAGTTTCGACACCCACGAGTCTACATCGAGCGGAAGTAGCATAAGTAAACTGAAAAACTTTGGAGCCCGCCTTCGTCGTAAACCATTGCCAAGGTACCTTCGCGGCTCGATAAAGAGGCATGCTGCCGCCGAGATAGAGCCTGCTCGTATCGGTCGTGGGGTATGGAGAGATCAGTTACTAAGTGATCGATCGCTTCGTGGCATGGCGGCTTTGATGAGCGCTTTTGCTATTGCTATGATCATATTGGTCGCCGTATTTGCAAAAAACTTTGCTCAGAGAAGCAATCGCAATACTTCCTCTGTTGGCGGAGAGCCACAATCCTGCAAGACGGTCACACGCACGAATACGGTTCTTCTCCTGCTTATCAACGTGTGCGCTACCATGGTCCTTGGCATGAGCAATACCTACCAACAGTTGGTAACGAGCCTAAAAGTCAGTGACTTAAAGCATGCGCTTTCGAAATTTGGTGACTCAAGAGTCGGAACAAACTCACCATTCAGCATCAATCACAAGAAAGTGGGCAAGAAAAGAGCATGGGCGTCTTGGTTCCTCCTTATCATTACTTCTATGCCGATTCACTTCCTTGCAAACTCGTTGATCGGACCATCGTATACGCAGGAACTGCCCCAGCAAATAGACTTTGTGCCGGATACATCCTTCGTGGTCGACAACCGCACCTACAGTAGCTTCGCAAATTCTTATCGAGGAGATGATCCGCAAGTGAGCAGTCCGCTGTCCTTCCCTTGCTGGTCTGCATTTCGAACCGGTGTCGCGCACTATGCAAAAGCCACCGATGTTCTTAGCCACGGCAGTGGCGAGTTCACTTCAGCGCAAAAGAAGTTCGACGCTACGTGGAATCGCATGGAAGTCCATTATATGGATAGCCCTTGCGTAAGATTCAAGAACGACACGGCGAACAACGATACTCAGCTCGATACTTTAGAGAGTTCATACATTGAGAAGTCCGTAAACTTTTCACCCCGAAACTTGGTGTACGAAGCTGCCAATTGTACTATGGCTTCTGAAGTCTACTGTACACTGCACGATCGAGGAGAAGCGAAGTGTCGCCTTAATGTTCGCATGAGTGCTGCCTTTACACTCATGGCTTGTCTGGTGATCAAAGCGACTTACAGGTAAGCAGCATCTACGCGCAGTATCCTTCGGATGTCAGTTTGCTAACTCCCGCGTAGTAAGTCAAATGTCTTTCTGCCTGAATGAAGTCGATCAAACCATAATTTTGCTTCAAATCCCTGCCATTGGTACTCCTTCTCCAGAAATTTTGCATGTGGAATCTGCTAACTGGTTTTTCCTTGTTCAGTGTGTGCTGTGAATGTGCTGGCGCGTGGCAAACTAAAGGAGCATTGCCTGACGTTTGGCGACGTGCTGGTAGCATCGGCTTCTCACCCTGAACTTCGAATACAAGGGTTAGTTGTTTCCCGCAGCTTTCCACTTTGCATCGACGCTAAATGAAGGCCAGCGAATGTATGGTGAATGCTGCTGAGAGCTTTCGACAGAAGTACTCACATACATGTCACAAACACTGCTTCAATCCTGAAGAATCCAAAACGGGAGATGAGATTGGGCATTGCCAGAAATGCAAGGAGTGGAATTCGAGCGATAAATTCGCAAACTTACCTCAGCCTGCAATCGCCACAAAGATCAAGAGAAGTCTCATCAGCAATCTTGGAAACACGGCGTTGACGCAAATGTGTTTACTCATGTTTTGTTCTATGCTCATGATTGCCGCGACACTTACTGTGGCCACCATGTAAGCCATACAGTGATGAACTTTTGCCACATATTGTCACGCTAACAAGAGAAATCACAGCAAAGGCGCGGAAAACGAATACATAAAGTCGTATTGCAAAGGCCTGGCTCAAGGAGATTATCCTCCAGACGAATGCAAAAAGTCCGAAATTGACCGATTCAGCGAGATATCGGGAGGATTTGGTGGCTTCAATCGCTCACTAGAGCTTACTTCTCTTCCCCCAGACAGTCTAGCTAATGAGTATATCTCGTTCAGCGTGCAAGTACACTTTTCAAAATATTGACAGCTCGTTGACTAATCCAACGTAGTTCCAATGGCGCACAATTTATCTACAGTCTGCTCTATCTCATGCTCATCTATAATATCACCCTCATCTCCCAAGAGTATGATTGGGGAAAACTCGAATACTGCCGCCAACGTCTCCGCTCCACACTCGTCTCTGGATCCTCCTTCAACCAAGACTACCTTCTCCAACTACCCAAAAAAATTCTCTTTCCCACAATGATGTACTCCGTCCTCACCCACTGGATGCTTGGTGAAGCTTTACAAACGCAAGAAGCCATCTGGCTCGAGCCCGGTCGCCGCATCGAACACTCGAAATACATCATTACATATGCTGCATATCCGTTATGGGTCGCCACATTTCTAATTTTACTAATGACGGGTGTGTGCTGGTGGGCATTCACGTACAAAAGAGAAGGATTCATCCCGCAGATGTTTGGCAGTATCAGAGTATTAATGGCGAGTACAACGCAGCTTGATGGTTTCCCGGACAATGGGGTGCAGTGGGGCGATTTGGGCGAGGGAAAGAAATTCAGACATGCGGGGCTGAGTGCGGAGGAGGTGTTGAAGATTGTGCCGAATGAGTTGTATGCTGGCTTGGGAGATGATGAGGGTAAGGACAAAGTACAACTGTCTGAGAGCGGAGAGTAATCATGCCGTGATTGGAGTTCACTGTGGTTCAGCTTCGTCGTCGAACAAGTGACGACTCTTTTACCCAAACGTCTTCGTATCGCTCACGCAAGAACGCGGAATGACAGTGTGCAATACATTCTACAAAAGCGGGAAAATCGAAATCTATTTAGCACCGCCTTCTTCGCAACTAAGTGCGACACAGCAAAAACATACATTGCAGCCTAGATTTTAGTCCTGTACTATGCGTGACGAACCACGGGGAGGCTGACGCCAAGTTGGGCGAAAAGCCAAGTCAGATCAAGCTCTCAGCCAGTCAGACCTCCCATGTCGATCGCCCGCATTTCTTCCGCATTCGCTTTGAGGGTGGTCAGATCGTTGGGTCTCTCAGCAAAAACTGACTGGCCACTTTCGGCCTATTTCGTAACCTGCATTGGGCCAGAACTATAACGACGCATAGGCTATCGCCTTTTCGGCAATCATCAGCCAGTGATTGTCAATCGGGAATGCGAAGCTTTGTAAAGGCGGAGTAAGCAGTGTATATTAACTGTCGTGTAACCATACCAATCTTGCGAGCAGAGGGAAGCGAGAGCATCGGTCAAGTCCATCCTTTGAACAGCCTCTAAATTTTCCCAATGTCGAAATGAAACTTTCCTACATCAAGAGACCAATATTTGCAGCAGCGAGTCCTCTACATGGCTGGAGACAATCTAACGTTGAAGTGAGAGCTCTTTTGGCTCAATTGTCTACGACGACTTCGATCACCGCTGATCTAGAGCTACTGCACACTGCCATCATTGCCTTCTACATGTAGCTGGCTCTTCTATGGCAATCTCCCCTAAGCTTACTGCGATACGAGTTGGGCGGCGAGCTTTTCGTCCCTTGGAGGCCTCACAAGACCATTCCCTTCCTCACCATATGCAGTTTCGGCCTGTGAGTGGATCCATTCTCCAGCCCAACGGTGTGTCAAGGTGCACTTTGAGCTCCCAGTTCCGAGACAATCGCCTCTCAGTGACGATGCTGACCGTTGTTGAGACTGGCCACCGGTGAGAGACTGTGCCTTGCGGAAGAGCAAGCATATACGTAGATTGATGGAGGAAGTATAAGTATCCAAGGAAGCGTCTGAGAAAATGGTATCAACAAGCTCCAGCATCTCTCTCACTTCCAATACTCGATCAGATCATACTATCCGCAAACAAACAACATGCGTTTCTCCACTGTAATAATCTCTTCCCTTGCAGCGCTCGTCAGCGCTGCCCCAAACGAGCTCATTGCCCGTAACAATGAACAAGTCAGCGCTGCTATTCGATTCGCTGCTCTTGCCGACGGCTGTAGCCTCCTCAAGTGTGCGGAGGTTGTCGCCAACGTTGCTTGCATCGCCGCCGCGATTGTTGTCGAACCAGAGAGCGGAGGTACTAGCACTGCCGCAGTGATTGCTTGTGTGAAGGATGGTTTGGGCGAAGTACGTATAATATCCTCTGATCATGGAATTCAATATTGATTTGTGTAGGTTTGCGAATGTGGTGCATGCGTCCCCGGCCTCTCAACCTTCTTGACCAACAACAAAGTTTGCTAGAGGCAGACATGAGGTCGGCTATTGTTCACTGCAGCAGGAAGATTTAGATAAAGTGAACCTTGAGCCGTGATATTGGTGTACGGTGATGGTGCGAGAGAGGTGATGGACATGACGGAGTTGTTGAGGCAGCCAGCTAGCTACATTCATTCAGCCTCGAATTTAAGAATATGGAAGAAGATTTTGTGGAATTTACGAGTAATTTTTGCAGACATGTGACCTCTAGGACCACCGCGAGGTGACCAGACGAAAGCCGATATTGACTGTGGTTGAGGCAAGAGACTATGAAATGAGAATTGCACTAGATCACATACTAGGTATAAGCATACGCATCGTTGAGGAAATCAAGAAAATTTCAAAAAACTCGTTCGTCAGATAAGGATGGTGAAGTAGTCACGGAAGAGCTGCAATTACTTTGAAAATGCCGTACCTGAGTAGTTTATACCGACAAAGAACATGACCATACTAACCTAACGCGAACTTTTGAAGATGTTCACAACTTTAGGTCTTGCTTTTAAACTAACAGCCTGAAGGGTTGCTAAAGTGGTCGGGAGGTGCTAATGAGAGACTAGTGACTGGCTCGGATTTGGCTAGCGTTGCGACGGAGGGATTGAAAGAGCGTGTCGTGACGTGCAAGTGCCGCGATGAACTTTTCGCAACCACGCGCGATCAGTTTATGAGTTTATGACGTTACGTGGTCATTTCGGAAGAACAAGACCTTCCCAGAGGTTTATCTTTCGACATTCGTTCCAACTACACTGAAAACGATGGGTAGTACGGTGTCGCATACCAACTGCGCCCCTATTTTGCTAGTGTCAGCACTCATTGGCTTCGTATCATTTGCATTCACGCTCGGCACTTTCATCAAAGTCTTCTGGTCGAATCTTGGCACTTTTGCCGCAGCACAACAGGAGATTCATGACTATCTTTCGAGCTTAAAGCAAGGACTGCTAGAGGAGAGACGGCATCTCAGGCGGTCCAAACGGCGATTGAGGAACACCAGGCGCGATCAAAGTCACGGGCGCGCAGCGGGAAGTGGAAGTGACGACGACTATGCACGAACTTATAGCGGCAGGGGGAAAAGGAGGAGCAGCATAGCAAGGAAACATCCGATGCATTTCGATCGCGATATGCAATCCATGCGCTCGAGTGGCGAGGAAGCAGCGCTTCGTGTGATGCGCGTCACAGTAAAAGACTTGATCAAATCATTCCGGGAACTCGAACAACCCTTCCTGAAAGCAGAGTTTCAACAGCAAGATTCAGCACAATGGAGTCACAATTCACCATCTCATTCGTCGTACTACCTCGAGAAGCATCCGGACACAGAGGACCGTTCAGCCGACGATTCTCCTGGTGTGTCACACATGCGCGCTTCAAACCGACTTGGTCACGAGTACCGGAAATGTGGTTTCAAAGAACGCTGGATCTGGGTGCGCAGGAAAGCCAGTGTGTTGAATCTGAGCTCGGTCTTGAGTCGCGTTGAAGTGAGAAGGACGGCACATGAAGTGGGTGAAGTCCTGAGTATGGTATCCAACATTGGGAGGGATCTTGAAGATATTCAGCATAGCATGCATGCGCTTGAAGGGCGCTTGAACTGAGTTGTTGGGGTCAGGAGAGTGGAGTAAGACATCTAAGCTCATGCTAAGGGCAACGGTCGGTACACCGCCCTCAGCACCTGTTGACTAATTATCATAAAAGTGGTTGTTCAGTTACACTATGTCATTTGGTGAGCTCGAGCTTTGTTCAATGTGCCGCAGACAATGGCATTCTTCTCTTGTCCTCAGAGCCTGAGATTACCGAGGCACATTGTCCCAAGCCTTTACACAATGTCAACGAGGCCATATAAGCAGCCATTTCATTTCGTAAGGTTTATTTCTTGTCTCACTCCCTTACACGCCGCAGGTTCCTGTAAGCTCAGTCTCTTGAACTCACTTCGTTGGTCTCGGTGATCAAATTCTATAAGCGAAGTTCATTCAGAAGTCTGTCTTGCTTTACACGGGACCTTTCTAGAATTCATAGTCGACATGATGCATTCTTTCCAAGCAGAGTCATCGATCATGGCATCTGTAATTGCGCCCGTCTGGACGACGCGCAAGGCATCCATATTCACTCAGCATGCCTCTGAGAAGACGCTCCGCGATCTCTACGCGGATGAGTTCTTCCTCGAGAAGCAACATCTCGTCGAGGACGACCAGATCGAAGAGCAATATGCCCTTGCTATTCTGCCTAACCACTGCTTCCAGGTCGAACCTGTTTCTATAGGCAAGCGACACGATTCGGTCATGAGCAACGCTCATCCAGCATTCGTGGCAAAGCCGGTTCAGGACATGCAGCACGTCTGCCGACCGTACTCAGCTCAGGCTACTACACTTCTTTTCGACACAGATGTCCCGTACGACAATGACGAAGAAGTTGATTTGTATAAAGACCTTTATCCCATAGAGACTGAGGAGATACCCGCGCCTGAACCCGCACAGCAGATCATCAAGTGCTCATCCACTCCAGAACTGCTTGATACCAGTGACTTCAAGCTCCAGCCTAATCTTACTGGCCCTTTGCGCGATCGTGTATCTGAGATGCTGGACTTCGACATCTACGAAGTCCAAGAGACCGCGCCTAAGTGTGTGCCGAACCGCGAGGGCCGCCCACTGGTTTGTCCGATACCTCTCTACACCGTGGCCGAGGTTGATGAGCTAGGCAGTTTATCCACGCAAGAGCTAACGCTTTTACCTAGCGATACCATCTTTCGTATCTCGGCTGCTGGGTGCAACAGCGTGCTTCACCAGATTCCCGCTCGCCCCTTCCTGCCGGGTCTCGAGCACCTCACTCGTATCGAGAGTCACGCTGCTTTCATTTCCTATGATCGCGACATTGAGTTACTGGCGCAATCTTCTGTTGAGTTCCTCGATGACCATCATCACTTCGAGTCGCCTTGTCAGGGTGATAAGGTAAGTAATGTGTTGTTACCGGGTGAGAACTTTCTGCTCGTCACCTGTAGCAATGAGACGGATTTTGCATTCTCGATGCAATGCCCTAGTGCAGAGTTACTGCTAAGTTTGATCGACGAGTTAAACGACTGCGAAGACGATCCCTACTCAGCTCCCAGGCCACTTATTGCTCAACTAAAGCAACCACGTGTCGTTGATGCATCCCGTCCAAGTGACATTTTCGATACTGGTAGCTCACAGTTTGTAGGCTATATGGCTCTGGATCAGGTCATAGCTAACTTCAACATTGTGTCAGACAGTGTTTTTCAGCAGTATGATGCGTGCGACACTGTCTCAGACATCTCTGATGACGAGATTGATGAGTTATCGATGTCTCAACCGTCGCAGCTGACTTATTACGATGCTGACAGGCAACAGTTCACTGGCTACACGGCTTTCAACCAGCTCCTCATGGTTAACAATAACGACGACTCACTGTCGCACGTCCACCGTGATGACGAATACTCGGGCTCTGACTTTGGTTTCGTGGATACTGTCCGTGAGATGGGTGACTTGCGTGTTGTCAACGACACCACTCCATTGCAGGGACCAGTGCCCCAGCCACGGTCACACTCACCTGACTATGATGGTGTAGACATCAGCTACGACCCTCAGCGCTCAGGAATACACACAACAGACACGACTAAGTCACGCTTATTCGAGGACCTACAATCGTTTGCGCGCCGTCGTTCATCCAGATGGCGTCCAAGCTTGATTGTCCAGACGCAACTCAGCGACGTCAGTGAATATACTTCTGGTAAAGGCCAGGATCCGTGTAGCCCGCCATCATTTGATACAATTTCCGACTTCGAGGAGTGTCGCGGCTTCGTGAAGCCAACATCTGCTCGTCGCGCCAATTTCCTGGACGATGAAGACTCGGACGATGACATGGATATACCACAGTCGTCATCTTCTGACGTGTCTATTGACTTCACAGAGCGTCCAAGCCTTTTGATTGCCTCATCAACCCGTCGCGCTGGTTTTCTAGATGACGAAGCTTCGAATGATGAATCGGAAGTGTCGCAGTCAGTGAACATTTCCAGCGTCTCCGAGACCGAGCCAACCGGTTCAAACGCTAGGTCTTCTCTGCCTGGTCCGTCTGTTTTCGATGCATGCGCAGACTTCACAGAGTGCAGTCGTTTCCAACAGGGATCAGTGGCTGGGTTGGAGCTATCTCAATCCGCGAGCAATACCAGTCTCCCTGGGTTCGAGCCGTCCATTTCAGCGCCAACATCTCCAATCATAGAGCATATCATCACGCTCTTCGACAACCAGATCTGGCATCAAGGTGTGGACTTGTTCATTGCCATGCCGCTGACTCCAGTCGATCCGTGTCTGCCGTCAGCTGACCAATTCCCTCCAGCAGACATTCTATACTCACTCGAAACCGAGCTGTATGGGCTCATGGCCTCGCTATTTAGTTGCCTCAGCAGCGACCAGTTCGCCGAAGCATTGACGCTTGGGAGTGATCTCCAATGGGCCATAAGCGCAATCACCGGCGTGTACCCGCGCCTAGATCTAATGCAGCGCTTGAGCAACACTGTTGAGATTCTCCTGAAGCGGGTTGTAGCTTTGGGCAGACGTTAATACGGATACGAGTACTCCACTTCGTCTTCGCCAATGAGGCAGCCTCATTGTGCTCTTTTCAACTTGTTATACATGCCATGATGCATGATGCAGTGAGCGCAGCAAGATTTCTTTCGTAAAGGCTGATCGGATCCTAGTAGTGAGGAGTAATAGCAATCGAAGCGGCTTCGTATATGAATGTTTTTCAAACTAAATTTTGTGGAATTGATGATGCGTAGGACGTCATGGTCGTAGCAGGTGCCATGATGTCGTTTCTGCTTTGGCGCGATCCTTTTTGAGGTGTTTGCAAGACATGTAATACTATGTGCCGACCACTTCCAGTAATGATGTGGCCAAATATGGCAGTGAAGATGTTCATGCCTTGCTGATGCATGTTGTCGTTGGCCTCTGCCCACAGTGAAAGTACAGCTAAATTTCCACAGATACGAGTTTCTCGAAGGTGAGTCTTGTTATGACCTCTTGTTGAGGCCGCTGCATTCGCTGACATCATCACGTCAGCAAAAATCAGTAGTATCATGGAGCCGCGCGCGGACGGTTCGTGTCCGGCCATGCTGCAAACCCACTTTTTGCACGCCGTTGGCCGTATGAATCAACGTTTTGAAGATCTTAATCAGTGATGATTCCCCTGCCGGAGCACTGGAGCTGATTGTACGTGTAAATGCGCAAACCTTAATTCAGTCTTTGTGAGAACTGCCGCTACAAAGACCGCACCTGTTTTTGAGGTGGTCAAATCAAACTTTGAACAGCATTCTGGCGGAACCAACGCGGGAAAATATTGCGCAAAGCACAGTCGACGTGGGGCGCATCCTAATATTCTCTTGAGTAGAATGCTTCGTCATGCTTTCGAGATGACCGCAGGATCGACAACGTCTAGTCACACTTCTTGAAGCTATACATGGCTAAACAGTGTTTTTAAGGTAGAATATTCCAATGTTGTGCTGAAGTCACATGCATGGCCTTTCGACACACAGCCTACGAGGGCACTTCCTTAATCATACGCACGGTTCCATTGAGGGGAGCTTGATGTAAAATCTAGACCGTGCTGGCGGTCGTTCTCGCCCAAGGCTGTAATCCGGTGATAAGGATGCGTCCGACGTAAATAAACTTCCTGTCGTTGAGTTATCAGCACAAGCGGAGAGCAACTTACGTGTGATAGTTTGCAACGGCTGGGGATTTGCGAGATTACGAGATGGATGGCGTGCATGGCGTGCAAGTGATGCAGTAGGGCTTTATTGGCTGGTGGAGATACGATGGCAAGCCCACAACGCGCGACGCTGTCTGCAATTATGAGGGTAGTAGACAGCCACGCCGTTTGCCGACAGATACGATAGGATGCTCGCTAATTTCTGCTAGTGTGCGTGCAATTAATGCAAACTACGTGCGAAGTGTGTTGTATGTGTGATGGCTCCACAGAGTGCCGGTCAGGCACAGAAGGCCAACGTGAGACTGCTTGGAGGACGTTCAGGAATGGCCAGCAGTGACAGACCGCGGTAGCGCAACGTTCTGCCAACCCATGCTCTGGTCACGACAGCGGCATGGCGCGATGCTTGTTTTCCCGCGTAGACTTCCCAAACGGATGATAGTACAACCTCGTAACTGCAGGTCAGCATGTGTGGCGCCAACTTCTATGAGATTTTCAATATTTCAGAAATGGAGCAGGTTGGATCTCGTGGCAAAGCACACCGAGTCGCCCTAACTTGACTGTCTAGTTATCACCGGCACAACTAGAACTTGCCGAAGAAGATATTGATCCGATGATCCGAAAATAGGACCTTCGGCGGAAACGACCGTTGAACGGATGGCCACTGGCTCTCAGTTTTCGGACGGATGAGCTGCGAAGAGCAGCGTAGCCACAGCGGACGCGACTCCGACATCGTGGCTAATTCTGATTGAGAGACGCTGAGTGGAGAGCGCTGGGATGCGACGTTGGCGTGAGGTGGCAGGGTGGCAGTGTGTCCGAGAAGGCCGATGGTGCGAGCGCCCACGCGAGTCCGGAAACGTGGTGGCTCTAACCTAGGCAGGTAGTGCCGCCAAATATAGACCCGGCACGGCCGCAAAACATCGTAGGGCTACGCCGACACTTCCCACGTCCTTCCATGCGCTCCTGAACGACTCGATGTGGGCAGATGTGGGCACCGACACTATCGATTGGCCGTATTCCACTGTGGTGCTCGTACGGGGAGGTTACGTTCATGGATGGCGAGGAATGACACCTCGTAAGTGACAAAGCGCTCATGGGTGCCGACGTCAGCAAGCATGGAAGTTGGTAGATGCTCTCGAGATGTCCAGTATATAACGATGCGTCCATCGTTCGCTTCAAACCCATCCTCATCATCAACTTACCAACAGTTTCTCTAATAACACTTTCGCTTTTCCTAGTCTTTCTTCAGACTAACATTCGCTTGAGTGCCCTCTCCAGGAACCCTAATACCTAATCCACCCGACAACTCAACCCACATCAGATCTTAATAGCCAAGGATTCAACATGCGTTACGCCGCTGCTTCCATTGTGGCATTTGCCAGCCTTGCTGCCGCCAACCCCGTAGGCTACGACTACAACAACTACGGTGGCGGGTACAATGTTTACCCCACTGGAGGCAAGCCATCCTCGTCCACTCCTGCTGGTTACGAAGTACCAAAGCCCTCTTCGAGCTCGGCTCAGTCATCTTCCGCCAGCTCCACGCCCGTTGCTTCTTCGTCGCAGCCAAGCTACCCCCAGTACCCGGCCTCATCTCAGCCAAGCTACCCTCAGTATCCGGCCTCATCTCAGCCAAGCTACCCTCAGTATCCAACCTCATCGCAACCCAGCTATCCTCAGTACCCGACCTCGTCGCAGCCAAGCTATCCCCATTACCCTGCATCATCAAGCTCCACAGGAGGATATCCCGTTACCTCTTCAAGTGCCCCAGTACCTTCGGGTCATTCCTCTTCCACTTCGAGCTCTGCTGGTTACGCAATTTACACTCCCAGCAGCGGAGTGCCTCACGGAACTGGATACACAACCTCTACACCTGCTGGCTACACCGCTAAGTCCTCTTCAAGCTCTGCGTTTTATCCTCTCTACACACCATCCAGTGAGCTTCCGCATGGGACGGGCTACACCCCGATCATCCCTCCTTACGGCACGGGCTATTCGTCAATTGTGCCTTCACCTTCGACGACCAAGGATGTCACGACATACACCACCACAACAGTATGCCCTGTAACCCAGACTTCTGGCACTCAAGTTATCACAAGCTACACTACCTCCGTCGTGACCGTCACTTCGTGCAAGAAGGGCTGCCATCCAGAAACTGCTTCAGCTTCCTCCACACCAGCGGCATACGAATCTCAGCCTCCCCATGATGTCACCAAGACCATAACAACCTCTACATATGCCTGGGTACCTTGCAGCACGCCCGTTGGGCAGAGCGGTTACAACACCATCTACAGCACTTACTTGACTGCCAGCTGGACGACCAAGACTGTCGTGACAACGATCCACGCATCTACTACGCCCGCTGTGCCTGTCTACCCTGCAACTGCGACTCCCAATGTCCCCCAGGGAAGTGCTGATACCCCCAAGCCCCAGCAACCCACACAGACTCCCACTGTGCCTGCTCCCGGTGTTCCCACTATCCCCAACGTTCCTAACGTTCCCGCGACTTGCCCTGCCCCCGCGACTGTAACCGTTTACGTCACAGCTGAGGCTTCTGTCCCTTCTGGTTACGCTACCAAGATCATCACCGTGACCGAGGGAGGAAAGCCGCAAACATATACCGTGACTGAGATTGTCCCCGCTCCCACAGGACCCAGCTACCCTGAAGGTCCCAAGCCCTCGCAGCCAGGAACTCCCCAGAACTCTGCTCCCTACCCCACCACGAAGCCAGGCCATCCGTCTCCTTCATCCGTCGTGCCATCGGGAGCTTATTCGATGAGCAGCCCTTCTCCCTCGGGCTACTCCATCCACACACCTCCCGTTTACTCTTCTGTTAAGCCCTCCGGTTACAGCGTGAACACTCCTTCGCCATCTTCCTCCGCGAAGCCGTCTTCTTCTTCTGCCCCGGCCTATCCAGTATACACGCCGTCTTCAAAGGTTGAGTCTTCCTCATCGAAGCCAACTCCCGTCCCCACTGGTGGATACCCTAGCTACGGCTACGGTAACTGAGCCAGCTCTCGCGTAAATACTTTCACGCTTCTCTGAAGCGATTCATTCCTTAGGCTTGCATAGCCGCGGCGTTTAAGCTTGGGTTTTCTTATTTGCTGGGATAGAATGATTGGAATGGAATATAGATACGAATCACAGTTAATTCACATTAGTCGCTCCTTCAACCCTGTCGCTCCACTTCTGATAACGCAGCCTGAGTACCTCCAAAAATTGATCACATGTTGAAGAAACCTTGAAAGACGTCTGCGGACAGCCAGGATCTCGTATCCGCGACGTGCCGCGCAAAGGGTGATGTGGCGATCTAGACGCTGACGCATCCCAAAGGCGCAGTAAATCGATAGTTTGAACACGAGTCTGACTCCACTTTGGGTTGGTGATTGCAACCTTAACCCACCTCTTTTTCAGTAAGTTTTACGTGCTGCGTAATTCGCGCAAACATGTGATCGGACGGCAGATGCACCTTCTACAGCAGGTTCTTGACAACGAAACACAGTGCAATCAACAATATTAGAAGCGTTCCGAATATGTTACGACGAGAAATTCTGCCCCGCAAAGGCCAAAAGATGTACTCGCACGGGCGTTTAGATGCAGAGACGTAAGATGTACCAGTTTCCGGAAGCCCCGACATGTAGTTCGGTCTCGTTGTATTTACTGGTCCTGTAGTCAGAGATTGCGCAACCACAGCCCAGCCGCAGGAACGAGACAACCTGCCAATTTATGGATGTGTCCACTCTTAAATATCTGAGCGACTTGCACTGATGAACAGACCGCGTGAATGGGTACGGTTTTGCAGCTGACATGAGATGATCAAATGTGCGGCGACTATCGCCGATACGCAATATGCATTATGAGAGTGAAGATCAACAGCTTGGAGTAGAGAGACTCTGCACCTGAAACCTCTCAGACTTAGTGGATAGCAGACGCGGGTCATACTCTTCGAACGCAGTTCATCACCGGTACTACCCTTGTCTGTGAGACCCCATCCCTATCTTGTTTGACGATACGGCGCTTGCTGAGAAAGACTGCTGGCGCAGCATAGTCATCATGCTCTTCGTAATCTTCATGAACAAGGTACTAGTTAGCGGACGTACGGTCAGCATGGGAGTCCATCTTGATTCCAAGGATTACCTCTCGCATACACATGTGAAAGTGATCTGTTCGAATGTGAGTTGCTTGTTGGCGAGACAGGAAGTCCTTCTCGCAAGGATGCGATCCTTCAAGATTTTGATGAATGGGAAGCTTGATCGCTACCGACAAGCAATCCGAACGCGTCGTTGCTTCTGTAGTAGAGGGCAAGTCCAGTAAGAGTGTGTGATCGACAAGGTCTTTGCGCGCAAAGTCGAAGTCCTGCTTTGCTTCCGATTGTGCCTCAATGGTGGTCTATCTGTAGTCTGATGTACACAAGGTACTTTCTCTGTATTGGCGCTATGATGCTGGCTTCACGGTGGAATGCGTGGAGGTAAACCGAGTAAAGTTGGCTAAGTGTAGATCGCGATGGGGTCTGCGAGGCATAGTAGGGAAAGAGAAAAGTATACCGATGAAGAGGAGATAAGATATTGTGCAGTGACGTGCTCCCATAGCCTGATCAATTCCAGTCTGGCAAATAAGGCTTCTTTTGCATACCATATAGCTCAAACATGAGGTGATAGCAACGGAAAGATCTGGCAGAACTCGCCTTGCGAGGCTCAGGTGGATGAAAACCGACACAAGAAATAGAGCTGTATATTAACACTTCCAATCCGGGTCCTAGAGAGTTTCGCGGCATCCAGACGCAACTGAAGTGGCCTTGAAGCCATTAAATCTTACCTTGCTACCCTGTAATACTCCTAACTGACTTTTATAATGTCTCGACGGGCTTCGGGTTGATGCATCCAGGTAAGAGAATACTAGTGACGCCAAGATACCGAACTGGCTCTCCGTTACTACGATACAACCCAGGTGCGTTGCGGCTTCGTCGGGTACATTCTCAAGATCGACACTTGTGGCAAGGTGCTTGCGAGTCGTGACCTAGGCTAAAGATATTCCAGCTCGACATTGCTTGAATAGAGCTTCCTATCTCTTTTGCTGCAGCCCAGCAAGGTTATGTTATGTTTGTACGAGCATGAACAGACTCCAATAGCTTATTGGTACATAAAGGATAGCTAAAGACATTTTGAAGTTGATCAGCTTAACACTTCCCTCAGATAATACTAAGTGTTTTCAGAGTTAGCGCGCACGAGTTGATGCAGCGCTGCGGAGTGGTGTTGAGTTTGTCATGCCCATCGGTCTCCGGCGGGCGGATTGATGACGTTATTCTTGGCGCTAGTGAAGCTCGGAGCTTGTTGGATGCGACAATCGCTTTCTTTCCCTCACTCGACTCACCGAGCCTCTCAGACATCAATTGCTTCTACAATGTTTGCTAGACAGGTCATTCGTCCGGCGCGACAGCTGCAACAGGTATGCGAAGCCTCCTCACGTGCTTCCTTACGAGCAATTCGTCGGGAAAGTTGAGGCCACTGCTGACAAACATTAGCATGTCCGCCGATATGCCTCTGAAGCACCTCAGAGCGGCGGCAGCAGCAATGGCGCTCTCTATGTTGGAATTGGTGCAGCCGGCCTTGCTGGTGCCTACATCTACATGAGGGGCGGCAAGCCAGCAGCGCCGCTATCAGAGGAGGCGAACAAGGTTGCTGCGAAGGTTGGCGGCGCAAGCAAGAAGGCTTTCACTGGTGGCGACCAGGGCTTTATCTCGCTCTTGTTGGATAAGTCGGAGGTAGTCAACCACAACACCAAGAAGCTCACCTTCAAGCTGCCGGAGCCTGACATGGAGAGCGGTCTTCCCGTTACCTGTAAGTCGACGCCACATTCACTTCCCAAGTCAGACTAATCGAAGTATAGCCGCCGTCATCACGAAGTACAAGGGCCCAGAAATGGAGAAACCCGTCATCCGACCGTACACGCCCGTCAGCGACGTCGACCAGCAGGGCACCGTGGACTTCATCGTCAAGAAGTACGAGAAAGGGCCCATGTCGAGCCACATGCACAACATGGAGCCTGGCCAGCGGCTAGACATCAAGGGACCAATCCCCAAATACCCATGGTCCCCAAACAAACACGAACACATTGCACTGATCGCCGGAGGAACTGGCATCACACCCATGTGGCAGACCGCGCGCGCCATCTTCAAGAACCCCGAGGACAAGACCAAGGTCACACTGGTTTTCGGCAACATCTCCGAGGAGGACATCCTGCTCAAGAAGGAATGGGAGCACCTCGAGAACACCTACCCTCAGCGATTCAGGGCCTTCTACGTCCTCGACAACCCACCTGAGTCGTGGCAAGGTGGCAAGGGCTTCATCACCAAGGAGCTGCTCAAGACTGTCCTTCCTGAGCCCAAGGAGGGCGAGAAGGTCAAGATCTTTGTCTGCGGTCCTCCTGGCATGTACAAGGCCATCAGCGGTGGCAAGAAGAGCCCATCGGACCAGGGCGAGCTGGACGGATACCTGAAGGAGCTTGGATACAGCAAGGACCAGGTCTACAAGTTTTAGATTGTCAACTTAGAAGCGCTGTACGATATATCTGTCATCTAGTGAGACTTCGATACCACCAAGCGCTCAATGTCACGAGCTTAACAACATGTCGACCGCTACTGTCTCATAGCTCTTCACAATTCTCGCTCCCAGCGTCGAGTCTCAGCATGGCCTTTTCGAGCATCGAGGCTTTTCCAGAGTCCGACGATCAAGCCTAGTGCGACAGCAAGACTATAGCTTCAGGCCGTTAGGAGATTGTTCACACTTGCACCGTGGTCGCTGTCCGTCTTCGTAATACATCGAGATCTCATCGAACATGGGAGTGTTGCTGAACTTCCTTTCACTTCTACAATTGGCCCGAGCGGCCTCCTTTACTACCCCGACAATGCTAAAGTGCGCCACTGAATTATCTCTATATTTTCATTCCGCTCCTCTTCCACACCCACAACTTATTATCCAGCATCCACCTCAACCACAACCGCAAGATTTAGCAACCGTTTATCACACTCTCGCTAAACTCGGGCCCTTCTTCATCGCAAATGAGCGCCTTGCGTTCGCGATCCGTCGATCTGATAACTCAGTGGGATACCTTGTGTACACAATTGGACGAAGCCATTAACATGCCCCTAAACAACGAGGAGCCGCCATCCAAGGAACATCCAACAATTATCACAATCATTCGATGTGTACACGATGTCCCACCAACAATACGAGGAAAGCTAGGCCGTTTCGCAATCTGTCCATCGTGTACAGTTGATTATCGTATCAAGGAGATTCGAGAGGTCCAGGCGGATCTCAGACAACGCGATGGCATCTTCGCCTCCAAGACTAATCTCAATTCCATTGGAGGCCTAAAACATAAGGGCTGCACTAGATCATGGGTCAAGGCAAAGGTCTACTGTTACCGAGACATTCAGAATCTGGAAAATCTCCGAAAGAGTTTTCCTGAGCAATCGGACCAGTGGGGTGTCTTGGAAGCACTCGACAAGTGGGAGCAGCTACAAGACGAGGCCGCTCGAGTACCAGGATACAAATATGTCCAAGACAGTCTCGACGAGCCCGAAGAGGAAGAGGAGGCAGTGTTAATACCAAGCCCAAAGGGAGACCGGAAACCAGACGTCGCTGTTGGTACAAGCATCCCTTTGACGCCGCAAGAGAGGAACGATTTGCTAAAACAGGATCGAGAGTGGTGTTTTGTTACTCCAAAGCGCAAAGCAAAGAAGCGTCGCGTGGTTCACCTCACCGAGGCCGTCGAATCGATGAGCGAGGAGCTGTCGAGTACTCAGATTGGTGACGCCGCATCACTTGATGAAGATGTATTGACAGAGATGGACGATGTTACGAAGCGACTGGACCAGCGCTTGGCAATGGGAAGCTTTGATCTGTTTGATGCCATCGTTGGCGTTGAGTTCAGCCCTACGCAACAGTCTGATGGCTACGAGGCACCGCACAACGAACAAACGACATTACCTACTCCGCCATCGCCTACTCCGCCATCCATTGCCAGGCTACCTGTCGCTCAACCCGGTCGATCTGCACTGAAAGGTACTCGATTAACACCTCTCACTTCTCGCGCTACCTTTGCAGAACAAAGCACCATATTGGGCGACCTTGAACATCCACTCATCAATGAACCGCACCGCAAACATACCGCAGCCGGATTTGCGCACAAACGCGCTAATTTTCATCGCACAAACCGATTCTACAACCCGGGCACATGGACGAGCCCGGAAGGGTCCGAAAAACACGATACCAGCTTCATGAGCATGTCGTGGCCAGGCTATGAGAAAAATCTGCGAGAGTTGCCTACAGTCAACAAAAACGGGGTATTTATGGAGGTGGAAAATATTGATCCGAAGCTGACGCTTGAGTCTGAGGTCAGGAATTTGATCAATGAGGCGCGAGACCGCAGAGTGGAGGTGGAGAAGAACGAAGATGGGAACGACGCTCTTGTTGCCATGCCAGCCACCAACTTGTTCAAAATCGAGATCAATACTGAGCAAATTGACGGGGCCCTACGTTCAACTGCGACAGAAATTGGAGAAAGCCCACCTATTAGCAAGCAGCGGGTGCGCGAGGTCGCTATCCTCATTATCGACAACGAAACTAAGGCTGAAGGCTCACTGAGTCGCAAGCGGCAAATTGACGGAACGGCCTCAGAAGCCCAGCCTCCAACACCCCCTCCAGCAATGGCGGAAAACAAGACAAAGGGCAGAAAGGTAAAGAAGCCCAACTAATCCAAGATGACTACCACAGAACGGAAACGAATTCGAATGCGCGAGAACCAGAAGACTTCCAAAGGCCCTCGCATTCCCTTGGGCGATGAATAGAAACAGCTAATACTCCATCCGACGTCGCACTGACGCGAGGAAGAAGATGATTCTTCAACGCATACTGGGCTCGCAACAATAGTCACGCCGTCAAGTGGTGAAGGCGTCCTACATCAGGAAAAACCACTGCCGAACACGAGCCCGGTACAGGTTATGCGAGGCAGGAACGGGGCGCCGGCATCTGCAAAGCCTGTTCCTCGAGATCTGCGCCGAAGCAAGTCCATTCCAGAGCTGACAGTTGGTGTGGGCGATATGGAGGGCGAGCGTTGATGGGCGTAGAGTTGGAGGTTACCAGGCTGCAAGACAGTCTCTATGATGTATAGTAGTCTACACACTATGAGTGAAACTCATGATAATACCCAGCTTCTTGGTTGCATGGCGAATGAGCGAAAACACGCGTCTTGACAAGCGCCGGCATCATCCTGTGTACCATTCCATTACCACAAGTGGTTTGCGCGTTGCGGAAGTGCCATTCACAGCGCAAGCTGTTTTGCACCCCGCGGTTTATTCATACACATTGCAGTGAAGAAATAATTAAAGACCAACGAATATATTCCTACTAGACAGCGTTCCCGAGCAAATGATAATACAATAACAGCCACGTCGTTTCCCTTCCTCTTCACTTTCCGCTTCAGTGTCCAGCTACTGCGTCGGCGGGTGCCTGTTAGGCTTGTTGATGCACGGAGCCGCATTTTTAGGCTCGCAGAAATATTGGACGTCGTTGCAGATGATTTCTACAGCAACAGTCCAATTAGTACCCATGTGCGCATAGAGAACTTTTTCCAGGAAGACTTACGAACACAATCTAGGTTAGGGCAGCATTCGTATTCTCCGCTGCAGAGGGCTGGGAAGATCAGTAGGATGCTCTAAGGGACGATAGGAGGTTACGTACTGCCAGGGCCTTTACATGTGCGCTCTTGGAGCTCCAAAGGAACTGCTACGGCGGCTGCAAAAGCTGGTAAGGCAACGAGAGCGACGATGGAAAGGAACTTCATGATGAAGAAGGGCGGAGAAGGTTATGGAGTGTTTGAACTTGAGACTGATGAAAATATTGAAGTGTTTGCTGAGGAAGTGTGATTGGAATGTCAAAGTGTTGTGCTGAGGAAGTGTGAGGGGAAAGACAGGTCCTTATATACACCGTCGATAACGTCTTGCCAGGTTATGCCGTGGTAACAACCCAGACGCACGGTCAGCTTAGCACTCGATCGACGCAGCGATGCACGGGAATCGAACGGTTGTGCACTTCCAGATCATGCACTCTCGCATCTGCCATCTCACCGTCGGGCGTGAGAAACCCCGATCACCTTACTCAACTGGGCTAGTAGCGCGAACCAATTTACATAGCCTTTTATTGGAGGGCTTGCACGAGTATGATCCATGCTGAATAGCAGATTGGACGGAGTGTGAAAGTTCGTGTTGTTAGAAGCTTGGACGGAACCTTAACGTGCCCGTGCGCGTTATGCGCAGAGTCGCGTAATATGCGCTAAATACTATTTCTAAGATTGCAAAAATAAGGCTATAATAACGCATATAATAGCTATTATTATAAGATTTCTTAGTAGTTTAGTAAATAGGACTTTATAATTATTTTATACTATTTAAATTTACTTAGAAGCTTAATATTATAGCTACGTAATATTACTTAGAGTAGTAGAGAAGATAGAGTAAGTAAAACTTAAATACTACTTATAGTATCTCTAACGCATTTCTAACGCTTTTTCTTAGAGAAGACTACTTATAAGGCTTTATGCTTACTTCTTTAGAATAATTATATAGCTTTCTTAGTATCTTATTAGTATTTCTAACGCTTATATTTAGCTTATTTTTTAGCTTTTTTTTTCTCTCTTACTATCTTAAGTCTCTCTTATTCTATATACCTCTTCTTTAGCTTAACTTAATACTATAGTTAAGCCTTCTTACGCTACTTCTTAGCTTATACTTTTTAGAGTTTCTTCTCTATTTTATTATTAGCTCTAACCTTCTCTCTAGCATAAGCTTCTCTAACCTTTTAAGAAGACTATAAGATAGCTCTACTATAGTACTCTTAACGCTATTAAAGATTAAGAGCTTTGCTCTTCTTTTTATACTTCTTTTTATATATTAGAGCTTTATATAGACTCTTAACTTTATGCTATAATAGCTAGTTTTAGATAGAGAGTTAATAAAGAGTAAAGCTTAACTTTTTAGCTTTATCTTAGCAGAGATTCTTTACTATAGCACGTACTAAACGCTCTATTTATAGCTAATTAGATAATAAGTACCTTAATAAGCTAAGTAATTATTTAGGCATTTAAGTAAACTTTTTAAGTATAACGTTAGAGTTCTTTAGCTATATTCTTATTATTTTAAACGTCTTTAAGATAAGTATTTTCTTACTAAAAATAGATACTTAGATATTCTAAAATAGCTTAAAAAAGTTATCTTTAGTAATAGAGATAAGCTTCTAAGCTTTATAGAGATAGGTAGTAAGGTATTAGATATAAGCCTATAAGAGCAGCTTAAATAGAATAACGTTAAGCAGTTATAATATATAAGTTAAATAAAGTAGAAATACTATAAAAAGGATATAATAACAGTTATAATAGCTTATAAAATCTATTATTAAGTAACTTCTATAGCTATCTAGAATAAGCAACTAGTAGTTTCTTCTATAGTGAGAGCTTTCTGCTTCGTATAGTAATTAAATACTTACTTAAGCTAAGCTAAACTAACGTTATTATTACTCTATTCTATTAATATTAAGATTATAAAAACTTAGTATTTTCTAATATCTATAGCATCTACCTAAGATAATTATATTATCTCTTTTTTAGCAGTATAAATAAGGCTAGATAGTAAGAAGCTCTTATCTGCATAATAATAAGCTAGCACTATTATAAACTTATATAATCTATTCTAAAGAGGTACCTTAACTTCTTTCTTATCTTATTAATGCTAAGAAAAGATTCTTTTACTTCTACTAATAAGGCTTATTAAGATACTCTTCTTATCTATATTATAGGTATTACTTAGCTTAATATTATACTTCTCTATCTTTCTATGTAGTAGCTTAAAGTAGAGTCTATATTTAATCTTAGAATTAGCTAAGATGCATATATAATTAAGCGTTAGTAGCTTATTTTAAGATAAAATAAATATTATAGTAGTTAATAAAATAGGTAACTTAGCTCTTAGAGATAAGCTCTTAGGTAATCTCTAATAAGAAATTTTATATTATCTCTCTTATAGAAGGAAGCTCTTATTTTATAAGACCTTCTATATATTATATAAGTTCTAGCTCTTATTATAAGTTAAGTTTCTACTAAGTAACTTTTTTAGAGTTCTAATTACTTATCTAACTCTTATGCTTTTAAGTTAATATAGAATATATTATATTATATTTTGCAGCAATTTCTATATATATAAAATATTCTCCTAGTTATAGAGAATTAATTTCTTTAATTATAGCTTAAATTAGATCTATAGTCGTAAAGTTATAAGTTATTAAAGTTAGGGTGTTAGATGCGTTTTTAGTATTCAGCGCGCATTACGCGACTCTGCGCATGACGCGCACAGGCACGTTACGCGACTCCGCGCATGACGCGCACGGGCACGTTATAAATGGTAGGGCAACTGCCATCTCTTTTTGGTCTAGCTTACTTATTGATGATACCCCCCTGTTTGTCTTTGTAACTATAAAAAATACGGAACCTTATAGCACATGACATCTCCACGGGTAATGCCATGCCCAGAGATCACGTCCTCAAAAAAACGACTGGGTCTACCTTGCGCTGTGTCTAGCAACGAGCGAGCGTTGATACTTAAAGAGTTCGAGATCACGGGCGCCTGCATGATTTTTCCCGCCCGCTTTTCAAAGACGATAGATAGAGGTTTCACATATGTCTTCATGAGACTCTCAAGAAATAGATAGGATGCTGGTAGGTGCGAATACAATTATTGTGCGGCAAGCTGCTTTGCCTCTATTCACACGCGCTATAGTAAAGAAGTGAAAGATCAACAAGAGATATAATATTGCAAAACGGCTCCATCTATTCTACTGTTTTGAGATTGCAAACAAGATATACCACGAGCTAGCTCCAGCTGTTCCCGCGTCCTGACTTTCCATATGCCCGAGAATATCTCGCCCAACGGTGGCCAGCTAATGGCGGCCGCCGCCGCTGCCGGGGTTTATACAACGAGTGGCGCCAAGAGGCTCGCAAAAAAATTTGCTCGAGTTACAAATAATTTCTATGTTAAACACACAGTTTAGCTATTCATGTGCATAAAATGGTCTCCCGGTATGCTGGAAGAAACGTTGTGGAGCGACTTACCAACACAGTAGGTATTGGCGCAGCATTCGTATTGCCCGGCGCAGCGACCTAGAAGAAGATTAGTTGGGTACTTCTTGGCGTAATAGTTGCTATCCTACCGCCACGGCCTTGACATTGTCGCTCCTGAAGCTCTGCAGGAATTGCGACGGCCGCTGCCAAAGCGGGCAAGACAGCGAAGAAGGCGGCAAGAGAGAGGAATTTCATGGTGTAGAAAGCCGGTTAGACTTGAGAGTCTTGGTGGGAAGTTATGAAGAAGAGTTGCGGAGTGTTTGGATTTGAAGACTGACTGAGAATGTCGAAGTGTTTGCTGGAGAAGGGTGAGAGGGAACATGAACCCTTAAATACATTTCATACCAAGCTATGCTGCAGTGAGAAACCCAGAGGTTTGGTCAGCTACACAATTGATCACCAAGCATAAAAGAATAATGCATCGAAACCGAATGGAGATGCACTTCTAAAACCCTGCATTCTCGCGATTCACTGCAGATGTAAGCTGCGGACATGGAGAAGCCCCGATCACCTTACCCAACTGGACTAGCTGCGCCTCGAGATTGAGTCAATCTATTCAAATAATCTTGAAACTCATCGCCATAGTCATCTATCTCACGGCTTACATGGACAGAATCCATGCTGAGCGGCGGATCAGAAGAGGTCTGACAGACCTCACCGTGTCTTTGAAAGATTGCATGAGCCCCAAATCGTCCGTATCTACCTTGAGATGTGCCTATCAACCACATAGACGTGGACAGAGTCTGCAAAGGTTCTAGACCCGAGATAGGTCCGAGGAAATCTGAAAGTGATTACCTGCCGCTAGAGTTCACCGGCTCGCGGATGCTTCGGGTCGTCCTTCGCATGCGCGGATCTCGGGAATGATCCTCCAATCATTATCTATTGGCTGAGAACCTATGCATCCCCAGATTCTTGAGCATCACGCTCGATCTGTTCTAGCATCTGCATGGCTTCGTTCCCACATTTATGGACTGTGCCACCAAACCTCACTGCCATCCCATGAATTCTTAACCCTTTTAGCTGCGAATACATACACGGAATGAACCACCGCTCGCCCTTGGGCCAGGCTTCTGGTACCGTAAAGACGGGTGAGAGCGATCCGTGCTAGGCTTCATTCGGTAAATAATCTTCCGTATTCCGTATTCTCCCAAAATAAACGTCTGTCAGATCACAGAACAGTAAGGCCGCGGACGAGCCACGCTGCAATTTTATCTTTAGAGCAAAGCTAGTGGCAGTTGGCCTTTGCTTGATTGCATCGCTGCTCGGTAAATGAACGTCTGTCAGTTCGCGCACGGTTGCTAGAGTGAGGCTGTGCACCAGCCACGCTTCGATCTTTTCGTCCGGGTAACCAGATATCGTTTGATAGCGCTTTTTTTATTGCGCATCTTGATTTCAGCGTCTATATGACTGTCAAGTGTACATTGCGCTCATGACTTTTGAAGCCAGACGCTCAACCTCCCGCCATATACGTGACTTCCAACTAGATCGGGTATCTCAAGAAACGTATATATGGTATTTGACAACAGCGCTAGAAAAACGCGATGCACTTCGTATGCTTAACAAGCCTGAATTCGGAAAGAAAATACGTATGAAGAATAACAGGGTATCGTATGGTAAGAAATGAAGTAAACGTATGTGGAAAACGAAACGCCTTTTAACGCCTTTCCCACTCGCTTTACTATGCAAAGCGCTCTAGTTGGCTTCATTTAAGCCTCCAACGCACATGCGACGTTACGATCTCCTCAACGACCTGCGCGAAACGCGGTGTGCAAGGCGAGAAGTTACAGAGCCTACTTTTTTTTCGTGATGAGCAAACATGAATGTGAAATCAGAAATCCCTATGAAGCGTGATTGAGAAATGGAAAGCTAGACCGAGCTGCCTAGAGCACTCTGCACCAACACCTACGCAAAGACGCAAGCGCTTAGGGCACAAAATGCGAAGCTGAAGACGTCTACTGGCCTTGAACTCCGTACATCAACAACCCGTCAGGGGCGCTAAAGATGCAAGTAAGAATTGTCTAGTTTGATACATATGGCCCTCAGCCGACGTCGGAGAAGGTCATATCGTACTCGGGGTCCATTGACGCGTAATAGAAGGGATCATCTGCGTCAAGTGGCGTGGTCATCATGGAGTCGACTTCCGACATCAGCGAATTGGCAGCGAGTCGTTGAGGTAACCGTGATGAGCCCGGTTGATCAAGAAGATAGACATCATGGGGTGACAGGTATTGGCGGTGGTTGTGGGATGTGTGCGAGTAGTCGGTAAGATCAGCTAGACAACAAAACTGCGCGTCTAACTGTTGCGATTGGTCATTTGAGGGAAGCCCGAGGTCATGGCTGGTGCGTGATGATGTAGTGATTCCAAAGGATACATCTCCTGTATGATAGTCTTGACTGCTTGACTGTGTCCCCATCTCGGCATGAGGAATGTGTGATGTACCTAAGGTTTGCTCGGTTTGGTAAGGCAAGTTAAGGAAGTCGGCAGCGCCTCCGAAGGCTGGCACCTCTGCTTGAATCAGTCCTGTGGGTGCAAGCAAAGCTTGCTCCATGTCAAACTCAGGATGGGGCTGGTGTGCTTGAGTAAGCTGAGCCCAAGCGTTTTGACGGAGTTGGTCGAGGCGATTGATATAGTAGATTTTGATAGCATCAATGTCAACACGTTCGTGATTCGTCTCTGTGAACTCTTGAGCCAAGAACTGGGCTAGCACTTCCGAGGCTCGTGACACAAGGGTATCTACAGTGGCGTTTTGGGCCAATTCAGCCTCCATTTGTTCAAAGCGCTGTTGCAAGTTTTGCGTCTCTGTCCCCTGGTCGTGTTGTCCTTCGGGGTGTTGTAGGGTAAGAGAAGGGTTTGGTGAAGTCGGAGGATTGACTCGCGACATAACTTGTGGTAAGCCAATGTCATTGCGTAGCAAAGCAACGAGGTTGGCAGGGAGGAGCCTTTGATCGTTCCGATCTACGAGTTGAAGGTCAGTAACAGCAACATTAGAAGACGGCTATTACTTACAGGGACTTGTGACCTGAGTTTCTTCTGGATAGATCTTTAGGAAAAGGCGCGCCCATATTATGAGGCTGCTACCCTGAGGCTGGCTTCTTGCGCGACAAGTACCAGCTCCTTGCTGTCTTCGGACCCAATGGCCACCTTGAGCCCAAATGTGTGCGTCAACAAAGTCGTCCTTGCAGTTGTCACAACGTTGAATGAATGGAAGTTGAGCCCGATGCTGATGCGAATAGGTGGGAAGTAAGTGCTGTCGAACACCGTTCATGTATGGCTTACCGCAACCATTGCACGGCGATGTCTGCCCATACATGAGATGCCATTTATGTATCGGACAATCAAGTTCCTGGTATTCAGGTACGTCGAATTGTTCAAGGGCATCAAGCAAGGGGTCAGCAGTTTTCTTGCTTGGACGGTGTGAGTACGGGTGTGATCTCGACGACGCTTTGGAAGTGCGCCTGCTGATAGGGGATTTTCCCTTGTTTTGGCGGTCACTAACCCCTCCATCATGCTCGTGGTCGGGATGTTGAGCATCAGTTGGGCAAGGGTTTGCGGGTTGATTGAAGTCTGACTGGCCATATGGTTCGGAGAGTAGCTCAGTTTTCAGGACATGCAGTTGCTGAACGAACGCGGCGTGGAGCTCCGAACTAAATAAGTTAGAATTTCATTCACATATCCCCTCTACTGACTCACATGACACGCGCACATATGGTTTCGGGACATAAAATGAAACGGTGAATGAGATAGCCACTTACTGCTCGAACTGGAATGCTTCGACGATGCGTTGGTACTGGAGCAACACCACATGGCAGTAAAGATTGTACGCATGGTCATCCAACTTCATTCTAGCATTGGCGAAATGATCATATGCCCGGTGCGTCTTCGGAGGCACGGAGTACGGTAGCTCGACGCCAGATTCCTCTGGTAGGGCTGTGGTGCAAGTTGCCGTTCCATGGTCGCTACCCGTCTCATGCTTCTCTGCGTGCGAAAGTTTGCCTGCGCTTGCAAGTTGTCGTCGTGGAATCGGTTTAGTTTCGCCGATCTCATGCTTGCGCCATTCATGTTTCCTCCTTGCGTCTTGTCTCTTGAACCTTTTGTGACAGACGCGGCAGACAAGGTCCGAACCTAGTTGCGCTGGCTTCTCGGAGTGCAACAGACGAACATGCCGAGAGCAGTTGCCTCGTGCGTAGCGGCCAGTGAACTTTGCACCACATATCTCGCATACAGTATGATCGCCATACGGCTTGATGCTTGTTTGCTCGGAGCGTGATCGATCCGACCCGATGACTTCAGAAGAGACGGTGCATGGCCGAAGCTGCTCTACGAGCGAGATAGTTGTCGAATAATCGCTAATGCTGGGGGATGGCCTGAATTTCTTACATGATTTGTCGGAGGAGTGATCTCGGATGGTCAAATCGTAGGCGGGATCGTGGAAATCGGGTGGACGAATAGCCTGGCAGGTGTCAGCGACGCGCAGCAAATCAAGCATGGTTAAGCCTTACCCGCAAGTCCCAGCCTACGGCGGGTAGAGCCTCTGTCTGTGCAGGCTCTGAAAAAACATCGAGTGCTGGTTCTGTCGCGATCTGAAAGAGGAATGGAGACGCGGAGTAGTCAGACGAGTTGTGGTATTGGCGCGGTAGAGAATCAAAGACAGTGGACGGGTTGTTATAAATTCCCGGGTCGGCCGATGATTCATTATCATCAATTATCCAACTAGATATCGATTGTAAATCACTTTGTGTGGAGTTGATATGCTCTGGAGGTGGACACGCTGTGTTGGCGGGGTCGGAATGCTCGGAACGGCGATAGGAACCATCGTTTCTGAAGCTTGCTGCCTGTTGGCCACTGAGCCGGTTACGAAAGGTGCCAGGTCGGACGTTGATGTCATTATTTGCATAAACGCTAATCTGGTCCGCGATGGGATGCAGGCTGTTGGCGGATGCTCCCTCAAAACGTCGCTGAGCTACAAGCGGAATGCCGCCCCGGTCGCTCATGTGGGTACTGTATGGTGTGGGTTCGACCGAGAAGGACCCGTCTTCCCAGTCCGCTAGGCTGCCGTCGTTACGTTGTGCCATGGGCAGCTTGAGATGAGATGAGACTGGCCACAACGGCGGGAATGCGACAGGTGTGATACATATGATGAGATGAGGTCGTCGAAAGGGCGACCGGGCAACTTTTTATGAGAAATACCAAAGCGTTCAACTGCACAGCAACCTAGCTTGATCGATCGATCCGCGCCACACTCTTGGGTGAACTTGCTGCTGACGACGAGGGTGGTACACTCGGCGCAGCACCAACAAGACGTCTGGATTGGAGGGCAACGACCACCAAGAGGTTTCAGAGCGGGATCGGCTCGCTAGTGTACAGAGGGACCTCAAGGCGAGCTTGTAATTTGCGGACGTTGTTAAAAGACGCTTAAATTCGTAGACAATCTCTGGAAATGCCTAGAGCTCGATCGTCGAGTCTTGTTCGAAAGCTGCACGCGACGATGCGCTCTCTATGCGGAGCAACAGGACACCGTCCCGGGGTTTCCTGCCAATTGCAGACCATAGAGGGTACCCACTCTCGTGCTGAACAAGGTGAGCGCATTGCACTGATCAACAAGGTGAGTGCCCTCCCACCTGATGACCGAAGTGAAATGTTCGAAAAAGCCGCAAATTTGCCCTCTGACGCCCTCGCGTTCTGCAATTTTGATTCGCTCGTGCGGAAAGACGGGCTGCAGCACACGTCGTGTGAGCAGGGCCACTGTCTGTCTTACTGTCGATCTTGGTAGCTTTGAGATGCGGCTCTGCGTGACCAATCATGGATCGCTGACAGGCGTACAAGGTGAATCGGACGCCCCTCTGACTAGCTTCCCATGCAGGCGCAGTTGGCAAGCCTGAATGCATTGGGTTTCCGATGCCTGCGTGAAGATGTTCCCTGGAGAAGGATTCTTGGGAATTTGATCGTGCCGTTGTGGGCTACCAGTAGAGCTTTCTGCGCGATGACCACATGGCCGCTTTTGTGAGTGCCATGCAGCGAGTGAGCAAGTGAACACTCTAGCGGCTGCCACGATGACGATTCTGTGCTTGTCCTGCTGAAGTTCTTACGAAGCCACAGTTTCCTTGCGTGTCGACGTCTCGTGTTGCGAAAAGGTGAGCTGGGAATTGCACGTTGAAAGAACGATCTGAAAGACGATTACATGCATTAGATGGTACCAAGACGCTAGTACGCGTGATCACGTGCCGAATACATAATGTCGCCCCGGGCCCTCTCCTAAGGTTGCACGCGCTTCAATTGCACCTTCATTTCCTCGACTCCATCCTTAGCCTGCCTCCAGGGCCAGAGTGATCGTGCCACTTACACCTATCCAACTTTGCCCACTGCATCCTCTCCAGCTTCTCGCCCTTCTTTCTCCTCGCAATGACGAGTAAGATATCATGCAAGAACTCTACTGTATGTTCTTCTTTGTCTCTACTCATTACACTTTCCAGGGTCATCGTCTTTGTGAAAGCATCTTGAAGATACCGGCGTAGAAGGGAGTCAGGTTTCGTGTGCTCGTAAACATATTTGATAACTGGACTCGGTGTGACCCACAACAGGGCTTGATGCTCATGAAGCGCATCAATAGCAGCGTTGCCGAGAGCCGGGATGATGTGGAAGTCAGCAAATACCCATATCTTGGAAAGTACTAGTGGTGAGAGATGCGGTGGGCGTGCTGCGCTGATGGGTTCGGAAGCATCGTCCAGTTTGCCAGTGTAGAGCCAGCAGGTAAAAGTGTCGAAGACTTCGATGTCTTCAATGAATTCAAATGAGTTGGTACCACTGTCGTGGAAACCGCTGGTAGGACTGAGAGCAGCGGCGAGATAGCCGGAGTGCCAGGTGAGAAGTCCGTGGAATACATGGTACTCCTTGCTCTTCACCCCCTCTCGAACGGTGATAGTCATGACGTCAAGGTGATTGAAGCAGGTGCTATAATATGTGTTAGCATTGAAGGCCCAGCTTTATTGATCTTCGGGTGTTTACCTGGGCGCAGCAACTGGCGGGCCTTTGCAGTTAGAGAGGATGCTCATGTTGTGCAAGCTTGGATGCTGTGTAGTTGACGATGAGAGTTGGGAGCCGCAGTGTGTTTAGATTGATTTGGAAGCGCAGTGCGAAGGTTAAGAAATGCGCAGAAGTGACCCAAGCTCAAATTGGAGCATGCTGCGTGTCTGCCTGCCTGCCAGAAAGCAGAAGGCATACATTCACTCAAAAGTGCAATGTCAAACCTGCTCCCTCAGGTGATCTTACTGAGTTATTTTGAGCAATGCCACACACATCCAGCATGGATATGTATGGGGTCAATCAATTACAGCATAAGTTCAGCAGAAAAGGCATGTCCAAGGTCGTCAACATCGAGCAGACCCCGGGAGATCCATATATGGGGTTTTGGTGGGTTAACCACTCTCTAGTCCGATGAGATACCCTATATTGGGGCTTTCGTGATGGGCTGGGTACACTGATGCGCACATTGACCCTTTGGTAGGGCGTTTGGAGGGAACCGGCTTGTTCTCCGAGCGAAGACCGAGGAGAAACAGGTAATCGTCGGGATGTGATCGATCATCAAGATTACGGTCGAGCTTAGATGTAATGCGATGCTTTGCGATCTGAAGACATCTAGTCGTGGAGTGCTGTTGACGGGTTGCGGCACGACGATGCGGGAGGTGAGGGAGCGACGCGCTAAGGGCTCGGCGAAACTAAGCTCCGTCCGGTTTCTTTGAGCGTCGCCCGCCCGTCGCGACCAGACCAACAGACAAGGAGCTCATCCTCCTCCATCTGCAACCGCCCTCACCTCGCCTATCCCTCCCTCTCCTTGCGCAGCTTCTCTATAGCCACCGTCGCAATCATGGCTTCCGAATACGTTGACGACGTCGAGGACTACGAGGATGACGAGGGTGGAGAGATCACTTCGGAAGACTGCTGGGCCGTCATCAGCTCTTTCTTTGACACGAAGGGTCTGGTATCTCAGCAGCTGGACTCATATGACGAATTTACACGCAACACAATACAAGACATAGTGAAGGAAAACGGCACCGTAATACTCGAGCAGAACACGCCCTACGACCCAGACGAGGATAGCGACCCCATCATCAAGCGGCGGTACGAGATCAAATTTGGGCGCGTTTACCTCGCGCGACCCACGCACACAGAAGGCGATGGCACTACCGTGGCGCTTTTCCCGCACGAGGCGCGTCTGCGCAATCTCACCTACTCGGGCGCTATGCTGGCGGATATCTCGAATCGTATAATGGTTGCGAAAGAGACGCAGGTGGTCGTTGAAGGTGAAGACGAGGATATGGAAGTCACCAACACAGTGGGTGGTCCGACGCAGATCAAATGGGAGCGCGAGGATGTACCGATGGACGAGGAGTCAGCGCGGGTCTTTATAGGAAAGCTGCCCGTCATGCTGCGATCAGAGCTTTGCCATCTACGCAACCAGTCTGATGAGGCCTTGTTCGCCTTCAACGAGTGTCCCTACGATCAGGGCGGCTACTTCGTCATCAACGGCAGTGAGAAGGTCCTTATCGCACAGGAGCGCAGTGCGGCGAACATTGTGCAGGTCTTCCGGAAGAAGCAGGGCAACGTTCCCTGGACAGCTGAGATTCGAAGCGCCGTCGAAAAGGGCACTCGTCTGATCTCGTCTTTCAACATCAAATGGGCCGACACCTCACTGGGCAATCCCGGACAGGGCAAGCGAGCTCCTGGACCGTTCGCATACGCTATGCTCCCATATATCAAGCAGGAAGTGCCCATGGCCATCGTCTTCCGTGCTCTCGGCATCGTTTCCGACGAAGAAATCCTCAGCCACATCGTATACGACCGCACCGACACACAGATGCTGGAGTTACTGAAGCCTAGCATCGAGGAGGGTGCGGTGATACAGGACAGGGAGACTGCACTCGACTTCATCGCCAAGCGTGGAGCCAACCAGGGTACCAGGGACCGACGTCTCAAGTTCGCGCGGGACATCATGCAGCGCGAATTCCTACCTCATATTTCTCAAAAGGAAGGACAAGACACTCGCAAAGCCTACTTTTTTCGGTTACATGATCCACCGACTGTTGCAGTGTGTTCTCGGGCGCCGAGACGAAGACGACCGAGATCATTTCGGAAAGAAACGACTGGATCTGGCAGGACCGCTGGTCGCAAACTTGTTCCGTATTCTCTTCCTGAAGTTGACTAAGGACGTCTTCAAGTATCTTCAGCGATGCGTCGAGAGCAGCACGGACTTCAACGTGCAAATGGCTGTGAAGGCCAGCATCATCACAAATGGCCTGAAATACTCTTTGGCCACGGGTAACTGGGGTGACCAGAAGAAGGCTGCATCTGCGAAAGCGGGTGTATCTCAAGTGTTGAACCGCTACACATATGCATCTACATTGTCCCATTTGCGGAGGACGAACACGCCAGTCGGTCGTGACGGTAAGCTGGCGAAGCCTCGTCAGCTACACAACTCGCATTGGGGTCTTGTTTGCCCTGCTGAAACCCCAGAAGGCCAGGCCTGTGGTCTGGTCAAGAACTTGTCCCTCATGTGCTACGTCAGTGTCGGTAGTGATGCTACCCCGATCATCGACTTCATGTCACAAAGAAACATGCAACTCCTTGAGGAATACGACCAGAACCAAAACCCAGAAGCTACGAAGGTCTTCGTAAACGGTGTCTGGGTTGGTGTCCATTCTCAAGCGCAACAGCTCGTTTCTGTGGTTCAAGAGCTGAGAAGGAACGGAACTCTCTCGTACGAAATGAGCTTGATTCGTGATATCCGTGACCGGGAATTCAAGATCTTCACTGACGCTGGGCGTGTCATGCGACCTCTCTTCGTAGTAGAGAACAATCCTACCAAGCCCAACCGCAACCAATTGGTCTTCGACAGAGAGATCAGTAACCGCCTTGTAAAGGAGCAGTTGGATAGCGACACTCGCGCCGGCTGGAGTGACGCTGACATCGCTGACAATACCTATGGATGGAAGGGACTCATCCAAGACGGTGTGATCGAGTACCTTGATGCTGAGGAAGAGGAGACTGCTATGATTACGTTCTCACCTGAGGATCTTGACGAGTGGCGAGGCATGAAGATGGGTCTCCCAACGAGCGAGCGAGCCAATCTTGGCAAGGAGCGTCTTCGACGTATCAAGCCCAAGCCGGACCCTCGCATCCACGCCTACACACATTGCGAGATTCATCCTGCTATGATTCTGGGTATATGCGCCAGTATCATTCCGTTCCCTGACCACAATCAGTCGCCCCGTAACACATACCAGTCTGCCATGGGTAAGCAAGCCATGGGTGTTGCCCTGACCAACTATGCTCTGCGTATGGAGACGATGATGAACGTCCTTTATTATCCGCAAAAGCCTCTGGCCACAACTCGCTCTATGGAGTACCTCAAGTTCCGTGAGCTGCCTGCTGGTCAAAACGCCATCGTCGCCATCGCATGTTATTCTGGTTACAACCAAGAAGATTCCGTCATCATGAACCAAAGCAGTATCGACCGTGGTCTTTTCAGGAGTCTGTTCTACCGTGCGTATACCGAGCAAGAGAAGCGCATTGGTGTCAACGTGCTGGAGCAATTCGAAAAGCCGACTCGTGCCGACACTCTAAGACTGAAGGGCGGAACTTACGACAAGCTCGACGACGATGGTGTTGTCGCCCCCGGAGTGCGTGTTTCTGGTGACGATATCATCATCGGAAAGACGGCGCCAATAGCAGCTGATGCCCAAGAGCTGGGCCAGAAGACTACTCTACATACCAAGCGCGACGTGTCTACGCCTCTGCGAAGCACAGAGAACGGTATCGTCGACCAAGTCTTGTTCACCACCAACACCGAAGGCCTTCGTTTCGTCAAGGTCCGCACACGTACGACCAAGGTACCTCAAATTGGCGACAAGTTTGCTTCTCGTCACGGACAGAAGGGTACCATTGGTATCACATACCGGCAAGAAGATATGCCTTTTACAAGTGAGGGCTTGACTCCTGATTTGGTCATCAACCCTCATGCCATTCCGTCTCGTATGACAATTGCCCATTTGGTCGAGTGTCTTCTCTCCAAAGTTGGTGCCATTACTGGTCAAGAGGGTGACGCCACACCATTCACTGAGGTTACCGTTGACGAAATTTCTGATCTGCTCGAGCAAGCCGGGTACCAAAAGCGTGGGTTTGAGATCATGTACAACGGCCACACCGGCAAGAAGATGCGTGTCCAAGTCTTCTTGGGACCAACGTACTACCAGCGTCTGCGACATATGGTCGACGACAAGATCCACGCCCGCGCCCGTGGCCCACTACAAATCCTGACTCGCCAGCCTGTCGAAGGTCGTGCTCGTGATGGTGGTCTGCGTTTCGGAGAGATGGAGCGCGATTGTATGATTGCGCACGGTGCCGCTGCTTTCCTCAAGGAGCGTCTTTTCACAGTCTCGGATGCGTATACAGTGCATGTATGCGACATCTGCGGACTGATGAGTCCTATTGCGTAAGTCCAGATATACATTTCTCCATCGACTTGACACTAACATTTGTTTAAGATCCATCAAGAAGGGCATGTACGAATGCAGACCCTGCCACAACAAGACGCGTATCTCGCAGATCCACATTCCTTATGCCGCCAAGCTCCTCTTCCAGGAACTCCTCGCCATGAACATTGCGACGCGCATGTTCACGGATCGCTCTGGCCTCAGCGTGCGCGACTAGTCTTCCGCGGACGCGTCAAGTAGCACATTCTCGATAATCGCCCACCAAAATCTCATGCGCAAGCACAGAGAAGTCATGGCGAAGGTGTTTGCTAGAGGCACCAGTCGCGGGTTAAGAACATTGCGGCAAGGATTGCAACGCCAAAGGACACAAGGGAAGTAATGCATAAATCAGGCGTTTTCAAGGCATTCTTTTGCAGTCACAGATTGGGCATGAAAGCTTTACATGGGAAATAGGTAATGGGTGTCATGGCGCATCTCACTTCGGAGACCTTACGCGCTGCTAGGACAAAAGAGAGTAAAAGTCCTCTTGTATAACCGAATCACCGCAGTCTATTGGAATGAAATCATTTGCTTTTCTTCAGGCTTCAGAAGTGCGCTTGATGGTGAGCATGGGGACGTGCAAGTGAAGGTGAAATGGTATCCATTATTTATACAATATTTAGGCAATGTTCCACTCAGCGCCGGCGGTCTCGGTCATCCCTCATGTGTCGGTCCCGACTCCGATCGCGCCGTGGACTTCGAGTTCGTTCGCGACGCCTAGGCTTATATCGTCCGTCTCGCCTCGGGCTTCGACTTCGATTGCGTTTGAAGCGGTCGTCGTGGTATTCGTTTTTTCGTTCCCGTCGGCGGGTATCGTCTCGTCGCCTGTCTCTGTCGTCCCTCGGCTTATCCTGTCCTGCGCCATGAGTGTCCTTTTGTGGTTCCACGCGATCAGCAACGAGTCTGTCGACTACCGAGTCCGAAACAATCTGCCGCCCAGCGTCTCCACGGTATTGCCTCTTCTTCTCGAGATTGTCGATACCTCCAAATCCACCTGCTGCTCGTCGTCGCTTCATGTTCGTCACGTCCCGCCAGTCGTCAGCGATCCTCGAGACACTCTGTGAGAAATCGACGTGTATACGGTGATCGTCAATCAAGACGCCATCCATCTTGAAGTAGGCCTGTTCGCAGTCCTTCTGGTTTGTGTACTCGATAAACGCATACTGCAAGCTGTCGCCAGTCTTCTTGTCTCTGATGACCTCACAGCTCAAGATCTTGCCGAAGCGAGAGAAGATAAGTTCCAAATCTTCGTCCTGCGTGACCGGATTGAGTTTGCACACAAACAGCACGTTCTCAGGTGGTGCGACCTCGGCAAAAGGCAAGTCGCCAACCATTTCAAGCGTGAGTGCTTGTGCTCGCGCCTCACGTTCCCTGCGTACCCGTTCCAGCGCCTCTGGATCGTTTTCGGCTTCAATGTTCTCGTCGTAGGCGACACGTACGGTGGCGAGCTGCGCGGCAGAAGGTACAGGGCTTTCGGGAGGCTCCACGAGGCCAGCGGGATCGGCGTATGGGTCATCCAGGACAACTGTGTGCAAGATGCGGATGTCTTTCAGTGGTTGACCTTTGTCGTCGATATATGCCGTGTTGATCTTCTCGAGCGTGTCAAAGCCCTCGACGACCGTGCCGAATATCGCGGCCTTGCCGTCCAAGAAGTCTATATTTGGTCCCAGTGTGACGATGAACTGGCTGCCGGCCAAGCGTTCATCCGGATTGTCTGGGTTCGGCGCGGTCGCCATGCTGACGGTGCCCATTTCTGCGTGCTTGAGCTTCGGCTTGAACTCGGGCTCGAATGTCTTATTCGCGGCCTGCGCTGGGTCAAGCAGACCCCAGATCGAGCGGCCGCCATCGCTCTCGGTGGAGCTAGGTCCAATAGGGTCGCCGGTCTGGAAGGAGAAATTGGGTTGGACACTATGCACGGGCGCAAAGTTGTAGTACTTCACTTTGCAGAGCTTGAGGAAGCTACGGTGGCCAGCTGTCAGTGTCTGTTCTATGCTCAGCTTGGAAAGACAGCGGGCCCAAGCATGCACATGTTGTGGATGGCAGGCAGAGCACACGGGGCGCGCACAAGGATTGGATCGACTTACTTTTCACAGCATTTCGGCGCGTCGTCGACCAGCAGATCGATGGTAATGTCACCAAGTGACGTCTCCAGAAGCACGGACATGGTTCGCAGTGTCTCGTGCCGAATTGTGGTGTTTGTCGCAAAAGATGCGGTTCCTGGCGAGCGACGCGCCGCACTTTCTTTAGCGTCGAGCACGGGTCTCATCACTGATCACATGATCTGACGTAACTCGCCTTTTCGCACAGCGGCACTCCGGCCCAGAACTGCCGTAACACTACTCTCCATTTCAGACGTCTTGCAAGCTGCTTTCCAATACTCCTGCACCACGTTCTCCAGCATCTTATTCCACAGATATCCAGAGTGACGAGTGGGTCTGCCCTCCCTTAGTACCGCCTCATCGAAACGCGCTCGCATTTCATTCCAGAAGCGCGTACCATGGAGCTTCACTTGCCGTCACCGCGCTACAGAAGGACGGGGGGACAGGAAGAGCACCGTCAGTTTAGGCAGTCATCCGTGAGATGACCGAGAGGTGCGCAATTATGGAATTCCTTGCTGTGAGCGGCCCGTTTCGAAAATTCTTGTTGGTCTGCCGTGCGGCAATGCCCCTTGTAGAGATTACGGGATGCCGCTGCGTTTGTCTTCCGGTCATTCACATCGTTGCGACTTCCTCGTCCAATGGAGTGCTTGCAAAATATGTGGGGGTGCCGCTAGCTGTACAACGACACCGCAGATCATCGCTATCCTCGCAGTTTGGTGGAGTATTGTCTAGAGCATCGCCTAGGGCTTTGTCAAGAGTCCTAGTCTCGGCCTTCTCAAGTTTGCTACGCTTGAGACTGGCACAAACTGCTGTTGTGTTGAGCATAGGCTGGACATGGCTTGCGTCTCGCGTTGGAAAACAGATCTGCTGAGATGCGCACAGCATAAGTGATGATTGCGCGTGCAGTCACACCGTCACTTCGCCGTCGCATGCACGAGCCTCCTCGATGATTTCTCAAAGGCTGGCTGTAGTAACTTCACTAAGCTTGTCATTGTACTGTCAACCGTTCCTGTGGGTACTTTCTACATCCAGCATCTAGCAATGCATCTACAGACTACAGTCGAAGCGATCTACCAGATGGCCAGGATCGTGGCAGAGCCAAAACTCCATGTCTTCCGGATCCCGCTCGTGGATACAATTGTTTGCTACAGCCCGGGCGCCAGCCTGATCTCTACTCCGACTGCGGTTTGGCAGGGTGCGTGCACTCACGACCTCAATTTGTGAGGAATGGCTGGTATCAGTCTTGAAGTGGCAATACCATCCTGCAACTTTTGCATACACATGTCTCGACGTATTCGGTACGGACCGCCTGATCTCATCTCATTTTCAGCCTCCTCATTCTTGTCATTGGGTACGGACCAGCCTTGTATTGGGAAAATAGTCGAAAGACACGACGTGTGCCCGATGCGAGCTTTTCTCATCTAGATCCCGTCGGCACCTCCATCTAGCTTCCCCGATGTATGCAGGATGTTCCGACTCTTCTCGGTCCTGGAGCCGGTACCATCTAGGGCCGAGTGCAGGGATGATATGTCACGGTCGAGCAAAGTGTAAGTCAGCTATCTCACGACATTCGTGGCACAACGCCAAAGAACCAGGATTGCCATATGCGCTACGGTACTCTACAGCCTTGGCTCCCATTGGCAGCATTTGCTCTGACAGCTTCAGCGGATCGACGCCCGCTTGCATATACGTTTCAGCAGTGTTCCGGTAGACTCCCGGACCTTGTTCTAACCTAAACAATCTTTTCTGGTCTGGCATGGATAGATACCAGCCAGACAGGTCACATGGGTCTTGCTTATCTACAGCAACTAGATGAGTTCTACACCATAGGGATCTCCAAGCCTCCAAATGTCTGGTTTGTAACGCTGGGCACTTATCAACTACATGAAGCTCGTCTCAGAATACTACGGCACGAGATGTGTGCACATTCGGTCTCCTTTTGCGACTGTACAACGCGTCCTTGTCAGCCAAAATCGATGGTAGAATCAGGTTGTGCTGTGCTATCGACCCCCGAATTATGGAAACTAACATGGAGATCACTGTACAACCGCCTCACAATACTTAATGGGATGCGCCATCGGGGCCATTCTGGACGTGTCTGAATCGCCCCATCGCTTCCGTTGAAGGCGCTGTCGAGTGGAATCAATTTCAACATGACCCCGGCCTTTTTGTACCATGTCCCACGCAAGTTCAGACCACTGCTGGCTAGACGATGTGCACCTCGGGAATCTGGTAGAGTATGCAGTGTTCACAGGGGTTGTGCCATCATGCCCGTGCACGACAGCATACAAACAACTTTGTCCAGGACTCCCTCCTAAAGAACCAGTGACCTCCTTCAATACTTCAATTTGATTCCAGATCTGCCACGTATCAAGGTTGACATGATCTTGTGACTGTTCTTTTCTAATCGATCAGAGAGTTGATGCAACTTTGTCTCGTTTTGGCTATAAACCTTACTTTTCCGACAGACCACCACTTGATCTGCTCACCAGTTGACGTTTCAACTACAGAACTATTTTCTGAAGACATTCTCTTCCGCGCATTTGGTCCCTGAGTACAACAAAGAGTTGATAGTTTTGAGACACCAATCACTTTGTACTTGAGCGATTGTCTCACTTCCTAGCACGTTATCAACGATACCTATCTCGGTCCGTGTCTTAGCCTGCTTTGAGATGACTCAATGGATGTTCTAACCTAATCACAGGCTGCTAACATGTCCGCCATGGATTATGGTCTCGGCCGTCGCTATGCGCCACATAGCGGCGTCACCTTTCCCGATTACTATTGTGACGAGCGCAGCACCTCTTTTGCATTATCGCATGCTGGCAGGACAGATCCCTGCAGCTTTCAGTACGGCGGCCCAGTCGGCGGTAACCGTGATCGACTTGGTAGTGAGCGGGACGATAACCCATATGATCCTGGCGCTTCGCGACGTCGCATAGCTGTAGCTGTAAGTGCCAGCTGTCCATGATTTCTCTCCTCGATCAACCATGCAAAGTTTGCAAACAGCCAAATGTTGAAATTTTACAGCGTCCGTCAAATTCGAAGCTGACTTTGTTCACAGTGCGCTCGTTGCCGAAAGAGGAAGATTCGATGCAGCGGAGATCCAGGCAACGGTGCTGGATGTAGTAGTTGCCGACAAGCTGGAGTGGAGCCAAGCTCTTGTCAATTCCATCGTGTAAGTATCTGAATCAATCCATGAACTTGCATCCTAACCAAACTAGGTCGGATCAGACAACGTACACAAGGTCATCGACAACTTTCACCTGGCGCAGAGCTTGACGGGAATGGCCAATTCCACCGCGATGGCCCCGCTATACTCGATGCCTGCCAACGAACATGCATATGCTCGTCCAACATCAAGTGGGACCTATCCGCTCATTGACACCAAGCCAATATATCCTTCGACCTGGACTGTACCATACACCGGGGACACATCTCCGGTCGAGACATATGGTCTGGAACAACAAACATCATTTCTGCCCAACAATGTGTCTGTCCCACATTCAAACTTCTATGATGCATCCTATCGATGGGCATACACATCTGGAAGGCCATTACAGCAAGCGAGCAATGTATACTACGACGAGGACCCGTATACGGCCATGTACGGTCTACCATACACGCCCAATAAGCACCGGATAACCGTTCCCAGCGAACCTCTCTCGCCAATGAACATGTCATCCCTAGAAACGGCACTTCCATCTAGGCCTCACCGCCGATACTGTGCGCCAGATGGAGTGGCTCGCCAGCTTCCATTCCCACAGCCAAATCCAGCTCAATCTTCACGGAACGCTGTTGATAACTTACAAGATCAACGATTGAGATCCAGCCAAGGAGGTAGCGCATCATTTATGAGGCCAATACAACCATGGAATCCCAACACCGAATCTCTTGTCAACTCGACTACTGCGACGTCAATCACTAATTCTGCGCTGGCCCCGTCGGCCATAGATGGGGCGCTTGAAATACTTGCAACCACTGCAATTGAGGGTGACGCGGGTACTACGGTCACCTCAACATCTCCCGAACTCAACTTCAGTACATCCACACTTCTGGAAGCCATGACAGCCTCGGCCCCAAGCAACAAGTATTCCAACTTCCGGGAGAATCGCTCCCAAGGCAGAACATCTGGACAACTTACACGGCAAGGTTCGCATACCAACCTGTACAGCTACAACACGTTCAATTCGATGAATCACAACGCCCTAGGCGACGAGGGCTCGGACGATTGCAAGCTTGTGAACGGAAAGCAATACGTGCCGTTGGCACACCAGTCGATGCAAGGCTCTTCGATGCCAGAGAGTCTGCAACGGGATTCGTTCCAGAAACGTAATGGTCCAATGCAGCGCGAGTCGATGCGAAGTCTTGATACGTCTTTCTAAAAGCTTTAGTTCACGCAGTGTATCTTTCGCCAAGATCCCGTCCCCCTTCCGCTTCAGCCCCTCCTCCTACAACAATCCGCGCGAGCCTTGGAAACCCATGGACGCCTCAAAGTATTATTTTCCTTCGTTTCCCCAGACGTTTACGACAATGCCTACCTGCGCGAATACTCGCATTTCTCTACATTGGCTCCAGCATTATCATTTGCCACCTCACGATTGTGTATTGACATCAGCGCTCCAGGCCACACGTTACGACCGCTCCATTCGAGTTCGTGTACCAACATGTCCTTACCACCAACCGTCACTTCCCGCAGCAGAAGCAGACAAAACGCCAGGGTCACTCATGTCGTCCGTATCGCATAGTTCGCACTTGGTTGGGAAAGGAGAAAACACGACGCAAGTCACATGTACGATCAGTAACCAAAATCACAATATAATACCAATGTGGGCCAAACCCGTGCGTGATGGTTGGTCCGGGTCGAGTAGCCTGGCTGCGCGTGCATTGCATTGCCAGAGTATCACTGGCGTGCGCAACGATGTGATCCTTGTCTTTCCCTACACAGCTCGTGCGGCCTGTACACCGCTCCTAATGCAGACGTTACCGCTTCTTCAAGGAACCACTTTATTCCGCGGCTGATGAGGCACTCGCGTGTAGTACAATGCGTTGCACGAGATACGTTAGGGTAGTATCAGGGACCCGCATGTCGTTCGCAACGATGATCCTTGTGCGAGATGAGGGGTTGCGGCAATATGTTATACAGGAGTTACACAGGGGATTAGGGGCGGCTAAGCCCGTGAATACATGGGAATTGTGGACCGTAGTGGCGGAGGCGGGTACATAATCCGAACGGCACGAGGGATTACATCGGATTAGTGTGCGTTTTGAGCCGAAGTGATCTGCTAGTGAGGTCGATGTGGACGACGTGATTAGCAAAATGACAGTGACACGTGCTTTTGATGCTTGAAATTGTCGACCCTGACGTGATGGATCCAATACATTCTGCGATGTCACTGTGGGAGAGAAATGCTCTGGTCGCCACTTCTGAAAGACAAGAAGATTTAATCAACATGGGGACTGTAGCGGGAAAATGCCCATGTGATTTGATCAAGCTAGGCCGTATTGCTATGCCGCACTTGTTTTCTGCAATATTGTGGTGACCTCATTCGTGATTCCTCGTGCTTTATATTCTGTCGCATGGTACAGCTGGAAGTGGACTCTGACAGGTTTGCGATCAGAATGGCTCAAGGGGAGTAATGTCCTAAGCTGAACCAGAAATTGCTTGCCGTCGATGAAAGAAGGGGCGCTACCAAGTGTGACTCTTCGAGAAGTAAGAAGTGACTGTTTGAGTTTAGCTCCAGGCGGTCCCCAAGGTTGCTGTTAGCGCGATGGGAACTCAGCCTCAGCGGTTGAACCTCATTCCGCGTCACGATCGTTTCTTATCTCATCTCCTTATAATAATCGTGATCGCACCTTTATCGCAATACGTGAAACGAGAAGAAAATGAACACTTCTTTCACAGCTCCGGCACCTATCGTCCCGATGCCGGCTCCAATACAAACGGCGACGTCCCGTATTGCGAGGCCCGGAGCTCCGTCCTTGTTCCATCTGCCAGCTGAGCTGCGAAACAAAATCTACTCTTTTGCGCTGGTATTCGAAAGTCCCTTGATGATCATGTCCGGACGCCTACACCGCCATATAGGAGATGAGAATTGCGATTTGACGGTGATTGATCACCCACTCGGTAACCATGTGTTCGCTTTATTTTTGCAACAAAACTCTGATCACCGATGAATAGTCCAAAGACATGATGACGTACATTTTGACGACCGTCCATCCGATCTCGCTCCTGTGACATTGCCCGGACTTGACCTTTTCCTTACTTGTCGCCAAGTTTATTATGAAGCAACGTCGATCTTCTTCGCCCAGAATACCTTTGCAATGATAGGACGGTACTGCAACACTTTTGGACCCGAAGATCAAGATCAACATCAGTTCGTTGGATCTTTCCTTGCCCAAGGTGCAGACTGGATTGTGGCCCTTGGATCACAGATCACGAAACTCTCCAGGTTACTCCTCGAGATCAATGGTCTTTGCACTCCGTTTACGCAAGATAACTGCATAGAAGTTTTACCACTTTTGAGAGTTCTATGGAGTCGGCGCTGGTCCGGAAAGATTGAGTTCACGGCTTCTAGTGGACTCTCCAGCCAGAGATATCCCTGCCAGCTCCGAAAGAGAGGCGAAATTGGAGAGGTACTCCATGTTTCGACTGCAAACAAGATCTTGGACTCCCTGCTACGGGACAACGATATCCGGAAGTACGAAAGACTGCTTAGCCATGTCGTAATCCGACGCAATGGCACTGGAGGGATCGCTCTTTTCCGCTCGACTGGCCAGCCATACTGTCCAAAGGGAGCAACTCATGCTTACCACTATATTGATTCAGGATGGAGAAAGTTCGAGCCTTGCCTTGAGCATCGAATGGACTTTCAGCTTGACGGAAACAGGTGTCAGAGTCTAACGAGACCACTGCCAAACCTTGTGAACCTTGATACCCACAGACAACGCCGACATCCTTATACCCACCTCCAGCGTCGGATCTTTGATTATATCCTTCGCCACGACGAGACTCAGCTTGTAGACCTGAATATCAAAAGCAAGTCTTCGGCTCCAGGACTTTTGTATGTGAATCGGTTCATACACAATGATGAGAACAGTTCATACTATACCGAAAACTATTTCGCTGTTCACCTCCGATTCCGAACGAACCCTCTCCAAGTCGTCGATACTGAAAATTTAAGCCGATGGCTCTCAATCAGTGACACAAGATATATACCCGAGCGGATGATACTCCAAAGCAAACACAACGTGAACCCCTTGTACCTCGACTTCGAGTCACTAGATGGGAGAGCCCTATATCTGGAAGACATCAGGATCAGGACGAAGCGCCTTGTGTACAGAGGGAACTGGGATGATGTCTACCCGATCGTGGTCAGGATAAGGGACGCTTCTCACCACCAAAGCAGCAATGACGATGTACCTACCTGTTGAAGCCAAATTCGCCTTGAATACTGTTCGGATAGATGTGACACGGGCTCGCAGTGAGCTCCAAAAAGCAGGTGTATACATTGCTCCCTATGGTAGGGATGACAATGTGGACGTGATCATTAATGGTCGTGGGAGACCGGTTGGTTACATATGGTTGGATGATACGCTTGACCCGCCCAAATTCCATCCCATGACACTGCAATGGGCCTCTTGGTCTGATAAAGGCTCATCAAAGCCGAGAAAAAAGGCTTGAGATCCAGAAACCGCTGGTTGCCGAAGTCCTCGATAGCTTACCACATTATTGCCATCCAAAGATCACAAACCACTAGCAGTTCCTGCGTACTGATTCACGATGTCTTGACCATGGAAAGACCAAAGCATCAAGAACAAGCAACGTGCTGATATCATGATAAACGGCTACGGCAGAGTCGAGGATTGGCCCAGCGAGATGGAAAGTTCGAAACATGGATATGCGCTCAATCCGAGTGGCCAAGAAGGTCTCGATTGGAATCTGGAGTGGATACAACAGGCATATGGCTTCGACCGATCTACAGCCTGCATCATGAATTACTTGTGGCGCGTCTCCACAGGTGGTGATGCCAACTCTTGCACCTTGAAATGCGAGTAAAGTCTTGCCAAAATTTGGATAGTACCGAAAACAATTTACCGGCTTCTATTGGTGGGACGAGAGCATGAGTGAGTTCGCGACGCTCTTCGGTCGAATGGGTATACAAGGCCCATCAACGTGACTAATCCACGAAAATACATCTCCTTGTAAAACAAAAGTGAGGGAATTGTCGCAGAGGGTCCCGAATACTGTCGTTCGATGAAGCAACTGGTATCGCCAACATAAGGGAGACTCAGAGTTGTGAATGGCAAAGACCGACTTGGAGTATGCAAATGAATGAATTCAACGGCAAATATCAGATCGATCTTCTATCTAAAAGGAATAAACTTGGAGAGAAAGACTCCGTCCGTGACAGCTAGTCTCCACCCCCACCCCCACCACCGCCTCCGCCACCGCCGCCTCCTCCATCGCCTCCACTACTTCCTCCTCCGCTATACCCTCCCCCGCTATATCCCCCTCCACTATATCCTCCTCCGCTATGCCCACCACCATCGCCTCCCTCGCTGTAACTGTATCCCCCACCATCTCCTCCACTACTTCCGCCTCCACCATGATGAGTGCTCGGAGGGTCACAATCCAGCGCTCCGCTCACTGGAGGTTCGACAGCACTATATGCTGCTGGGGCGGCGTAGGTAGTGTTCGCAAGTCCTGTGGTGTTGCTAGTCGGATTATAGGTATAATCCGAGGTTGCGCCTCCTTTTCCAGCTAGCTTCTTGTCTTGACGCTTGGCTTTCTTGCCGAAACAGCTGCTGAAGAGACCCATTGTGCTGACTCTGAGCGTTTGGAAATTACAGATAAATGTATGTGACGCGGAGTTTGGTCGAGTCGGGCGAGGTTTTCAGGCAGTAGACGTGTGTGGAAAGCGATTCGAAAGTGTAGTGTATGTTTGGATGCGCTTGCGGATGTGTAAGATGGTTGAATTGGACGAGAGGCAGATGGAATGGAAGTGATGGCTATGTACCGTTCATCATCTTTGAAGTTTATATACGACTCTTGAACCTAGTACATTGCGTTCAGCCTCATCGCAAGGCTGATACTAGGGTGGAGCTGACGGTGACTACATTTGGAAACCCGGTGGCTGTGCCCGCATGTCACCTAGCAGCACCTTAGACCATTTCAATCAACATCAAAGGTATTAGGCACAGTAGTAGATGTACAGGGTGTGTGCTCTGGAGGCTGAGTGCCTTTAAAGTCCCGGCGGTAGCGCCAAAAGAGTAATACGAAGCGGGAGCCTAACGACATTGACGCACTGCCATTTCTTCATCGAGGCAAGCATCTTCTAGGGCCGGTAAGCAACGATGGCGAAATGTTCTATCTGCTCAGCCTGTTGGTAAGTTTTGCATTTTTCAAGTCCGGATATGTTCACCGGCGACCACGGTGAGGCTCACTTGTCAAGACATATCTTCGATGCAAGATTTGCGAATCTGCACGGTATTCTTAGTTGTGAAGCAAGCAAAAAAATTGTCGTACACATGCAGCGATCGTGTGGAAGTTCACGTGATGAGAGGTGATCGCAGGTATTCAATCGTCCCTCAGGACAAGACGCTGGCATCACGCACGCCATCTTCCAGCATCACTTCGAAGCTGGTAGGCATATCTTCACTGAGGCAATCTAAAATTACATGACTTGTGTTTAGCTTTAAAATATCTTGCCTCGCCAGACGGGTTTGCGAATTTCCTTCTCCTATAGCAATCTAATCTCATTTCTTGCCACCACATTTGGAGTTAAAATATGGTACCTTCTTCTCCGCTCTCAATTTCAGCAACTCATTCCCATCCTCAACTCCCAAGCCCACAGGTAAATCTCAAAGCACACAACGCCCTTACCTGCCGCAACACCCTACTCCTCAACCCGTCTTCCCTTCCTGCGGCGGTATCCCCAGCTCAAACACCGGATCGTCCAGCTTATAAAACCAATACATCTTGATTTTGTGCTCATGTTCAGGTATCGGGATGGGAGACGAAATGTCTGCGATGTTGATGGGTGGGTGCATTGGACGTTTGGGGACGCGGGGGAAGATGTGCATTGTAGTAATAGAGTGAGGAAGAAATGAATAGTTCCAGAAGGATAGAGATGTGCGTAAGTAGTGTTTTAGTTGTGATTGCCTGACCTAGGACTGATCATCATGGTGACTAGAAGACTGTGGCTGTGCATATGGACACTAGCATAGTGTAGGTCGACCGGTAAGTCAAACTAGGCAATTGAAAAGCGCTCAAACTAAAGTGGCATCTTCCTAGCCATCTCGAGAATTTTCAGAACGCCCTTCATCTTGAAATCACCGCCCTCAATCTCTCCTCCCGCATGCCAGAAACTCTACATCTCCTCCTCCGCCCGTCTTCATCTTCGTCTTCATACTCATCACACCCCACAAAATTCATATTCTCCTCCTCCTCCTTCTTCCTCATACCACAAGTCTCAATATCTCCTCCGCCTACCCTTCTCCAAACATCAAGATCTCACAACCTCCGTCTTCCAAACCCTCCCCCCCCCCTCCTCCTTCTAATGCATCCCACCCCCCGTCGCCCCCCCAACAATCGCCGCATTAAACCCCATCCCCATCGTCATCCCCGAACCCGCATCCGCCCCACTCGCACCACCCGCACTCAACGCCTCCTCACCCTTCTTCCCCTCGTTCTTCGCCGGCATCTCAGGCATCGGCGGATGCTCCACCACCTTCTTCCCCTTGACCTTTGCGCTCCCTTTTAACTTCGCCCTCTCCCTCTCCCTCGCATCCCTCGCGTCCAACTGCTGATCGTACGCCGTGCCTCTGCGCTCGAGCCTCTTCGGCTCAGCATCATCGGCTTGCGGCGCAGGCGGTGTTTGTTGGGGTTTGGATTTAGTCCCGAAGCAGGATTTCAGGACGGACATGATTCACGCTGGAAAGAAATCGACGAGGAGATGTGAATGGATCAGAGGGATCCGGGAGTTGGTTGTTGGGCGTTGTTTGATGTTTGTTGTTGTTCGTCTTTCCGTGCGATTCCGTGCTTGTGGATTTGTGAATACCGCCGAGACTCCGGGAAATAAAGTTGTGGCTGTGCAACGAGGTGTGTGTGTCGGATTGAGAGGTGCAGGCTGATGAGCAGCGGGCGGAACGGTTCTCCGGGAGACAAGCTTGCGAAGTGTGGGTCGGCGCGGAGCTTGTGTGAGTAAGGAGAGGAGAAGCGAAGTGTGGTGTCGTGTGGTGGTGCGCCTTAAAAGTAAAGCTGGTTGGCACAACGGCTGCACAACGCGTATGTAGTAAGAATAACGCTATACTTGATTTGCTCCTGCGCTTTGGACGTGAAGTTGGGCGATAGTCATCCCACTCTTAGTCTTGCTACGAAGATGGAATTTGCGTACATAGAGCCGCACCAAGATCTCGTGTGCTCCTCTGCTAGCGCTCAACGTCTGTGTCACTCAACATTCACCAACGCACACCCATTCATCTAGCAAATAATGCCAATCGATAGAGTTGAGTAAGTTTGACTAGTCTTCTCCATCTCCATCCCATCCCGTCCATTCATGCATACAGCCCACGTACAAAAACTCATGTCATACCCGATCAAACGCCACCGCCCTAGAAAACGCTCCAAATATGCAAATGCCATAGACAATAAAACTCTTTTCTGCCACTTATTCCACAATCTCCCCCAACACCACACGACGACACATCCTCGCCCTATATGGCGCGCGAAACCCACCGTAAGCCCAACATCGCTTCGCACTTAGCGACCTCGTGACGTCCAGCGCGCTCGCGCAGCGCAGAGCGCTATGAGAATGCTATTGCAAGAAGTCTCTGCGGACATTGATGAATGCGCCGCTGCCGCCGTCGTCGGCGAGTTCGTTGACGAGGGCTTCGGTTTGTTGGACGACGCGTTCGAGGGCGGCGGAGGAGGATTTGCCGAGGCTGACTGCAGAACTATTAGTTTACCACGTCCCATATATATAGGAATGTGCTTCTTACCTAAGATGGCGCTGTTGAGCTCCTCGGCTACAGGTACTCGTCCGGCAGTTTCGAGGAGTGGTGCTAATGCGCTGTCCGTTGGGCGCTCGTACGCTATGAGCGCAAAGGTGTCTTCCAGGGCGCGCTTGACTTCTCGTCTTGGGTCGTTGGCGAATTCGGCTTGCAGTTCCATGCCGTATTTGAGCATGTCCTGGGTCATCTGGTCGCGCTTGATCTCCTTGTCTTCCATTCCGTCCTCGTCATCAAGCTCTTCATTGTCTTCTCTGTCATCCCAGCTTGGTGTTGGATTGTGTACACCTAATTGCTCGTCCAGCTCCATTTCGAAGTCATATTCATCTGTCGCTGTGGAATTTCGCTTGTTCTGAGTCGATGCGGTGGACCGTTTGGATATTGGTGTTGGCACTGGTTGACATTGTGCGTTCAGCTCGTTGCAATGGCGGATCATTTCTATGAACTTTCGACACCGGAGCTTGAAGTAGATGTTCTCGTTGTCGCGAAGGACCGAAGGGTAATAAGCTGTAGTATGCTTGAGTGCTTTGTCAATGTCACCTTCGAGAATTGCCGTGCGGATTTCTGAACGAGTTAGCAAGTACTATCAGACAAGACAATTATTAACCTACTCTGACGATTTAGCGCATCCAGATCCTCAACATGCTCTCCATACGAAACGTTTCCATTCTCCTCATTTGCCAGAGCTCTCGCTTCTTCGACTATCTCCTCTCGGAAAGCTCGCGCCGTCTCGACATAGCCGTCGTGTGCCAGATACTGTCCGATTAGATCGTGTATCATGTCTGTTTCATTTGCCACCGGTGTGCGCGCGATCTCTGCTTGTATTGCTGCCTTCTCGTTCGCGACCATTTTGTCGATGTCGAAAGCGAAGGGATCCTGACCGAAGTTTGCGCGCAAAGTCTCGCCGGGCTTCTTCATGCCAACTGTCGGGAAGTATGGTACGTCTTTCTTGAGGTCTCGGAAAGCGGTATCTGTCCATGTTAGCGCCAGAATCTTTCTGAGGAACGCATCTACGTACCGATAAATAGACCATTCTTCGTGAAGAAGGCGGTGTTGGTCCGGAAATTGATACCGCATCCGATGACATCCAGCGTGCTGAACTTCTGGCCATATGGCTTCCCTGATGTCGTGTTGCTGAAGATCTGCCCGTCGTCCCCGTGATACGCAAAAGAGTCCGGTTCCCAGCCCGGTATTCTGCTCAACGCGACCTTCGCGCCGGAAAAGCCAACTCCTATCATCCTACTGCCCAGCGTTAGCTTCAATTCATGTGTCCTGTATGGTGAACTAACCCTTCTCTCCCCTTGGAAATGACAGTAACCTCGTAGTAATATATTCCGCACTGCCGAGGCATAGGAAAGTCCGCTCGCACCGCCGCCGCCTCGTCATGCGTCTTCTGAGACCCGGAGAACTTGGCCTGTCTCCCATTCTCCTCGATATCGATCTGAGCGAACTTGTCTGCGTCGTTCCACCTCGTCGGCCAGGGTGCGGGTTCGTCGACAAAGACGGGCGCGCGTTCGATGATCTCGTGAGCCAAGCCCCGGTAGGACGGCACCATCTTGTGCAGATTGAGACTACTCGCGCTGGCCGATAGCGACGCCGCATTCGAAGAGTGTGTAGATTTGTGGTCTCGCTGCGCTGCTAGCTTTGCCTTGTGTATCTCCTGCAGCCGCTCGGCATGCTTCGACCCTCGCAGGTACGAAGGTACAAAGAACGGCGGTATGTCCTGCACAGTTCCTCCGAGTCCCTGCCAGTATCCAGGCTGTCCCGAGTAGGAAGGCTTCGTCCAGCTGGTGGACATGCTGCTGTGGTGGCCCTCGGCATCAATCGAGCGGGAGAGGCGGTGGTGGCTCACGTTGTGGCCTGTCGCGCTGGTGCTATTGAGGAGGTGGGAAAAGGCACCTGATCGCGTCGGCGTGGGGTGGGATGGGTTGCTTCCAGTGCTGCCGCTCGCGACCGCGGCGTATGAAGAGCGTCGTTGATTGTACATGGTGGAGGTGTCGTGTTGGATGGAAGAGGCACGAGTGACGAGGTTTGGAGCAATCGCAGCTACGGCCTAGGCGGGTCCAGGGAGCGAGTGGCAGAGGGATGAGTGGTCCCCCGGAAGCTACGTATTCCTGGCACTCAAACGAAAGCAAAGGCGCGTGAAGGTGATGTCGGACGCGGCGATATGTCGAGCACCCGAGACGTCAAGAACCAGAGATGCCAGTCGCGAACACGGAAGTAATGCAGCACACGAGACTAGACTCGGCAACACGCTGACGTATGCGTGGCAGCAGCTCCTTGCAATATCATCGTCTGGGGTTCTTGAAAGCGCTGGGGAAGACGGCAATGACGAGTGACGGTGTCTTGGGTGAGGTGCACCATTGCACCATGTTAGACCGAGCGCCGGCCGGGGGAGCTACTGCGGGGACAAGGTTATCTCGAGATAACGCACGCCATCATGTGCATTGCTTGCATCACATCGTGATTTTACTCAGTGATGTGCTCATGGTTTCGACACTGGGCAGCAGGGTGGTGACAAGATACTCTCGTCTTCAGATTAGGACCGCATTCCATCTCTCAACGTAGACAGTTGCCTTCATCTTCCGCCCGCGCGTGCTTCACCGCCCACGCCAAAACATCACTGCGCACATGATCATTCATGAATCTCGAGTTCAACCAATATGGCTGTGATAATTGCTATTCTAATATCCAGCTTCCCCTTTCCTTCACGCCATGAATCCACAAAGAGCTCCCGTGAAGTACTCATACCTCCACACCACAGCTTCGCGCTGTACGCGCTATCCTAGATCCGCCCATATCGCATATCCAGACGCCAGAAAGCCCCATCGCTTTTCGAATAGATATGCAAGCGCGCCCATAAAACTCCAAACATGCAGCAATGAGAAAATCCAGACGTGAGAATACAAGTGGAGAAGAAGACGGGTGTCGAGCCAGAATGAGTGACAAAACGTAGCTCGAAGCCAAAAGAAGTTGCCCAATGCCAATGCGATGGCTTGTGGTCTAGCTGGCAGCGACAGGCGCTGGTGAACTGGCGAGGGCATCTATCGCCGGTGGTGCTGGGGTGAGGCCGCTCTTGTCACTCACAGCACTGCTTTCGTCCTTGATCTTGGTATCGCTCGATCCCGTTGAGTCGCTCTTGACATCTTCCGAGAAAGCAGCGGCGCGTTGTGACGCCTTCCACGATGGCAGTTCGACGACGGAGCCTGTGAAGGTCCGGATCCTGAAGCCGGTCTTCTGCCACTTCCTGACCTTGAACTTGCCGGTGCGGTCGAGACTGCGCAGGTTTGGCGTTGATAGCACCAGCATTTGCCTTGGGACCTAGCTTCTGGGCTGGCGCGGGGACTGCGAATGGTGTGGTGGAGTTGGGGTCGTTGATCATGTCTCCGAGCTTCTGCTTCTTGGTCTTGGGGCCAGGCTTGCCGCGAGCCTTTGGTGTGCTGGTCGCGCCATCGACAGCAGCGATGCCACGCTTCTTCGGCGCTGGGCCCTTCCGCTTTGGCCCGGTGGTGGGTGGTGCCAGCGACGAGGGGGTGTTGGTTCCGTTCATTGGAGTTGAGGCGTCGGCGGGAGTGTCGGCTGAGGGCTCGATGATCTGGGGGGCGGCAGGCGTATTGGGGGATGAAGTAGGTTTGGGTGCTGGGCTCGCGACTGCTGTAGCGGGCTCGTGTGGGAATGCCTCTAGTGCCTTTGATGAAAGTTTGAGGACGACAGTCTTTGTCTTACTAGTCTTTGCGGACATTTTCGCGACCAAGGTGAATCGTCGACGCGATGGTCGCGATGCGTGGTGGTGATGCGCAAAGGGTGCAGCGGCGACGTGGGTGCAGCTGAGGGACGAGGCTTTCTGTCTAATAGGGAGGCCGTGTCAGCTGGCGCAAGCGTCTTGCTGGGCGGCGACGAGAGGCTGCGTCGATGGAGTAGTCTGCGCGAGCGGTTGTTAGACGTGGTACGCGTGGTGGATGGCGACGGTGAGAATGCGAAGACAAGTCTGAACGTGTGGGAAGGGAGCCAGCTGGTGCGTCAAGCGGGTGGGCGTGATGGCCCGAAGCCCGCCCTCATGCTTGCCCAGATCCATTGCCCCATCGCTAACTCTGTTTCCAGGAAGCGGACGGTGTGATAATACCTTTGCTGCAACGCGCGCTAAACTCAATGCGGCCCCGCGACAGCATCTCTGTTATTGTTAGAACGTGCCGAAATCATCACTTTGCATCCCATTGCAAGTGCGGCGTGCTCTTGCAGCTGCTTTCGCTCAGCGTTTTGCGTCCGTGTGTTGTTCCGTGGTTGGTTTAATTCGCGTGCCGGTAGCGCTTCACCGTGGAGGCGATGCGCTCCCTTTCCCTGGTTCCGGCAGCAGTCTCATCAGAAACCCCTACCCCTCTGACCGCCGAAACTCTGCCAACCTGTTTCCAAAAGGCGCAGCATCGTGCACCAGACATGCACTCTCCGCCGTGCATCCGCCGCAGTTGGCCCTGCGCCCATGGCGAGACGTGTGTGCCTTGCGTCGCATGTGCGAGGGCTGACATGATGCCTGCAATGTGAAGCGTTGCATTCGAGCACACCAGCCCACCGTACGCGTTCGCTGTCATCCAGGCCTTGCACTAACCCCCCCACCGATATTGATCTTCACGAAGCACTTGTCTCATGACGAAAGACGTCTTGATCTTCGCTGCCTCTGGGGCTTCTCGGATAGCATTGCTTCTGCCTCTCGTGAGCATCATGTTGTTGTTGCTAGCTGACGATGATGATGACGACGACACACTCCCACGGGCTTGTTTGCGAGACTGGGCATGATTTGTATCGGAACATCTCTGGCGACTAGCGGACCGAATTTGGACTGGATGAGTAGCCAGGAAATGGAGAAGACAGCTTCGCGATTCGGCGCGCTTGTCGCGACTTCTTCATTTTATGTTGGCGAGGCAGGCGCCGCCATCAACACACCAGCTTCCACAGCATGTCGCTCATATAGGCTCAGTAATGATTTAAATAATTTGCATTGCACTGATCATCTATCCATTTTGCTGCCGCTCCAATGCTTTGGTTCCTCGGATTGCGCGAGCTTTTCCAACAATCCAAGCCTATGCTTTTGCCACTTCACCTCCAATTGCAACTCTACAAAGGCTTCCACCAACTCTTCTTCCCCTTCTCCACGCGCTTCTCTGCATTCTCATACTCCTCCACCTTATCGAAAAACACGACCATAATCGTCGTATCATCTACCGCATTCCTACACATTGGCGACGGCAAGCTCAAAATACCTGTAAATAAGCCCCTCCTCGTGCCACCCATCGCGTTCCGTGCCAAACACACCGCCGCGTTGTCATCTTCAATTGCAAAGAACTCCGGCGTTGCTTTCCAATCGACTTCCAAACCGTTCTCAGGGTCGACTTCAATGCCGTCTTCTAGTGTTGTGAAGTTTGTTGGGAAGCGTGGTGGGTTCTCAATCAAGCGTGGGTCTTTGGTGACGGAGCCGCCGCCGCGAGATTTGGCTTCGAGCCAGCGCTGGACGCATTCGACTGCGTGTTCCGAGGAGATACGATCCCAAAGTCCGTCCGAGGCCATAATCATGAAATCGCTCTTGCCACCTGCTCCAGGCTCGACACGGACAATCTCAGTTTCAGTGATTTCCGGCTCCGCGGTGAGATACGGCGGTGTCTTGCTCCCTGGCCGAGGTGAAGTTCCCCAGAATTTGTACTTCATCTTGGCGACGAAGTCGTTGTCCCATTTCCAGCGGTGGTCGCCAAAGGCACGTGTAACTGCGAGACCTAATAGGCGACCGGACTTGGGGTCGATGATATCGGGCTCGCCAGGATGGTCTTGCGCGAGGCGAGCGACCTCTTTCTCATTAAACCCAGTCTGATCGATGGAAAGGGGAATGCTGGTGTAGGATCTCGTAGATGGGTCCCAGCGACCTAGCACAGCGCGACTGTCGCCTACGCAAGCAACACGAAGGGTATCATTCTTGGGATCAAATGCTGCCAGTAAAGCGCACGAGCCTGACAAGGCAGGCGCCAAGGCATTGATCGCAGCTGCATTAGCAGCAGGGAACCAATTAGCTGCAGTTTGCGCAGTGTCCATTATGTTCTTGTCGAGGCGGAGGAACGTTCGCTTGATAGTGCTGTCAATTTCAGGCGATGAGGAGTTTGCAGGCAAGCCAAGTAACGCTGAAGAAAGCTGCGGAATCAAGGTCCATTGCAAGACATTTGCACAGTGCCGCCCGGCATGGCCATCGAATATACTCCAGTAGTTCCAAGGCTGCTCTCCTGGCCCAGGGCTAGTTCCCAGCGAAAAGAAGTCCTCACATGGCTCGTTGCTCCTGAATCGGCAGCCATGGGTAACCGGAAGCCTGTCTGCCTTTGCGTCGTCTTCGCTCATCTTCCATCCAAATGCAAGCTTTTCAAACTGCGAACTCAAGAATTTGGCTATGTTAGGATCCTTGAGCGCCGCAGCTGGATCCATTACGTGGAACTACACCTCGTTAGCGGTCGGAAACAGTATCATGCAGTGCTGTAGCGGCAGATCCAACATGTGGACCATGAAAACTCACCTGCAGATAGTGGTCGAGATCCTCCTTAGTTTCGTTAAAATGCACCGGCGTAGCATGTGATCCATCATCTTGAAAGCTGAGATGTACATCGTCGGTCCAGTCCAGGTCTTCCACGTCGACAAAGTAGTATATCAGGCCACTGATCACAACAAGGAAAATGACAGTCTTCTTGGGAAACGCTGATTGAAGATGACCAGCAGCCAAAGCATCGCTGGAAATATGCCCAGGGGTCTTCGCGAGATTCTGGGTAGCGCGAGATGATTTACGCGCAAGTGAAGACAGGACACGTGATTGAGAGACCGGAGCGGGCCATCCCGAAGTGCGCGCTGCACGCTGCCGCAGGATGGTGTGTGTTCCAGCGGAGGCGGTACTTGTCGTGCGTGTTGCAGGCGCAACATGCAGCGCGGCCCCTCGCCGTATGATGGACCTCAATCGAGGCAGCATTGCGAAGTTGGGATGCTTACGCGATGCAAGAGCAATGTTCGGCGCGAATACCCTGAACTTGACCTGGGAGCTTAGGCCATGCGCTAGTCTGTCGTAGCTCCACCAATCACATGCGACGAGTGAGTGGGCCTCGTAATATCACTCACGAGGAGACACATTCGGTAGACCCCTCTCTCAACAAAGATACTGAGCCTTAGCACTTACCAGAGAGCTCTCAGCATCCTTGATGTTTTTCTGCCATTGCATGTGACTTCAGGAGAAAGAAACGCGGATGTCCTCGTTAAGAAGGGAAGCAACTATGTTCCGTCACATGTGTAGACGTGCTCTGTAGAAATGTGTCGTATTACCTTGGGTAATCCGCGTAGAACTGTGTGTGAACGTCAAGTTTAGCAAGTGATAGCATTGAATATTATGTCGGTGAGGTCGTGACACATGTGCAATCAGGTTACCATACTATTATCCTTGACTCCGAAGACCAACTGAACTGCGAGTATTGTATAGCTGTCGGCCATGTTTGACAAATTGTCCTCCACCAACGCCATCGTATCATAATTCCAAATCCATAAAATCCGTAGACATGGATGGCGCAATTCGCCTTCAACCCAAGACAGAAAGAGTGGACGATAACCAAACGATAATGAAAGTAGTTCCCAACGCCGTTGTCCATTGAGCAAATACTCCAGTGACAAGGTCCTACCCGGCGCATATAGCTGAGAAGTAGCCAACCTCCAAAGCGATAACAGTAAAGATAGATACCACCATGGTGTTCATCCTCGAATAATCAACCCCACTCAGATGCCACTGGTGGCGGCAGCAACTTCGTTCATGCTCTCAATACAATCACATTTCGGACCAATGTACATCCTCCACGGGATCGTAATAGTCTTTCTCCTTTTTCTTCTCTTTCTTCTTATCGGTCGTGCTCCTTCGCCGAAGCATCATCTTCATCCTCGACGTAATCTTGCTGAACGGTGCCGTGCTGTTCGATGTCGGCTGCTCCACCGGCGCCTCGGCTTCTTTACTCTCTTCTTTGTCGTTATCCCTGGGAGGTGGGCGGTACACCTCGACTGGTATCACAGTGCGCGGCTGTGAAGGTCTTCTGACGCTCCTTGGTGGAGGTGATGCTAGCCGAGGAGGTCCCGGAGCCGGTGGAGGCATGTCTCTCATGATGGCGTCATGCTCTTTGTGATTTGTTCTCAAAGGAATCGAAGCTTGTTGGGTGATTTCCACTGGCTTGATCATGTCCCACACGGGCTCCGTTGGGCTGGACGGCTCTGAACTGGATGACATTGGTCTGAGAAGCACCGTACTTGACTTGTCCCAGTCATAGTCCATACGTGGGGAATACGCTGGTGTGGACGGTTCCGAGTCAATGAAAGTGCCAAAACTCCGGGCTGACATTGGAGGAGACATCAGGCCTGGTGTTCTTGGACTTGTGTAGTCAGAGGATTCTTCTTGTATAGAGAGATGGCGTCCTGTGAAGCGATGAGGCTGGTTGGGTGATGAGACACGAGGAGGCCTCGGCAATCCATGGTTAGAAAGGGGTCTCCTTTCAATTGTGGCAGCACCTGGGACAGCGAGAGTGGTCATGGCGGCGTTTGTGATCTCAGCCGCGCCGGGATGGGCGCGTCGTGCTTGGTATCAGGCTAGGTATACTTGGTGTGGAAGTGAGCCAAGTCGCTACTTGATTGCAGCGTTTATTTGCGATGAGACGGAACAAATGTGTGACTGGAGAGGACAAAAGAAGCGAAAGGGGACTATTAATCAGGCAGCGCTGTCAGCAAGCGGGGTGCGACAAACAAGAGAAATGAAGGAACGACTGCGCCCCCAACTCTGCGAACCCGATAATGAAGGCAGAAGATTGTACTACCTCTGCCTGCAGCCGACATGTTCGATATATGAACGCACCATACACGCTTCACCCGCGCCGCATAGCAGCATCAAGCGATATGGGGACCATGCCAGCAAACACTCGTCGATTATTGCCGATGTGGTGGTTACGCATCCTCGCGCCATTCGAGTGAACGCGTCTAAAACCCATCAGGCGTCTCCCGTGTCCATCGCGACGGTAAAATGGTTCGATTCGCCTCCTGTCAGACGAAGGGTGAAGGAGCAGAGCGCTTAACCGAAAAGCTTATTGGCTGGCTAGACTTGGTGCAGCTGCGCCGCAACTTCGAAGAAAGCAGCGGCTAGAAGCTTGATAACGCCAACCGTTTCTGAAGCCGGTACGTGGATCAACGTCTGTTAGTTCCTTGCTCGGTCGCGTTCAGCTGTCCGGTCCCACAAGTTAGAAGGCCGGGGAAAGTGGTTCGTCCTCTGCTCATTGGTTGAGCCACCTACCCAATGAGCTTAGCAAGATGAGCTGTGAACCATTTCTCCGCTCAACTTCAGCGAAGGAATGTCCAGATCATCGTGAGCGATGCTCTTGAGCGTAATTTATTGGACTTGAGGATTTTAGCTAGCCCTCTAGACCAAGTCCCCGGTTCGCACCAACGATGAGTTCAAGTGCCCGAGTCTGAGGAGCACAAGGACCACTCGTTCGTTGAGGGTCAATGGCCGGCAAAGCCCACAAGAACCTTGCTGTATGCAGCTGCATCTGACCCAGACGCGCCTGATCAGGCTGACGTATCCATAGTAACTTCTTGCTTGCTGGCACCGGTGAACGTATCAAGATCGGTCGGTTTCTTACCAAAAAGAGGCCCAACCCGACTGTGGTGCGTCAGCGTCAATCCGAATGGAATACCATCCATGATCCTTGAGAGAATCCTTGTAATTTGTCCATTCTGTCCTGGACCGCAGCAGCAGTTTGTAGCCCCAATGTGCTGATTGGATGCGCTCTGGTAGAGACGGCCAGGTATCGTGGTGACGCCGTGTCACGGACACCTACACATGTGCACATGGAGGTCGAAAAATCATTGCGCTTGTTTATGGAACTTTCCATATTATGAAGAGCGCGACCCTGGGCCGTCGCAGCATAGAAACTTCGGATGTGGGGTGGCAGCCGCGAAGTACGCCCGACAGTTGAGCCGCTGTCAGGAGGGCGCCAACGCGGGTGAGGCGCGAGCGTACGCGCTTGTAGATCGGAAAAAGCTACTCATGCATCTGCATACTCCTGGGGCCATCGTTTGCTACTAATCGTTAACAAGGTATAAGAGAAGCAGAGCAGGATGGCGGAGCTGTTGAGCGGGCGGCAAACTGATTCGAAGATTATGTAATTCGTCGTAGCGCGCAGCTTTGCGCGTGGACACTTCGGAAGCCACGATATCTCCTCGGCAACGACACCATCGTCACTCGCAAGTGCGCCTTGGTTTCGAGCGCGCATCGTCTGGGAAACCCTCAGCTTCCCATATAACTAGTAGCCTACCTTCCAGCTCTTTCGCCCCTGGAATGAAATTACATGAGGGATAACAATGTATCACGACCACACATTAGCCCTTTCCCCTCGGTCGAGACGCCGACCGGCACTCATTTTCCGTGGAATGCTCTCCAGAGCCTACCCAGTACTTTTTGTGACCACGACTAGCTGATTTCAGTATTGCGCCTTGGTAGAGAAAGTCTTGAAGCGAAGCTGACTGAACAACCTGCGTCCTGATGCCGGCACAACCCAAAATTCCACATTCTTCGGAAACTTCCTCCATGTCACGATAGAGACCCATTCTAAACGTTAGCTGCAGGTGAAACGTAGTATCTTCCATTCCTGTCCAATTCGCGTGGTAGGAGTAAATACGTCTACAGTTTCATAAACTAGATTTGTGCTAACTCTGCTCTTGTTGCATTCGATCAACTCTTTCCCCCCTCACTCGATTCTTCTCAATAATCGCACTCTCTGGCAAGATTTCGTCACCTTATTTGATAGCAATTTCGCTCCTCTGATCATGAAGGTCAGCGTCTGGCTCTACGCTGTGATCGGGCTCGCAGACGCCTCAGCTTTGCGTCCACGAGAGAACGCGGCGGTCCCCAGCCCTCATGCATCAGCATGGAGGCCCAAGAGCAAAGACCCTCAGTTTTTCAACCTCAGGGTCGATGACAAATGCTCAGAAGGTGAGGCCGCAAGCGCGTGCCCCTTCGCCGGATATGCGATCAGATTGCAGGGTGGCAATGCTATCGCGACACCTTACAACAAATGGTGGGACCCGAAGCTTCCCATGTTGTTCGTCGACGATGATACCAAGTGCTACACAGTGAGTCCTTGTAAGCCTTGACCAGATGAAAGGTGGCTAATCGGTTCCACAGGTCAGCAAGAAACCTCTGCAACTTTACGTCAACACCGTCGATGGCTCCTTGCGGTATGCTCCTGTTGGTTGGCTACCTGCCAACTCGGTCGCGATCAGCTTCTACAAAACGGGCGACAACCCAGAAGGACTAGTTGACCCAAGCCCTGCTTACTTTTCCTGGCCGTCAACCGAGGGCCGCACCAATCAATTCTTTGCTGGTAGCTGGTGGCTCTGTCCCATGAGTGGTACCGGTCAGTACAAGGTCTACATCAGCGACTACAACTTTGGCGACGCTGCGCCAGGCGGTGAGACGAAGGAGGGTTGCACGAGGAAGAGCCTTGCCGCTGTCAACGCCGATCCCTGGGGTTGAATTATTATGATTAGCTTCACTATTGATATCAAAAGAGAAGGATGTCCTTGATAGTGCACACTCTGGCGCAGTAGCACATCGCACACCTCTGGAGGGAGCATTGCATAGGGCCGTTATACTTTTCTTCACACAACAATTCACACGAACGCATATATCCAGAATTTGTAATGTTTACACCTTAAAACAACTCGTTTTTGCTCATTCACCATTAGCCACCCTCTTGTTGTTCACATGCCTTCCGCGACAGACTGGAAATGTCACCCCCATCAAACACTCTAGGGCAGTCTCTGCTCCCTTTCACCTTGGATTCATGGCTACTCTTCCCGATGTTGCGTTGCCGCGCGATAACGCTAACTGGTCGCGTTCACCACGTTCACTTCACCTCACCAGGGCTAGATCGGCTCGTCACTGAACTTGCGGTCCATTTCTATTACTCCCTCTCACTGTTTGCTTTCCACGCCCTCCATCATTTCGCAAGCGCAACCCCTGCGCTCCCGCATCGCTCTTTGGTACTTAGCCTACGCCAAATTTTGAGACCTGAGTACTACACCTTGAGGGCGCGGACCTAGGAAGTCTTCGGATACCCGGCATGATGGAAGCGGGATACATGTACCTCGATCGTGACTCTACAGGATCCTCTGGACGACTCATCGAGCGCAGCCAAACGGGTCCAGCTCGAAACAACGAAACGGATCGATCTAGGCGCAGCGGGTCGCAGCGTTTGTTGCCACAAAACACGGCGGCAGGTCAGGAAGTCGTTCTGGCACCAACTCGTCTCTTCCACGGGGCGAGTAGCACACAAGCAAGCTCTACGCGGTCCAAGAGCGTATACAGCCAGGATGATACACGAGGAAGCTCAATCCGGTCCAAGAGCTTATACAGTCAAAATGATAAAAGTCAGGCGGAAGGTGTAGCTAGCGATCTGATCGACAGCGGATACCATCACCAGCGCAACGAGTCACTCCATGTTCAGTGGACGCAGAACGATGTCACACGAATGGCCGGCGAAATCTACGACGAGAGTATCCCTGCTGTTTACTTGTCTCTGCTAGGATTTTGGATCTGCGAAAACAATGCGAATTACGAGATGGCTAAAGCGCACATTAGAGAGCTGTCGCTTGACCAGGTAAGTTTGCGATTCATACCTCAACCGTCGCGTTTGCTAATATCTCCACTCAGGGTTACAGTGTCAATCGGATCAATAATGTGTACTTGCGAGAGTTGCTCGTCATTACGCAGAGTGCGCGTCCTCCGTAAGTGAAGTGCTGTTTTCTCTTCTCCCAACGGCGACATTTTTATCAGAACGTGACCAACATTCATACACAGGAAGGCACAAGAGAAAATTGCAGGTAAGGCAGCCCCGGTCGTTGAGTTCGAGCCCCACGCGGACGAAAACTCCTTCGATGTAATTTATTTTGCTAAGCTGGAAGTTCTACCTTCGTCTCTGCGAAAGAAGCCGGAGAGCGCCGTTAAAGAAGACCAAACTGCAAGGCCGCTGCCGTCACCTATTGGAAAGTACCCACCGAACAGTAAGTGCCTGCTTCATGATCTGCATTCAAACTTGCTCACAGCTCCAAGCACCGGATCGTCCCCATCCACTGAGTCTGAAGTCCCGTCAGTCGGGAAAGATCAGTGCCACTCCAAACCGCTCTGTATCCACACCCCTCATGAACAGGAAAAGGCGCGGCACCATGCACATTCCACAACAAAGTGTCGCTTTCGAGGAGGTAACACGTGAGTTGTCACGCCTCACAACTGCTACTACCGCGTCGTCTAGGAATTCCACAGACACAGACGACGTCTTCGGTATCACAGACAAAGACTTCAATCGGCGCAGCGACCCCTTCGATCTAATGAACGCTCTTCTGGCACTTGAAGGCAAAGAGCCTGTCCCGGACGACGAGGACCTGGACTACCATCATGATGGCTACGAACTAGCTTCCTCAGATGCTTCATCCAGGGTTGAACGTGATACGCCATACAACCCGCGGACCACCTCCCTCCAAGGTCCCATCAGCAAGCCATTGATCCTCAACTCCGCGCCCACAGTCAAAGTCCCAAGGAGCCCGACGCGCTACGTCTATAGTGCCGCGCCTCCGTCACCAGCACCAGCAGTAGCAGCTCCCGACCCACCCAAGCGATCCCTCCGAGGTAAACCCAAACTCCGCCAGCTTACCTCGCGCTGGGCGCAAACCATGCTCTTTGGCCGCAGACCTAACCTGTCCACAGGAGACTTCTACCGCCCAAACTTGTTCCCAGGTCCTGGTCGCGCACAGCATGCGCTGATCGAAGAAGACGGCGAGGACGACTCATCACCCGCCCCCGCTATCCTCTCAAGCCCAGCAATGGCCCAAATCCGCGCTGACTTTCCCATTCCCCTCGTCTCCAACCCTGTCTCCACGCTGCCCATGCTCGTCGCCGCAGCTACGTCACCGTCTACCAACCCCGTGGGGCTGGCTGAGCAGATCAGGACTGTGCTAGAAGCAACCCGCGCCCGTGGCAACACGCTGGCGCTGGAAAACTGGAAAGGTATGTCATGTTTCGAACAAGCGTGGAGGCAGGGAAATGAGGATCTTTTGATTTCGATTTTTGGAAGTCAGGATACGCAGTTGGAGCCTGAGGACGTGGCCAGTGTGGAGGCGGTGGCGAAGGAGTGTCGGGCGAATGGGGAACACTGGGTCGTGGAGGTTTTGATGGAGGAGGCGGACATATTTTAGGTGCATACGGGGATGGAGATGAAGGAAAGGATTGCGAGATGAGGATTGGACGTGGCTGAGAAATCCGATGAGGAGGTTTTGACTGCGGAAGGATGGGACGGACGATACACTTTTCTTATGTCTGAGCATCACGAGTTGATGCACGATTCCTACTGCTCTCACGCAGTAACCAGAGGCAACACGTCGCCCCACATAGTTGGAAGAAATTGACTTCAGTTGTCATATCAATCTTCATTCAACCCCTTCAATCTCTTCTCCTCCACCAGCCGTCGTTCAAGACTACATCTCAACACCCTCTTCTCCTGCCCAATCCCACACCCCTTGAGCGCATCATCGTCCTTGTCCCAATACACCGCCCACCCATACCCCCCGCTCTCCTCCTCCACTGCAACGAGACACTCCTCGTCATCGAGCGTCAAGCCCTGCTCGTCCTCCGTCCAGTCCCATGAGCCGACTACGTGCTTCTTCGCTTCCGCGCGAGGGCCGTATTTGAGTTCCCGGGTCTTGCGGTCGGCGTAGATCCAATTCAGTTTGGGTTTTGCAGATTTAGAATCCGGGGTGGACGGGATGGTGCTGACGAGGCCAAGCGTGGGTGTGTAGGGTATGGGTTTGTGCGGGAGGTCTTCGGCGGGAAAGGGCAGATAAAAGCCTGTGAGAGGATGGGGTGCGTTTCCGTCGTTTTCTGGATCGGGAGCCGGGAGTTTGGTCTTGGGGTCTTTGGGCCATAAGCAGACCTATATGCGACCATTAGCATGGTGTGGTTGAGTGTGATGATATGATTGCGCCCACCTTGCCGTCCTTCAATACTACGATTGCGTCATGTACTTCATCTTTCTTCCTCGATTGCGCATCGCAAAAGACATCTAAGTAGAACTCTTCCTGGCGCTCTTCGGCTTCGGCTTCCTCGTCCAGTAAGCGCTGCCTGTGTACGGCTTCGCTTGTGCCGACTGCGATGGTGCTACCTGCAAGTGCGAACAAGTCGAGAACCATGTTTAGCCGGTGTCGTATAAGATTAACACGTCCTTCAATCTGGCCAGGTGGTAGTCATTGCAAGGCAACATCTTGATATGTGGTTGTGGAGCAAGGTTGTTGATTCCATCTACTAGGATCAGCTCCGATGCTGTCATCGCACGCGCGGAAGTGGAGCTTGGACCCGCTTGCAGGGGTCGTTGTCTCAACTTCCTTAAACGACCATCTCTATCATTCTCCATCTATACTTGTACAAGTCGCTGCCACTTTCCTATCGACGCCCTCGTACTCGTCCTCGTGCAATATAACGCGGCTCATCCAATTCCCACCTGCGATAGTCATTGTCATCATCCCACCATTCCTCCACGTTCTTCTTCACGTCGACATAGTTCTCGAAGTCGACAATGCAGCTATCAAAGTATCAGTCCTGTTCAGAATGTGTCCTACAGCTGGACTTACCACTTCTTGTTCTCTTCATCCCACATGATATTTCGCATTCCGCGGTCGTGCAAGCTGAAGCCAAGCTTCAACAGAGCCCTTATGAATGTTAGCATGTTTGCTCCGCTGCACCATGTGTAGAGCTTACATCGCTGCTTTCTTGAGCGCCGCTCGTACAATATCCCTCTCTTTACATGTCTTGCTCTGCATCTTCTCGTATGTCAAGGGCTCTCCAGATACCTTTGTCATCAAGATGAAGACTACGAACCCGTTTTCCATACCCTGCTCATCCAATCCAGACGGAAGCCAGTCGCCGACCACTCCAAGGAGATGCGGGGTGTGTGTGCACTGTTTATCTCCGAGCTTGCGCAAGGCCTGGACCTCGTTGAGGGTGTACTCATGTGGTTTCTCGACGGGGTTTGTAGCAATGCATCGCAAAGCCTCGAAGTACTGGATGCTATCATGCATGCACTGGTGGGTTTCAGCTGTATCATCCTCCGACAACTGTTCGCAGTAGTAGCTCTGGTGCTCGTCGATGACCGCTAGCGACTCAGTGGTTGCTTTGACTCTAGTAAATTATCAGCTTTGTCCGTGTAAAAAGATAATCGGCATGGATATTTACTGGTACTTCACTTTGACCATGGCCTCTTGTGCATTGTTGTGCAAGCCCTTGGGATCCTCGACGCAGACAGCCTCGAATACTTGCCTAGCTTCGTATGGTGGCTCGCCGTGTTGATACTTGACTTCGGACACGGCCCGGTTGAGCTTCCAGCACGAGCCATGTCGAAACCGGACAGCGATTCCAAGAAACCCGACCTCGCCACGGTCGCTGATCTGAAAGGAGTCTGCGCAAATCCCCGGTGGACTCAAGTCGTGAAGTGAATTAGTGATGACCATGCTGAAGACTCAGCAGAGGAGTTGTGGCGCTGATGCGAGTAGAGAAGAGTGATCGGGTTGGAGGCGGAATTTGTTGGGTGCTATGTACAATGCTGCGCAAGTGGTGTTGTAGGATGGGGGCAGGCGCAAAACATGTGCTAACCGAAAGAGGCTAGGCTGGGCTGAGGACATTCACTCCAAATATTGACGAGGTGCTCGACTCGGAGGGGTCTTGGCATGTGTTGCTCCCTCCATTTCACGTTCGTTCCAAACAGTGACTTCCGGCTGTCACGTAAGCAGCGAGTGAACGCCCGCTATGATTATAATCAGGCTCCTCTCTTCTACAAAAGATGCTCTATTCTCTCTATCAGCATTTCAATATCTCTGCCTTAACCAGTTCAGTTGACACGCTGAAGACGAGCAGGATCATATCTACGTACATCGCCGGCACTCATGAGTAAGTGAATCCTTCTGACTTCCTCATTGACAAGGTCTAACTAGCTACAAACAAACCTGATAGCCACCACTCAGGTGAACAAACAGATGACACTCTACCAGCAAATACGCTGAATGCGAAAGGTGTACTATACCTAGAGATGCCAACGCTCATCTTGGGCAAGGCCAAGGTCCAAGCAGTCAGTAACGCGGGGAGTATCTACAAGTACTTCAACGGCAATCTCGCCTTCTGGGATACTTTCCCAAAGGATGTACTTGAATTCTTTGAAGATCCACGAATCGTCGACGACATGGAGCGTTGCCAGCACTTGCCAATCAGCCCCGACCCTGAGACCGAGAAATTCAACAAACACTTCACCACGAAGGAAAATATGACTTGTGGCGGGGAAATCACGCTCTCTGGGCGCTTCTATCAAAACGCGCTCAAGCAAGTCACCGCAGTAGTTCAGACTCTCTCTGACCCAGAATATGGTGAAAGCGATCATGGCCCATGGCTGCCATACGACCTGACGTTCGGAGATTCCTGGATCATCAACAGACCACAGCGTGTTGCAGGCCGGGAGCCAGATGTCGTGCTGAAACTTCAAATCGATGGAGAGCAGGTACTTCGCTTGGTTGGTGAGCTGAAGTTCTGTGGGACTGTGGATCTGGAGGCGATGATTCACGAGGCGCTGATCGACGAAAGGACCAATTTCGTTGGTATTCTCGGTGAGTCCTTCAAATTTCGTCGCACACCAGTTCGCTAACATCTTCAAGGCCAAATCGTAGATTACATGCTTTCTCATCGATTGAAGTATGGCTTCATCTCCAACTATGAGAGTACTACAATTCTCTGGCTTGACTATAACACTGACAAGCAAGGCATTAAACAAGCTTGTGTCTACTTTTCCCCTTCCATCAAGCATTCTGATGATGGCAATTCAGGCAAACTGAAGGTAAGCCTGAGAATGGCGCTATTCTACTTGTTCCATATGACCAACTCTGATGAAGAGCAAGCTTGGAAGATCGATGAGACATACCGGAAATCGACGAAGTTTTGGATTGTTCCTCGCGTCCCAACAAAAAGGGAATTGCTACCGTCACGTAGTCAGACCGGTTCAGCTGCTCCAAATCGACAAGCGCCCTTCAGAACACCATTGAACACCCGAGCAGCTCCATACAATTTCTCCCGAAATACAGCAGGTACACCACCGCGCAGCGCGTTCCGAAACTCCATACTAGACGGCAACAATGGCTCGTCGTCGCCTCCTTTTGAGCCGGATACACCATCGGGGCCACCCAGGCAACGCAGTTGAGCTAAAAATGTATTGCCAGCGCTAGCTAAAGATGAAAAGGCTGTAGAAACCGATTCTGACTCTAATGGTCATATCCCTGGGTTATAGTCACTTGCAATCACTTGGGCGTGCAGCTCTGAAGGTCACCCTATGAATAGTGTCGGTATGCCGGTCACAAGAACATGAATAGGGGAACCAAATGTCCATCTGCTCATCGTGTCTATCATTAAGCCCCGTTCTTAGCTGCCCCTGCTGCATTCCCGACTTTGTCCAAATCGTACCACGTGCGATAGTGCACAACATTCTCCTCAGCAAGATCCCAGTGCCGGAATTCTGCCTCACTGAATTCTGGTACATCCACCTGTCCCACATCTATGATCTTGCAGTCCTCAAAGTCAACGATATAGCTAGGCAATATAATTTAGCATTGCGTGGTATCGTGCAGGAGGGAGTACTGACCATTCTCGCTCTGCCTCATCCCAGCCTATGTTGCGCAAACCTTTATCTCTTGGTCTAATACCGCAACCCCAAACGTTGCTATTTCCAAGTCAGAAATATGTCTTAAAACGTAGTCTAATTAACTGACATGAGCGCGCGCCGGAAAGCCTCCCGGATTTCGCCCTGCTGTGGCCGCGACATCTTGCAGAAAGTATCGTATCTGAGAGCAGACCCGGGCACTTTCTTCATGAGTATGACAATAAGATAGCCGCAAATTATCGCTTCATCATGCAGTTTTACTCGTACGTCGGTCTGGGTGACTTACAAAATGCAGGGCCCACTCTGGCACCGTACGTCTAGAAAATGGCGGAGTGCTTTCGCTTCTTGCACAGAGTCGGGGTTTGTGTTGATGACAGAATTCATACAAGCATAGGTTTCGGCAGAGGTTTCATCCATTCGTTTCTGTGTCTCATTTCTTGAGTTTGGGCGGTGTATGAGATCTTTCTTGCAATCCGCAAGAGAAGACTTCAAGTACTGTATTGTTGCCTGAGATGCGCGCACCCTTAAAATATCAACTTACAGCGAATTGCTACTACACCGGTCAACTCACTGGAATTTGATCTTGATCACTGCTAGATCCAAAGCCCCGTAGATTTCTGAAGGGTCTTCGATACAGGCAGCTGTGAAGACTTGTCTAGCTTCGCAAGGACTGCGGGTCTGCTGTGGCGCGATTTGGGACAGAGGCGCTTCAATTTGCCATCTCGACTTGTCCGAGAAAGTAAAAATTTGTCCATCAAACGCATGGTCTTCCCTAGATAATGGCGACAGAAGTCGCATCGCTGTCGGCGGAGAGACTTCCCCTAACATCGAAGAAGACATATCACTTGTGGTCGTGCTCACTTGGGTTGACATATTGTCGTGTCTGTGGGTGGAGAGGTTGTGATGTTGGGGATGAGAGTTCGTTCAATGCCATTAAGAGGTCGTCACCGGCGTGCTAGCCATATTGGGGCTGGTAAATATAAGTCCAAGTATGTGGAACGATTCAACACTTTCCAATGAGCATCGAGGCTAGGCGCTCAACATGTAGACGAGGAAGAGACGATTTAATAAGCTTCTCCTTGCTTGCTCTATCTTCTACGCTACTACGGCCACCTCACGACCTACATGCGAACCGCCTTCTTCAAGCTGGAGGAGCGTGACGGAGTCTTTACACTGCACTGCTCACGTATCATTAGACATTATGATTTCGAGAACGTGGTTGAGAATGGGAATATGGAGACTATCAGCCTGAGGTGTGCAAGGCCGTGCACGGATGAGTTGTCTTCCAGTCTATTAAGTCACGCTGCATGGAGCTAGATGTTCGTTCTCTGATTGCGTAGCGAAATGTTCACATCGCGCCGGATATGTGCAACAAAGTAGCTCAGGCAGTAGTACCCGTTTGCCTGTGCGTTTGGAGGTCTTGAATAGTGTCGTCGAAACTATCAATCAGCCGATCAGTCAAACGATTCTCAAGCTTGCTCTTCTCTCGATCTAGCTACGTGTGAACTCTTTGCTTTAATACACCAATCTATTACAGTGACTTCAGAAATGTTCTAGAACCTCTAATTTGTTGTCACTATTTGGCGTGAGGTTTCGTCGCTATAGCAATGGTAGTTGAGCTGACGCCTAAATTCATGGATATTGCGCTGCGTAACGGCGGCTCAAGATATCGACAACTGCTAGAATTATTCACATCGTGTTTGCGCCGCGTCCGTCAGCTCTTGCCATACCCTGGAAGAAGTCGCGAGCCCAGACCGCACCCTAGCACATCAGTTGAGACCTGTGTATCTCCCTCATCATCGCATGCCATCACTACCAGCACGCATATTTCCTTCACTATAGCTATCAAAATGTCTGGAAATGACCCCACCTACGTCCCTGCCCACGAGCGAGTCCCGATCCTCAGCCCCGAAGAACTAGACATCCTCGCGGAGTTCGGAGGAGCGACAGGATGCTCTCCCGATGAAGCGTTCGCCTGCCTGGACCGCGCCGGCTAGGATCTGGAGTGCGCACTATCGGACTGGGGAGATGACATGGAAGACGAGCACGGAGCAGCAGCAGAGTCGCATGCCGGATCCAGAGACGCGTTGGGCGACGATTTGACGCCAAACGCAACGGGAAGGCGCATGAGGGAAGACATAAAAGAGACCGCGGCACCGCAGTTTGATAGCCACAGGCTTGAAGTGCGATCCAGGCGTCTCCACGTGAAGACCCCCACGGGAAGTTTCACGCCGCTCCCAGTTTATGAGGATGACATCGAGCCCGGTGACGGCATGTCTGTGCTTTCACCGCAGTCGCACAACACCAAGAGCATGGCCATACACCCTTCAAAGGTCGTCGACACCCCCTCCACCGACACTGCGCCAACGTATACAAACATTGCGCCAGCGAAAATTGCTCAGAGTAGCTCGACTATCGAGACCCTTGAACCACGAAAAGGTCTTGCCACGTCCACCACAACGCGAAACCTTGGTACCGAAAGCATAGGCGTGGGCGATTTAGGCGACAGGTCCCAGGCAGAAGTTTTTTCCAGAAGAGTTGTGGTCCCTCAAGGGTCAACAAACCAAGGTGAAAGACAGCCTAGAGTGTCAGCGAATGAGCCAGAAGCGAGCCATACTCAATCTCCATGCGACAGTTGCAAAGCTCCAGTCAACTTAACTGCCTCTGCTCCACAGCCTGTTCAACCCCAACTCACCATGAGTACTGCATCGTCCGCATCATCAGACGAAGCCATGGAGATGGCTAGTGACAACTCTTCATCGAGCGTCGAGAGCCCAGCAACAGGCAGTTCATCGACCAAGCGCACACCAGTCAGCCCAGAGGGCGTGTTACTTCATCCTATCAGCATCCAGAATCTCCCCGCTCCCAAGACGGATGAAGCACTGTTCCTCCCCGCCGACGCTGAACGCACGTGGTATACCGGCTTCGTAAAGCCCTGGAACAACTTCCATAAAGAAGCATATACATACTGGAGGTCCGCACACCTTCGGGATGCCCTAGATGAGGTTAGAAACTATCGTTTCACCCCGCCTGTTGCAGGTACGATAGACGCGGGCTCAGTTGCTGGCCCAAATATTCTGCACACGCAGTTCAGCCGCGAGACACTTCAGGGTATCCAGAAGGTATACACACTACTCATGAGCACGCAAACCATGCGGCAAAACAAGCAACCGAATAAGATCTGGCTGGGCGATCCGGAGGATGAGGACCTCAATAACGCTGAGAGCGTCTGGAAGCCGAGTTACGTCGTCAAAGCGAGCCGTAATGCTGACGATGAGACGACGAGGATACTGGGCCAGGTGGAGTATTTGGGTGGTAGACTGGGCGCCTTGACATGGGCAATCAGCCAGCAATACATGAACAGTTGGGGTAGCTTGCGATGCGTTCTTGGTAAGTGATGGTATTTTGATCCCGCATATACCTTCAGGACTACCGATCACTAACGTTGTTCAACAGGAGACATCGCGCAATATATGCTCAAATCGTCGACCAAGCACGCTTTTCTTGTCTCGGCGGACGAGGTTATGTTTCTCAAATTTGAGCTCATTCAGAAGGTGCACTACGATGTACCCAATGGCGAGGAGCCCAAGAACCTATTCATCGAGCCGTGGCTTCACTATTCACCTCCAGTCAAGTTTGGCGACCTGATCCACGAGGCCAAGGGCACCATCTCGGTCAAGGTGGCGCTGATGTACCTGCTTCATTGCAGCATGCAGGAGGATTACGCATTGCCGATGGAGATGGGCAATGCGGCCAAGTATAAGGCGAAGACGAAAGCTGGAGCGAAGTGGGTGCAGAAACTGAGATGGAAGATTGGAGAGCGACTTGGGAAGTACTAGAGTTGTTGGATAGTCCTAGATAGCTTCATATGGTTTTTAGAGGCCGATGGAGTTGCATCTGCCGCAGTAATAATTCAATCGGTTCCGGGTTAAAGTGTGTCTTCTATGCGTGCTGTGAGCGAAGATAGCTTGGGTCTTGCTATCATTCGAAACCCAATAGTGCTGCATACACCCTCAGGCTGCTGGACGGACAAGCAGAATGGCCAGAAAACAAATCGTACTGTCATGTGAAGAGTCGTGAGAAGTCCGAACAAGCACCAACCTAGATTGTGAGCCAACACGGGGTGTGGCTTGTACGGCACAGTGGTGTATGCAAGCCCATATTGCTCATCGCCCTAGCTTCTGGGCGCGCACAGGAAGTTGCCTCGGAACAAACTCCTACATCTCATTCGTGATTGGCATTCGTCGGAGATGACTCCTACGACACATTCGTGCTGGCGGTACCTGACAGATGTTGGACCTTACGATGAAGGTTCGAGTAATGTTGAGAAGTCTTGGTGGAGGCTGAGCGACGGGAGCATACGGAGTGTGTATACACACTTCGAGGAAAGATGCCTCGGTACGCTGACAGAATATCATTGGCGCATCTCGTCGCTTGCAAAGCCTAGGCGAGAAGGTGTTGGATACGGTGGGAATCCGGGGTACAGCGGTACGAGTGAGACATTGGGGTTAGGAGAGCCGCGGCCTCCTTTTCGAGTCTGCAGCCTTATTGGCAGATCCTACACGTCGCGCGCATACTGATCTTGGTCCCAAGGACCGGGATCGATTTTGGGGGGATCTTCATTACCGACGTCCTGGAAACGTTTCCAACGTCTTCGCGTGTCTCGGGCACACGTCGGATGCTAATGATAGTCACTCCACGCGTGACCAGCGTGACAAGTCTGGCAGACCTCGATTTCGTAGCATTTGCCACTTGCTCAGGCGCCCAGTCATGCGATCCACCATGCTACTGTTATTGCTGAACGATCGCGAGTCAACAACAGCTTCCGGGCGATCCGGGGAAGATGAAAGACCAAGTACAAAACAAAGCACGTGGCTCATCATTGTGCGGCTATCCAAGGATCCTTCCAATAAGCGGTGCCAAGGTCTTGGTGGTAAGACCTAACCTGGTCCGCGGCCCGTGTAGTCTTGATCATTCGCTGGGAAGATTCGAAACGAGGTTGTATGCTGCCGCAGAGCACATGCAGAGTTGCGGTGTCTCTAAGCCTCAGTAGTGGCGAGAGCTGCTGATGTTGAGCCACTAGAATGTTGGCTGTGACCGTCAACTTTTGGCCCACAGCTCATTGCTCCAGTATAATGCAGACTGCAAGGTTTTGTGCGTACATTGTTATTGCGTGCATGAGTCTAGTCCGGGCCGTCGTACAAGGGCTTGCCTAGCGAAATAAAATGTTTACAGATATCAATGCAGTCCACGAGCTCCTGCGCAATCAAGATCGTTTGTTGCTGGTCTTGATTATGGTGACACAAGTCTAGCCGGACGCCAATATCAGGTTGTCGTCGGTAGCAAATGGCCTGAAGTTCGTGCGGCACGCTCCAACTGCCAAAGTGGCGGAGGACGCTCTCATTCGGGACAATGTGGGCACGAGATGTGGATCCCCTGTCGCGTGGAAGGATGCCGTGTACCCCGCGTCAAGGCCAAGGCACCGTGACGTGAAGATCGACGAAATTGAAGTTGCTGCAAACATTGTCCTCTACAAAGAACAAATGACTTGGAAAGACGGCAGTCTTGGTATACGCCTCCGCCACGATGAAATATCGTGAAAACGTTTGAGCCACCAACGCGAGCCTGTGTTGGGCGAGCTTGCACTGCTGGTGCTTGCTTCGATTGGCTCCTGAGTGGGTCCGGCTGAGATGGCGGTCGCTCACATGCGGGGTCTCCACGTCGAACCCCAGCTTTTCCCTTTTTCTCGCCTTCCTGTTTGCGGTCACCTCCGTGAACTTTCGTCTCAAGTCGGGCTATGACGAGGCATAGATGGGATGCTGGCCTCCAATTTGGAGTGGTGCCTCGGTAGTTTGCCATGCTTCGTCCTATGGAGAAGCCCACATCTCTTGGCGATGTGCAATGGCGGATCGCGCAGGGGCTCGTGGACATTTAATGAAAGCACCGTGCAGCCCTGTTATCACAGGTCTCCTCTCCTCGAATTATCTCTTCAATCCACTGACGAGTGTCTCTCTTCAGCATGGCCCACCACGACATTGAGAAGACGACTCCAAGCTTAAGGGAAGATGTCAGCCATGACAACTCAAGCGAAGATGTTTACGAGTGCGAATTCACTCTCAAAGAGCAGCGAAAAATCGTCCACCGTGTTGATCGTCGTCTCGTGGTAACAGTAGGAGTACTGTATTGCATCAGTTTGATGGATCGAACCAACTTGAGCGCCGCATCAATCGCTGGGTACGTGCCACAATGTTCACACGCGTTATGTCTCCCTAATGCGACTCCAGCATGAATGTCGACCTGGGCTTGAACAAACTCATGGGTACCGTCTCAAAGTATTCGGTCGTAACGCTGGTCTTCTTCACCACATACATCGTTTTCCAACCTCCAGCGACTGTCGTTGTGCGCTACCTTGGTCCTCGCGCATTTCTGTCGTTCATCGTCGTGGCATGGGGCGCTGTCATGATCGGCATGGGTTTTGTCCACACCTTTGAGGCCATGGCGGCCATGCGCGTTCTGCTGGGTGTACTCGAAGCAGGTTTCTTCCCGTCGTGCGTGTATTTGCTTTCGACGTGGTATACTCGTTTCGACATTGGCAAGCGATACTCCGTCTTCTATATTCTCGGCAGTCTGGCTTCAGCCTGCGCAGGAATCTTGGCCTACGGTCTGATGCAGCTGAAGGGACGCGAAGGCCTGAACGGGTAAGCGGTCCTATCCTATCTCTGACCTTTCGATCAGAAGCTGACATTGCGGTAAAAGATGGCGCTGGATCTTCATTATTGAGGGCACTTTGACATGCTTTTTGGGCATTGTAGGCTACTGGGCTCTAGTCGACTTTCCGGACAAGGCGCACACATCGTGGCACTTCCTCAATGAGCGTGAGGCCAAGTTCATCATCGATGCTGTCAACAGAGACCGTGGAGATGCAAAGCCCGAACCATGGGATCTCAAGAAGTTTCTCGCCGGTGGTCTTGACATCAAGATCTGGGGATTTGCGATGGTAAGCATTGGTACCCGGCATAGGAGAGTGTGGACTGACCGGATCAGATTTTCTTCAACACGACTACCGTCACCTACGCGCTCGCATATTTCTTGCCTATCATCCTTACCGAGAACATGGGTTTCTCCGTCGGTGCTTCGCAATGCTTGGTAGCTCCTCCTTATGCTCTTGCAGCAATTGTCATGTACGCAACAGGATGGGCTGGTGACAAGTACCATGTGCGCGGACCAATCATTGTTTTCAACATGATCTTGTGCATCATCGGTATCGCCATCATGGGTTTCCACGACAGTCCAGGCGTTCGGTACTTCGGTGTGTTCCTTACCACTGCTGGAGCAAACAGCAACGTCCCCGCAGTCATGTCGTACCAGGCCAACAACATCCGCGGACAGTGGAAACGTGCATTCTGTTCAGCGACTCTTGTTGGCATGGGCGGTGTAGGAGGAATCGCCGGAGGATTGGTTTTCAGGTACGTCCTTTTGTCGAAGTCTTCTTTGCATTCAGATTGCTGACTTGACCAGGTTCCAAGACAAGCCCGGCTACCGACCAGGTCTATACGCCTGTATCGCCTGCTGCTTGTTGACGTTGGTTATCGTTGCCTTGATTACCCTAGGCTCCTGGAGGTCGAACAAGAAGGCGGACCGCGGTGAAATCGAGCTGGAGTACCACAGCGAGACTGACCAGAAGGGCTTCAGATATACTTACTGATGACTTGTCTCGCATAAGCTGCGGCGCAAACACTAGATCTAGACAACATGCCAGCTCATCCTGAGATGCTATCGGCAGCATTGTCCAACAGTGTAGCAGCGCCCCTGCTCTCCAGACAGCGTTATGTAGCAATGATAACGTCTTCATACCACGTCGGCTCCCTCATCTATTCGTCTGGTTGCAGTACCCAACTTGGCTTTCGCTGTTTGCTGATTGGCCTGTGAAACATTACTGCTCATGGGATGGCCAGACCAAGAGTTCTCCGGTTTCTGCGGGTCTGCTGTGGTCTTATGGGCATGCCAGGATGAGGTACCAAGGTCGTATTCGGCTGTTCAGTAATCGGTGGCTCGGAAGTGAAGCAGCTCGAGCTTCCCCTCACAACCTTGGAACAGCACCTTAACCACGCTGATGCAAGATGGACATGCCGGGTTTGCGCGATGCTGCACAGTCAAGACAAGAAGCGGTGTGTATTTCAGTAAATCAGTGTAATGTGTGGAAGCGTGAGAGAAGAAGCTAAGGAGACGCGCTGGTTTTGGCACGTGTTTTCGCGTTCCTGGCGTGCATCGGCAAACTCCGAGACGAAGGCACGAAGTCTTGGACACGACAACACACAACAACGTCCTCGCCTCTCGGATTCGGCCTTCTCCCGACATTTTCTTGAACAATCATTCCATTTTCTATCGCGCCATGTGAATATCAGGAAACGCCGGCCCACCATTCCACAGAGGTCTCGCAATGTTTCACATGGAGGCTTCATTGCACTATGCCAGGCCAGGCCAGCGAATAATTCTATCCATCATCGAATAATCATACAGTAAATAATAATTAGGTCACCCTTCTCTCCTGATCCACGGCCAGCGTGCTGTTGTCTCGCCAGGTGATGATGTCGTGAACGGGGATTGCCCTCAACCTGGACACCTAACCGTCTTCCATATCCCGCCTTCAAGCTCTATCAGACACTGCTCACTTTTCGTTCCACCTAGATCCCCACTCACGAAGACCACGAGTACAGCCGCGTACGCCGCTGTCGCTGCGAAAACTTCGGGCCGTCGAGCATTCGTGCACAGTGCCATGCTGGAGGCAAACAGCAGTGTATACATGGCTACGAGGCCTAGCTTCGCTTTTGAATCCGGAACGAGATAGAGATTTACGATTGCACCGATGAGCAGCATTGCAGCTAGCACCATGTCGAGGGCCGCGACTGTTCGGATAACATGTGAGTTCTTGTGGATCGTCGTGCGGTCGAGAGGATCGGTCGAGCTGCGTTTGCGAAAGAGCCAGTGGTCTTGCAGGAAGCGCGAGAGATAGTCCTCCTCCATCGGCTTCGTCAATGTGAGCAGATCAGCCTCATCTTCCAAAAACGCTTTCGCTCGTCCGCTGATGAGAGGCATTGCACTAGCAGCTTTATTCGAAGGCGATGCTCCATTCAAGAAGTTACGAAAAGCAGCTATAGGTCTCTTGTCTGGCTTTCGCATTGATGCAATTTGCATCTGGAGCACTATCGTCTCGTCTATCACTGTCAGCCATAAGCTTTTCTCTGAGTGACGAAAGGCGCACAGTATTCCTTCAACAAAGCATTCAGATCTTGTAGCTTTTGCACCAACTTGCTTTCCTTCTTATTTGGATCCCTGCCGTGCTCTACTAGAGTTTCCCAGCGTCTCAGCGACTGATGAGCTTCTAGATCGTTACTTCTCCGCAAATCATCATCTAAATCTTCTAGTTCCCGCTCGATGGCAAAGAGCTGGGCTTGTAAGTGAAGTATGTTTCTTGCAGCTAGCTTATCGAACTTTCTGAAAATGAATGTCTCGTTATCGGGATCCTGGGCAATCCAGCTCGCGAGCGCGGGGTACCCATCACGGAGTTGACCAAGCTCAAAATCAGTTTTTTGTGGTGCGTTGGGCATTGCACTTGTAAATTGTGTCGGCCGTCATCCTCTGCATTCGAGCAAGGAGTATGAAAAAATCCGCGCTTGAGGAACGAAGCAAGGCCGACAAAACAGACTTTGCCTTGCAGTCGGGGCGGCGAGGTTGACAGAAGCCTATGACGTACTGAAGGCCACGCTCTATTAGTGCGTGAGACTCAACAGTGCCACGTACATCCTCAAACTATTGGATGAGGTGGATGCTTTCGCGCCTCTATAAGCCTCATCATACGTGGCAGGCTGCACTACGCGGCTGCGCCTCCACCCACAGCCGACCTTGCTACTGGGTAAGCTCACCGGTAGCTGCTGTATTTTCTCTGCAGCTTCATCCCGGCGTTTCTCCAATAGCATATAATCCACTCTTCTTCCTGGTTTTCTTGTACGGATGTACACCTTCGCAAGTTACCTAAAGTGACAGTAAAGTTGAGCCGGAGGACGCCGCCATATCGGCCTGGTGCAGGCACAAACTTCTAGCCAGACACCGTGTTCAGAACGTATTCGCAAAAGCAGGACTGACGACCAGCAACTACAGGCTATTCTCTCAGTAAGACTGTATCGCATTTTAGAAAGAAAGTGTTGTTTGTTAATCAACGATGTCAGACAAATGTCACACCCATAGACGTTACATTCAAATCAGTCACTACATGCAATGAATACCATATTATCACTTCCCGAGGGTTATCGAAAGGTTGAAGTTCTTATAATCCGCTGGGACGAAACTCTTCATGACTCCTCCGAACAACATCATGAAGAGATACTCAGGTTGCAAAATGCATTCGCAAAAGACTTGTTGTGGAAAGGCTCATACCAGCAACATAGCTCGGGATGGATACCGGATCCTAAACACGCTTTTGGATACCACTGGACATCCCAAGTAGAAAGAAAATCGACCAAGGTGTTCGAAATTCCCGCCATAATTGCTTCCGAACATCGAACAAACGCCCTGGGAGACTTTTGCGCGAGGAAGAACTTTATGAAGACTGCACTCGCAAAACGTCTGGGTCTACACATCGATAAAGAGAGCATTTGTACTGTAACTGTGGGCAGTGGTAAACAAATCAAAACAAGTGGGTCAGCAGAGACAACTTTTCGGTTTAGGGACGAATCCAGGGTCTACAAACTGAAGTTCGATCTATTACCGGATTGCGTTCACGATGTCATACTCGGGAAGTCGTTCTTGAAGGCAACACAGACCTTTTCTTTAGTTGCCAACTACGCCAGGCGTGTTGTCAAACGCGCCGTCATGGGCCTGAAAAGCCTCAATTGCTTGTACTTGGGAGACTCTGCACCAGCTTTCAAGGGTCTCTTGAACGGTGAAGAGCAACAGGCGTTAGCCGATTCCGGATCAAAGATCTTGATCATGGACGAGGGATATGCGAAATCCCTTGGTTTACCTATTAACAGAAGGCCAGAGACCCAAATCAAACTTCGATTTGCGGATAACTCAGTAGCCTATACTTCTGGTATCACACATGGCGTACGCTGGCGATTCGGGCATGAATTGAACGAAGAATATTCATTGGATTTTCACGTGCTCCAGAATGCGCCTGCGGCAGTCATTCTGAGCGACGAATTTCTATTCGGAACGAACGCATTCTCTGAATACGACTGCTACCTTATGGACGATGACGACATGGGAGAGGACGAGTATCTTTTCGCTATTGACGTTGATCTTCGCCATGGTAAGTTTGTCCACCATACATTCTGCATTCTCCTGTGCCTTTTCAGCTTACACAACAATCATAGAGCGTAATGAAACTTATCAGGATCTTGAACGGCACACTGAAATCGTGCGCAGAGGTGAGGAAAAGGACCGAATCGATAACCTTCCCGTCGCTCAGCAAGCCGAAGCTCTTTCGATTGAGATGGATCGCAGAACCAAATGGGACGATCAACAGAAGCAGAATATATCTCTCCCACCAAAACCGATATCCTCAAATGCCAACAGTGGGCAATCGGGCAATAGCGCAAGTTCACATCACAAGAGGAAGTCACGATGGCTCGTTAAGCTTAAGCTGAAGAGGAAGCCTTGAGGCACGATGGCATTAGAAGACTGAAAAAAGACCAAAAACACACAGAAAATCAGCAGAAATGGCGGAGCGCGCATAAGTATGGCGCGACAAGATGGCCCGAAAATGTGTTATAATTTTTCCCACTATAAGCTTGCATATCGTTGAGAGAACCAAATGCTCACCTGAAAATCTACGTGCGCATCTGTAACAACTTGAAATCGTCGACGAAAGGCAGGGTCTTCAACTAGTGCGATATTAACCCTGGAAGGTATGCACGATCGATGAACGTGGATCACCGTGTGCTACAGTGTAAGAAAGCACATTTCTCTTAGCCAATGGAAGCTATATACTATCTGTAGAGATGCGAGTTGCTGCATGCTATCGTTAATATCGTTGGAGTAGTGCAAACATGATGTGATTGGACACTGAAACGAGTAACGACTTCGATAACGGTAAAGACAGACAGATCTATGCGAAAACCCAAAATAACAACGCCCGCACTAACACTCAAACTGAGGCAAGTCTTCATCATCCACGTCAAAAGCGTCGAGCTTCGACGCGAGTTCACCCTGCAAGAGATCAAGCTACCATCCCAAAAGCAGCCTTCTCTTTCCAACCTATGCTCGCACCATCCAAGTTCGTCCACTACGAGACAGCCCACCGATCTTATCCCTCCAAGCCCTGACTTCCCACTATCCTGCCTATTTCGGCAACGCCGCCGGCAAGGTCCCTTCTGGCTGACCCTCCCCCTTTGGATCAACTCGCCAATCCAAATCACTGATACTCTTCCCAAACGGCGCATGCAAGCTTCTATCCCATGCCAAGGTCGGTACTGGCAGTGACTGTCCTTTCACGACATCTTCCCGGTTGTATCTCCAGATTTTGTTGACCTTACTATCGGGTCCAGTGATAATGCCGGCCTCAACGGCACCGAAGTAGCTCCTGTCTCGCATCAATGGCTCATCCCTGCTGCCATATAGCATGTGTAGTTCGGGATTGGCTTGTGAGGCACGACGAGCTTGAGCCCACGAGACTGCAAAGTTGACCACGGATTTCTTCTCTGGGTTCGCCTGTACGTAATCATTCCACACAGTGTTTGCAGGCCTCAGCCCGTATGTGTCATCCCAGTCGTTAAGAATTCCGATATTATCGTCTTCGGCGGCGCTCGCCTTGAAGTCAGTTCGGGTATGTAACTTGGAGACATCTATGTAGAGAGAGAAAAGATATTAGTCGCAAGGTAATGATTTCTTGTCTGGCCTGATGATCGGCTAACACCAATGGTGGCGCGTGATGATTCGGCATAGGCGCCAGAAGACGAAAGGATTTTTTCGAACGGGCGGGGATTATGACAAACGTACCTGCTCCAGAATACATCAAATACCCGCCTTTCTTTGGGGGGTTTATGCCAGTTTCGACTTCGAGGTCGAGGAATCTGTTCTATTGGTTCAAAATGTGTTAGTTAAGCCAAAACCAAGGAACGTTATAGGGTATAGGATGGTGGGTCTATGTCAAATCCATTCGCACTTACCCATACTGATAACTCGGGATCCTGCTCCATACCCCTAGGTACCGGACCAGTGTACTTTGCAGGGGGAGACATTAACTCGAATTCTTCGGGTACTGCAGCGCTGCCCGACCCGGTTTTGCCGTCTTCTTTCTCTTTCTTCTTATCTTTCGACGCTTTCCTCTCTTCTTTCCAGTCGTCATACTTTTTCCTGATGCTCTTGAACGCACGTGGCTCAAGCTCATGAGCAAGAACCACTGCATTTGACAGATCCGTGGCTGAGACATCTAATCAATGCTATGTTAGTGATTAGACCTCTTGTGATGTTTGAGGTGAAAGCTTACCGGATTTTGGTAGATCTACTGCTCGTCCATACGTGAGGAGAGCAAAGTTGCTTAGCAATGCAGCACCAACAACAAGCGACTTGAGATGCATATTGGAATCGAGACAAGCGTGATGAAGATAGGTGTGGTGGGATGAAGCCGACTTCGATAAGGGACAAAATATGAAGTAGTGTGTCTATGCAAAGGAAAGGAAATCTTGATGAGAATACTAGGAAAGAAACGGAGAGAGATGAATGCGATTGTATGATGAACATGAACTGCCTGTCACCAGACTCTTTAAGTACTCGAACATATGTCAAGTTCGTATGTGCAGTTCTATTATCGTCGAAGGATTTAGAAGTCGAAATAGACTCTAAACTGCTTTGCCACATGATGCATTAGAACCTCAAAACAAGGCGGAGAATCTTGTTGCAAACAGAACGCATTTTGCATCTTGCGACACTCTTGCCCAAAATTGAGATACAGTCACCTTGACCAGAAGGCGATGCTCTTGGCATTGGATCCTGGACGGCATGGGTGTGTCAAGCAAAATGCACGAAATAGGACTAGACGTGCAATGGCTATACCCTGTTAACCCAATAGCCTGGTTAGAAATGTTTTCAGGTGTTTTAGGCGATCTGACATCAGCAAGTGTTCATGTTTGGTACTTGAAACATCTCACCAGGCACGTGCTTCCGCGAGGCGGCTAAATTAAGGAAGGCGCTTCGCAGTCGGGCGTACCCCACTCTACCCTGACCTATACTGATGCTGATCATGACACCTTTTTAGAGCACGCCCACTCAAGCAAGCGCACATCGTTCTCAGGAAAAAAAGGTCGGTTCACGTGGCTCTCAAACGCAGAACTTGTCTCCGTCGTTTACTTACCGGCCTCCTCAATATTCCAGATCAACTTTTTCACCTAGCTCTGCACATTCATCATGGGCTGTGCCTTCTCTTCTGTCCCATCACTACGCCCTAAACTTGCCAAAAATCAATGCAGTCCTAAGGAAGCGGTGGAAGGAAAGCCTATCGCGTTCGCACAGGCTTTTCATCCATTCCCAAGACTCCCATATGAGTAAGCTTTTACGACTCTCAACAAGCAGGAATCATAGCATTAATTGTAAGGAACCTCTCAGGCTTCGACGGCAAATATGGGTTGAATCTCTTTCCCATCAAGTTCCACGAGTGTACGCCTTGGATTTGGACATCACTCTCACGGATCAGAACAATGATACCGACATGCCCATGCGGCCCACCAATGTCAAATTTGCTCCTGCGATACCACTCGATGATAGCGACGAACTTCGAAACCTCATTGACGCAACCCATACAAGTCGCAAAATAGGTTCGACTTGTCGCGAAGCTAGAGACGCCACAGCTTATGTTTTACCGGACATGTTCGAGATGAATGCCAATCCAAAACCATTCCAAGGCAACTCACAACGACCGCACATATCAACAGGATATTTCCGATTCAACGCAAAGCGAGACATAATCGGCGTGCTCCATTCTTCCATAGAGCGACTCGACTACATCCGAACATGGGCAAAACGAGGCAATGTGCTCCCGAACTCTCACTTGATTCGGCATGTAGCGCTCGATATAGACTTTACTGAAGATACACGCATTTCGGGAGTCTGGACAAAATGCGGTTGCGGAAGACCAGACTGTGTCGTCTGCTCTAGAGACCCATTGCTCGATTTTACAAGGCTCTTCCCGAGGCTAGAGTCATTCCACCTTATGCAATACTCTACCAGTTTCGTCGCAGAATCTGTTGCATGGCCGACGGTTGACGTGGCGCCAGTGAGAGAATGCGACTGTTACAACAGCGGACAATGCATCAAGCATGATTGGCCCCTCTTTAGGGGTATGGCTGACGATTCATGGTTCATCTCCTACACGGAAGACGGTGGTTGTATGTACCCAATTCTACCGCGACTAGCACATGATAGACCACAGGAATGCCGATGGCCATATTATGACGCGCTGGGGGATCTCGACATGCGAATACTCAGGCGGGTGACACTGGGCGGAAGATGATTATTACTATAGAATAGCCTGTTCCAATAATCAATTTTCCGAGTCTATATGATGTTTTAATTGCAGACTATCGTCCAGTCTTCGTACCTTGTCACGAGGTGACTGCCGCACAATTGCCCAAAAGAGACTTTATAAATAATCTCTATATAGGTCTCATAAGAGGACCGCCAAGTCGAGGTAAGGCTGTACAAGCGGAGAATATGTCAGCATTACATGTGTCAGCATGCACATCGTTACCGCGCGCCTTTAGTCTTATATCAGCACCAAAATGGCACACTGACCAGTCCCACAATTTTCGTACCTCAGATTAGCTGAAACGGTGCAATCTCGATTGTGCCTTGCAGATATACGGTTCTTGAGTAGACTTCCAAGCAACAAGGCCAAGATGTTCCTCTAAGATTTCCGAAACGAAATGGCGCAATTTTCTCAGGGCCTCGAAACGAGATCAAATATTGGTAAGCTCGCAGAATAGGCAGATCATGTTAAAGAAGGATCTCGTTTCAAGGCTTTCCAACGTGTTTGCCTGAGAAGGGAGACGCAATTTCGTGCTCAGACACAACAGACTAATCTGAGCATTTGACACTATTTATCGCAATGCCAAGTATGCTGGATGGCTCACAAGCCCTTCGTGATCATGAGCCATTCGTATATAAGAGCCTCTGGAGGTAGCAATCTGAACAAGACAATAACTACCAAAATATCCTGAAGCAACTACTCTTGCATATCATACCATATCCATTTCTCTATCTTCATCAATCTTGTTATTCCTTTTGCTCAACTAGTCTCTACTTTTCTTCGTATCTACAAACTTCCCTTTCAATCATCCAAAAACTCGTCATGGCTTTCGCAGCTGCTATGGGCGTCGACTTCGCCATCTCAGGAATCACCATGGCTGCTGCTTTAGCCCCGGTTGAGGAAAAGCCGGTGGCCCGTATAGGTATTGGATCTACACAGCTTGGTGCAAAAGAAGATGCTCGCACCAATGGTGTCATGCCCAACCTTCACCTATACGACGTTCGTGGCAAAAGGTTTGCTAAGCACGGTACGTTCACATCTTTGAAATCATGTAGCTCAGTACGGGATGGCAGCTGATTTCGAACAGAATCGGGTGATCTCATTGAAGATGGCGCAAACGTAAAGAAAGACTTCATGATTCTGGATGGAGCGGAGAAATCAGCCGAACCAGAGTATCTGACCATCCAGGCCAGATCTAACGACGCTACATGCGTCACTTGTACGTAAAAATTCTCGGCTCATTAGCGGAGTTCGACATTCTAACATCCTTAGATGTCACTGTGACAGGCGCTTCCGGCGCCCAACGAACCTGGCACGCTGGTTACGTGAAGACGTGTCAGGAGCAAGGTGGTGGAGGTTTCTACTACCCCTCCCCTAACACGGTCCCTGACACGAACTTCCGACCGGGTTGTGTCTGGCTTAGCAACGATGACCGCTTTATGCAAGCCATTTCCATCCATCTTCCCAGCTTTGGCTTTCCCGAAGAAAGCTTAGCCGAGCAGACGGCAAAGCAGTTCAAAGATTATCCCCAGACGCTCTGCCAGGCTCCAGGCAGGATGTCCCTGTACAAGACCTTCGACGGCGAACAGCCAGAATGCATCCCATACTACGACAAGATCCTGGAAAAGTTCAAAGAAGACGAAGTGAGTGAAGAAAAGGGTATCAACGAGGGCTTTGACAAGGACTTCCAGGCTGTGGTGGATGGACACACACTCCCACCACGGAAGTTTTTCTTCAAACCCTCCCGCAAAGCCATTTCCTTCGAGCGCACATGCGACTACTCCAAACACAAGCTTTTCAACCAAGAAATGCAACCCGGCAAAACTCCCGTGAAAGACTCGCCTCAAGCCCAAAAGGAAAAAGAAGCAGCAGAGGCAAAGCAGAAGGCGGACGCAGCAGCCGCAGCCCGAGCCGCAGCCGAAGAACAGGCTCGCAAAGATGCTGAAGCAGCCTTGAGCGAGCAAGGAAGAAATCCAAACGGAGCAGCACCAGGCACGGGAAGCTTTGGCGGTGTTGCAGGATTGATCCCTGCAGATCAAGCGGGCAAGCCGGTGGATCCCGATGAGGCGGCGAAGAACTTAGAGGAGTTTAAAGAGCAGCAGAAAGCATCACCAACACCCGCGGCACCGGCACCGGTGCCTGAGCCAACCGGTCAACCAGCTCCTGACGTTATCATTGAAATCAAGCGTCGAGGCTCACGCTCGCTTCATCAAGGACAACAAGATGAGGAGACCAAAGCGACGCGGGAGATGTTGACCAGACGCGAACAGCTTCGTGCAAAGGGAGACTATTGCGTCGACCGGTTGACGATCAGTCACCATGCTGAGCATAGTGCAAGAGAGGTGTGCGAGATGAAAAACTCATGGGGACCGGACTTTGTGTCCGTGGTGGAGGGCCTGTATTGTGACATGTGTGAGAGGGAGTTGTACCCCCTCTGTGCACATGAGCATCAAACAGATTGCTTCGATGTTGATGATAAAGTGTTGAGGGGTAAGGAGAGCCTGTGGCAGAGGGTTAAGAGATATGTCACTGTTGACGTTTGGCGCGTGTAAGTGAACGACGAGGTCGATTTGAAAGGGAGCTGTGGTCGCTGCTAGTGTTTGCATTTGTTTCGAGCGAGGCGTCATTTGAAAGGGGGTATAGACTTGTCAGCATATCTTTGATTTTGAATCTGAATTCCTGTTTGCGTTTACTTATGATGCTCTTTCACTTTCACCACTTCGGTAAGCGGGGCAAGATTACGTCATCCATCCATTTTTAGCGTGATGAAACACTACACTCGTGCCCGCCACGCACACGCACGGAATCATTCAATAGTCTTCAGGAGCACGCTTACAAGTCCTCAGGGAAGTGTGAATACATTCCGTGCTACAAGATATCTTGCCTAGCCTTGTGTTTGAGCAGATCCAGGCTACTCCGACTAAATCCTCTGAGTGGGATAGAGGCGGATTGGGATTTTGCTCTTCCACTTTCACTCAGCGTGACCAGATTACGTGATCCGTACCTCACCCTATCTTGCTCAGCGCCATACTTGAGCCTATAGCACCTTCATTTGCAACTCACTCTCTCAGCGCACACAGTCTGCGAAATTCTCGAGCGTCTCCGATAGCAAGGCAAGTAGTTGCGCCCGCCACCGGCGTAATCAGCTGACCCGTTCCGTAGATGGCCAAACGCAGGGCACGTCAAGTCACAGTACCTCAGACAGCCGCGACCACTTGCGCCAAAGCAGCTGCAGTCCCTAGCAGTGCGATGACCTCGAAAACCACGGCGCCTGAACTTCCCACAGAGATTTGGGCCGCGATTCTGATGAACGTCGAGGATCCGTATGATCTGTGGGTCAGCTGTCGTCAGGTTTCGTCCAAATTCAAGATTGATGCCGAGCGCGCTTTCCGCGTGAACTTCCTACCGCACTTGAACATTCATTGGGGTTACCATGGCAATGATGGCGATCATATCAGCGTTGAGGCTACAATCGACGACACTCAGTCGGAACTCAAATCTTCTTCTGTGTCCTGCCTTTTGCGGACAACCGGTCCGTACTCAAGGCCGCCGGTACTGCCTCCTCAGACCATGCAAGAACGTATGGTTATGTTGCACAATATTGTTGATTGGGATGACCTCAGCGCCATGAGTCACGCGGGGTCCTGGGGACCGCTTCGCTCGATGCAAGCGTACATAAAATGTCCGGATATCTGCGATGATTACGCCACCGATCTCGATTTACCAGAAGTGCAGCTCAGTCTCTTGCCAGTTCCTGATCCTATACCACAGAACACGAAGATCTCTCAAGGCCACATTACGTTTGACTGGAAAGTTCTAATCACCACGTTTTTCGCCGAAGAAGTGCATGTGCGACGAAAGCTAGCAGATGGCATAAACGCAACTGAAGATGCAACTCTGGTCGGATTGCACAGAAAAGCCAAGATATTCCTCCGTACAGGATGCCCAACCCTGAGATGGTCTAGCAAGCCACAGCCCCTCTCTCACAACATGTCAATGAAGGATCAGCAGTCATATATGAAAGTCAAATCCCGCCACATTGAAGCTGTCGTCTCCGCTCTTGCCCCCGATCACACACATCTATATGAAGAGGCCTACTCGCAGCGTCTCCGCAAAGCCTACTCTGGCATTGGCCTCGATCCGCCCTGGGAGGCTGAGGAGGCCATTACCGAGCGTCGCGAGCTCCGCGCCCATGTACGCAAGCACGTAAGAGCGTTCCACAAAGACAAGTACGATGCTGCAAGAATAGCCGCCGTTGCAACAGCAAAGCTACTTTGGATGCGCAAATTCGGAGAAGTCTCGTTCGAGAGCAAGCCTTCGCGAGCTACCCCTATCGTCCAGCCCTTGGCCCATGTTTCCAGGCTCGAGCTCGACATCGATGATGAGATTCTTTGCGACGATCCTAGCGACGGCTTGGATGACCGCTCTTACATCCCAAGCAAGTCACTCGCGAAGAAAAAGGCTCGGCAGAAGATTAAGGATGAGTGCGTAGCTCCTGGAGATACCGGGCATAACCCTAGGTCGCGTAGGAAGAAGAAGGACAAGAGGCAAGATGAGGATGGTTGGTAATTCACTTTCTTGGCGAATGCTTGACCGCGCCCAAAGGCAAGCCTGTGGCAAGGACATGGCTATGTGAGAAAACTTTGGCTTTCCCTAATTCTTGGAAGAGGCTCGGGAAGGAATTTTGTGTTGCAAAGAAGCAGATAGCTGTCACTGTATGTAGCAACTACGACGCACGAGAAGTCCTACGAGTCGACTTAAATAGCACAGTGTGCTCACCAAATGGATGACATACTATAAGAAGTACCTTGTGATACTCAATGCCGTGCTATAGAGATCTTGTTATATAAGCAGCGCCGACGATTGCTCCTTCACCTTTCACCTAACAGGCAGGAACGCGCGTTACGTCATCCGCCCACGCTAGAGCTCGGTTACTAAAGTGCTGCAGCTACTTTGCGCCTCCAGATCTCTGCCTCCACTCACCGAAATACAACTGTTTGCGCCACCTAAAGGTATTGTTTGTTTTCTTCTTATAAGTAGCCTGCTGATAGGTTAGGTGGTGATCAAGTGCTGAGCAAGAACACAGTCTGCAGTATCGCGCGATGGCGATGAGCCAATTCAGCGCAGCGAGATCACTCGCCTTCACCATGGCGGCGACAAAGCCGTGCCCTCCACTTCCATTTGAGCTTTGGGGCAAAGTCCTTAGCAACATCGACGACCCCTTCGACTTGTGGACGACCTGTCGCCAGATCTCTAACGGTATCAAGATCGAAGCAGAGTACACCTTCCGCCTCAGATTCCTCCCGGATTTGCGCATCAAGTGGAGCATAACACGGGATAATCGGTACTGTGAGACCATTTATCTCGATATCCGTGCCAAGCCAAGCCACGCTCTTGTAGATGCCACATCGTCCTCGGCGACTTTTACTATCCAAGTGAACGGGCCCGTAAGCTCTACATCTAGCGGGTATGTAGGCTGGTCGAACAAAGAGCGTAACGAATGCGTGCGGCAAGCATTCCACTACAAGGACCACAACGCGACTACTCGCACAAGTGGGCAACCATTCGCTATCATCAGGCACAAGATGAGATTATTCTTCGAGACCACGAATGTCCTCGCGACCTACCAAAATGACCCTGAGATTTCTGGACTGAGGATTCATCTTACGCCGTTCCGAGACCAAGTCTCTATCAAAGCATGGGAAGACCAGGGTCACATATCATTCGACTGGAAGAAGCTCATGACGTCCTTCTTTTCTGAAGAGGCAGCATTCCGCAACATCGAAAGGTATTACATTGCCGCAGTACGCTTGGCTCGTGCACCTGATCGGAAAGAATTGTACGTGGAAGCACACAGGGAAACGCCTCATGAAGGCGAACCCAAAGCAGGGTCTTCAGAGAGGGCTAGAAAACGAAAGCCTACCAAAGCTAGCCTTCCACGCCTACGTACATGTAAAACACCTGCACGACATCCGAGTGTGGAGCGTGGAGGACTTCGCCGAAAAGTACTGGCGCAAAGAAGTCGGAGCAGTGTGGCATACCATAACAGAAGATGGCAGCGGCCTCATCCCCGATTCGGACTCGGAAGATGATCGTTGACTTATGAGGTTAGTTTCGGCATTTTGAATGGAGGAAATGGAAACGGAAAAAGGAAAGGAAATAAGCACGATCCGTGGAGAGACTAGTGACGAAGGAATGCCCAACCCGCTCATCTGAAACACTTTGACGCTTTGCCTTTTGAAAAACTCCTTGTGCAGGACTCGTTGACGCTCACTCGAACAGAGCAACGTCAACTCAGGCAAAACTACAATTAATGCGTCGCATGACACTAGATTGCTTGCAAGTAGTTGACTTTCAATACCTGCGTTGGCGAACAACATGTCTCAAACTTGGAACGAACAACAATCATCACCAAACTTCACAAAAAGCGCACACGTCCTTGAAAATGCATATCCGACTTCATAAATACTCCTCCTTCCTCCTACTATGCTACGCTAAATAAATAAAAAAAGACCTCGCCGTTTCGGCAAATATGATGGGGGGGTATCTGTGCTCTCCTTCTCAGTCTCTCAATCTCGTGTCTATCCAGTATGTATGTATGCAGCAAATCTCATTACCGTAACGAGCGTCGCAAGGAGAAACAAAAACGCCAATGCACCATGACTAAAAAAAGAAAACGCCATGCAAAACGAGTGAGTGTATCATGGGTATAAATCATCATCCAAAAAAATAGCAGGTCGCCTTTACTTGTGCTCCTCAGCCAACGCATCCCCCAGCGCCTCGGCATCATAATCCTGCACGACGACCTTCGTGGGCACTTCGGGGATATCGAAGAAGCCCCAAATGGGACCGTTCTGGTTGACGCCGCTGGAGCGGAGTTTCGGCTTCGGGCGTTCAGCAGCTTTGTCCTTCTTCTTCGCACCTTCTGAAAGGGTGGTGCCCAGGCTGGACTGTGTCTCGTGACTATGCGACGATGTTGGTCTGGGTGGTTCGGGGATGGTGGGAGATGCGGGCGTGGCGCCCCATTTGCCAAAGACCCAGCCGCCGACTTTCTTGGTGATGCCGCCGCTGGAGCCGGGCTGGGGGCCGTCGCTCTTGCGGGGGCCGCGCTTTTGGTTCGCCATGGTGGAGTAGAGGATGGTGCGGTTGAGCTGGCTGCTTTCGGATGTTTTGCGAGAGAGTTGGCCGTGGGCAGTGGCGGTCCAGGGGGTCAGTTCGGGGCCGATTGAGCCAGCGTTGCCGGGCGTGGAGAAGCGGGGCGACGCGGAGTAGAGGAGTTGCGAGGGTCGTGATTGAAGCGTGTGGATATCCATGCCGGAGACTGAAATGAGAGATTCGTGAGACGTGGCGCGACGGAGGCCAGGACGCATTGACGTAAGCGGCGATAGAAGGTCATTAGGCGCAAAGACTTGTGAGGCCGGCGATAGTAGCGAAGACGGCGAAGCTATTGAAGAGGCTCCAGCAGTCGATATCGAGGAATCCTCCGTCTCTTCTGGGATCGCAGCTTGAGGCAGTGGTTGGATGTGCGGCGAGAGCGTGAAGACATCGTTTCCAAGCGAATTTGCAGGACTGACTGCTGAGACGATGGCTGTGGCAGGACTACTCTTACCAGACATGGAAATGGGCGTGCTCGAACTGCGAATCGCCGACAGACCCGGCGGCCCTGAGACCATACGACTTGCGGCGTCGATGGCGGGGCGTTGCATCTGGGTCTCGGGAGTCGATGGATCGTGCTGGGCCGAACATGGGTGACTGTAAATCGATCGAGTCTGGCGGACTCGTAGGCCGGGAGGAGTCATATGCAACGTCGCTGAAGACTCGGTCGTACATGGAGCCACGGTGTGATTCAGAGACTGGCGAATTGGGCACGGAGCCGGCGGTCAGAGTCGTTGCCTGCGACCAGCGGTGCGTGTTGGGCACAGACACAGCAGTCTGATTCAGAATCGTGGCGGTTGAAGAGCGGTCGAGCTGGGGCGGCGGTGGGTCAAAGTGTGTTGGCGTCAGACTGAATCGCTTCTTCTTGGGGCGTCGTGAGGGTTGCGCTTTGGGAAGATTCTTGCCGCCTTTGGGCCCGTGGTAGTGGTGGTGGATGTGCAGTTCCTGGTTCAAAAGGCCGTCTGATTCCATTTCAAGCTCTTTTTGTAGGGTTGGCGTGGAGGCTTCCTGGGTAGGGGACGAGGAGACGGGTTGGTGCAGCTTGAGCTGGTCGCGCAGTCGCTCCACCTCTTCATTTGAGTTGCCGAGCATTTCCCTGAGTTCGAGTATACCGTGCTGCAGATTGGCGTTGTCGAGAAGAATGTCCTTGACGAAGTGCGAAACCACGTTGGTGCCAGCCTTTTCTTGCCCTGCTTTTGCCTTGAGTCGTCCGGCTGCCGTGTTGAGTTCGCCTTCGACTGCCATTCGCCGTTCCATGCGCGCCACAACCTCGACATGTCGCTGCCGTTCCTCGCGAGCCTCTCTTTCGATGCGGTCGATTTGGTCTTGCAGGTCTCCAATAGTCCGTTCGGCATTTTTCCAGCGTTGTATGGCGGTGCGTTCGTCGACAAGCTTGGCAGCAATGTTACTTTGCAGTTGCGCTTGTTCCAGTTCGAGTTCGAGAAGCTGCTGCTCCAGATGTTGCGTCTGTGCAGCGAGAGAGCTGAGGCGGTCGAGTTCCTCTTCGGTCGAGCGTAGCGTGTCGGTCAGGGCCTGGATCTGGGAATCGGAGCTGGCGACGGCGTCGTTGAGCGTCTCGAGCTGGTCCAGGAGGTCGCGGTTCGCCTTGATGGTCTGGGCATTCTTGGCCTCGAGCGCCAGCTTCTCTTTCTCGAGGCTGTCGATGGTGGCTACCATTTGCCGGCGTTCCCGTTCCGAGTCAACAACATAGGCTTCATGGCGGATAAGGAGAGCCTGTAGAGCAAAGGTAAGTGGCGTCTCCTTCATCATACGAGGGTGGAGAGAGCAGTGCTAGCGGCACGTGTAAATGCATAGTCGCGGGGTGACACGGAAGTGACTGAAGCAAACGTACCTGGCCCAGCTGGGCGGCCTTTGACACATCGCGCTCCAGGCCCTCGAGCAGGCGCCCGTTGTGGGCGAGGTAGGCACAGTCGATGCTCCCACAGCAACACCGCGGGCCCGGAATGCTGCCCACGCTGCTTGTTTCCATCGGTGGCAGCGAGCCCTCACCGCGGGGCAGTCGGCGCTATTACTGCGTCTGGTGGAGTGCCGCCGGAACAAAAAGACGAAGACTGCGATGCGAGGCGGCTGGCAGCAACTGTCATAATCGGCGTAGTTGCAGGGCGGCAGGGCAGGTGTTATGCGAGGAAATCAACAAAGGGACGGTCTTGTGTTGATGTTTGTACCACTACTGCGCGTGCCTGGCTGCGAGGCTTGCGGCGATGCGCCGCTAGCTGGGTCAACACGGACAAGACGCCGTCGGATCCCAGTCGGCCTGGCTTCCCCACCATAGCCAGCCTCCCAATCATCCCGCCGTGCTTCCCTGTTTGGTTTCGTCCAAACACGACCGCATTGTCGGCTCACACGCTCCGGCCATGTGTTCACCATCCGCTCGCTGCTCGACACCACCTGCCACTGCATCTGCCTGCGCCATCGTGAAGCACGTCGACGTCGACGTCACTCGGCCTGGCGCACGGTTTTGGCCATGGCGCGAAAACCCAGAAATTACGCTTCACGCGCACCCCAGCCCGCAATCTCGCTGCAAAAATAACCCACCTCCTGTCGAAATCTTGGCGTATTGCCTCATTTGTGCACCACTGGTCGCGACCAAAGCGGTGTGGCTCGATAACGGCGAGCAGTATCGACGTTCGTCGCAGAGGCCAGCGCGTGGCAGCGACCCACTAAACTGATGCACGCTCTACACAGTGGAAGCATGCCAGCCTGTTCTTCACACCGAACCTTGAGCTCGGTCGATAATAGCGCCTTTTGCGCCTGTCGCTGTCTTATCTTTTTCTAATCTTCACATGCGATTTGCATAGGAAAGATATGGCTGTGCTGTGCTTACGACAGTACGCCAGTTCTCGCAGTCTCTGGCCCAATGCGGACGAAACATTTCAGAGATGCTTGGCGCCGAACGAGGCAGCAGAGTGCGACAAGGTGGAGTATATGACCGCAGAGAGAGGTAGTAGATGCACATTTTTTTTTTCATACACTCCTGTCCATCTTCGGCTTTCTCTTCAGGAATTAGAATATGTCGCTCGCCAAGTTCGCGAAAACCCCAATGCGCAATATCTTCTCGGGCTACTACACCCTTCACAACACTGCGCGATCACGAGCCTTCCGTCACTCGATACAAGCAGGCAAGGGGCCGGCACCAGCGATCAAGGCGTCGGATTCAGTCCCTCGAAGTCCTAGTCACAACCCAACTCTCCCATCTTTCAATCTCTTCCAAGCAATCCGCGACTCTCGTTCCGCCGTTCGCTATACCGTCTATGCCGGCCTGGGCCTGATGGCTACAGTCGAATCAACTTTCTGGTTTCATGTCATCAAAGCAAAGTTCTTTCCATCATCAAGTGCAGAAGAGCAACAGAAGAACGATCAGTACTTGGCACATGTGTCAGAGGCTATCGCAGGGTACAAGTCAAACTGGATGAGGAGCTACCGCAAATACTACGAAGGTTATGTGTGGGGTGTTGGTGAGCGTTAAGGTTGTGTGGTGGCGCTCATGACCGGTCAGCATCCTGCAGTGCCCCTGCCGCTTTCGTAGGGCACACTTCTCAAAGGGCAACGACACCCCGCTTCAGCCGCATCAGCCATAAAACACCCAGTATCCATCCCGAATGCACATACCGTTCGTGCATTCTTCCCATATCTTTTCAAACGTATTATCAACATTCAATCCTGAGACAGCATCCAACATGGACTTTGACTTTTCGTTCCTGGACACATTCTCTCCCGTCGGAAATACTGAGTTCAGCCTTGCCGGCATGTCACAGGACTTTCCTGAGATCGCTACCTCTGAAGGAATGTTTGAACTGGCCTCGAATCAACTTGCTGGTAGGGCCATTCAATCTTTGTCGCATGCACATTTGTTGAGATTCAGAAGCACCAACAGATGTCCAACAACACAACAGCGCTAGCTCAAGCATTTCATCGCATACACAAAGTGCGTACAACGATAACGAATACCCGCATCACTGATCGAAGTAGTCGAATTTGATCCCTTCGAAACAGAACACTTCTCATCCTGGAATGCAGTCTCGCCCTCGACGCTCAGCTTCAATCATACCACCGATGTGTAAGTACACGGTAGACTCTCGGGGACCCTAGCAGAGTTGAACACACATGCCGATAAAACTACAACTCGAATCATGTCCGCAGGTAAGTAGGCACATCAGGACTAAGTTCCGTCACCGCTAACTACTATCACTTCAGGTATCCCGCTCTTTCCAGCCTACAATGTAAACTGACAGCCTCCAGGAATCGTCACCTCATGTAATCAGGGAAGACCTCGTGATAATAGTGCCTGGTA